TGAAAAAAGGAAAGAGGGAATGAAGGAAGGGGCGCCGAACTTCCATAAAGGAACTCGGTTGCCCCAGCTTGGTCTCGGGGGATCAGCGAGTCTTTACCATCGAGGAGTCCCCTTAAAGTTATTAAGTTTCTAGACTACAAATAACGATAAAACAAATGAAACTCTATCTTTCCATCGAACGAGCCGAAAGGATAGCTTGTCGTATTCCTTTTTGCCTATCTACCTGATCGAAGTCACGGTCGCGCCCTTTCAAGGCACCCCCGTTACAAGATGTTCGGCGCTTCCTCTTCGAACGATGAAGGATGTAGCGCAAAGGTAGTTATTGATGGCTGCGGTTGCTGCTCGGTGGTGCATATAGTACTTTGGTCTTTCTAATAGACTAAGCGCTTATTCTTCTACTGAGAGCACGGTGACTATCCGCCACTAAGCAAAATACTCAGAGTATTGGTTTAAGCGAGTAGCTGTCTTATCGAGACTTCTGGTAGTGTATGCGATAGGTAAAGAGTAAAAGCTAGGGATAAGGTACAATATAGTGTTTCATTCCTATAAGCCATACATTTGAAAAAATTACCGCCGATTACAACAGTAACTATGTAAAGCGTACTTAAGAAATAAAATCTGGCTTTGCTCTTCAAGTATTTCAAGGATCTCTAGTGTTTCCAATAGCGTAGAGTAGGTAGTAAATACCTCGCTAAGAAACCCGACAGGTCCAACTTGCAACTCATCAAACGGATGTTACTCAGAAATCGGCGGTCTCTACAGGTCTTAGCGAGTCGCTGTTCTGTAGTCCCCTATTCCTTTCGGATTCCTGACTTGATGGTTGATGATACCCTCAAGTCTTCGCAGAATCCTGCCCTATTTATACATGTTGGAACCTATGCCAAGGCCCGCTTCCTAATACTAACTGATACAACGATAATAGAATAAGATAACGTTCCCGAAGATAACCCAGATAGAAAAGCGCCCCCGCATAGTTCCGTCCTCCATTCTAATTCCGACACGTAACCATGAACCTTGCAATTGCCAGTCATCGGGCTGTACCATACTATTATCCTAGACCTACTTCCCTAAGTAGAACAGCCTACAGCCGTAAGCCCCGCTTTCTATTCTATTCCGGGTGAGACACCCAATAGTAAGCGTGCCGTCATAATAGTATAGTACTAGTGTGGTAACACCGTGTGCCCCCACACTACCCGATACCTTTCTATGCTTGTCCTTTCGTTACCCGACCGTCCTCGCATCACAACCCGTCACTCGTATTCCTTACTGTCCTTCGCTTCTTAGGACAGCGCTCCGTAGTTCCTGTAACACAGTGGCAGGTATTTCACCACTGGTGGGAAACTTTCATAAGTGTTGGCATTAATGATTGAACATTTACTAATGAAGTATAGTGCAGCATAAAGATTGAAATTCAGTGTTTACACTGCAGACCGGTGGTAAATAATTTATCAACCGTTGGTAAAATTACTTTTGACACATTTACCGCTCCATATATTGGCATTATATGGCCTCTTTTGGCCAAAAGATCTGTGCTTTTATCATAAAAATTGGTATTATAAGGCATAGTATGGAGCGGTAAATGTGTCAAAAGTGATTTTACCAACGGTTGATAAATTATTTACCACCGGTCTGCAGTGTAAACACTGAATTTCAATCTTTATGCTGCACTATACTTCATTAGTAGATGTTCAATCATTAATGCCAACACTTATGAAAGTTTCCCACCAGTGGTGAAATACCTGCCACTGATGGTAAAATACCTGTCACCAATGGTGAATTCCCCACCGGTGGACAATAGGACTCATACATTGGCATTATATAGCCCCTTTTGGCCAAAAGGTCTGTGCTTTTATCCATTATAAGGTATAAATGATGGCATTATTTTCACCACCGGTGGTAAAACGATTTACTACCGTTGGTAAAATTACTTTTGACACATTTACCGCTCCATAGCATAGATGGTGGTATTATTTTCACCACCGGTGGCAAAATAATTTACTACCGTTGGTAGGATTACTTTTGACACATTTACCGCGCCATAGCCAGGAATTATGTATTCTATCTGCATGCGTCGCAATCTATATAGATCAAGAGTAGTGTTGCCATCGACCGCTGGCATCAACGACAGGTATAGAACTGATTAGAGTAGACATATGTGGTTTGGCTGCTGCATCCTGTTGGTACAGATATCGATGTAATCTAGTAAAGATGAAGATTGTTTACACACTTGTACTTTGCTGCCAAAAGAGGACGTTATAGCGAAAGGGTTTCAGTGATAATGGTAGTTTTGGGTAGATGCAGTTGTAGTTGTGTACTAACTACTCTAGCGGCCGGATTGAAGCCGCTGATCAGACAAAAAGGTAGTTGATCTGAATACTGCAAAAACGTGAGCTCAGTCGTTGCCAAATCATTCACCACAGTTCTTTGAGCGGCTTCAAACCGGCCGCGTGAGAGGTGCTAGACTGGGTCGCGTAAAGACAAGTATTATTAGTCATTGTATATTAGTAAATCTCATGATGAGAGACATACTGAACCATAATATCTTTATACACCGTTCATCGGATGAGATAGCGTGACTTAGTGTTGTTTGGAACCAAGTCAAATTCGCGTCTATCTGATCACAGTAGCCGTGCTGGTACACGTATGGTTAAGAGCTGAGTAGTTCATTGCAATCACTTTCGCCCTTGTTGAATAACTACATGCATGGGGTTACGCTTTAGTATTTTTTGTGCGATTCTACTCGCGCGTTAATTAAGTCGTGAGAGATTTTGTGAGGTCGTTGCTACCAAGAATTCTCAGATATTCACAGTTTGCGGCCAAACTTCTCTTGGGAACTGTCGCTTTCTGCATCGGACGCATCGGACAGTTGTCAGAGCTGACTTTACACCAGAGCACTCAGCTATCTTTAGCGCCGAGTATGTACCGCCATAACTCGAAAAATTGGCTAGCTTCCAGAGATCAAAATTACTTGTATGGGAAACTTCTGATGCAGATCGATGCCATTCAACCAATCACTCGAGTGATAATCCCTGGCCGGAGATAGCCAATTTTTCGAGTTTTGGCGGTACTCGTTTACCACGAAAAGAACCAGAAAATGCAAGTGACGGAAACAGGGATAGTTTGTATGAGAGATCACCGCCACTCTACACAAATAATCCTTGCCTTGAGCAACTGCATTTTCTGGTTCTTTTCGTGGTAAACAAGTACTACGGTGTCGGACAGCCAAAACCAGCCGGCCAGAGCAACCACCGACTCCCCTTCGCCCCATCGACTTTCAACAACGCAACACTTGTCCAAAAATAATGTTCTTTTGTAAAATGGGTCTAATCATGGTTGTAAACATCCCCATAAAATGGGATTTAAAATAATTAAGAACTGGCTGCACTATGACCTCTCAAACATTTGGTGCAATCTGCCTGAAAAAAACATAGGTGTGAAATAATAACTTTAATAGCTTTATGCCAAGGCGGCCACATTAATTGGGATAATTCTTACCCTATTGGGATGATTAGATGATTATTATTACCCGATTAGGACTAGTTTCTGGCTTGAAAAGAACATGAGGGTTGATTTTGACTGTCCGGCGCTGTACTCGTTTACCACGAAAAGAACCAGTTGCTCAGGGCAAGGATTATTTGTATGGGGTGGCGGTGATCTCTCATACAAATCATTACTGTTTCCGTCACTTGCATTTTTTGGTTCTTACCCTGGTATACCTCTAGCTCTGCAGTTGATAAATTGACTTTCCTATATAAGCTTCATTGTGTTTTTGCGCCCATCATCCCATTAATTTTGATCATATACCGAATTTGAAGCCGGGTAAATATCATTTTTTGAGTACAAGACATTATATATCACTGTACTCGAGCTCTTGGAAGCATTATATGTTAATTTAGGTGGGTGTTTGTATAGCTGGGGATCGCGCGTTTCTGTACGTGCGATATTGACTTCTGTGCCGACTACATGTAGTTGAAATATATGTAATGGAAAGCTAGATTTTCCCAACTGTACATACATGTATACATGCATGTTTTAAATGAGTATTACTTTGGTATCAACTAGATATATTTAAATTTTCTGAAATTTTCTAACTTTGTATGATATAATTATGTAACTAATTAGTTATCTACGTATTAGATAAAGGTGGCCGCTATTGCTAGTCAATCGATCTACCAGTCACCTCAAGAGAATTGGCCAATTAGGCCAAACTTATGGCATAGAAGAGTTGATTTTATATAATCCACCGTATGTGATTAGAAAAACCGGATTATTCCGGCAATTTAACTCTCTCATTTTGAATAGCTTTAGATTCTTAAATACACTGAGGGCTTTTGTAATATAGCGTCGGAACAAGTTTTAAGCCCTGTGGACGACGTGGTTTAATTGGCTGATATCATTTGATATCTACATATATATATGCTGCACATGATGTGCATGATCATCGAGTAACGTATGTAACTGCTACACTACGAGTCACGAAATCCTAGCTTAAGCAGGGTAACAACGGCCGGAGAGAGCCTGACACACTGCCAATCAGATCGTGAGCAAAATATTAAAAGGGGTGCTGGGGGTGAATCTCTTTAAACATAGCCGTCAATTTTATGGAACCCCCCGCCAAATATTTACCCTGAATCGCAGGTGTAAACTCGACGACCCCCCCGGTTTTAGCATCATATTACGGTTTCACACAGTCGACTGAATTCGAATCCTTACGTATACAGTTGCCCAGCTATATACTTGTAGTCATACGCTGCCTAGCCAAGTAGCTAGGAAGCTCTCTCTCTCTGGACGTACGTACGTCTCCCAGCTTGGTCGGCTCGGCCGCCTCTTGGAATAAGATTCGCCGCCACCGGCACCTACTAATTCATCGATCGAATCAATAGCAACGATATACAAAAGCTTACTAGCGCCATCAGCTCTGCGTTTAGTTTAAGCGGGCTAATTAGCCATTTTGAATTATATATTTGTCGTTGATTTATACCCGCCAAGCAATCACAAACATGAACGACGCAAACCGTGCGATTCTGATAATCATCTTGTTTCTCAAGTTTGTTTTCTTCGCAATAACATTTGCGATGGCAACACCTCGAGACGACTCCCGATGCAGGTAGCGGTCTCCGTTGAAATTCGATGCTCCAGTATCCCCCCACATCGCTAACCCATATTATCTATTAGTTTAAATCAACTGCCCGCGGTCTTATGTCTAGTAATCTGCGGTATAGTTCCTGCCGTCTTCTTAATTCGAAAACATTCGGAAAGACGGCGGATATGCATATGTCTGGGCATCTTAAGTGTTAGTATATGGTACAGTGCATTTATTATCAATGCGTTGAGCTGGGATAAGAGTGGTTATGTTTGCATTTCACAGGTTGCACTAAATACGTAAGTTGATCAAGTATTCGCACGAGAAGCAAGGCTAACTGGGATCATTAAGGTGCTTCTCTGTGTCCTTTTTAGGGTATGCATGGAATATCTACCATTAACTAAAGGGGTGGATGTGACCGTGATTTTTATTGTTGCCATATTGGGTGATCGAGTACTAATAATAGAAATTTTTATCTTCTATTCTCGTGGCTAATGTGTCCCGGGTCCGGAAGTAATGTTGTACATATAGAAAGGTTTCACGATTGTCATATCACAATGCAATGGCGAGCCAGCTAACGTTGGGATATGTAGTTTTGACGGCTGTCTTTCCTTGCCAATTTCTTATACTATATAAACTATGGAATTTCTCTTCGTGCCTTCTTAATTAAACGCCGCATAACTAATGTTTATTTCAAGATCTCAATGCGAACACTACCAGGTGGAAGCTGACTGTTGACATTGTTATTATTCCAATAAACCTATCGCAGGAGTACTTCGAATTAGCAACTTCATCAGTTATTCACACAAATCAAGACACAACTCACCCTCCAAGCTCCCGGCTTTGACGTATCAGGAGCCATAAGGAAATTACTCGAAGCATTAGGACCAGCACCCGGAAGATCATATACCAAGTACTGTCCTGAGCATTGTCCGCAGACTAGCCACCTGAAACTGAAGTACTTCCACAGCACATTCGGTGACTTTGTCGGGCCATCAGCCAACCAATCGTTAGATTAACAGGCACAGGAGGAATACATACCCTGACACGGGTGACAAAATGAAAAGTATACAGTCCGTTTGTTGCGCCAGGAATCAGAGCAGCATATGCAGCAGATTCCTTCTGTCTAATCATTCCGGGGGCATTTTGATCGAAATACTACATGTAACCCAGATCAGTTGACGTCGGCCACATCGCGAAGGACCTCAAGTATGTAATTACCACATCAAATCCCTCGGGGTTTTGAGTAAGATTGTAGAAGACGCCTCCAAAATTTAGTTCAATAGTCCCCTCGAAATGGGGTTGTGCCCTCCAGTGGTTCCAAACGCGTAGCTTGAAGTAGGGAGTTGGGGTGGGTGTAGGTTTCGTGGTTGTCGTGGTGGTAGACACACCATAATCTTGGGCTACTGGTTCTGGGAGGGCCTCGGAGGCGCTGGGGAGGGCCCAAAAGAGAATCTGGAGGAGAAGAAACGATAGGAGCTTGTTTATTCCCATCATGGCTAATTGAATTGACTTGTAGTTATGTCGAATCGAATGTATGGTGATGACGATAGTGAAGGGCTGGAGAAGACAATAATGGAATTGGAAGTCTAGTATTTATATTAAAATCGAAGATTGAGGTTGAAGGTACCTATCTGGATTTACTGTCACTACCCTCGGAGAATATCATTTAAAGTTGGTCACCGCCATACATCTGCTCTGCTGTGTGAGCACGTTGTTACATTGCTTACTGTCTTAGGTTTTCGTGCTAAGTATCCATAGGTACACAAGATTGCTGTAACCCGCTAATTTTGGCCAATAGGAAAGGTTATACTTAGAAAATCTAAATATATCTTATAACCTTCCCGTCCCGTATTAAAGAGTCCTTGTGATTGAACCGAATTGAATGGAAATCTGGACTTGTGGAACCAGCTAAGAAGTATTCGATATCACGTACTCGAGAAGTCAGTTCTAAAGGGGTCATGGAATTGCACTTTGTGCCAAGGTTTGGGAGTGCAGTATTGATTCTATGGGTCAAGATCCAAAGCCAAAAAAGAGAGGGGAAAGCTTCAACCCAATTGATACACAAATCCTAAAATAATGTGCTGATTGAACTAAGATGTATGTACAGCCACTCGTCAAAAGTGTTCGTGATACAGTTTTAATGTCAGTGCACAGTGTGGCGCACCCGTAATACTGATGTTATTAAAGTTGAGATTTAAAACAACGAAAAATATATAATATAGTTCGTGGCTATATATAAAAAGAAGATAGGTCATTGATCGTATTCTTCATTAATCTGGGTGCCATTGGTCACTGGGAAAGTCTTCTCTTGGGGTGTTCTTGATGGTCCGCCGCAGTTACATATGGAGAAATGTCTCACTCTGAAATCGGAATCACGAACACTTTTGCAGAGTGGCTGTATAAATGGTTTAGGAAGGTCCACGGCTCAGCATAGGCTAGGCCATGGCATATATTTCTCTATTTATGAAATATTGAGACGATTCCATGTGTTCGTCCATAGATCTAGGATCAAGGTATATGAGGAGTTTTTTTGATGTGTCCAACCTTTGCTGCATTGTTGGTATTGGTCATCTATTAATATGACCTAGGTCTAGAATAATTGGATCTTCCTTCGAGTGACCACACGTGATCCATGTTTAATGTGGCCGCTTATGACCACGGGTCTAGACCGTTGAATTAGGTCCCCAGAGTAGAATCATCGGAAGTATTGATTTACAACTTTATATAGCGTGTACAAAGTATATTTATCTCCTGAGTGCTTAGCACGATTGAAATGATATCACCGCCACGTGTACGGTCACCCGTATACGAGGAATGTTTCAGTCTAAGTCTTCCTTAGTATTCGAGCGAAATGGCAGATGAATATATGAACATAACTCAATCTAGTTCACAGAACTCTTCCCATCACTCATACTTCCATAGACCACGTTTCAATGTGTGAGAGACAAAAGACATACACCGCGGCGCTCATAGCTAGATATCAATCTCAGATAATATTGATGCTGTGTGTTCGATCATATAAAGGAAGCCGAGTTTTGTCGAGAAATCCATGATTTGAGAACGAATGACAGTGTCTTATCAAGGGCCCGAGTAGTTTAATTCGTTTTATCCTGGAAAACATCACACTTTTGAATTATATATATATACGATATCCTTCATGAACCATTAAATGCCAATTACCTTTGCCTTTACCTTCCTGAACTTCTCTAACTCCTCCTTCTCCTGCTCACTCATAACTACGTCCTGTCCCATATATATTCTCTCTGAACCCAGTCTCGCAAGTTCCGGCTTCGCCCCTTTCCCAAACAACCTAAACTGCGCCGAGCCCGGCATCCCAAGATAAACAGCTTTCATAACATTAAAACCTTTAATAAGTCCAAATGTCTTGATGAATCTCCATGGTGTAATCCCGGTACCAAGGTCGTTAGAGAGACTATCCATGTAAGGGAGGTAGTCAACTTGTATTGTGTGTCGTGCACTCGCAACGTATCTTTTTTTGAGATTATCTTTATATTGGTCGGCAAGCTTTTGCATTTCCTCCGCTGGAGGCAAGGAAATTTCTCCATGAATGACAGAAGTTGCCCAGCGGGATTGTAGCTCACTGGTGGGCATTATGGCACCACTACGGGGATTAGTATCTTTCTCCAGACTACTTTTATCAACCTGTGACGGGACCGAAGAAAAACTGAGCTTACAGTGGCTGAACTAGCCCAATAAAAAACAAGGTCGGGTATTTAGGTGGTGTAACCATACGATGTAGGTTGACCCAATTTGTAGTATCATTCTGTGACATGTATATTTCATCGGCCAGGAAAGGAAATGTAACCTTAAGATATACACGATTAGCTTGCAATTGGGGCAAACTTTAATAGTGACCCCAACGGCATTGAGTTCATCCGGAGGTATGATAGTGGTCCTTACCTTGTAACCAGTGCAAGCAACGACTTTGCTTAATGGCTCGATTCTTTCCCCATTGGTAAGCTCAATCCCTCTATCAGTGAAACGTGAGATTTCTGCGCGGTGGGGCTTGATTGTACCCGTCCTAATCCGCTCGAATAAGTCAGAGCGAACTATATTCAATTATTAGCAAGAAAGCAACGCATATTAATGTTGGAAGCATCTTACTTGTAGGATGGGCCTGTAGAATGTCATGCTTAGGCTTGAGAGCAGGTGGAATAGAACCTAAAGTCACAGTAAAGACAAATTGCAAGAATAGTGCAGCAAAGAATCTCGGAAGTATTGCCATGAAAGCCCGACCTAAGTAGTCAATACTCAGATTTACAATAATAAATAATGTGTACCCCAATATGATGGTATAACTAACGGATTAGAGTCTCATATGCTTGACCACATATCAGCCGTGGGAAAACCCAAGCGCCAGAGCGTGTTATTAAATGCAAATCGTTCGCAATAGTACTGAGGTCGGAGCTTATATCGACACCTATGTAACATTAATATCGATACCCATGCACGTGTCATAAAATAAGCGCAATCAGGGACAAACCAGAGTTTCCAATTCCAACAACAGCCACATTTTCCCCAATATATGGCGCTGGATCTCTGTAAGAATGGCTGTGTATCAATTCACCGCCGTTCATCTTGAAATCTTCGACGCCCTCCCAGTCTGGAATATTCGGCGTGGAATGATGGCCAGTGCAAACGAATACCGCATCAAAGACCTCTTCAGTGATAATTCCGTCATCTTGTCTTGTCTGAACAAGCCATTTATTGTCATGGATTGGAGTGATAGACAGGACTCGGTGGCGGAAACGAATAAATGGATATAAGCCAAAAAATTCCGCATAAGCTTCGAAGTACTTCTGCACATGTCGATGATGCTATATTCATGTTTCTTATTTAGCACCACGAAGATAATAAAAGGTAGCTAAAGAGGTGGATTACCGGGAAGGTTGGGTATATCTTTGGGTCCATGGGGAAATCACTCATGTTCATGACGTTTGTTGACGTGTTGATCACAATACTGCGATAGATTGATGAAACAACCTCGCCTGTTTGTGGATCGGGCTCAGTGTACCGCCATTGGCCTGCATCATTGAATATCAAGTTAAACAGTAGATCGAGTATCGTGCGTACAAAACGTACCTCCTATGTGGCCCTGAGCCTCAAAGCAAACTGGTTCAATATTATCTTCAAGGCACTGTTTGGTCGAAACCAATCCAGATATACCAGCCCCGATGATTGCTGCTCGGATAGTCATTTTTTCTTCTTTTAATGAGCTGCTGATGATTAAGCAGAGGAAACGGGCTGAATTGCGAGTTAGAGAGGATTTATGCCTCTTTATATCCTGAACATAGATACATCACGGGTTTGCCGCGGCTGGTGGAATTTAGATTTCTATCTCCGGTGCTGCCCGTAGATCAGCTTATCACACCAGATGCAAATACGTACATGTAAGTATTATGGTGCCTGCGGCCCGCCGGCTTAATTAATTGCGTGGTACACACACACACACTCACATAACTTTAAATCCAGAAGCTGATATCCGTATAAAACTACATATAGCATCAACATCAAACAACTGAAAAGAGAAAACAATTGATATCGATTTAAGTCCATGGTAAGTATTTTCCGACCTTCAAGGCTTAAACGGTGATTTGGGGGATTGATCAAATGGATCGTTCTGTCAAAAGGCCTATACAACTCAGGTAGTACATACCCCGCGCGCAGTATGTGTATGCGTGTACATTGCTCGTCTCGCACGGTGCACAGTCTGGTAGCTATTATTCGATCCTCTGTCGATCAGAACCAGGGTTGGATTAGCTGATCAACCGGAATGCAAAAAAGGAATGTCACAGGGTGTCGAATCAGGCTTGGATACATGGGCCGGCTCAGAACTGACGACAAGCAAGAGTTTTGTAATGTAATTTTTCCAGATTGCGCCTATAAAATTGTTTTAGCTAGATTGAGAGATATGGAGAATATCGTTTGGGTGCACGGCCGGTATGGTTAATAACCAACTAACCATACAATGACCTAGGCAATCAACCAAACGGTCGTACTAGTTCGGGGTGTTTTTACTAGGGTCATGTGCCGGGTCATACATATACTTTCCGAAAACCTAGAATTTTAAACATCCCGAGAACCACGGCCCCCGATATCAACGCAAACACTATCCCCGAGGGTTTATTATATCCTAAACTTTTCACATGAGTGGGCAGATTTACTTCTAAATCGTCATCGGTTGAGGCAGTTGGGGATTGACTTTAATATCATTGTATACGCGCGTCTTGTGTCGGGTAATTCCTCTATTCTCCTGCCCCGACTTTGATGTGGATTTCCCGAGACGCACTAAGGTATTTAAATATGATAAAGATCGAAGATTTGCCCAAGGCCACGAGAATTTTTCAAACCGGCACTTATATATTGAAGTCTTGTCTCATTTTGTAGTCTCATCACTCGCTATTGTTGCATGTGCTGCCAGCAGAGCGCATGCACAGGATCGCAGGGCGAGCTCAGCTCAACGAAAACTTATCGTGCACCTGTTGCGCAACCAGCAAAACACACACAGAATCCAGAGAGCTTTCCCATCTCCCCTGAAATTATGTGTCTTCTATCTAGACACCTGAAAGACTCTACAGGCCACTTTTAGGCCATATCTACAAAGAACAAGCACTGAAGGTGAAATGTGTCTAAAAGGGTCCTTTTATGGCACCTTTACCAGTATCTCAATTGGGCCAAGAATTTGAAGCATGGACCTCCTTTATCAAAATTATACTATACTTGGTCGTTGATATTTTGGTTTAGGTGTGGGGCTTTTTATGAGTTGTTGCAAACCTCGATTTTTGGTGTGTTTTGCTGGTTGGGCAAATACATAATTGACGTGCGAGTATCTGGAACCACAATAATTAATTATCAGAAAGAATCATAGGCTCAAGAGGAGGAGAGTGGAGGTGATGCAGGTCGCTTGCTTTATAATGTATTATGAATCATCTTCCAATTCACTTTCGCAAAGTATAGTATTGTCGGGTTACAAAAATAACTACGCACCAACGACAACCACCAACCGTCAGAGTAGGTAAAGATGGTTCTATATCTATGAATCTAGAGAGTTAGAGAACTATATGTAGTACACTTGTCCATGGCCGGAATGAAACGGATTGAGAATCGTGTCTGGTTGCTATGCGGGGTGCATAGTTATTTTTGTAACCTGGCAATACATACCAGAAAATGCGAGTGACAAAGTCAAGGATTATTTGTATGGAGTGGCAACGTTCTGCCATACAAATAATCCTTGACTTTGTCACTCGCATTTTCTGGTGCTTATGCTGGTAGACGAGTATATACATGCAAGTACGTCGTTATGAAAGACACACCGCCACCACTTCCATAGTTATCCTAGGTGATATGTAATAGTAGAGTACATGTAGTCTGATAATGAATGTGAGTGGCTAAGCGGATAGCCGTTTGTAAAGATGGTGTTGAGGATAAGATCGGAAGGACATATTTATGCACTTACACTAGTGCGTGACCCACGCATGCAACGGGAGACCTCTCCTTCCGTTTTTCGCTCGGGCGCTCTTCCCCTCCCCTCCTACCTTCTTTTGTCCTTGTCTTCCTCTTTAATTCTGTCATCTATCATAGTGAAATGATATGGCATGTCTCTTTCAACAGAGGCACAAGCAAGGAGAGAGTTGGGTACTACAATGAACACTGTGGTTATGATAAGATCTCTTACTAACACTATTTTTCGTCTGTCAAAAGGTCTAATCGGTGCTGATGTTGACATTTAGACGTTGATGAAATGTTATGCTGAAAGCTGGAGGTGGGAGGGAGACTCAAGTGGTATTGGGTTATTTCTGGTTGTAGATATGGAGAAGGCTTTCGAAATTGCTTTGAATTAAAGGTGGAACGTTTATCTTTTACAAAACTGCTATCTAGGTCATTAATAGCTACTGGCAGTGGAAAGAACAGTAAGAACATTGAAACTGGAGTCCCAAACACAGTGCTTGTTACAGTAGTGATCCGAGAGGACCATCAAGAGGATAAACAAATGTACTCGCGCCAGGGAGAAAGAACCAGAACATGCAAGTGAGAAAGCAGGGATTATTTGTATGGAGTGGCGCTGAGCTGCCATACAAACTACGCATTTGCATGTTCTGGTTCTTTATACTAGACGCGAGTACTCTAGTCCCATGCCCAGATCTGCAGAGCGTCTCATCGCCGTTTGGTTGACTCATGGGTATAGCTTGGTGTGAGAGATCTTTTCTGTCAGCTGGCTTCTCGGAGGTATTAGTCTAGCTCGGAGGGATCTGGGATCCATATTAGGACTTCCGGGCTAAAATCGGAGACTAGAAACGGTATCCCCAAACTCCTTAAATCTCCTTAAACTACCGAGAGCCTCCGTATGTGTTATCGCTCGGGTCGATATCGTCCTCAGAAAAAGAAACACGACTACGAAATTTACACTAGAGAGCGAAGATAAATTTCATTGGCACTGGAAAAAGAGCACTACTATCGATAAATCAATCACGCGCCTAGCATGCACCATACACATCCTCTCATCGGTACATATAAGCATATACTAGTACCAGATGCGCGCACAGAGCCTTCGTATCGACAGAAATTCCAGGATTTTCTATTGACCTCAGCACAGCATATACTCTTATCAAATAATATGGGGTGATTTGGTGATCGATAAGAGTCCCTGTGTTGTGACTGGCTTTGCCACTGTAAGAGAATTCTAAGAGAGAGTCTCACCGCCAAGAGATATATTTCAACAGGTTGTAGGTATGTACAAGCTCATATGCCATAGTCTATGATTGCATGCAGAGTTTTGTACCTAGAAACAATAAAACTACATGATTTAAAAAAAAAAAAAAAAAGGTACGTACAAGCTCAGCTGCAGTGATATATGCAACTACATGCATTTACTTTTAAATTTTGCTGCCGACAAGGCGCACAAAGGAGTTATATCAGACTGTATAGCTAAATCAGCTAGTTAATCAACTAATCAATCAATCTATAAACGATTACGTCCGGTATGGGTTGGAAGCGGGTGATTTTTGATGCTTTGAATATATTATAATATTATATGATTTAGTTGGATATACGGGGCCGTACTAAACTAGCACTTGGCTCATCTTTTGAGATATCCGGGCCTATATTAGGCGGCGCAGCCTCGTGATAGGCCAAAGGATAATCTCAGTGGCCATCTTTAATAAATGATAGCATAATTATATATACAGCCACTCAGCAAAAGTGTTCGTGATATAGTTAATGTCAGTGCGCAGTGTGGCGCACCCGTAATACTGATGTTTTTTTTTTTTTTTTGTTTAATTCATTAATTGCATGTAATACTGATGTTATTAAAGTTGAGATTCAAAACAACGAAAAATATATAATATAGTTCGTGACTATATAAAAGAAGATAGGTCATTGATCTTATTCTTCATTAATTTGGGCACCATTGGTCACTGGGAGTCTTCTCTTGGGGGTTTTTGATGGTCCGCCACGGTTACATATGGAGAAATATCTCACTCCGAAATCGGAATCACGAACACTTTTGCAGAGTGGCTGTAAGTAAGTTGTTTGTAAGGGAGAATTACCTTAGCTCTGTCAACTAGAGTAGCTACAGGGCGCCAGCTCATTGGATTTTCGATGGGCTCCATGGAAACATAAATGATGGCCTTGTGAAGGATTTCAATTATGTACCGCGCGCAGTATTGGGCCAGCCATCTCCATACTTGTTTAAAATGGTTATGGGTAACCTGTACTGTTGATCATAAGAGAATCTTGGCGGCAAGTCATGTAATTAACTGGGCTTACGCGGCAGCTAACATATCTGGATTTTCTGGAACGCGGATCATAGGAAAAGCAAATAATTTGCAGGTACACAAGATCCCAAGTCGGTATGTACAAGGCTCTGGCATTAAGTGAATGAACTAATGGGGTGTTGACTGGTGAGGATCCGTTCACTCACTTAATCCCAGAGCCTTGTACGTGGAAGTGCAGAAAGCCAGCCTTCTTTGAATACGGCAGCGCAGAGACATGAGGCCCCTGGGGGAGCTCAGGATGCATGCGCACCAGAATTTGGCTTCTTTAACGTAGTACTTACATGTCCGTAGCGTTTTACTGGTATACATTCTATATATAACCTTCAACACAAGATGAAGTCGTGGCTGGCTGAATATTGTAGGCCTCGTATTAATATCGCTGTGTTGGTAATGGGGATTCTAACGCGAGTTGTCGATATCGCAACTACTTTATACCAAATCCAGTACATAATAGATATTACATAATAGACGAAGGAATAAATACAGGTACTTACTTGTACTTGTATGAATACTATAGATTTTGGGTAGATTAAAACAATATCACGATGGTTTCTAGTTCATCGCGTGTTATTTGCCAAGTCTTTTAAGGTTCGAGAACAAAAAACAAGGGCCGGGGCTCCTGGCACGCATAACTGGCGGAGTCATGAAATGAGCGGTCCTCGTCAATTAACCTCATCCATAGAGACTCAAACTCGTTTTTTAAAACCCAATTGGAATGCTAATGTTACACCAGATACGAGGTTGACTCGAACGTGCATGACACATGCACACCATGTTACACGCGGTCGATGATTTCGACCTCTGCAAACAAAGAAGATGAGATCTGTGCTTTCCATGTTAGGGGTACGGTTCGGAGCAATTCCGACAGGAGATGTGTGGACTATATATATGGACATCTTACTTCCGGTTTCCCGAAAGATTTCAACAACTTCATCGCTCTGGCGGGGCGACCGAGATATTGATACTGCCCTAATTACCCGCCCCGCAAACCTCTTCTTTTAAGCTTCTTAGCACGTGCCTAGCCGTGTTTTCAAACCACGTGTAAAACCATCCTATTCCAGCAAAGCTTAATCGGGTTTATTAGTATCGCAGTAACTCTGTGCTTCAAGAACTTGAAACAAAACCGGTACTTATTCTCTTGCCTTATGTATGTGATACTCTTCCGGGTAAAAGCTCTTTCATCTCACTATGGCATACTGGTTTATATGTCATTTTAGCTTTCCATTTTAAGATTAATTTTTCCGCGAATAAGACCTAACAGCCGTCGTGACCTGTTACAGCTATAATATCTTTATTGTTCTTCGATCCGGAGAAAGGATTAAACGGGGCGATTATTCTCTTCAATCAACAAGGATGAATACCTCCCTTCCTGCTGAAACAGCAGGAGGAAAAAGCGAAGTAGAGGGGGTTATAGCCGTTGATCCTCACTACCAGGACGGTGCCGGGTCTGGCGGAAATAAGAAAACAGGTTTCTTTGAACGTTTTAGAAAAGATAAGACTAAAGCGGTAAAATCTGAGGAAGATGTTGAGAATGGGGAGGAAAAGTCTGCCGCAAAGAAAAACGATGAAGCGGGGATGAGTAATTATATCGTTAGAATCTCTTTTACTAACGTCTCGACTTATGAATATGGTCAGTAGCTAATCTCCTATATGTGTAGAGGATCATGCGATATGGTACTGGATTTGATTGGACATTGCAGACTATTGGATTCTTTATGGCCATAGCAACTGGTGTTGCATAGTATGTTTCCCATTTATCTAGCACTGGACCTGTACGCCCGGCTTTCGATGCTAACGATCATTAGCCCAATGATGACAATAATACTCGGTAATCTTGTCACGGGGTTCACAGAATTTTTCCAGCCAAATAGTACTGTCAGCGCGGAAGAGTTTCGGCGAAGTGTTGATAAGATGTGGTAAGCTTTTAATTTTACTCGCTCCGCTGTATGATGGCACGATATACTTACAACACAGTCTATATTTTGTTTATCTTTTCCTCGGAAAGTTTCTCAGTGGATATATTTCAATAGTCAGTATTTCTGATCTAAATAATATCGATATGAAACTCGTTATCCTATATATGACGATCATACACTAACCTAACATTCAGGCTTGCTTTCGTATAACAGGAACCCGTATTTCTGCAGCTCTTCGCCTTGAATATCTCACTTCTGTTTTTAGACAGGACCTTGCCTACTTTGATGCTCTTGCAATGTCATATGTTCCAGATACAGATGTCACTCTCGATATGGTATCTGCACCACAAGATGCTGCATCTACGCCTACCGCCGCTGCCGGCACCCCTGGGGCTGTCGCAGTCTCAATTACCACACTTTCTAACACCGTACAACAAGGTATCTCCGAAAAGCTCGGTATGTTTGTGCAGTACACCGCGATGCTTTTCACCGGATTTGCAATTGCTTTCGCAAAGGATTGGAGATTGACACTTGTTACGACTTGTATTCTGCCTGCCACTATCTTGATCTATGGGGTTAGTATACCAATCGAGATAAAACTTGAGAAGAGAGTTTTGGCTGCTCAAGCTAAAGCTGCCGAATTGGCGGAGGAGGTATTGGGGAGTGTAAGGACGGTCAAGAGTTTCAATGGCGAGAAACGGTTGATAGAAAGATACCAGGTGTTGTTAGAAAAGGGTAGGGCGGAAGGGATAAAGAAAGCGCCAAACAGTGGGGTACAATACGCGGGAGCCTTTTTTGTGATTTACTGCGGGTAAGACTTTTTGAGACAGGAAGTTGATAGTGGTCGCTGATATATACGTGATTCTAGCTATGCCCTTTGCTTTTGGTATGGCATAAGATTATTTCGGCAAGGTCATATCAAAGATGCCGGGACAATTATTACGTGAGGTCTCCTTATGATCATACCACTCAATACCCCAGTTCTAGCTCTAGCTAACTGATGTATTTACGTATATGTAGTGTATTCTTTGCTGTCCTTATTGCGGTGATGTGTTTTGGAAGCATAGCACCTCAAGCAACAGCGATAATAAAAGCTGCTTCCGCCTCACACACCATCTTTCAGGTCATTGATCGCAAGCCTACGATCGACGCCACATCTACTGATGGCCTGAAACCATCTTCAGTACCTTCTGGAGACCTCGTTCTCGGGAATGTCAAGTTTTCATATCCTGGTTCTGGCCAACGGAAGGATATAATTATCCTTGGATCTGCTGAAGAAGGCGGTGATGTGGAATCAGGAGGATTATCACTAGTTTTTCGTGAGGGGCAGACAACTGCTATCGTTGGAAGTTCGGGTTCCGGTAAATCTACCATTGTCAGTTTGATCGAGCGCTGGTACGATCCTCAACAGGGCACTGTCAGTATTGGCGGTGTAGACATTAAAGATTTAAACCTTCGATGGTGGAGAAGCAAGATTGGACTAGTCATGCAGGAGCCATTCTTATTCAATGATTCGATTTACAAGAACGTTGCGTACGGACTCATGGGCACCGAATGGGAAGATGTGACCGAGGAGGAGAAGCGTCGTATGGTCCGTGAAGCATGCATTGAAGCCAACGCAAGTATATTTGTGGACGAATTACCAGAGACGTATGATACTAAAGTTGGAGAATCGGGCGTCAAACTATCGGGAGGTCAGAAACAGCGAATCGCAATTGCACGGAGCATCATTTCAAAACCTTCAATTCTCATTTTAGACGAAGCTACTAGCGCTATCGATCCTAGAAATGAACGAATTGTTCAGGATGCTTTAGACAGAGTCTCTAAAGGGCGCACAACAATCACTATCGCACATCGTCTCTCTACCATCAAGAAAGCGGATCAGATAGTTGTTCTTGGACGTGGAAATGTACTAGAAACTGGGACTCATGAGGAGCTGTTATCTCGGCCGAACGGTGCATATGCAGGACTTGTTAATGGGCAGACTTTATCAATGGGAGATAGAGAAGGAGCATTATCGGATGATGAAGAGGATGTGGTGAAGCTCGAGGAAGAAGATGCAACGAATGTTAACGAAAGGCTCCGAAGAACGACGACATGGCGATCAAAAGTAAGCATCGGAAAAGGCAAAGATTCTTCTCATCATAGTGATGTCGAAGCCGCACACCCGACGAAAACCAAAGAACTTGGGGCTGTAAATTGCATCTCACTTTTACTCTGGGAACAACGTTATCTGTGGCCATTTTACCTGCTAGGATTAATCGGCGCTGCTGGTGGAGGTATGTTTCCCACTTTTTGGGGGTCTCGTGGCGATGAGCTGATTAGAAGAATTCGAAAGGGGCCTCTTTTCCAGCCCAGTCGATTCTACTTGGAAAATTCCTGGAGACCTTCCAGTCAATTGACAATCCCAGTGAGTTTGAAGAGCGTGCAAACTTTTGGGCATTGATGTTCTTTGTTCTGGCAATGGGTGTTGGAGTATTTTATTTCATGATGGGCGCGATGTTTACCTCGATCCAATACGTATGTGTCTCGATCCTCAAGCCTGAGATAATCAGTTGTAACGTTGATATTATAGAACCTTACAACCCATTACCGTCTGGAATATTTCCAAAATGTGCTCCGCCAGGGTATTCCGTTCTTCGATTCAGAAGGGAACTCTGCTGGGTCCTTAACATCAAAACTAAACAGCGACCCTACAGCACTGCAAAATCTGCTCGGGACAAATTCCGGGATGATAACTATCGCTTTTGTGAACATCTTATCATGTTCCATCCTCTCGCTCGTCATCGGTTGGAAGTTGGGACTAGTCTCCATTTGCAGTGCGCTGCCATTTATCTTTCTTGGTGGTCTCATCCGAGTCCGCATCGAAGGTAAACTGGCGGCTAGTATGACTGCAGTCTTTGCAGACAGTGCACAGTTTGCTAGTGAAGCGGTTGGTGCATATCGAACTGTTTCATCGCTCATCATGGAACAATCGGTTAGTGAACGATATCGGACGCTACTCGCCGCCCATGCAAAGAGTACTATCCACACAACATTATACGCCGCAGTTCTCTTTTCTGCTTCAGAGTCGATAAACCTGCTTGGGTCGGCGTTATGTTTCTGGTACGGCGGTAGATTAATGTCGACCAGGGAGTACAATCCCTTTCAATTTTTTGTTGTTTATCAGGCAATTATCCAAAGTGGAGAAACTGCGGGCCAGTTCCTCGGATATTCACCAGACATTGCACAAGCTGTCCAAGCAGTAAACCGGATCGTTGGTATCCGCGAGAAGAAAAAACCACCACCTGGCGAGATTATGGACCACGAGGGAAAAGGTGGTTATGAAGTTGAATTCCGAAACGTCGACTTCAAATACTCCACGCGTGACGCAAATGTGTTCCGAAATTTGAACCTCAAGATCGAGAAGGGGCAGTTCGCTGCCTTTGTCGGTGCATCCGGGTGTGGAAAGACAACAACAATCAGTCTTTTGGAGCGCTTCTATAGTGTCACCGGTGGTGAAATCCTAGTTGATGGAAGAAATATAGACTCCTTGGACATTGAGAGCTACCGCAATGCTGTCTCCTTAGTGGCCCAGGAGCCAACGCTTTACCAAGGGACCATCGCCGAAAATGTCCGTCTCGGGTCCAATGACGAGAATATATCCCATGAAGCTGTCATCCAAGCCTGTAAAGAAGCTCATATCCACGACTTTATCTCCTCTCTACCCGATGGTTATGAAACCCTGTGTGGTGCTCGAGGTGTCGGGTTGTCTGGGGGACAGAAGCAAAGGGTTGCAATTGCAAGAGCATTGATTAGAAAGCCGAAGATTCTGCTACTAGATGAAGCCACAGCAAGTCTCGATACTGAGTCTGAAAAAATTGTACAGAAGGCCTTTGAGGGTGCAGCACAAGGAAGGACCATGATTGCTGTTGCGCACAGGCTTTCCACGATACAAAAAGCAGATGTCATCTTCGTATTTGATGACGGGAAGGTAGTGGAGCAAGGCTCACATGCTGCTCTTGTTAAAATGAAAGGAACCTACTATCAGATGGTATGTACGCCGAATCGCATGAGCACTGATTTCTGTTTACTGATTTGGGTTTTGCGCGGTGTAGTGTCAAGCGCAAGCGTTGGACCAGTAATATTGAAACCTAAGTATTATTGACGATTTATGTTAGCATACGGTCTTAGAAATCTCTTCTGCCGTGTAGTTGTTGGTGTTCGACTTGATGGTGGCATCAAGGGATATGGTTGTCTCTCCTCCAGAATTATCTCCCCTCTAGAATTATCTCCCCTCTGGTATAATCTGGCAATAGCTATAATTTTGTCGTGTTTGTCGATCTCGACCCTTGTTTATAGGATGATAGAATAATTTAATATAATAAGCTCTGGTGGAGTGGATCATGAACCAATCTGAACCTAGCAGGAATATAAGTGATTTCTCCACAGTTGAGACTTGCGGATAAATGTCCGGGATGCATCCGGGGAACCCATGCCATTCTAATTTTGCGGGGAAGACTTCCCGTGCTCTAGAAGCTGCAACGTCGATCCGCTTATCTGATTGGTAGGTTCAAATTAGGCGTCAAACCGTTAACTGTCCGCATGTCTATTGCCCGCACAACCACCAAACAGTCCTCTGTACCCTAGAAGATTTCCTTGGGATATGCACTTTGTCGGATGAATCTTGGCTGCTGGAGCACTCTTCACATGTAGAAATGGGGACTGCTGCGTATTCAAACCTATTTCGACTGCGTGAATGATCTCCAATTCGATTGCAGTTGCTCCAGGTCGGGGATTGCGGACGTTCCTTGTCGCTGCATATCACTTAGTTGGTGTGTGCGTCGTTTGGCCAACCACTACCCAAAGGGAGTGCAACTTGATGGAGAAGGTCAGTCAATGAGCGTTTTATTTGTAGTGATAGGCGGTGAAAGACAGGTGCAAGACGTATGAGGTCTGAAAGAAAACACTCGCTTTTGTCATGGCACGTGCCAGCGCCAAGGCCACTAAGTTACATGTATGTAAGTAGCGATCGAGTGATTTCTTATGCATACATATAACTACACGCACTTACATGCACAGCTCCAATGTTACATCTGCCTATGCGATGGATGACCTTTACCTCGCTAAACATATAGCTTGCTCTTTGGGCCTAAGAAGATCCTAAGGAAAAACCTCTAGCCCAATGACCAACTAAAGCCACTTGTTTGGATGTTCGCTGGGAATGTAAAGTGTAATTGGAACACAGGCACCCCGGTAACAAAACAAGGGGGATAAGGTTAATGTGAGGAGACGTGGGTCAAGTGAAGAATTAGATTTCTGGCCCAAGCCAGGACGGCAGGTGAGTTCTAGCCATGGTGATTTGTATGGTCGGTGTTAAGCGATCTTTAGGACTTCGAAAACACGTGCATCTTAATAATTGCTAGATACGTGCACTACATACATTCTACGCTAACCAAGAATGTGAGCGCGCTAGTGGGTAATAATACTGTCGGTGGCAGATATTTCCAATTGATGTTTGGTAAGATAAGATTATCTACCAACCTGGGACAAATAGTAAAGGCCTCGCGTCCATGCCATGCTAGATACAGTTAGCGCACATGATTGGTTAGTACAAGACAAGAAGTGTCTATGTGAAAGTCCAGAATCTCCCGTCCAGCTTGGTTATTAATTAAGAATAGCACCACTGCTCTATTATTATTCATCCGGCCATATTTCTCACATACTAGCCTGTCGGTGTGTTCTCTCCACCGTACACCGTAGTATGTAACTCCTCATTTAGGCTACATATATCAACCCCCCCCCCCCCGCAACTTGCTGAAACTCCCCCCAGCTCGCAACTGTCCAGGCTCCACAGTTATTTCCAAGCAGCTTGCAAATATCGCCAGGTCTCGAACACACTCTCGTCGCCTCAAATATAATAAACCATCCGCCCAGCTGCACAAAGGGCCATCACCATCACCATCAACCACATTAGCGGGCGTTTAATCTCTCCCACTCTGGTACTCCTCACCATAATAATTATGAGAAATTACAGTCTAACCCCGACCAGGTCATATGTCCTACACATCCGGCTTCAAAAATATGTTTCATCCAATCTAACGGCGGATATATATATGGAGGTCTAGACTATTTATTGAGTGTCTGATTTTTGTTTGTCAGACTCGACTCGACATGGGGAGCACTATATTCGCTGGATCTATCATTCAATAATTCTCAAATTACCCCGCCAGCCGCACTTGCTAATCTGCTTCGCATGTACCTTTTTTCGTTTCGTCTCTTTGTTTCTATCCGTTTCTCCCATGCATTTCTACCAGGCTGTTTCCCCATATTACCATTTTGTATTTCCCCGCGTTCCCCGCTTCCCCTCCATCGTGACCCAGCTTTCTTCTGCATCATGGCGGAGGAGGCGGAGAGATTACAACTGTGCTGTAATGCCTTCGTCATCTGCACCTGCACGCGGTTTCACATAATATCAAATACATATTCCGGAATTTCTCTATATTAACAATTAATTCCAATTAATCCAGGGCATGACCTTGTCTAGCCTGCTCTTTAGGTCACTCACTTCATGGCGGTACACCCCGCATTATATTAATCAGGACCATACTAGATACAAGATCCCGGAATAACGGACCGCCCCGGAAAAACCCCCCACCCCCACGGATTACCGGCCTGCAGCAAAGGTTCATACGGGTTTGGGCACGCGCTACGAGGGCGGATAGTGTAAGGGACCACGGAAGAGGAGATTTTTACTACAATTCCAATTCCTCAACTGCGCCTCGGCCCTTGCCTCGTACGCATCTCAACTCTAACCAGTACGAATACGAAAACACAAAGAGACGAGGCAACCTTGAAAGAATAGCAGTCTTGTTTTCCTGGAGGATCCCCGACCGCCGTCCGTCCTACGCTAGCTTGTAAGGCACGGATGAGGAAAGAAGGGCGGGTCACTTCTTGTATATGAGACTTGCATTATGTCTTGGGGGGAACAACGTAGCACCAAAATCGAACCTCCGCAAATTTCATATGCTGGGCTACCCCTCCCTCCTGAATTCGAATCTCATCGGGGAAATAAAAGAACACTCCGCCGGGTCGTCGGGGCCTTGTTGGGAACCGGACTGCTAGCGCCCGCTGACGATTATTCCAAATACTCTACCTACATAATTCTCCGGAGGATCTTTCCGCAGCGCCTGAGGCTTTGTCTCGGAAAATGTCATCATCACGAGCGGACTTGTCTTTGTTTTTCTCGGAGAGGTAGCCAATGCAATAGTAATATGGACGATTGTTCCTTCGTTCCGAACAATACGGCCTAATTTGGATATGGAAGAGAACTGATCATATATACAGGAAGGACCAAAAGCAGAAGAAAAATATCAATGACGCCATAGTATCATATCATAATATACCCCCCTGGGGAAAAGATACAAAAAAACGAAGAAAAAAAATAACAAGGAAGGGGAAAGAGACTCGCTCGCTAATACGCGTGATTGGGTTGGATTACCAAGTTCAAATGCTAGGGAGAGATGCAGGAACCGGCAAAATAGACTAGGCGGCATGCAGACCGAGGGAGGGTATCAAGAAAAAATATAGACAGACGCCAAGGAACCTTCCCATATGATTGACAAAGAAAAATGGTATCTCCAGCTCAGGAAACAAGATGGAAGTGTTAGTAAATACAAGGAAAAATATTTTGTAGATTCAACCCTCGAGGTAAAGAGTACCAAGAGTTCGAGGGTAGGGATATTAGGTGAAGAAGGAATAGTATTAACGTCCGACCAATGAAAAAATATAAGTAATCTAATAGAAAATCATTAGCTTTAGGTAAATTTTATAGTCAATGATTAGGGTAAATTCTCACCTTTTTTTTTTACCAGGAAAAGCTTTCCTCTGAGAAATCAATTGAGGAGACGTCAATGTATTTTCTAGCGGCAGCTCTGACAGCGTCGCTGACAGCACCTCCACCACAGACATTAACCGCCATGGCACCAACTTGCCGTTTGACAGCTTTTTCGACGATAATATCGAAATCCGGGCGTCCAGTGTAAAGCTTGACAACACCCCCACGCCCAGACCAGCTACTAGTGTGCGCTGCCTCATTTGGTTGGGTGATGTAGACATCAACCTCTACGACCTGCCTAACATTGGGCATTTGCAGAATCTCCTCGAGCCAATCAGAGACCCACTCAATATTGTCTACACTCCTGACAACCCAGACAAGCTTGATCCTCTGCGTCGCTGCAGTGCCCTTGTTGTAGCCGTGTAACAGGTGTTTCACATACCCAATACCGTGGGTAATCCCGACCCCTCCAGCCACGAAAATTGTGGTGCCATACGAGTCGAATGAGTGGTGCCCCCCGTAGGGACCTTCGAACATGCCAACAACCTGGAGAGGAGCCACCTCACCCTTCTCGCCGTCATTGCCATTATTAGCCTTAGCTGCCGCGTCGTAGAGTTTCTTGGTGAAGCCGCTGTGCTTTGATATGACAAAGTGCATTGTGGTCTTGGTTTTCAGTGCCTGCGTCGTGACTAATTCCCGGTGATAGACTGGCAATGGGGGCATGCTAAGACGATGAAGCCTAGAGGCGGGGCGCGAGCTATAGGTGCTGTTTCGGTTGTTGTGATGGTGCCCCTCAGGGCTCAAATGGTGCGGGCTGATCTCGTAGGGGTTTCCGCCGCCAGAGCGCGGCGTAGATAAATGCTGGGCGTCATGCTCGCGCACCGAGACCATAGAGTCGACCTTTTCACCGGTCTCCGCCGCAAAAATTTGACTTCTTCGTAGATCCTCGGCGGTGCCGTGTTCGACCCAGGTTGCGTCTTCGCTTTCTGTGAACTCCTGTTCTGTGGACGCCCAGGCGATCGAGAATGGGTGAGACTGCCACCAACCGATCCTGGGAATGTATATATATGCCTGGTGAGTTATGAAACATCAGTTAGCTGCAGGCTCAATTTGTACTACTCTATATGTAGAGTACATGTACATGTAGTATCAAAGTGAGGATGATGAGAACGTACATGTTGACCCGGCTTGAAGTCCCAAGGACGGACGAGCTCCACACTGACTCGTACAGCATTGGCTCCTTTGAGAGGAATAACCTCTGCCACGTTACATGAAACCTTGCCACCTTTCATCTTGATATTCCAGCGGAGGATCCAGAAAATTCTCATTACTCTGTCGAGCACCCAAATCGCGATGGTGATGTTCGCGTAGGTGATTTGCGGCAGCTGGTCAATGACAAGATGCCAGTAAACGCCAACCATGAAGAAAATGACCAGGATTTGGTGAAGCGATAGGAAGAACTCATAGTTCGCGTGTCGAAGGGGTGATGCAGATGCTACAGCGATCAAAGCAAGTGCAATTTCAGCCTGGGTGAAAAGTTAGAAAATTCATTATTGTTGAGAGAAGGGGTTGTTAGAATATTCGCACCATCAAGCCAACTTGCAAAAACGGTGAGATTTTGTATGCTTCGGCAACACCAGACCATCCAGATTGGTCAATTTTGTTTACTGTCCACGCACCCATATGTGCAAAAGATTCTAGGGCGACGATCCTGCCAATCCATCTGTGGAACAAGTTCCATGTGTCGAAATTGACCTGGACAGCATCACCAATCCAGTTATTTCGCACCATACAAACAAATAGTGGGATCATATTGACAGTTGCCATGACCCCAGTCCTTCCTCGAAATTCAGCGACTAAAGATGCCTTGGTAGGGGCTCTAAACTTTCCCTCTGGCCCGATTGAGCCGTTCCATGGCAAGGCGAGTGTGCAGTAAAGAACATTGGATAGGATATATAGAAATAAGTAGATGAAGTGAATGCGAGAGGGGAGAGTTCCAAGATGTAACCTAATCTTGGATCCACAATTCACCATCCATGGGTTATTATGACGAAGTTTGTGGAGGGGTGCGAGTATGAGATGTCGTCTGATCCAAACGAGTTTCTTTCCTGGAGGCAGGGAGTAAAAATGAGATGAAGAGGCCGTATAGGAGGAGCTGACGGTTATTGCTAGTCTACTATGTTGAACGCTGTGAATATAGATCCGGAAGAAAAATAAAAGGGCCAATGATATTCCTAAGGTTGAAAAGAGATATGTCCTATTATCAGAGAGGCTGGTTAGTGATGGCTGAACGAAACCCAACATTCTCATCATATCAAACACGAAGATAACTTACGAAAACATCAAATTCTCAAAATTATCCACCCCCGTCAACCCCCACGTGAAATTGACGATATCGTTACTCATCCAGTTGACGTCTGGAATTGCTTCCCCTTTGAAAAGGCCTTCAGCTCGTCCCTCCAAATTATTGAGTTCTTTTGCTCCCACAGAAGTCAAGAACTGCGATATTAAACCGAACGACAAAATGAGCGGTAAATTTGAGCTCTTCATGGCGCCGATAGAGACTATTTGTTTATTCCGAATCATCGTGCAAGGATCAAAACTCCGCAGCCGAAGCCAGGGAGACGCTGAATTTTTCTGTTTGGAATGTTAACAAAGAGAATGCCGTGAACAGAGGGGAGATGAGAGAAAACATCAACAAAATATGAGGACTTACAATTGTTTTCAGTAATACTGAAACTAAAATACCTTGCGTTTCGTTTTTTTTTCTTCTTTACTTCGAGCGAGGTCCTAGAATTCCAAATTCGTTGACCAGTTCGAATGGTTGCGGTACTTCCTTTTGTAAGTTTTTTTTTTTTATCTGCATGTATGTCTCGCAAGGTCAAAGTTTAACTTACAGCTACGGGATAGACTTGAGTCACTGTTTTGCTTTTGATCCACTTCCCACCAGCTCGTGATCGGACGTGGGAGAAACGGTTTGTTGTGGGTGTGGTATAAGATTTGTAAAGAGTGTGAGGATGACGATTTCGACGATCAACGACCAATGCGTATGATGATGACTAGTGATCACCTTGATGAAGGCAACGGGCTTTAAAATGTACTTTGGGAATCAGGGGGGGTTGATGACTTGTGAAGGAAGTACACAGGAGGGGACGTCGTTGTTGGTATATTATAGGCCAAACCATCCCCGTCCTCGCAAGACCCGCATGAGCCACGCCCGTACACCTCACTACCCACAGATTTTTCTTCCTATTCACGCCCGGTATGTGCGTAAGGATCTATGGAACCATGTCGTACGATCTTGTAGTACCAAATTCACGTTTTTCATTGAAGAGAATATTTCCTATTCTGGAATTCTCACGCATTCATATTAATGTCCCCTTTTCCCGGTCCCAATCACCGCAGCATAACTCTTTCTCTATTCATCGATCAGTTGTTTATCACGACTTCTCAGGCCAGTTTCTTTTTTGGTAGCCGGGGGTGCATATTCCTTACGCTGTGCCTTCCCCAGGGCCCTTGTTGGATTGAATAAGCTCACTGGATGAAAGGTGCAGGTTAAGACACAGACGTGGTACTTGTCTCTCACGTACGTACCTTGGTTAACCAATATATATCCAAAGTACTATAGTGAATGCAGCTGTGTGATAATTTTGTTGCTGATTGAAAAAACTTATCGATTGATTGCAGGATCCGAGAACGTATTCTCTTATGCCTGTCCAAATATACGCCTGGGTCCGAGTGTAGATCCCGTATAGGGAGCTCCTAGGTTTCATGTCTTTTTTCCCACATTGCTATCAAAAACAACTGCTTTGTATGAAATTTAATTATAAGCGTATTATGGCGCTAGAAGTAAACTTAAGCGTAGACACCGGACCGGTACATACAATACAGTGCTAGAAGATTACCCCCACCGGTGGGAGGCACAGCCCCGTAGACACACGGAGTGACCTATTCAATTATGGATTACGGATGGGCCTTGTAACTCTTGGTATAATATGTTCCTACTAGTACGCTTTCGATCCAGTCAATAAATTTTCTTGCTTGTATCATTAAGTTTTTTAATATAAGCATCGTGAAGTCTGCGATAGATCCTTGCATGGAGGTTTTCGTCAAGGAATAATAAACAATGTATTACTGTGCCTCATCCAGGATCTTGGCGTTTTTTCTTGGCAAGTGCTGCACCCAACTTGTCGGAATAGCCGCATGCAGATCCCCACAGATGTCAGAACGCACGGACTATCGGTCCGTATCTATCAGAGACGACCAAATTGTTCAGGACCACCAAGGGTGGTAGGCACATATCCCTGAGGAAAGAAGTGAAATCATCTCTAAAAAAAAACCCAGCTGACATAAAAGAAACGAAACTCATGATCTGCCCGAAAAGACAAAGAGACTCGTGATACAATCCAATTGATCCTCCCAGCTCGGTAGTACGGGCCCCGTTTCCGTACTATCGGAACAACAGATTTTCCGATACTGGTTCACAAACTTCAAGCGGTCGTGGCGGGCCTAACTGCCAGAAGGGGAACGTACATATCGGGTATGTATTTCTCATCTCTTTATTGTCCTCCATCAGCGCCGTTGCCGCAATGAATATTCTCCCGTAAGGTATCGTGATCCGTTTGGGGATGCTGGAACGGGAGAATTCCCTGGGTTTTCATGGATAGTGTAGATTGACGCCATACAAGCTCTGGGAGTAGAACGCCCAAGTTAGGTACATAGATATAAAGTTATCTGACATCGGGTAATTATCCTCGCTATGGAATGTAGTGGCTCTATTAACTATCAGTCAAGACGAAAAGCAAAGTCATCAGTGATCACTCGTGCAGGTCGATTGCAACTGCATGAGATTTACCCATATTCTGATTCCGGATAACTGGTCGAAATGCAGTCTTTTCTTTCTCTGTCCTACTTGATAACCTGATGCAATTATCCTCCACACGCTTCGTAGAGCACACCCCACAGTCTAGATCTCAATTACTCCACGAAATCTTGATTGGCCTTTTTTTTTTTTTTTTTTTTTTCCTTGTAAAATTATCCTGGTAGCAAGACGCATCCGGATTCCAGTGTGTCCTCTTGTGCTCTAAGATTGGGTGCGTCAATTAGCTTTGAATACATGTACATCTAACTTATCAAGGAAATTATCATCAAGGTATGGTAGAATATTCAGATGTGACTTTGATGTGATGTTAGTTGATGACGTTGCTGAGTCAATGTCAGCAAGAAGTTCTTCAATTTCTAACTAGATACTAGTCTAAACCCCACCTCAACGTTCCTCCCTTGCTCAACATCTGCCCCCCACCCCTCACAAATAGATATCCGAGGTTCAAACTCGAGATATTCTATGATACTCTTTTCGATTCTTTCGTCCACTGGGATCATATGTGAAATCTCACCCATTCACACTCGATGACTCGACTTGAACGCAGGTGCAATAAAGGCTTTACCTGTTAATTGGTCCATCATGCCATGATCAGGTAACTTCATTTCACGTCTTTGCCGTTCTCCGCCTGTCGTTTGCATGTTTTCAAAGCTAATTCTGGTAGTTACTCATGGTAATCCCTATTTGGTGGACGAATGGGTGTTTATTTTCACGGGGGAAATAGCGCACCATTCACGATGCGCGTTTTTTTTCCTGCCTGATACTCCGCTTTCTCCCCTCCAAACCCCAACTTAAGTCTTTCTTATGGAGTTGTGAAATATACCGTGGGGTTTGCGGGGGATGGTGGTGGTTGCGGGAAGGGACACCGCTGTTTCTGTGGGGAGTGGTAGCGCTTCCGTTTTAGGCACAAACAACTAATTAGTTATCTCTGAATTGGGCTTCATGTTCCCATTTGGAATAATGCCATTGCAGCAGTATGTTAACACTCTAGTACTAATGTCGGCTGTCGACTCTGCCCGCAGAAAGGTTCTTTGCTCCTTCGAGAATCTTTGTCTTTAGTGTAGGATCCGCAACAGTCAGTATTACTCTACTTTCAAACGAGCTTCGCTTGTCGCAGTGCTTGGCCCATCTGTTTCAGAAGAGCGAATGCAAATTGCGCGAGTTTAGACATAGATATCAGTGCAGTCCTGGTAACAGCTCGGTTAAAATAGCGAAACTCTACACGAAAGATAATATCCGGACGTTATGATCCACGAGCAAGGGAGTGCCTAGTATAGTAATACGAAACATGGCATGCACGGAACAAGGGTGCCAGACCAGGTTTGCGGTTTCAATCTTAGTAGGTTGGTTTTCTCGGCTCCTTCTACATACATTATATCCTTCTTCGCCGTAATCCTCCGTATTTTATTAGGATTTACTAATCCCCTAAATTACAGATTGATATACCATGCAACACGGCTCATATGCATGTAGACGTGATGGCCCCCAAGGGAATGTACTATCATACCGTGTACACCGTTTAAATGATACAATATCTTCCCTCGGCCAGTCCCGCTCCGCTATTATTACATTTCGCACAGACTTGACGCCGTGAAAGCGAAGAAAGGAGAAAGATGTGAGATGCACGATACAGCTCAATTGCTTATCTTTGTGTTTCATTTCGGTTCATGATCTGATTTAACTTTCGTTGATTTGGCCCCGTTCCCTCCTTTCAATTCTGAAATATTGGGTGAGTAATATTACAGAAGGGAGCTATACGATTCCAGGCGTCAGGGTATTTTGATAGTCGGAAATCCGCTGGGGCTTTCCAAAGAAAGGGAGGGGAGGAAACGTGGGAAGTTCAGGGACTTGTCAATCAACCAGTTCCCGGTCCATGGGTTTAAGCTTTCTTCCAAAAGAGATTGCCTCTAGCTTCCACACTGGGTTATAGTTTATAGTTACTCTCAAAAATGTCGAAAGCCTGGTTTGGAACTCTGAATTGGTTCCTAACGTGAAAAAAAAAAAAAAAAAAAAAAACTCTCGGGAGAAATAGTGCCCGAGTATACTCGACGCATTTTACTCTAACGTTCTCAAAGTTATCGATATACTCTCTCACAACCCCTTGCGACACTCGGGACAGTGACAAAAAAAAACATAATTTCCATTTATCGGTAGACGTAATTCTCGATCTATATTCCAGACACCCCCTTATGCAGGACTAACTGCAAAGATGGAATGATTTGTGCTAAGCTGGGGCGAGTTACGGGACGAGTGAAGCGAATGCTCCATTCGGCCGAGGCTAGACACCACTTTCTGTAGGCTTACAATTGGTTTATGCAACCCAAGGATTGAACCACTAAACTATCGAATGAGATGCGTTTTGGTTTTGGATTTCTATGAAGCGCCTTACTTTGAGGCAGTGCTTCAAAGGTGACGAATGACCACAAAAGTTGAGATGGAGGATGTGTTGACGGCTGAAAATTATATGGAGTAACGATTGAATGAGTTTGGGTTTAGAATTTTCAAAGCTCAGTTTCTTTCCAGTCATGGTACTTACCACTGACTTCCCGTCCACGATAAGAGCTTTCCCCCCCTCGTTAACTCAAACTTCATCACTTTGGTCATAACCTCCCCAAAACAATCAACAAGGCTCGGAAATGTCTCTCGACTGAATTTGGAGCTCGGAGGGTCTAGGTTTGGGTAAGGAGGCACCTCTACCCAAGACTTGAAGACTCTGACTTCCACAATAGTACTATTATCCTCTACTTACACACTACAATAGTTTACGGAGCCCAAATTATACCAATTATATTCGTAGTTATTTCTTGAGGAATCCATATTTAAAGAAAACTGTCTACATATGATCTCGCGAAATTTCTTTAGCTTAGTCAATTCTCATCTTTAACTCTGCATTTCGTTTGTATATTAGTGGGCGAACATTTATCCCTTGGATATGCCATTAATGAGCAATGGTCATAAATCCAATGCCGGAAGTTAAGTTTATGAAGTAGTCCCACTCGGACACCCTGAGACCGAATGCGCATACGCTTGTTCTTATCCTTCATTCTCGAAGGAGCCTCCAAAGAAAAAGGGTGCAAGAATATAAGAAATAAAGCCTAAATTATCTTTTAGAGGTCTAGATATAGAGAGCGGCGGTGTTCATCCCATGGTTAGGGAGTACATGGAAATTAACGATATCATAGTAAAAAGGGAGCAGATAAGCACAAGGTTTGCTAAAAACTGAAGAGATTGGATTCGGTTGGTTGAGATGCATCTGTACAGCCGATGTTTGACAAAAGAACAAGTTCCACCAAACGTGTGTTCAGGAGCAATATAACAGAGCCACTCTAACGAGCCCTCGGCGGAACAGAATGCCGATCGTTGGGCGCTCATGTTAGAATTTGTCTTTCTCTCAATCCCAACGTTAAGCCTTCCCGACCTCCTCCCTTTATCACACAAGGGTTGGTTGGAGGTTATTTCTAAGCCACAGTCAGCTGATGTTGAACTTATATACTCCCCATGGAGCAAATCTAAAAACCCAAACCTAAGAAATCCAAATTAAACGGGAACAAAACCGAGCCGTAGTGTACGTTCATGCAGCCCATACCACCAGCGGTATCGGGATTCGGGAAGCTGCAGTGCGCGCCTTCTGAGCGAGATCTGTCTTGTGTGTACATACACATGTATGAACCCGTTTGTGTCTATAATTGAGGTTGGTGACGCAACCCGCATATTGCGAAAGCCTTGTCTTTGGCGCATATCGAATAGATGTGAACTTGAGTGGAGAAATCATAGACTATCACTCGTTTCTGTGGAATATGACTGCCTTTATCAATGAAGTTACGTAAATGCCGCTTCAGATTCCATGACGCAACGCGTACAATGCTTGCTTTTGACGAGTGTCACTGAAGGTATCAGCGTGCCGCTTTCAATGAGCTAAGTGCATATTCCCCGCAAAATGACCTTGCTGTCTCGGAGCTGCGTAGTAAGCTTAAGTGGCACCCTAAATTCCACTTTGGGTGATGCACACGAGATGGGATTTTGTCCCGGGAAACTCAACACATGAGAAGACCATATGAAGGGCAGACTAATTCAGGGAGATGATTAAGTCGTTTTAGTAGCATTTTCACATGTCCTGGGCTCTGCCGTATGCATGGCTAACGGTCAACATAGAAGTACACTGGTGTCCGTCCTGCACTGGCAAAGATAATCGTGACGGAAAAACCGTTGGGTGGGTGATTTATTTTGAATAATCTTTGGCTTATTCGGATCTCCGGATCTTGGGTCAAGCTGATTACCGAGTTATCAATCAATCAATCAAGACCTGACTGGGCTATAAATGCGAGTGATCGCCCGTGATTCTATATTTATTGTTTTGATTGGTGATTCGATGTTAGGCATAATAGATGGATTTCTCCATACGTCCGATTGAGACGTGGTTAGGCTATGGCGGTCTCAAGTTTTACTGAGTACATATACTTACTCCCACACGCGCATGTAGCCCGAATTAAATACAAGTATCAGCATTATATATGTAGTTCATTTCACCAACCCGCGCATCATCGATCCCCAGTAGGCCTAGCTCTTCGTACGGAGGGCCTGGCCATATCTCTCATCGATTGAGTCAGCTACGTGTTTTCAATACCACAACCGTCGCTGGATCTAGATTTTAAAGGCCAGCTATCTCGATGCCGCCGCCAATCACTACATGTGACTATAAATAATCTTCCCAATCTCTGTCCACAGAGTCCTCTCAACCCGGTACATATATATCTGTACCATATATTATATCATTATATCAACTATGGGAAGGCTGTCCGAGATCTACCAGGGAGTGCGCGAGGACGCAAGTGACTGCTGGGCCTCGCTCTGTGGGTTCCGATTCATCCACCTAGTTGACCGACCCAGGAACTGCGGTGAGAGCCGCCGGAGAAACGGTGTGGATGCGCCGGTAGTGCCTGAGGAAGGGGCTGGCCTTGACGGGCAGGGGCCTGAGTGGCAGCCGCTGGTAACGGTGCAGCCGCAGCCTGAACCGCGGCCGGAGTCGAGTAGCTTATTGCAGGATTTGCGGGTGCAGAAGTAGGTTTTGTCTGGCCCTTAAGGGTAGGTGGTGTTGTATTCGTGAATCGTTGGCTGACTGGTTGTTGGTGGAGTAGTCAACGGGATCGATTGATGAGAGCGAGGATGGGGCGTGGAACTGGGGAAGGTGAGTCGGTTTATCATTCTGCGTGGATAGAGCCGGGTGCGCAGGTGCGGATAGAGTAGGTTGAATCTGATCTGAAACGGGGGGTGGTGTTGTATTCATTGGCTGACTGTTTTTTTTGATGGTGTAGTCAAGGGGAACAACTGGAAAGAGAGAGGAAACATGCGCCTAATGTTCAGGGGTCCTTGGGTACCCGTTTACAAACACAAAGAAGTTCTCCTACTCCACACCGTTTTTATCCCCCAGATCAGAGCCCTGGATCTCGTGTAACTGGCGCCACCCCGCAAGCCAATCGGGTTGATTTTCGAGATCTTGCAACTGATAAAACCCCGGAAACCGGTCAGAGGAACCTTGTGTCTGCTGGAGTCTTCCAGTCTGATGAGGTCAATCTTGTACGTGCTGTAACTGCGAGTAGCGCGGTGGTCCATTTCTCGGGTTCCAAAGAAAAGTTTGAAAAAACACGAAAACATAAAAGAAAGCGGGCTGCGAGTTTGCCTCTAGAAGATACGACGAGATAAGAGTCATTACAAAATTCCTAGAACTACAACTAGGTGTACTACGACTGAATCCATATAAACTACATAAGTTGGGATCGGATTTGTGTTATCTTGAATACATATTGTATGCGTCAACGAGAGGTTTTCTGTAAAATTCAAGTTTACGATTCGGTCAAGTTGAGACTCATTGTGCGTAATCTTTGGCTTTGTAAACTATTAACTGATCCAATACTTGCTGTGGACACAACTTATTCTCTCAGCCACCTCGTTGGTCGTAGATACCAGCCACCACAAAGACCTACAACATCCGAGTGATATACGATGACCTGGACCATTGCGGCATCAACCACCAATAAGTGGTTGCATCTAGCTCTTCTTCTCCTATACAAATTGACCTATGTCGTGAAGATTAGCGGACCTAGCCGTGAGAACCAATTCTCATGCAAATATAGCTGGTTTAGGTTAAGGTTTGGGCGAAGTAGTATATGTGTAGCGATCTGGCCGCTGGTAGTGCTGTCGATTTCTTGCTTGTATTACAGAAGTGGAAGGAGATTTGAGAAGAAGGAAGCCTATAACCGGGCCTAGATAACCACTTTTACGGCCTTGGCCCTTGTACGGGCATTAATCTAGATCTACCGCCGTTGATATGTACGGTGTAGTTTTTCGTGAGTTGATAATTGCGGGTTGTAAGCGCGTCTGCACGCATGGGAATGTTTCTTAGATCTAGATGGACAGGGGGCGAGAATATGTATTAATGACTTAACAAAAAAAAGGGTGAGAATACGTCACGGAGTTCTCGGGCGAGTGATAATGTGTGATTCTGATGGCACGTTGGTTGTGGTGGTGGCTAGCGCTGTATGCGCCACAGTCTACGGGAACTTTATCGTAACTTCAGATGCATTAACCTGAGGAAGTTTCAATTATGGGCGGTGGCGTGTAGAGTATCTACTCTTGGGATCTCGGGGAATATTTACAGGGAGTAGAACGCATATCATTCCAGCCCGGCGCCCTCATCTCATCATCTCATGTCTCGTTATCCGCAATAAAATATAAATAAAAAAGAGAAACTACACTGACTCTACGGCTTAAGCTTAGCTGGGCCACTACTTCGGCACGTCCGCCATCCCATACCACACCACGACCATCATCCCTCCCACGGCCGCGACACAACTAAACACCAACGCCACAATCCCCCTCGCCTCAAAGCCCGCCGGTAGCGGGTCGGGACTCCTATTCTCCCCAGTGAGGTCCAAAAAGTCCACCTTATTCCCCGCCGCATTTCCCTCCGTCGACAGCCCCTGCGCCGTGCAGATATCGAGGTGGTCCTGCGGCACCACCTGCGACTGCAGCTGCGGCGGCGCTTCGACAAATGTTGTGGCAAGACCGGAGACGATGTGCCATTCGAGATGGCAGTGGAAGAACCAGACGCCTGGGTTGTCGGCGCGGAAGCGCAGGACGAGGTTGCCGTTGGGATTGACGAGGACTACGTCGCGGCGCATGGGGATGGCGGGGTTGTCGTGGGTCGCGGTGGGGTCGTAGGCGCCAGCGTCGTCGGGGCTGCGGTAGATTACTTGGAAGTTGTGGCCGTCTTTGGGGGGTTGTTAGTGTTATGTACTAGGCTGGGTAAATGGGGTTTGGGGGGGGGGGGGAATTACGAAGATGGAAGGGATGTTTCCCTGGGTCGAGATTGTTGATTACAATCTCTATCACGTCGTTGTGTCTAAGGATATGCGAGTTTGTGTTATAGCCATATATCACCGGGTTTGTGCTGAGGTTTCCAGAGGATAGGACGGTGTAGAGAGTTGGGACTTTTGGGGCGACGTAGGTGATTCCTGAGAAGAAAGCACTAATTTATAGGTTAATAGGAGAGATATAAATGGAGTTATCGAAGACATACTAGTTTGCTCCATCTCCAAGATTATCCATAACAACATCCAACGTAATGGAAGTCGCCGGGTTCTCCAGCAACGGCTCCTCATCCACCGGCTCCAGCAAGAAATCATCAAACGGATCAAACTCCGAAATCTCCTTCGCGGGCGGATTCTCATTCCTCGAATCGTAGACCAACCACCCCGTCACGTTCGACTGCAGCCCCTCGGGAACCTGGTCAAACAGATCCTACCCGGCAAACCCTCGTCAGCCACCGGCAACCAGCAACTTGGAAATGAGAATTTAGCAGGTAATTCGGCGCACATACCTCGTCCATACTTCCCATAAACGGGAAGTTACTACTCGTGTCGTTCCCCATCGTTACCAACACCGCAACCCTCTGCGCGGCCGTCAGGTACAGCATCTGCGCATCCATCGGCTTCGTGTAGACGCCGTCAACCTCGACAACCTGCATGGTGTGGCCCTCAAACCACACATAGTGCGCCGCAAAGGCACCGATGTTGATCAGGCGGAAGAGGTACGTCTTGCCGGGCTCGACAGAGACGGTTAGGTTCTGTGTTTCGTTGATCAAGGCGGACTGCGGGACGGGTTCGGCGCCGGTGGGGTTGGCAACGGAGAGGAAGCGCTTAATGAGTGATGGCATCTGCTGGTGGTACCAGTCGGAGAAGGTCAGCACGATCTCGGAGTCGTAGAGGTCCTTGTGTGGATCGTCGGGGTCATTGACGATGAAGGCGCCCCGCAGGCCGTCGGGGTATTGGCCCTTCAGATGCGAGTGGTACCAGTATGTGCCTGGCTGGTCGACCTGCGGTTTTGTGGTTTCATCAGCATCATGAAGCCAGCATTTATCTGAAGAGAAAGAAAAAAAGTTGAGAAGGTGAATACCTACAACGAAATCATATACGATGCTCTGTCCTGGCGCAACCGCGCATTGGGTCACTCCCACGGGCCCATCCATGTAACTCGTCCCATTCATGAAAAGACCGTGCCAATGCAGACTTGTTTTCTGGTCTCCCAGGCCATTGTACATATTCACAATCACCCGGTCGCCTTTGTCGACCTCGATGGTAGGAATTGGCCATTTTCCATTGATACCGATGACTTTACGCTCAAATTTGCCGTCGGGGTTTGCGGTGGTCCAGGTTATGTTGAAGTCATAGGTGACGGTTTTCGAGAGTACGCAGGGGAGGAATGCTAATACAGGGAGGAGGAGTGGAAATAACATTTTGGCAGGACAATTACTCTCGGGGGAGAAGGGGAGGGTCAGCTCGCAATGATATGGGGATTAAAGTTAAGATGGCGCGGAAGATTGCATAGAGGGCCTAGCTGAGCTGGCTATATGAAAAAGTAATATTTGGAGTTTCTGTTGTTGGATATAATATAGGGTTGACAACAAGGCACTTGGGGTGGTCAAGAAGCTGCTCGTGTGATGCTGCCCACCTCAATTATTATGCTTTGTGAAAAGTAATTGTGAAAAGCAAACCGGGCAGCGTACATACGAACATGTAGCCACATACCGTTGACAAAAAGCCTCGGGAATAAAGAAGTAAATTTGTTAACCCCCAGCATCATTGAGACTCGCCTTGTAAATCACTAGCTAGTACCAACTCAGCCTACCCACATCCAGCAGAAAGAGAGCGAAAAAAAGAAAACTCGGAACCCATGCGATTTTAGCTAACGGAGTCCCAGAGAATTCAAGTGTTTCACATTACTAGAGTTCCCCTACCTACCCCCCCCCCCCCCCCGTGGCCAGTGTGTAACGGGCAGCGTTCCGCGCGGATTATCTGATGGCTCGATGGTCGTTGGTCTATGGTTATCGAAGATCAGGCCTTGGACCGAAAAAGAAAAATGCAGGGAGCCAAAAAAGAACGCCCCTTGAGCAGTCTCGCTTGCTTGATCCAATCGTAGTGCAGGTTGGTGCTAGTTATCTCGAACAATCAGCAGATAATTGTGGTGTTATCAGATGACACCCAGCCGTTTTGGTACAGTTAACTGATCTAGAGACCCTGGGCCATCCAATGCCGAAAGCCGTGTGGATCCTGCTGGTATCTAATCTATGCGCGATTTCATGGACATCGTAGCTACAGGGTACTAGGTAGGTACCGGTACATGTTGCCCAGAATGTCTTTCCTGGAGAGACTTCTTACCCAGAACACATACCTAGCGACTCGCCTATGTATACCAAGAGTACCAAGAGTACCAAGAGTACCAAGAGAGCTTGATTAGCACCAAGAGAGCTTGATTTTTTCCATCCCTGTAATTCTCAATTATGAAGTATCTAAAATCTCTCTGTGTAACCCGGGTGCAAGGATCACCACTAAAAAAACTCCCACCCCCCCCTCACTGTTGGTGCCTCTAGCTGAGTACGAGACGGTTCTTCCACTCCTGAAACCCCACCACGATCATCTATTGTGATTTCGATTGATAAGATGGTTTGATAATCTCCTGCAATCAGTTCATCAGACAACCGGTCGTTAATGCAATGCATGTTTTAGTTCCCCGCTGCTAACTAGCTGGACACTGCTTTTTTGTGATACCGCTCGGTATTTGGCTTCATGTGGTGGGACATGTGGCAATGGACCGATTTTTTTTTTCCAGGTGGTACCCTTGTAATTTGTTCTTGGTAGAGTCTTACCTACATCCTCCCCGTGATCATGATATACCTACGGGGAACTAAGCCTGGCCGGCTGGATGGATGGTAAATATCTCGTCTCACAATAGGGGGTGATAGGTAAATAGCTAGTGTTACCTGTGCCATTTATTTTCCTTTATTGCTTGCTCCGTTGTCAAAAGTGGTAGATTTTTGACTTTGGTGATCTCGTTCGACCTCTTTGTGGTATTCCTCTTTATAAACTCTTGAAGAGTATTCCCATTGGGATTCAAGCATCGCCAAAATGCCTGACCTCTTTGCTGTTCCAGGTACGTGACCAGTCATGACCCTCAATTCTTTGGTCGTATTTCTCTTATACCCCTTCTTTACCTTCAACGCCCACGGGGGTCTACCTTCCATTGAGAGCCTGTATAAATCCAGAGATTTAAACTTAATTAACAATTTCCAGTATTCTTCGTGATATTCCGAGAAACCATTGAAGCCGGAATAATAATTTCCGTGCTCCTCGCCTTCCTCAAGCAGTCCTTCAACGGCCCCGAACATGATCCGAAGATCTACAAACGCCTCGTATGGCAGGTAATACGCCCTATCCAGAGACTCGCCATCTAACAAGAAGGTTTCTGACGACAATTTCTTTCTAGGTCTGGTTAGGTTCTCTCGCCGGGCTCCTAATCTGTATGATAATCGGTGGAGGCTTCCTGGGTGCCTTTTACACCCTCGGAAAAGACATTTGGGGCACCAGTGAGGATCTCTGGGAAGGAATCTTCTGTCTTATCGCGTCCATTATCATCACCGTATTACTCCTCGTTCATCGGGCGTCTATAAAGATATGAACTAAAACCTTTCAAGATAATGGGTGCTGCCATCCTCCGCCTCTCGAAGCTGCAGGCCAAATGGTCCACAAAGCTCACCGCAACCCTTGGTTCCAAGCCCAAGAACATGGGCGGTTTTACAAAGAAGTACGCCATGGCGATTCTACCCTTCATCACAGTTTTGCGGGAGGGGCTCGAGGCCGTTGTGTTTGTTGGTGGCGTCTCAATCTCTTCGCCGGCCAGCGCATTCCCTCTCCCTGTAATCACAGGACTGATCGCAGGCGGGATAATCGGATGGATTATATATAAGGGTGGAAATACTGTGAAGGTGCAAATGTTCCTCGTGGCGAGTACGGCTGTGCTGTACCTAGTCGCTGCAGGCCTGTTTTCGAGAGCTGTGTGGGACTTTGAGATGTGGCAGTATGGTAGATTGGTGGGTGGGGATGTTGCGGAGACGGGAACGGGTCCTGGGAGCTATGATATTAGGAAAAGCGTGTGGCATGTTAACTGCTGCAGCCCGACTTTTAATCAAGGAGGCGGATGGGGTATTTTTAACGCTAGTAAGTTACCTCCTTCAACCATAATGCAGTCATGTTCTAACAGGGACCATAGTTCTCGGATGGCAGAACTCGGCAACATATGGTTCAGTCCTTGCCTATAACATCTATTGGATTGTAGTGTCAGCTGGATTTGTTGTAATGTGGTTTAAGGAAAAGAAGGGAAGGTACCCGTTTTGCAAACGGTCAGAGAATGTTGGGTCGACTGGGGATTCAGCAGAGATTGTAGAGGTGAGGGCTGATGAAAAGGTGGGAAACAGTCCTATGCAGGTTTGAAGATGTCCATAATTAGTTTTCTCGTAGTAAACCGAATTTTATTATGACTTCTTCTCCCATGAGATACAACTGCTGTGAGCCGTTAAGACGTCTATCATAGCTGCAAAGACCCGCTCTCAGAATACCAATGTCACCGGTACCTCAGCAATTCCTTCTGTAGATTTGAGAGCATTCTCGAAAAGGCTTCTGTGGGTTGAAGTCATGGAACTCAATGGATATTCATAATGACCTAGCTCACCCGTCAACGCTAATTTTTTGTTATCAATATCAATAGCTTGGGTTCAGTTTGCTGATCATATTCCACAAAGATTTATGATTCTCTGATATATAGTGTGGCCTTCTATTTGTGCATATGACCTAGTCCTAGTTTATCGATCCCTGGTTGGCTCTATTCGGCCACAGAATGATCGCCTGCAGCAGCTAGGCATAGCACTACCAGAGAAGGAATGTGGGGAAATTGTTTCTGATAGATTATCTAGATCCCAGATATATTATATATACCCCATATAGGAATGTTCCTGAATGAGGGGCACTCGTAGGTAGAGGAGAACAGTGATATCCTTGACCGAGATTAGAACATGTAGACGTCGACCTGGCGGACCTAATTTAATTTCTAAAGCGAGGAATAGGATGACGCGTAAGCTTCTTTTTCCCCAAAGGCCTTTTCAAAGTTAAGATTCCAAGGGAAGATTATCTTATCAGTTCGGCCATGTTATCTTGAGATGAGACTGTAAGTCATTTAAGCAACTTGAGGAAACACTACACGGTATAATCTTCATGATTCCAGGGGTCTAAAGTTTCGGGCTGTGATCTGCAGCTGCGGAAGCCCGGCAATGCCGATTATCCGTATACATGCGTTGCGACAGATGAGAAGGTCAAAAGGTCACATATCTAACCGATGTCTAGCCTCAAATCAATCAGGAAACGTTTATGGTCATATCGCAATTGATAAGATTTGACATATCCGTGATTTGACATATCCGTAGTCAACAGGGTACGATCACGGGTCATAGTAAATACATGACTTCTGGCGCCTTCCTCACCACCACCACACCTTGCCCGTTGATAATCGCTATCGATGACAATGACAGTGTACCCCCTTCAACATACTTTTTCTCCATCCGTCAGGCTATGTAGCTACCACCACTGTCAGATAGGTCTTCATCCCCTCACATCGATACACCGCCCGCTCCTTCTTGATATGCCAGTACTGCATCACCCTTCTGGTTCCATTCGTAGAATTATATTAACTATACCTCAGTTCAGGATGACCGTAGCTAACCCCTCTTTACAAATTAAACGTCCCGGTTCGAGCAATTACCCAGCATGTGCATGGAAGTGTTATGTGTACGTGTCTGTGGAAAACAATCAATGGTGAACGCTGAAGAATGGACACGAAGAGATATATGGGAAGCATGACAACTGTCTCTATGACTTTCTAAGCTAGAATGTGGAATCCGCCTCTCTTGGTTCTCGGTACTTTTACCCTAGAGGATTAAGAGGGGTACGAGTCACGTTGAGACTGCCCTCTCTATCCTTTTTGGGCCCGGGAGAACCCAAATTTCGTATTAAGAGGGGCCAAGTTGTGTTTAGATTGGCCTCTCTTAGTCCCAGGTGCCAGGATCGAGGGCCAGTTGAGCTGCGCTCAGTTCTGCCCCTCGCAAGCGGATAGGGGACCGTTTCACTCAATATTTGGGCGTTCTCCGACTTCTCTTTTCCTTCGTATCCTCTCTAAACGAGGTGCTGCGAACATGGTACTCAGGAAAGTATCAGTGGCCCCAGAAAGACCACATTGAAGGCCGATATATGGCTCTGCTTCGGGGTGGTTTTAGTTCTGAGGACAAGTTTTAATCATAGGATGTCACTCGTTCTCCAGATCTCGTTCTTTTTTTTTTTTCTCGCCCAACCCATTAATTAGATCTTGTTATCTTCCTTATATACAATCAAGTGGTACTCATCATCCGCCCCAGAGCCTACTATCTAAATAGACCCGTGAGCAAAGATCACTTACTCTCTGAGCACCAACGCGAAGCATTCTTCTATAACCCCTTCTTCCCTATATCTATTATGCCACTTCATCACGGTTATCTCTTGCTTCAATATATCTACATCTCCGCAGCAAAACGGAAATTTCTAAGCAGAAATACAGCAGCCCTCGGGGGGGAATCAAGCATCATCTCCTCTGGCAATGGTCCCTACTGATACCCGATCGAGCGCATTATTCACTATGCTACCGGAACTACTGCTGCTACAGTGGGCACTGGAGCGGGTGGTAAGCCATTAATTGCAGATAAGGGGGATAACAAAACCTGTGAGCTATGTAAGGCCATTCTGTCTCGGCGTCTGCTTTAGGATGGAAGTAGCATCCTTTGATATACGTGCAGTTGTAGGTTTAAGGTGATGTGTAAGTGTATGTAGCTACTATGTACTTAGTAGACATATTGGATTTGATCCCGGTGTGGATACTCGAGATCTTTTATATTTATGGGGGGTTTGCCTCTCGGTGGGCGCTACATGATATTTACTTGGTTAGTTTATTTGGGCACTTTGAGGTTATATACGTTAGCAGAATCGTACCACTACGATGCTAAGTAAGATAGGAATATTCCAATCCACATCCTCTTCACGACCCATCACTCGTTGCCAAGCCACCCCCTACCAACCTGACTGACCCCTGCACACACACCCGCCCCACCAACCCACCAAACCCCACCAAAGCTCACCTCCGAAATCCCACCACCACCAATCCTCACCACCAACCACCGACAAATCCCACAGCTTCACTATAATGACGGCCCTCGCCCCCTCCGCAACCCCCCACCAACTCTCCTTCCCCCTCCCCCACACGCACAACACAACCGTGCACATCCACATGACGCTCACCGCACACTCCCTCCTCCTCTTCCTGACCACGCGCACGCCCGAGACCTCCTCGCAGCCGGCGCCGCTGGGGTCCTTTATCTATGCGATGCCTTCTGTACGTCTCTTTCAGTGACTCTAGCGTTGGGGATACAGCTAACGTGACTGGGGTGGTAGAGAACGTCAGTGCAGCCACTATCCACCGCCATCTACGTGCGCGAGCAGACCCTCGAGACGGCGACACGCATCGGCAAGATCCTCGCGAAGCGGCTGGGGCTGCCGGTGTATGTGGGGAACAGCATGAGCTTTTCTGCGGCCGGGGGTGGCGGTATGGTGGAGGAGGAGATGGAGGGGGTGAGGAAGGTGATCGAGTGTGTTATGGAGGTTGCGGGGAGGGAGAAACAGAAGCAGCAGGAAGGAGAGAAGTAGGCTTGCGGTGGTGGTAATGGTTATAGTGGATGGTTTTTCTTTCTTTTCTTTTCTTTTCTTTTTTTTTGTTTGCTTTTGTGTTTGCTTGCTACGGGAATGACTATATATGTAGGCTAGGCTAAAATACATAATAATGGAAAAAAACGCAATTCGCCCCTCCTCCGCTATTCACATCAACATCATAGTCTGCTCTGCGCCAGGTGCTTTCCGCCATCAATTGGGATGATGGCGCCGTTAACGTGGCTGGCAGCGTTTGAGCAGAGGAACACCACGCAGCCAACAATGTCTTCGGCTTTCCCGAGCCTGCCTGTCGGGTTCTCTTTCCCGAGTCCCTCCACGCCGCCGGACTTTGAGATGAAGCCGTTTGCCATCTTGCTTGGGAAGAAGCCTGGCGCGATGGCATTGCATAGGATGCGGCGGGGGGCGAGCTCGATGGCGAGATGCTTCGTCATATGCTATACACCCACAATCAGCACCGCTTCACTTCAATTGCACACCGGAGGCAGGTAGGTTCAACATACCATAACCGCCGCCTTACTCGCCGCATACCCATACGTCCCATTCACGCCCGTGCCCCCACCACAATCCCCGCCACGCTCCCCACCGTCACCACGCGACTCCTCTCATCGCCGCCCCTCTCCGCCGCCGCCCTCTCCAGCAACGGCACCATCAGCTTCACAAGATTAAACACACTCCTCACATTCAGATCCATGACCTTTGCGAACCCCTCGTCCGGATGGCTCTCCAGCGGCGCGCCCCACGTCGCCCCCGCGTTCGCCACAAGCACGTCCACCTTGCCGCCAGTCGCCTCGTCGACCGCCTTCACGAAGCGCTCCACCTCCGACAGCTTGCTGAGGTCCGCGGGGATGGCGAGAATCCTGGCCGCCGGGTGTAGTGCTTGTAGCTCGCGCACGGCGGTGGCGCACCCGTCGGCTTTGCGCGATGTGATGATGAGCGTGCTGCAGCCGGCGTGGAGCAGGCCTGAGGCGGCGTGCAGGCCGAGGCCGCGGGAGCCGCCGGTCACGACGGCGGTCTTGGAGGTGAGCGTGAATAGGGAGGGGTAGTTTGTGATTTCGGCCATTGTGAGAAGAGGGTATGTATGTAGATGTAGGTGTGTGGGGGAGGAATTGAATATGTGGGGGAGCTGTGGGGTTTTTATATTGCAGCTGCTGGACAGCTTGCGCCTGATTACTGAGCTTGGTTTGTGGGGAAGCTGGCCGAGGGTGTTGCTATGGCAACGAACGGGCTGGGGGGACAGCTGCTGGGGCGTCACTGGCTGTCACTCGGGCGCGTTCTCCACTTCTGATTTGAGGTGCTAAGGGACAGGGCCAATGATCGTAGCTGGTACATAAGGTTCTGTGCCCCTTGTACTACAATTGACGTTAGTTCTGGGCTTGTAGCTGTGTTGGAGGAGACTCGGTAGATCTGAGAAACCTAATAAGGTTCAGAAGGTTTATTGATGCTGCCGAGTGAAACCAGAGTCTATGCCCCGTGTGCGAGTGAGAAGAGGTGATGACGGTCACCATGGCGCTACTAAACATCTCAATGTGGCCCTCTCCGATCGGGCCCGTAAAAACAAATTGATAAAGGCATTGGGGCCTTCTGCCCCTGTAGGATTCTGTACTGCGGCTCAAAAAAAAAAGGCATTGTTACCGCTTCCTGGACTTGGTTTCCTTCCTACCGGGCTTGGGTGCAGGTACCAGCGGAAGCATTACCTGGCTGCAGATGAACCTGGTGCTGCGATACGCATTGTGTAGGTCTTGGCGCCTGACTGCGACGGCGCGCGCCTTTCGGAGCTTTTTCTTCAATGTCGACGCTCCTACTAGGACTGTTGGTAACAGTACATGGGGGGTTTGAGTTTCAAGGAACGTACTGCATGGTGAAATGTATTCCTTATGGAGAAGCAGACACCGGTCCGGTCCGGCTCGATTGTGACTATTTAGGCAGCTAGGCCTAGTATATAGAGACTCCAAGCCAACGGCATAAGCTGTAATATAAGTGCACGACGCGGAGAGCTTTTACGGTTTTTTTGGGGATGGACGGCCCTTCCCTTCCAGGGATTCCCTCCGCTAGCGGAGAGAGGTTCAGCTTCCTTAGATAGAACCCTTTAAAAGACTACACATAGATAGCCTGCCGTAAACAGAGCTCTAACAACATCTGATATTGGCGTTGGCTTGACTGGTTACCTAGGTTCTTGTCTTTCAGCTCTGCGTGTTCCGCCCTCAGGGCAGGTGGAAGCTTAGGAGTATTTTTAAGAGCATCTCCCTCCCCTCGGTTGGTCGGCGCGGTAGACCCTTTATCTTGGAGGAAATCAGGATGGCTTTCTTTGCACCCTCGCGGCAGCCAGAGTGGGAAGGAAGCCATCCATTGACTTTCGCCAGAGCTAAGGATTGGTAGGAACTAAAGGGCATCTTCCTCCTCAAGCTCTCGCTGAAGAAAAAAACCACCCGAAGAAAGCTGTCCCTTAATCCCAAAGGCAAGAACTAGTGAAGGCGAAGCTATGACCTTCCCCACACCCCCGGCCCGCCAGCGGCCAGAGCCCGGAGAAAACCGCCTCGTGACCTCCGTAAGCCCTTGCGATTACCAGAGCTGGAGCTAGGTGAGAATCGAGGAGTAGCTTTCTTCAGACCCTCGCCAACGGCCAGAGTCGAAAGAAAACTACGCCCGATCTCCCGAACGTCCTCTTCAAACTCTAGCCATGTCCAGAGGCGAAGAGAAAACCTCCGACCCCCTAGGCTTTCCAAGCTCTCACGAAAACAAGGGCTTAGTGAAGACCAAGAGATAGTTTTTTTTTCGAACCCTCGCCGTCGGCCAGAGTCCGAAAGAAAACCACCCGCTTTGGCCTCACAAAACCCTTAGTGGAGCCCGATCTACCCAGCGCAAGAGCTTGAGGATAGTTCTCCTCAACCTCTAGCCGTAGCCAGAGAGCGAAAAAAAAAATTATCCCCGAATCCCCCCCAAGCCCCCGCCAAAGGGAGAACTCGGTAAGAACCTTTGGATAGCTTCCTCCAAGCTCGAGCCGTAGCTAAAGCGCAAAGGAAACTGCCCCGAGTCTCTCCAAGCTCTCACAAAGGCGAGGACCTAGTTAAGCCCAAGGGATAGTTTTTTTCCAAACCCTCGCTCACGGCCAGAGTCCGAAAAAAAACTACCCTTGGCCCTCACCAAGCCCTCCTTCGCCCTCTGGTAAAATACCGAGGTGGTTTTCTTTCGACCTCCGCCATTAACTCTCACTAACGGCAAGAGTCCAAAGAAAACCGCCCCACGGTATCCCCAGTGGCGTGAGAGCTTGTGGAGACCTAGGGGATGGTTCTCTTCACGCTCCAGCCGTAGCCAGAGCGCACCGAAAACCTCCCCCGAGTCTCCCCAAGCACCCGCCAAAGCAAGAGCCCAGTAGGAACATAGGGATAGCTTCCCTCAAGCTCCAGCCGTAGCCAGAGCCCGAGAAAACCACCCCGCAGCCCCCTTCGCCCTCCCCCTCCAGGCGCACCGCCGAGAGCCGCCCCCGCAAACCGCCCCCGCCAACAGCGGCCCAGAACTCCCCCCTTCCCCCCACCCCAAGGGCGCAACACGCAACCTCCCTCCACCCACAAGCAGCAACGACAGAAACCCCCCTCCCCCCACCACCAGCCTCTCTGGTCCCAGTTACCACCCCCAACCAGGACCAGACGAAGCAAACGGCGAGAGCATCTGTCGTTGCTCCCCATTGCCACTCCTCCCCCTCCCTCTCTCCCAGACCACCTCCCCCACCACAGCTCTCCCCACCTCCTCCCTCCCCCACCTCACCACCACCTGCCCCTCCACCTCTCTTCCCCCACCATCCCCCCACCTGCCGGTTGGTCACAGCAGCAAGCTCCACTTGTAGGCCGGTACCTAGCCGTTACCCACAAGCCACTTGCCACCCACCACACCACACCACACCACACCGCACCAGGTCTGGGAGAGGGCGTGCTTTTATAGCCAGCCGGATCGTGCCAAGATTGTTTTTTGGCCGCCCGGAGCTTGGCTACTGTTGTTTGTGTTGGGGGGTGTGCGCTGTGGTCTGAACCGGGGGGGGGGGGGATGGAAGTGCAGGAGTATATTACCTTTTCTTTCTTTCCTGTTCTGTGCTTTGGTTGTTTGTGTTCGTTGTGTACTGTATCATACCCATCTCGGTACCCAGCCAAAAACCCAGATCCGAGTGATGGCCTGTGCAGCAGTCTTACCACCCAGATGCGTGGCTCCAACTACCTACGCATACCGCACAGCTACATGTATGTACATCACAGGCAACGAAGCGTTTGTTAAAGCACTACATATACTGCATGTACGCGTAGAGACGACACTGGCTGCCATATACAAGATTACGGGCGCATCACAACTCCTCACTCGCCCCCAAAACCACCACGACAACGACACCACCTCAGAATATAAAAACCAATAAATTGCACACAACGCTACCCTTCTAGAACGCACCACCAACCTAGCTACATGTAACCAACTACCAAGTAAGGGCCAATAGGCCACACAAAAAAAGCAACCCCCTCCCCCCCCTTACGAATATCGATCGGGCCAAGAACGCACTAAAAAGAGAGAAAACGAAAAAAGAAGAAAGCCCGCGCTGATATACCCCCCCAAACTGCCTGTAGTATGTCCTCCATGATAAGTAAAAAGAAGAAAAAGTGGAGAAGGAGGAAGCAAGAGAGAAGATAGTAATATGGCCGAAGGGGAAGGAAGGGGTAAAAAAAAAATGAGAAGAAGCTTGCTAGAAAAAAAAAGGAACCCAGAGCCAATCAATGCACACACCCAAACAAAAAAACTATACGAGATATGATGGTGATTTGACAACAAAACGAGAGATAGAGAGATAGAGAGGGAAGAGAAGAGTCGCCCCGCCCCCCTGATGCAGCTGTTTCTACACGGCGCTGTAGCCACCTCGGCCACCACCTCTTTGCAGTGTGCCGATGACCCTCCGGGACCAGTCCTTGAGGAGGTATGGGACGTCTCTGATTGTGTCGCCGTGCGGGAGGAGGTCCCAGCTGGTTTGCAGTGTCAGTCTTCATTCCTAACGGGGGAAATAAACTGGGAGAGGAAGGGGGATAGGTGATAAATACCCTCGTGCGCCGTACCGGTTGTAGTTCAGCCATGAACCAAAGATGAGATACGCAGCGATACCAAGGAACAGACTACATCCAGTCAGCCAACACCCCAGACAGCCCCAAGCCGAGAAAAAAGATACTCACATGATGATAAACCACGTAAAGAAGCCCCACCCGCTCCCCGAGTCCGGCGATCCATCACCCCCAGTTACGGTCTCACAGGCATACTTTGTCTTCCACTCCAGCCTCAACGTATGCTTCCCCTCCACGCTCTCATAGCTCACATACTTCAAACTGCGGTCCTTCCTCTCCTTATCCCCGTCCTTCTTGTCCTCCTCCGGCGACCTCCTCGCCACGCCCTCCGCCGCCGCCTCCTCCGGCTCCGTCTCGTCCGGCTCGTCGCCCTCGAACCCCGTCCGGTCAGGATCACAGATAAAGTCCACGATCGCCTGCTGCTTCGCGCCCTTGTACAGGCCGCCGTGGAGCACCACGCGCAGCCCCTCCTTGCCCTGGTCCGTCGGGGCCGTCGACGTCTTGAGGCGCTCCACAACCTCGTCCGTGTGCCGGCCATCAATGTCGCCCGCTATGGGGATCACGGCCACTAGCGGTGTCTCGTCGCCCTCCTGGCCTATGCGCTCGATGCCGCACACTGCTCATTTCATACCACATTACACATATATCAGCAAGCACGCCCGCGGAGGGGGAAGGGGAGGGGGGTACGTACCTTGGGTTCCTGCAGGACACTGCTCCTTCGCGGGGATGTGCTTCTCCTTGCCTATCGGCCCACACGGGTTTATCGTCCACGTAATGTTCCTCACCTACCAGCAGCACCACCGTACTTATCAGCATCACACTGCTCCACAACGACGACGACAACAAATCAACATACAAATGGATAGTCGTCCTTCGGGCCCATCGTGATTGAGTGTGCACCCTTGAGCGGGCTAAAGTCGAACTTGACGTTGCCACCTGGGGTGGCCTGGCACGAGAAGCTGGCGGCCACGAGGGACGGCAGCTGCAGCGCGAGGAGCGCCGCGGGTATATGGTACGTGTACCGCATAGCTTGCTGGGTGTTTTTCTTTCTTTCTTCTGGTTTTACTAGGATGGATGTGTGTGTGTGGGGGGGGGTGAGGGACGGTGAGGGACGGTGAGGGACGGTGAGGGACGGTGAGGACTGTGAGGAATGAACAGTGAGGGTGATGGTGATGAATATCGACGGTGGTGGGTGTTGGCAAGTTAGAGCTGCTGGTTCGATGTTGGTGGGTTGGGTTGGGGGTTGATTAGTCAGGGAGGGAGGGGCTTGGCGGTAACGTCACTAGTCAGCGAGGAGCTTAGACGAGTGCGTCATGAGGAAGTGGGGGTGGGGAGTGAGAGTGTGAGTGTGAGCTCTCTCTGGCTTGGGAGTGGATGTGAGTGGATGTGAGTGGGCGAGGGGCGAGGGCCAGCCAGTGGTGAGCTCTCTTCTCCTGAGTGGGGCAATAGGGCTGCGCAAGCGTTTGTGACAGCGACGATCCCCCGTTCTACGCTGTACGGCCGTTGTGCTTCTAGTGGCACTGGCGAGACCGAGTATATTACTAGAACACTCATACTAGTACTGTCACCAAATCTAAATAATAGCTTTCAAGAACTACTGCAGCTAAAGCTATGCCGCCATTTATATTCGGTGGCATGAGTAAATACTAATAAATAGAGAAATTCCCGACTCGACTCAGCTCAGCTATTGTATAGCGTTCTATATATATATAACTCAGCAGCAGCAGCAGCAGCAGTAGTAGTAAGAGTCTGCTAACACAACCAAAGTCCAAACACCGGCCTACTACCTAAATCACCATCTTGAACTGCTTCAAAAACTCATAATCCTCCAAGTTCTTCTCCGCCGTCTCCCGAATCAGGTCCGCCCCCTCCTTCCTATACTTCTGCACCCACCCCTGATACTCCTCCTCCTCCGACTTCTCCTGCTTCTACGCCCCATCAGCACCAATACCCCCAACAGGAAAAGAGGGGGGAAAAAAACAAAAAACAAAGACAAAACTCACCTTCCCCCTCGGCCTCAACCCTACACTCCCAATCGCATCCTCATGAAAGCCCTTCCACTTCTCAAACTTCTCCCCACACCCATCCCCGCCCTCCCCCCACCTCAGCATCCCCACCCTAAAGTCGAACCCCACCGCCTCACAATACCTCCTCATCACCGCCTCGGGCGCATCCAGCAGGTCGTCCGCATCAACCACACACAGCTCCTCCCTACTCACAACCCCCTTCTCCAGCAAGAACTCCAAAAACACCCGCAGCTCGCGGTAGCCCGCCTCGTCGGCACGGAAGTAGTCGAACCCCGTTGCGGCCGAGAGCGGCGGCACGCAGCAGCGGTAGTAGGAGGGGATGGCGCGGCGCGGGTGGCGGATCAGGAATGTGAACTGGTAGCGGCGGAGGATGTGGAGGGGGAGGACGGTGGGGTTGGTGTGGTCTTCGGAGGAGGAGGAGGAGAGGGTGCCGTAGCCTTTGCGGGGGAAGGAGAGGGAGGGGGCGAGTTGGGAGGTGTGGGAGGGGGTGGGCGGGAGGAGGTAGTGGGTTATGTCTTTGATGAAGATGCGCTTGTTTTCCTGGTTGGGGAGGTTTGTTAGTTGTTGGGTCTTCTGGGAAGCTATGAGTACTAATAAGTAGAGGTGGGGATTGGGGTATATGGAACGATAAGCTGACGAAACAGCTCCTCCGTGATATAACAGCTGGATCACGAACCAATAATTCAGGTAGAGGCCACAAGCAAATAACCAACCAAAAGAAAAACAATCAAAAGAAGAAGCAATTAAGAAGGCCACCAAAGACGAAAAGTCAAAAGCCAAAAGCCAATGATCCAACCGCCCACAAACCACAACCGCCCACAAAGCCAATGATCACCCACCTAAAAACAGCAACACAAAAAACAGCAACTACAAAAAGAAAAAAGAAAAAAAAAAGCAGCAACAATAAGAAAAAGCCACAGTCAACCCACCAACTCAGCCCCCTTCCTCGCCTCCTCAATCCCCCGCACCACATCCGCAAACGTCACCTCCGCAAACCCACTCCCCTCCCTCACGCCGCGCATCCCCTCGCCGTCGAACCGCCGCCCAAGCCGCTCAGGCCCGTAGTAGAACGCATCCCCAAACGGCTCGTGCAGGCACACCAGGGCGTCGTCCGACCGCGTCATCATCACCCGCTCAAACGCCGTGGAGCAGGCGCGCGGGTGCGTGGCGAGGAAGATGGGCTTCTGCGTGCCGTAGCTGGGGGTGGTGGTGGTGGAGGATGGCATTTGTTGCTGGGTGTGATTTGTGATTTGGGTTGGGTTGAAGAAAGTAGGTGTAGATATATATGTGTTGTATGAGTATTCAAAAAGTCGTAATTGGCGGATTTAGAACTACAGGCTACATGTGTGGGGCGGGTTTGTGCTCTATTTATACCTGACATCCCACTCGACGGTACTAGTGCTAGAAGTATGGATATGAGGCGGCCGTTACGACTTCCCTTTAGCTCTACAGAGCTATTCAGGATAGGTCTAGCTACACACACTCTACAGTTGCTCCATGGAGCTGCGCTGGGGGGGGTAACTAACAATGAACGACGAGTAGAGATGAGATCATCGATAATATAAATTCTCGCAGGGGGTTTGTGCCGCGTTTTCCCCATGCTGCATATGTACATTATAGCAGCGCGGTGAAAAAAGCTTCGAAAAAGAATACATGTATGTAGAGCACATACCCGAACTTTGCTTTCTCGTATTTTGCAAATGCGATTGGAATTGCTGCTTTAAATACTTGTATGTAGCTAACCGGCCAGTAAGATTGGCGCCGGTAGTAACGTGCAACCCCGACGTTAGCTGTGATCGACAGAGCATGCATAAGGTCCTGCAGGGGTGTGGGTGGGTAGGCGACATGGGTAATCACTCGGATGCGTTCATCGCATTCATTGCATGCAGCACGTGAACGTTCACGTATGTGTAAGCTCGGAAAAATGTGATAAGCCGTGAATACGGCCGAAGCGTAAGTGATTAAAATCTGGGTTCTAGGAAGAAGAAATACAGAGTACCGGTACATACATACGGGCGGAGGTGTGAGTAGAGGCACTTATGCTCATAAGCCGTCTCTTAAGGCGGTCAGAGGCAGCCGGGGTATATAGAAGAGCTCACGATGCTATGGGTACATGTATATACCAACCGCAGGGGCTCACTGAAAATACCATCGATCAGGGACAAGAAGAAAAGAAATAAAAAAACTCCCAACTAATGCTGCCACCGCGCAATACTACATGATTACACTAATAGAAAAGTAACAAAACAAAATCCCAAAGCAAAATATACAGACTCCACTCCCTTTCCCAAATGAAAATGCCTAAACTCCTGTATACTAGACCATTTTTGCAACACAAACAAACAAAACAAGAATGAGAGGGGTTATTTCGCCGTCAAAATAAAATATATCCTCCTGTGGGCCAACTACTATGCACAAAAGAAAGAAAGAGAAAGAAAAGAAGAAGAAGAAGAAAAGGGTATTACAACTAAACTAATATCTCAACTTCCCGACAATCGAGAAGACGTACGACGCCTCCACTTCACCCTTCATCTGTAGAAAAGACAAACACATCAGTATATGATACCAAACAACGAACAACAACCATATGAGTGTACACCCGACGACTTACCTGCATCATATAGACAACACTCTTGGCACCAAGGCCTCCCACATCCCCGGGTACACCCGTGCCATTCTCTTCTCCTTCGGGAACCAGCACGCTCACCGCAATACCCGTTCTCGCAACCCTCTCAAACGATGATTCTCCCAGTACCACGTCCAGCAAGACAACGTTTCCCTTCTTGTTGGTTGCAATAATCCTCTTTTCGTCGCCGGTGGCATTGTGACGCTTATGGCCCGACGGCGGCTTCATGATACTGAGTCTAGAGTTACCAAGGTCCCTCCACTTGGATGCATTCTCGCGGCGGTACAGACGGATTTTGAAGATCTGATCCCCATCGAGCACGACGGTGCGGGAGCCATCGCCGTTAGAGCTAGCAGATGAGATCGATGCCATAGAGCCAAGCTGGGAGCTCTTCAGCATGCCATTCTTCTGAAGGAATCGTCCAAAGACTGAAGAGTTGCTGCTCTCAGATTGGCCCGATTGACCAGATTGACCAGAGATGACACTCCCGGGCACGCTAGAAGTCCCGTTGCGGTAAGTCTTTGACCTACCCCAACTTCCCCAACCTCGCTTGACACTAGTGTTGTCGCCAGTTGAAGTCTCACTCGTCTCGGATACCGTGAGTGTGCTTAACAAAGTCGACGGGGGTTGAAAGTTGGCCGGATAGATTCTGTTAAGATTGATAGCATTGTACAAATTCTCACACTCCGTGGGAGAGCGGCATCGTAGCATAAGACTCGTTCCGCCGAACTTGGAGTTCTTTGGTGTGCGGATTGAGATGTCGACTGCCGTCCCACGTCGCACAGGTGTGACAGGAGTGAGTTCGATATTGAAAATTGTCATGCACGACTCCAAACTAGTATCGGACGGTTTCTTGATGTCTTTAAGGGAACCTTGAGAGTTCGGGGTCCCTGGCGGCGAGGGCGCCGAGTAAGGAATACCCTCAATATGTCCAGGCGTGATAATGATCCTGCACTCGGTCGGATGCACTTTTTCCCATGTACTGGTGGCCCATGAGAACACTGAAGCTCGGAACTTCAAGACCGGGGCTGGCGCCTGCAAGGTAGCAGCAGTTGCCGTTGTCGCGACAGTTGGGGTGCTGTCCAACGACACTGAAGAGGGCCGCTGCCTTGGCAACTGGACGAGACCGGACGGCTGTTTCGAGACACGCCTAGGGATTGAAAGCATAGGCGGAGGATATTCGCCATCCTCTTCCTCGGAACAGATCGATACCGCATCATCAGAATCCTCATCTTCAGAAGAAGAGGACGAGGTCCCAGAGGAACCTTCTTCCTGCGTAGCCAGCTCTCCAGTCTCAGGTTCCACTCTTTCCACTGCATCTACGATAACTATCTTCGCCTCTCCTATCTCTTCTATCTCCTCATCTTCGTCGACTTCGGCTTCAGAGCCCGAAGGAGAAGAGGGGTCGTACTCATGCTTGAGAGGGCTCGATGTCCGGCGCCGCGGGGCACCCGTTCGAGTAGAAGAGAGCGGAGGTTCCGTAACAGGTGTGCGAGATTTCTTGGACTTATGAGCTGGAACTGGCGGGGGAGAGTCTGACTCCTCAGTCTGTTCGCTTGGCGTTTCTGGCCTAGGAGAGAGATCTGGAATGTTTTCCAAAGACGAAGATTTGGTTATCCTCAAAGCCTTTGGACGTTCCTCATCATCGAGATGAATGGAGCGCATCCGATTGAGAGTTCTCGGAGTATCCAAAGCCCTGGGTTCTGGCGGCGGGCTCGGAGATCTAGGGCGTTCATCATGAACTTCCTCAAGACTAGCTACAGATGAACGTCTTGGAGTAATTGGCTTGCTGGCTTTACGAGACCGCTGAATGCTGGAACCAGAAACAGAACGCCTATTCTCATTTTGGGCAGCCTTCGCCGAGTCCGACAAGGTATGTAGGGATGGCGAATGCCTCAGAGGTGATGCAAGTAAAATATGGCTCTCATCAGGCTCTCTATCCGTTCCATCAGCATTAACGTTAACCACCTGGAAAAATCCTCCCAAGAATTTGTAGCCGCCGGGAGTGATAGGTGTCACAGCAAAATCCGGAGGAAGCGAAAGTGGCCGAGGTGGTGCTTCTGCTGGCTTAAACTCGGGAGTGGGCACCCCAAAGGCGTTCTCGGATCTGGGGAGTGAGGATTTGGTGGAGGGTGTAACCGATAACGGCCTGACAGACAACGGCCGAGGTGGCTCAGGGTCCGCAACGTTGTCCTCGGGCTCGGGTTCGTTGACGTCGTCCTTGTCGTTGTCGTTGTCGTTGTCGTCCTTGTCGCTGCCGCTGTCGTCCTTGCCGGCTTCCTCCTCGCCCTCCGGCTCCATAAATGCAAAAACATCAATGGCGGGCTTTCCTTGTTGACTTACGGCAGGTGTGTTCATACGTGAAGCGGAGGCAATGGTTGATTCTTCGATAACCGTTTCAAGGACAGTAGGTTTATGAACCTGGCCCCCAAATGGCCCCTCTGGTGGAACAGGCATGAGACCCAGCATCTGGACCCACTCAAAGCCCGCCGCTGTGGCAGACTGCAAAACAAGAACCTGCTTCCACTCCTCCGGCGTTCCCACGGCCCCTCTAACCATCACAACGATTTCGCCAGCTGCATCACCCGTCCTGGCAGAAATAGCAGCAAGGGGGATAGGTGTAAAGAGCAACCACTTTTCCGCACCAGCACCAAATTCACAGATGAGAATTTCAGCTCCATGTGGTCTGCCCTTCACAGCTGGGTCCCGGAGAATCAATTCAACACTCCTCTGTATCACACGTCCAGAGGAATGATAAAGTTTCATCCAGAAGCTATCACGTGCCCGAACTCGTTTGGATGGATCCAAATAAACGTCGGGTTTGGTCAGTAAGCTGTATATTTCGCATGCCTTTTCAACGTCTATTGAAGCCGCTGCCTCATCTTCAATGCGTGCCTTCTCTTCAGCAATCTTCCGGCGGGCCATGGTGACCAACGAATGAAATGAAGATGCGAGCGAGACCGCAAGTGGAGAAGGGCAAAGCATATTGATTCGCTATACATCGTAAGTTTTGGGTTAGTTATAAATGCCCTTGTAACAGAAAGAGTTTTGTATGTGTTGGGCCCCACATGTTGACCACGATTGGTATGGCCTTGGTAGGATAATATTAGAGAGAATTACCTTAAAAAGCTTGGCCAAAATCTTCAACCTTACAAGAGGTCTCTTCAGTAAGAACGCTACATCAACCTTCTCCTCCTCTTCCTCAAGCTCTGGAGGTGGTGGAGGCGGCATGGCCCAGGTTGAAGGATCACCCTCAAATGGAGAAGGAGTGAGTGGAGCTACCCCGAAGCTGTAAAGCAGCTCCAAGTCCTTCCTTGCAGCATCATCTCTTTGTTTTTGGGAGGCCTCATCGTCGAACTCCTCTTCAACATGGGAAACTAGAGTCACGACTACATCCTGGAATCCCATGCGCCAAACAGTCAAGTACTCCTCATATACCTTCTTTACGTCTCTGGCCCAAATGAGAAGGTCATCTGGGTTCTTCGGCATCTTTTCATGCATGGTTTTAAGGCGTTCAAGGGAGATACCCATGTCCACTATTGGTCTGGTTGGATTTGCTCCAAATGCATTCCAAGGACTATACTCATGGCCGCGACCACGGTTTAAGGATCTCCTCCTTACCACATCATCGGCTCGCTCAAGGACAGTTGCAAAAAGCACAGGAACAACATCTTCAACCAATGTTCGAAGCTCCCTCATATACCTCACCTCTTCTGCTGCAATCTCATCCATGAGGTCAGTGACAGTGAGTGTAGAAACTTTTCTGTTTGCCTTCTTGCCCTTAGTACGATGGCTTCTGGACCGGGCCGCAGATCGGAGGCTTTTGCCAGGCTTTGGCGCCGAAAGGATGGAGATAAGGTCTTCATGTTTGGTGAACTTGCGTTTCAAACTGCCGCCTTTCGAGAGGATACTTGGTGTGTAGGTCTCTTCTTGAGCATCCTTCTCCGGGACAGATTGCACTTCCACATGTCTCTTCTGCTGTGGTTGTGATCGTGGTTGTGGCTGTGGCTGGGGAGGGGGAGAAACAGGATCAAACTTTAGTACGGGAGTTGGCCTTGGCGTGATATTTAAAGGCTTAACTGTAGCCACGGAAGAAAGTGAAATTGTTCTCGCATGTTCAGACCCAACCATGGAAGCCGAATCCTGAGAAACAGAACGAGTAGATTTGATCGACCCTTCGGTGCGCGACCGGTTGTGGCTTTTAGGTCTGGGCGGGGAGGTAGAGTTGCGAAGACTTCTTCGTGGGAAGGGAAGTGATGGAATGTCTTGAAGTTTGAGGCTATTCTTCAGCGATGAAGACCTGGATACAGGTTTCTCTTCGGGTGCTTCCGGCTCTTCTTCCTTCACCTCCGGTTTCTTGTCATCTACCTTTACCTTCTCCTTGACTTCTACCTCCGACTCAGATTCTGTGTCCGACTCGGAGTCCGATTCAGATTCAGTATCTTCCTTCTTTGGCCTGGACACAGATTTCTCCCTAGTTGGCGCTTCTGTCCGACGTTCCATAACATCTGTTATACTCTCACCATCACTCGAAGAATCGCTTGAAGAAGAAGATGGGGAAGATGGTTCATTGGCCCGCGCAGAAGCAGCCTGAAATTCTTCCTTAACGGCTTTAAAGAAGGAGCTAGCTGCTGATGAAACCTTTGGTAGAAGGTTCCCGCTATCGCTTTTTTTCTTTTTCGGAGAAAGATTAAGAGGCTTTACAGCTGGCGGGCTCAATGGCATCGGCGGGAGATTATTGGCAGGAAGTACAGATGATCGTGATGATCTGGAAGATCCATCTGACCGAGCTGTAGAGGGTCTTTCTTCTGCTGTATCCTTGACGGTGGAATTCTCATCTAGTTGAGGTGTGGACCTTACACTTGGTTGTTTCGCCTTCAATGATACGTCTTCTTGAGAGGAAACCGACCTAGATGATATACCAGTTGGTCTATCTGCTTCCGGAGGATGAATCGAACTCTTGCTCTTAGTTTTGGTTCTCTTTGGTCTATTAGGAATGGTAGGGGTTTCGGGGGGGTCTTCGTTTGTAAAGCCCGGAGTTGGGGGCGGGGAATTCTCCTCCTCAGCTGGTTTGGGAGACGGGGTACTCGGTGTTGGCGTAGCGGAAGCACTTCTCGTTTTCTTCTCTTTCCGTGACTCCCACCGCTTCGGAGATTCAAGGGGTGCGGTCGAGTCTCTATGCGATGTTTGTTCGCTCTTATCGTCGAGAGAGCTCCTATCTTTTGAAAGACGTGGGCTGCCTCGTTTTGCCGCCTTCCTGAGAAATTCCATTAATGGGTCTTCGGGGGTTCGAGGCCTTGGAGTTGTTTTTGTACTCTTAAAGGGCGCGGACTCAGGCTCTGATGCAGAATCCTCATCCAATTCGGATCCGGAACCAGCAGGCCTTTGCCTTTCAGCTTCCCTTCTCCTGCGTTTTTCGTTCCTTCGTCTCTGCATCTCTTTTTCCATTTCCCTTTCCCGTTGCCGTTCCATCTCCCGTTGATTTTCCATGTCCCTCACCCGCCTTATCTCACGTTCTCTCTCGCGCTCTAGCTCCTTTTCTTTGGCACGTAAAAGCCCCCTCTCCCTCTCCATTTCTTTCTCTCTTTCGCGCTCCTGTGCCCGTTCTCGCTCTCGCTCTTTCTCCCGTTGCCTTTCCTTCTCCTTCATTTTTTCTTTTTCCCTATCTCGTTCTCTCTCCAGCTCTTTTTCTCTTTCCTTCATCCGCTGCCGTTCACGTTTCCGTTCTGCCTCCATTTCCCGCTCCTTTTCACGCAGTCGTATCTTTTCTTTCTCCCTTTTCAATTTTTCCTTCTCTAGCGCTTTTTCGAGTTCCCGTTGACGTTTTCTTTCCTTCTCAAGTTTGTCCAGCTCGATTTGGTGCAGACGCTCCTTTTCCGCTCTCTCCACCTCCAATTCACGCTCCATTTCAAGCCTTTCGTTTTCACGCTCACGTGAACGGACCTGCTCCAGCTTCTCGAGCTCACGCACACGTTGACGCTCCCTCTCGAGCTTCTCTCTATCTTTTTGGCGTTGTTGGCGTAGACGCTCGCTTTCAATCTCAGAGAGTTCACGTTCCCTCCGCCGCTGTTCCTCTAGCTTTTCCTGTTCCATCTCCGTCTCTGATTCTGCGATGCTTTCTTCGGGGATGCTGGCCTCCCTTTCACTCTTCAGCTTTTCCGATGAGGCGCCCTTCTTTCGGCGTCCCTTCTTCAATGGCTTGACCCGGATGCCGTCATCATCGTTGAATTCTTCCCACTTCTTCTTTGCCGATTCAGTGTCCCCTACAATTGTGGAACCTTCAATGTTGTTATTTGAATCGTCTTTCGAAGAGGTTGCATCTTCGTATTTCTTGGCGCGTTCCAACCTCTCCTCTTTAAGCTTCTCCTCCTTGAGCTTCTCCTCGGCCTCATCTGCCTCTTGCTGTTTGACCAGCCCCTCAAACTCTTTTGTGGCCTTCCTCTCCCGTTTCATCTCCGCCTCGAACTCTTCCTTCCGTGCGCGAACGCTCTTCTCGCCCTTCCGGACCGAATTCTGACGGGTACCTCCCTGGACCCTTGCGAAGACTGGAGTTTTTGGTACGGGGGTCTTGGGCTTGGTGGTGTATATTCGGATGCCATCATCGTGTTCCCAGGCCTTAACCTCTACCTTCACACCGCCGCCCTCTTCCTCGACCTCGGTTTCGGGCTCGACCTTCACGCCTCCGCCGCCGTCATTGTCGGTCTGCACCTCCACTGCCGCTGCTTTGTCCTTCTTCTTCTTCTTCCGACTCCCGGAGCCTCGTCGTTTGACACGTACGGGCGTTATCCTTATGCCGTCGTCGTCATAGACTATGCTTTTGCTGACACCACTGGTAGCCTCTTTTTCCGAGCCAAACATGACCTCCACCTCGTACTCAGTTTGAGCGCCCACGCTTGAGTCCTTATTAAGCCCTCTCTCCCGGTCTCTCCGACGCTTCATTTTTCGTTCCCGCTCCTTACTCCTCGCTCTCCTTCGCTCCGCTTGCTTATCAGCGTCAGAAGCGCTCTCCCACCCCTCTCGCAGCTCCTTCATGATGACATCTGGCGGAACTAGCGGCGAATGATCCGTCTCAGCCGTCGCAGTCGACAAGCCCCTCTTCCTTGCTGCCGGAGGCGACGGTGTCGCCGGCGTGATCGGCGGCATCTCAACAGGGTCCCCATTCACAACGCCCCCCCCGGCAGCCTGCCACTTCCTGACCCGCTCGCGCACATTGACCGTGTCGTGCGGGCCCAGCGCAGGGCCCAGGTCCAGCTTCTTGGCCCGCTCCATCTGCTCCTTCGTCTTCCTGTGGAGCCGGTCGTCGAGGTCGTCGCCGCCATGACCGCCAGCCTTCTTCATGAACTTGAGCCCGAACCCTTTGAAGGGGTGGCTCGACACGTTCGCATGGGGGTTTACCCGCGGTGTTCCTTCCTCCTCGTTGTGGCGGGGGTTCGGGGGTGCCTGCGAGGCTGACGAGCGCGGTGAGGGCGTCTTGCATGGGATGTTGTCGTCTGGGTCGGCGGCGGCTTTTCGGGGGGTTGTGGGCGGGGCTACCATTGTTGGGTAGTGTGGGGATTTCGGTTTACTACTCATTGAGCGGACTAGCTGGTTAACAATGCCTGGGGGGGGGGGGGGGATGAGAAGGGGGGAGGGAGGGGGTAGGGAAGGAGGGAGAGAATAGAAGCTGGGGGGTGTTCAAAAGAGAGCTCGAAAAGAAAGTACCAAGAAAGATTAATAGATTAGTTCGAGACTGTAGGATCGGCTGACTATTTGAGCCCCCGTAACAAGCTCTCCCAGAAACTCAGCAGCCAATGAAACAATTGATAGGCCGATGGTGAATATTGGGTAATGGTGTTGTTATTGTTAGAAAAATACAAGGTCCAATTAGAGCTCTAGAGCCGCACGCACGCACTTGGGTGTCACGATGTAATGAATCGATGGGCCTACAGTGTAGACAAGAACAAAATATTTACCTACTAGCTTCTATGTAGAGCTCTCTTTCTCCTCTTCTATCCTCTCTCTTCCACTATGTCTCTTAATTATCGTGTCCAACCTCTACCACCCCACTCTCACTCGGTCGAATTGGAGCGGGGCCGCGTGTGGTCGCGGGTTGTTGAAGGAGGTTGACGTAACGTAACGCGGGAGATTTAACCCTCGAGGTATATCGCTGCAAGTCTTCAACCTGGGACGCAACTATGTATCTATCTCGTCCCCCCAGGCGTTGTAGGGATGGGGATTTCGGATGTGTTCCTGGCGAATGAATGGTGTTCTTGATATTGAGGCTGGCCCGGAAGCTACCTAGCTAGCTAGCTGGCTGGGTCTGTCTGTTGTAAGAGAGGGTCTCTCCTCCTCTTCCTCCTGCTCTGTTATTTCCAAAACGCAGCGACGTGGCAGCTTGGCAGCTAGGGACCTGGAGAAGGAATACAGATAGAGTAGGATAGGGTAGGATAGGTAGGATAGGGTAGGAAAGACAGCAGGGGATTTGAATTCAAAAACAGAAGATGCCTGACGGAATTGACTGCTCAGAACGGATGGGACACTTTTTTTTTTTTTTTTTTGATTCTCCCCTCAGCTTGACCTTTCTTTTTCGTACGCTTGTCAACGGAATCTTCTTTATTCTCCTACCTATTGTAAATTAGTTATGATTAGAGACCCTTTTTCCTTTCCTTTCTTTCTTTCCCTTCTCTCTCTCTCTGCTCTTGCTTCTCTGTTCCTTCCTTACCGTTGATGCAGGCCCCTTGCTAGTAGGTAGGTAGGTACTCTAGGTATCGAAGGTTCCACGGGCAGACAGCGGACACAGCGGAATCCGGCACTAGATAGATATGTATATGCACGATTTCCCAAGATGCAAAGGAAAAAAAAAAAAAAAAAAACGTGTCGCCGGTAATGTCAGGGGTGGGGGAGGGAGGAGCCGACACCTGTAGGTACGGATGGTGGACGACCAGAGGGACCGATGGATAGGTTAGAGGGAAAGGGAAGCTCTCACTCTTTCCGGCAGGCAGCTGATGTCAACAACAAGCAAGGCCCTGCTCGAGAGTTGTTTTGCGTTTCTCTGATGGATGTGGGCAGCGAGCGGGTTGGGTGGTGGGGGTGGTGGAGAGCGTTTGTTTACTCGCGTCTTACCTCCCTCTGCTACTAACTACAATACCGTACTAGGCACCTTCCCTTCCCAAAGGCCAAAGCAGAACAGCCAGAAAACTGATCCAACTTTTTTTTCTCTCGGTTGCGCTGACAACCGGTCAGAGCTTCAATTCACATTTCTACAGGGTTGAATCGGGCATCGTTCCAGGTGACGAATCACGGGAGTGGGAAAGCCACGATAAGATGGAGGTTGTGAAGAAACTTGGCACCTCATTGCATTCCAGACTGGACCGTGCTGCCCTTTCCACCTGGTTGGTGCGTTCTTTTTTTCGATCAATCAGACAAGCACAGCAAGATGACGCACTTTTGCTCCACTCCTCTTCAATTTGCAGGTGGTGGACCTTAGATTGCACTCCTCCCTTCCCCCCCAGCTACCCGTACCGTGTCGTTTGGGACAGCAGCACTCATTTCAATATGAGGCATGGAATTGGGGGGAGGAGAGGGGCAAATGAGTGAGAGCTGTTGAGACGCGTTGTTGTGAGATCCGACCGGCCAGAGCAGGATCCAGAGCAAATACAACTTCTGGTAGGCCTGAACGTGATGAAGTTTGCAGCCCTCGTGGGCGAAGTGTTGCTACAGCAACACAGTGCAAAGAACTCCACACCCAGGTTTCCGTTTCCCAAACTTTGTGGTACATGAACAACGAGAGGATTTTGCCTGCATGTCATCAAAAAAAAGACACTTGAAAGAGGGGTCAGTTACGGGGAGCACTTATCATGGCTATCTATCTCACGCCCTAGATCAGAGTAGAACATGTAGCTACATGTACACACTCTCTACCTGCAGGATGCTGGGCCCGATGACTATGGATGGTGTTCCACTCTAGTAAGCCGACAAGGTGAGATAAGACAAAGGAGATCAGAAGATACAAGTATGTACGTGGAGGAGAGCTTCTTTATAGTTTCTGTACCAGTGAGCCACGTTTCATAGCCAGTGCTCCAAGTGCCACGGTTTGCATTCCTTCTTCAGCTGCGCATGAAGAGGAATGAATGAACGACGTCCGTGGAAGAAGTAACCTTCACCTGTTGCACCCCCATACCACTCTGAAGTATGTAAATGCTTTATGTGCCTATGTCCCTTAGAGTAGGTAGAGTGTCTGTCCGGCTGCAAGACATGTTGCGGGCGCTGCTGATCCACCTGCGCTGTTGTTCCTGAGTGATCTACACACCCGACTCACATTAGCTTTGCTGCACCGAAACTCTGGGTGGAGGTTAGTTAGTACCTCATATGGCAGACTGAGGATCTCTGCGGTTAATGTGAGCACTTTCAGCTCATTGAGCCTGAATTCTTCCCCACGCACGGATACACGCGAGCTCCATGCGTCGTGAATCTTTGATACATACATGTAGTGCTGTCTGGGAAAGCTTAGGAGGCATGCAGTTAGGAGCACGTGGGTAGGTGTTTACTCTACTCCATACCTGCTGTGTTTCTATGCGATCATAAGAGCGAAGGACCTGAACCCACCTCCGTCTCCTGATATATTCTGTCAGTTCAATTCGTGTAATTATATGGAGATCAGTAAACTACCAGTCTTCTGTTCATTCACCTTTAGATTTCACGCCCTATTCCTCGCATCTAGACCTCAATTATGAAAGAGGAAAGGAGGGTTTTTGGGCGTCAAGAGGGGATAGAAGAATGCATTCATGCATGCACCATCACTCGCAGCTACCACCCATATCTAGCTAATGGCATCGCAATTGAGGGTTCAGGTCTCCTTTCAACCATCAAATATCTCGTTAGGAGGTTATCCTACTTTCATGATCGAGCCTTTTCCGAAAATCAAAATCATTTCTGTTCGCTCTTCTTCTAGATCTGCAGCTGCCAGCTCTCTGGCCGAGTGAGCAGCGATGGCACCATGACCACCACCACACCGGTCTTGGCACACCCATAAATCCCCGAAATCTCCAGAGTCCAAACCACCATTTTTCACCATCACCAAAAATACCACAAACATGTCCCGCCTACTCCCACGCCTTGCAGCACGCACACGTATAACAGCTAGCACCCGGCCCTTCCTCCCGGCCTCTCAATGTCTCCTACACACCTCTTCTCCCGCCTACGCAACGCCCCTCCCAATAACCGCCCACGGGCCGCCACCCAAGCCGCCACTCCCCGCCGGCGAGATCGCCGACCTCCGCCGCCGCCAAAAGCTCGAGCGCGCCGAAAACACTCTTCTGTCGGCGAAAGGCGGCCGTTTCTGGAAGGAGGTGTCTGTCATTGAGTCATCAAATGGTTCGCGACCTTTCTCCCCGTACTGCGGTCTTTCCTACCACAGCAGCGAGTAGCTAACAGCACGGGAACCCATTTCACAGGCGCACTGGGCATCAACCTCGACACCCGCCCCCTCAAGACGCCCACCAAGCAGCCCATCCTCATCCCGCGCACCAAGCCCATCCTTGCCGCCGCAATCGCCCTCGAATGGTCGCTGCTCCGCACCTCCGCCGACGCCCTCAAGTCCTACCTCATACCCTTGACCGGCCTCGCCTCGCGCGCCATCGACCTACAAGCCAGTGAAGCCGAGGGCGCCGCTCCCGCTGCTGGTAGCGTCGCGAAGCGCGACGACATCGTCGAGAACCTCCTGCGGTACCTCGACACCGACACGCTGCTGTGCTTCGCGCCGACGACGCCCCCAGAGGAGGGGCGCAAGTCACTGCGCGAGATGCAGGAGGAGTCCGCGAGGCCGATTACGGCGTTTATGACTACGAATGTATGGCCGGGGGTGAAGCTTGTGCCAGTCGACGGGGATGAGGGGTTGATTGCGGTGGAGGGGCAGCCGCAGGAGACGAGGGATGTGATTAGGAGCTGGATTGAGAGGTTGGGGGTGTGGGACCTGGTGGGGCTGGAGAGGGCCGTGCTGGCGACGAAAAGTTTGTTGATTGCGGCGAGGCTGGTGGCGGAGTGGAGTGAAGAGATGCAGTTCTCGATGGGGAGGGAGAAGGTGTTTGGCGCGGAGGAGGCGGCGGAGGCGGCGAGCGTGGAGGTGAGGTTCCAAACCGGACGGTGGGGCGAGGTGGAGGATACCCATGATGTGGAGAAGGAGGACTTGAAGAGGCAGTTGGGGGCAGCGAGAATGTTAGTGTCGGGGGTGAAGAACCTCACGAGTCCGAGCTTGTAAGTGGTGGAATTGTGTATATATACACAATCGACCACAAATAAGTGGTTTTCGAAGTTATTTTCTGTGTTTGTTTGTCCCTGTGAATACTTGATTAGCCATTAGCTTGAACCATACATGTAGTCAGGTTTAAACCCCAACCCGATAATAGCTGGTGGGTATAAGGTTCGGCTTGTATATAGCTTGCAATTGATTATTGAGATAGGTTTCGTAACTAAATCAAGCCCTGTTAAGCACCATTCCCTTGCCCGGAACTGCGCACAAACAAGAGATACCAATCAATATCGACCTCGTGCCGCGTATGAGAGTCAGACCAGCGTCACGGAATAAATGAAACCCTCTTAATAGGTAGCCTCAGCCCATGATCAACGGCTAAGAAAAATTCCTGTAGCATCGAGACTCGCTGATCAAGGTCTTCCACTGGCACACCCAAATGATATCTCGTGTTTGCCATACTGTCTATAAAGACGCGACCCAGCACCCAAAGACCTGAGGGGATCCTGTAAGCAGTTGCTAGTGTTATCCGTGTTTGGAGTGTGCCTATACTGAGATACATCATGCTCTTGCGTATTTTTTCAGTATATGGGCATTGTGCCGCACGCTAATCTCCACCAAGACGAAGGAAGTGCGGGTGTGTGTTGGATTCTTCCCTGAAAACCGTGGCCGACGGAGAAGGTTGACATTGGTACAGAAGTGAAGCAGTTATCCCAGGTTATACTCAGGTCGAGGTCGAGGTCGACTTAGTGGGAGTTACTGGAGGTATCGAGTGATAGATTATGACTCACCTCCATTTGTTGGTAGATAATTCATTCGTATATACAGCACAGAGTGGCCTAGGCTCCTCCCCAGCCTGTCTGATTTCATCTGGTGGGCGGCTTGCTGCAAGTACGGGATGGGTACGAGACTAAGAATAACCCACTTCCAAGTCATATCACATTACAACCAAAACGGTTTTCTAAATGTAATCTTTTGGACGGTCAGTCGCATTAATCGAAATAGTGCATGACCGGCTCTCAAGATATGATTATGTATGCTTAGCTGAACGCAATTCCTGCTTGGCAGGCCGTCATGGAGCTCTCTAGCGTTTTAGAAGAAACAGTTTCATCCTCTTTTGGCCCCTGTTTAGTTACTTTCAACTCATCCTTTAAATTCCCCTTTTCCATTGTGCCATGCCATTACACCATTGCGCCGACTGCAATTCTGTCTAAGACGTTAATGGGGTGGGTAGATGCAGTCACAGGCTATCACTCGGTACAACGAACACCCCAAAATTAAATGATCGAGATTATTTATTCCTGACCGTCTATAGCTAATGGGTTGATCTATCGATCTCTAAAGATTACATCGTTAATAGGGTATCACACCACAAAGGAAAAGAAAAAAGAAAACGCCTTTAACCCCACTATTACCCAAACAAAAGAATTACTCCACTTCAGTCCAATCCTCTCACATCTACAACATATTTACCATACCCACCACACCTGCCACCGCCAACACCGCGCTCATCCCACCCTTCCACCCTCCCGCTGCTCCCGACGTCACCCCCCTCTCCATCATGATATCCGAACTCTCTCCCGCCGGGCAAAACGTCACCTCAAAGCCCTGTCCCGTCGGCACGGTAAATGTGCTCAGATGGTCATCATACGCATAACTGTATGCATCTGGGCACACTGCCTTCGCCTTGCTGCTGTACAAGCTCGGCTTACACTTTTTCGGGTCATCCCACTTCCCCTTGCAGCAGTCTTCGGGCTTGTTCCATTTCGCGCAGGCACTCAGACACGGGGAGAGCAGCGGGCGCTCAAGGTTGTCATCGGGGTACCAGAACGCCGCACTGTCACGCGGGGACTTTGGAGGCGGGAAGACGAGAAGGTCGAAGGGACACCAGTGTGTGATGGCTTTGTCATCAACGGGGGAGGTCATTACGCCTATTATATCAAGTCAAGTCAGCAAAATGGACTTCCGCTATAGACCGTTATGTATTGGGGGCCGAAAGGGATAAACTTACAAGACGGACTATTCCCCTCGCCGTTCTGATACTGTGGTGTGATCTTCATATCCAGATCATACCCATCCACCAGGCTCACATCGAAATAACTCTGCTCCCCACTCCCACTGATCGTGAATTCTGCCAGCGTCGTCGGTGGTTGCCCTGCGCCCTGGCACTCAAGCTTGTTTCCACAGTCGCCCGTAAGACAGTAGCCAGCGCCGTCGGCGCCAAAAGTGCAGTTTGTGCGGCCCCAGATGCGGCCAACCCAGTCCCAGCCGACGGTCACGGAGCGGTTGGAGGTGGCCGCGAGCTCAAAGCCGGTGGTGGCGGGGCCGGTACCATTGGATGTGAGTAGGCCGGGCCAGATGGTGTAGGGGCAGTTGTTGGTCACGGTGAGGGTGCGGGTGTCGGAGCGTGTCTGTTGCTGCGCAAGGGAGAGGGCGGGGAGGAGGAAGAGGAGGTAGGGAGATATCATGGCTGGTTTTTTATTACTGGTTGTAGATATGGTACTATTCGTTACTGTAAGTGCAATTCCAGATTGCCCTTTAGATATTGATCGTAATAATACTGAATGCTAAACTCTGAAATACTGAAATGCTGAAACTAATGTTCCAAAATCCCCAAACTGCAGGAACGTCTCACCCTATATACTCGTCCCATCCCCAGATCGATCTACAGCCAGAACAGCATTCTTGAAAGCTATCCCCTGTCCCTGTACGTCTTTGTCCCCCAAAAAACCTGTCGACCATTTCGCTGTATTTCAAGATTGGTTGGGTCAGGCTCGTCCCCTAACCCTTAGCCGAAACTCGCTTGATTCCCACTAGCTCGACGTCATCCTAAATTTATCCCAAGCGCGCGCGGTAACGATTGGCGCAAGGGTCCACTCGCTAGCCCTAACCCTCGCTTCCGACTGCTTGGGGCAAGGACTCAAACAGGTTTGCCGCTGCGGGATGGCGAGATCTTGGTTGAGATTGTTTTTGGTGCCTGGCCCGTGAGACCTCAGCTGAAGAGATGTGCCAGAATAGGTGAAACTGGCCCTAAATGGTTGCGTGCTAGTCTGCTGTTTGGCTCTAATTGGACTTATTTGGGATGGCTTCTTTGGGTAAGGTGCGAGCTCTTCTTTGAGATTCACTTAGGGACGCGCTAGTAGGGGATTTGGTAGCTGGGGAATTGGTATTGTATTTGTGGTGGCCATTGGGTTTGATGGTAGATGGGCTCTTTCTCATAGAAAGGGGTCGGCTTCGTACTGTGCTTGGCGGCGTGCTGGGCGCCGTCTGTTGCTGTATGGTACTAAGTTTTGTTTTCATTGATTCAGTGTAATATAACAATACCATGCCGCCCCGAAAGAGCCTTACCATGAGCCAGCCTGTATCAGTGTCCCCTCCCTTTCCCCTAGCTTCCCCTTTGGTTTGCTGCACTTAAAGTAATTTCGGCCAGACCCTTTCCCCTGATGCGCTCACTCGTGTAGTCCCGTAGAATATAAGGGGCCTCGCGCTTGAGGAGCTAGGTGAAGTGAACCGGGTTGAATTGCAGAGTCTTTTGGAAAGTACATGTACATGTAGTTATTGCGCTTTTGTTGCTAGAGAGACCTAGAGTTAGAGTTGACAGACTCTCGACAGACTCTCAGAAGCATAAGTAATAGATCCACACTATTTCAATAGTCCTAACACCCCCTGGCTTGAAATTAAACTCTCCCCATTGGCATGTGCGATTCGCTATAGACGGGACTTGAAAGTTGAAAGTTGACTAAGGACACTAGTGCTCGAGTCCCGAAACAGCAAAGCGCTACTGGAGCTAAGCCTTGGCGCCTAAATGTCATTTCCATTCAGGAACACCCATGGGCGAGGAGAGGAGAGGCTTGTCTGTCTCGTACAAAATACTCAGTGAAATACACTTTTTCCTACTGCAGAACAAATTTATTGTTCTGGACTTGTTGGGAATACTGAGGCCAGTGACTACGTTACGCTATATTTGCGCAATGAAGTGATATTCATGATGCATGCCGAGCTAGCTAGCTAGAAATTTAACCAGGCCACAGTTCAGGCCCAAGAGGAGGGTTGGTACGTATATGGGAAACCAGTTCATTAGAAAAGTACATATGGAGTGGCCGTACTATGTGATGGCTAAACGGTTGTGGCCTTTTCACCGCGAGGCCCAAAGGGTGGTATAATCCGAGTGATTTCCCATGAGGCAACCAGCAACAACTCCCGCCAAACAACGAGTCGAGCCGTGCACCCCATATTTAGCACTTCATCTAATAGTGTTAGTCACGTGAAACAATCAAAGCTTGGTGTCCAAGTATCATTTAGAGCCCATAACACACATGGGCGAGTGGCCAACCGGTTAACACTCGCCTTCCGGATACACCGCGAGGTTGTGCCAAGTTGTACCTGTCGAAGGTCAATGGTTCAATCCAGGGGTGGGGGTAGTAGACATGGCGGCTGCCATCAATGTACCTTTTGTTCTTTTTATCTACACCATACCAGGTGTATCATTTTTTTTACAATACTCACGCTCCTTCATCTTTTTTTTTTCTTTTTTTTTATTGCTGAGGTTTCGTTCGGACTGGCGAAGAAGACGCACCCGTCGGTGTCTTTTGCTCTTTTTATTTACATCATAGACGTAGTACTCGTGGGAGGTGTGGGGATTTTTTCTATTGTAACGCTAAGGAGTACTAAAACCAATTTGCAAATATATGGATAAAACGACTACCGCAGCCTCTGGCAATGCCGCACCACTGCCGCACCACTAACGTATACCTCGTTGAAATATGGAGATAAAGCGGCACATTCTCACTCAGATTTACCCACATTTTTGATACTGTAAATATACACAGGAGTTGGTCGTACCCTCACTTTAACCATAACTACCCCCAGGATTGCGCCTACGACCTGGGTCTAACCAACTCGGCCATCCTGCCTTGGCACTACTGCCTAAGCCTGGCGCCATAACCAACTCGGCCATCCTCCTTGGCATCGGCGGCTCAAAATCTACCAATAAGGTTTTTGTGCTACCGCGATGGACAGGGTTAAAGGACTTCGCATTGAAAGCATTGAAAGCAATTGCTGTTCGAGCAATAGGCCAATTATGTAATTTAAGAGGATTGTTCGCGCGAGTTTAGCTGTCTTGTGTATGGAAATAAATCAAATATCCCAACACCCCCGTGAGCGCCATATATACCCCCAGTATAGTATATACGATACCGTCTTTACTGGACAGGATGAATGGGAATTCACAATAGAAAAAAAAAAATGTCTACTCGCCACTTCCCGTCGACCTGATGGAAGGTTGGCTCTTCGTTATATTTTGTTATGGTGGGTTGAACCTTTTTGGATTAGATTTAAATCTGATCATCTCCGGATACTTTCTGAATAGTACACACTTGATTTATCAGCAAGTATGTGCCTCCCAGGGCGGCATGCGCAAGAGGGACGAATAGAGAGATAAAGCCACTCCTGATCTAGTTGACTTACTCTAGTTCGATAAAGAATGAGGTTGTATTGTTGTTGGGTCTGAAAGGCCAAGAAAAGTGATGGACTTCAGATATGAACTTTCAGGCGCTGAAGTTTCTCTCCTATCCTGGGCGTACTGATGTGGTGACTGCTTGGCCGTCACTGTTGAGAACTTGGAGCGGATCCGTGCAGCATCTTTCTCTTCTGCTATATACAGTCAACTCTTCTACCGTATAAGCTGGCGAAAGCCGAAAAACCTCCAGGAATGAAAATAGGCCAAAACTTGCGGGACTTGGTCGGTGTTAAGCTTTGGTTTATTCGCACCGTTTTTATAAAGAGTTAAGGCTTATTCGTGTGCTAGCGGTTTTTCGGATTTCCCGAGTGAGATTGCGGAATCAGTATCGATGAGCTTAGACTCTCGGAGGTGGCAATGCGGATGCAGGCATGTATTTTATTGACTGTTGATGTAGTTTGGACCTAAGAGGGTAAATAAGACCCGTGGTGGAATATAAAGTTCCCCAGGAAGGAGAGTCTGTCGAGTCTGGCGCCATGGCGACTTTATTCTTAGGCTTTGCGTCCTTAAACAAAATGTCGTACATGCACCCGGAAATAATAATTTGTCATATAAAAAGACCACAGACAAGGGTGCGTGCTGGGGAATTTAAACAACGTACGGTCTGTGGCACCACACAAACCACACTGGCGCCAACGCTCGCTACTGGGGACAACGACATCCGATCCGTGGTTCAGCCTATGGTGGTGCGATCTTTTGATCGTAAATCATCTGGATAACCAGGTATGCTGATCATGAGACGGTTGAAGTGGCAGAATCGTGGATGCATGAAGTCCTGCTTGTGTTACCAACTGAACTGACTCAACAAGGCCTACTACTCCTTCAAACCTCATCGCGACTGTCTATTGGGACAGGAGTTTGAACCACCCGCATTAGCTATTTGAAATCTCTATAGCTGTCATCGAGACCAACCGCTTTATTAGGGGCTATTTAGTTATTTGGAATAACATGGTGCATGCGGTTTCTCGCTTCCAAGGTTTGAGAGTGGTGCTCGATCGATATGCTTGTTGTAAGTTTCATCAGATCATGTTAAGGCATAGCTAGTTGAGTGATCTGTATAAGGCAGGAGAGAGGCAAAAGACAAACATCTTTGGAACCTTACTTCTTCTGTATTGCCGTTTTCATGTATTTAACTCCAGTAACGTATAATGTAGTAATGTATATGTCTTCATCCCACAATAGGCATAAGTAGAGCGTCGTAGACGAGAAATCAGTAGGTGGAGTGGTCGTGTTCTGGAAACGATTCGGTTGCTTAGCGATTTTCCTCCCAACTTAGGAGGGTTTGCAGTATGCCTCAGATGTGAGAAGACCACACTTAACACCAAGCTTCTTCGTATCCTGGTTTCGAATCCCGATCTCTAACAGCGGCCCAGGGGCGGCTTCTAACGAAGCGAAAGATATGCTTAAATGTAATAGATTCCCATAAGGCTGATGCGGAGAAATGGTAGTAAAGCCTTCAAAACAGGAAGGCGTGAAGAAAGGAACTGGCGCCAATCACGGGCTTGGCGTTTTATCCCAGTTTGACTTGGCGTAGCGAGTGCTGACCTGTGATACAGCCACCAATGCAGTAGTATGATACTGCTGTTGAGCTTAATTCCTGAGTGCTGGAGTTTGAGATGGTCCATGCGTGAATGTCAAGCATCAGTTGCTTGTTGAGTACGGGTCAGGTTATAGACCCACAGGTAGTTCCATCGGAAACTTAGATAAATACCATTCCTTCCCTCTATGTTTTTTCCTCATTCAACTACTTCAATCACAAAAACTTTAACTCATAATCTACCTTCCTTGATTTCTTCTTTCTTTCGTCTAGGGCGACTAATTCTTTCTTTACTTAATCTATTGTCGCGGTCAGGCACAGCGTCACTTACATTCACTCTCATACTCCTCAATTGAACTCTCGACCAGAAAGGTCTTTATACTCACGCACTATCACGATGCATTTTCTCAATCTTTCCATGATATTTGCCATCCTTCTTGTCATATCTGTACAAGCTGGTAAGTAATACCTCTTTCGGTATGCGTTTATGATCTAGACCTGAATTAATATTTCTCAGCACCTACATCACCTTCCTCCCTCGCTAAACGCGAAGATACAATCGACGTGCTCAACTCCCAACTTGCCACTAAGAAACAAGAAGAAGACTCCCGCCGGCTAGAACAAGAGAAACAACTTGAAGTAATCCTAATTCAGATCCGGATCGAACAAGACCCCGGTAAAAAAGACGAAGAACAGAAGAAGTATGATGAAATGAAGAAAAATGCGGATGAAGAGGCAAAGAGACTCCAGGATGAGATCGATGCCTTGGAGGAGCAGATTAAAAAGCTACAAGATCAGCAGAATAATGACGATAAAAAGAAGGATGATAAGAAGAAAGACGACAAAAAGAAGAATGATGATAGAAGGCGGAGAAAGGTGGAAGCCAACTTAAGGAGGGCTAAGGAGCAAAGGGATAAAGACAGGAAGAATAATAACAAGGTTTTTGCCTCTATACTCTTCATTTCTTGGGGTGCATGAATTGACTTTATGTTTGACAGAAAATTATCGTTATTGTAGTGCAAATAGTTGTCGTCATCGATCGCGATGGGAGATCCGCACCGCCACGCTACGAGACTATCGCCAAAGTGGATTATGAAAAAGCCAGTGCTTCCGAGACTGAGACACAGTGGAGTATGTTACCTCAGAATTCGGGAATTTTTGATATGATGCTGATTTATTTACAGTTACCGATCCAACTGTCGAATACATCACAAAAGACACCCCTGATGCAGTGTCCACTGACGCTCCCGCGGAGACCACGGCTGAAGAGGACGTTCCTACTGAGACTATCCTGGATGACACTCCTAGTGAGACCGCCGCCGAAGAAACTCCGGCTGAAACGGCGGTCGGAGTTCCTGCCGAGACCACAGCAGCTGAAATTCCAACAGAAACCGGTGTCGTTGAACAACCCGCGGAAACACCCGCAGCAGAGGTTCCCGCTGAAACTACCGCTGCCGCGGTCGAGACCCCAATCACTTCTCTGGCTTATAACCCATTTATACCCGCGAGATATAGAGGCCGTAGAGCCATCTAGTTTAATCATTAGTTCAGAGTTCTTCTAATTCATTAATAGCCCCTTTTCTTTTTATGGTCGAAGCTTGTTGGCAGTATTCTATCATATTTTCATTTCTTGGTCTAAATCTTGAGGATTATCCAAGGGTTATAATGATACTGTGTATTTTATGAATGATTTCGGGGAGCAGAGAATAAATACCGACATCCAATTATATAGCATTGATATTCTGCGCCCAGTGCCATAGTTTTAAAACTAGTTTAATGCAGTCAAAGAGTACCTCCCTTGATCAAGTAAAGGGAATAGGCTCCTTCCCCCCTCACGTCGTTCTTTCAACTCGAACATCGGTTCCTGCATCACCCGAAACCTCGTCAATACAAGATGCACAGCCAACATACCAAGGCATTCCAAGCTCCGAAGCAAGGAATGGAGACGTTCCAGAGATGAAATATCCGATGAGAGGTTGGCAGGGAGGAAGAAGTTTAACAGGCCGATGCCGAGATCAGGTTAGAGAGACGTTATCAAAGTCTTGGTGGAAGTGAAATTAAGGTTACACCCAATCTACGGCTATTGAAGTCTCACAAGATGTTCCGTTCCGGTCTTAACAAACATGCCAGATATATTAGTATTAGTAAGTGATCGGTTCCTGAGTTACACTGCCACAACCAAGCTGAAAGGATCCTCTTGAGCGTCCGTGCTGTTGAAATTGATTACGCGTCAACTTTTCATGTCGCGCGGTTGATTGTCTCAGAGGCAATCAGAATCTTGGTTGATGCAAAAATCTTAGACATGTAGAAACAAGAAATATAGACGCTGGGACCTATTGTCGGTATCAGTGCTACGGGGAGGGGGTTGGGTGGGGTATCTCAACACTGGTACTCTACGCTCCCTCTATTGATAGAGAAATGGTTCTCTACTAGTACGTATGTAAATACTCCATTTGGAAGGGTGACAGCAAGACCGCTGCGATATTTGAATTTTAGTCGCAAGGGTCCATCGAGATCTACAATCTGGATGCGACCGTAAATAGTAGGGATCAGCTGGTGCGACCGCCAACCTTCAGGATTGATTCCCTAAACTTTTAATAACACCTCAAAGCCGCAGCAGCTGCTGCTGTAAAGAATCGAACAAAAGGTTATTCTCTCTCATAATCCCCCTTATTGGTCAAGTTCCTGTCAGCTTCGTCACCGGTTTCTTGGTTCTTAAATACTTGCTACTCACATACACCTCTCTCTGTGCCCCTCCACTACCGTCATTCTCATCTTCCGGTGTCCATCTGACCTGCACTGCACCACCACCACCACCACCTAGACATCGAACTCCACGATCTTGAATAACGATTAACTTGGCGTATAGTCCAAGCACGTGAAAAGCAATCAATCCCCCATCCTGGTGTCCTAAAATAAAACCTCTTGTCGCCGCATCTTCCCTCCTCAACCTCCCCCCATCATACATACATACATACATACCATCATCATCGTCATCATAACCCGCTACTGAACCCCGCTTCACCGAGCTTGAACGCTCGCCATTCTCTGAATCTTCCACCGGGAACGCCGCACATCCCAAATTAGTTAACTTTTTTCACTTTCACCTCCCTCGCTCGTCTACCCGCAATGTCCGAGGGGAGCAGCCGTAATGATGGAGGGTAAGTCTTTCCTTCATAACTTACACCGTGATCCTTCCATCATTCTTCCCCCATCTTCGTCCCGTTCACTCGAGCCTCCATTATTCATTCATTCACTCCTTTGTTCTTTTTGATCACTTTATCAAGCTTTCAGGTTTAGCTTACTTATGAAATTTCCATCCAGGCATCGTAGGACCCGCTCCGCAATGGTTTCCTCACTCCTACACTCATCCTCCAGCAACTCACCCTCCAAATCACATTCCCGCAACGCGTCTGCCGCTGTAACCCCAAACTCATCAACTCAGTACCTAACACCTGCGAACTCCTCGACCGCTTCAGTGCCGAAACGAAGCATCTCACTTCGATCACCATCATCTAAGCCAATCACGGAAGAACCACCACCTTTGCCCTCGACTGCAAACACCTCTGCGACATCGCTGATCGGCGGCTCGGGAGTATTAGTCGGAAATGCGAAAAGCGTTGAGGATACTGTTCGCACGTTCCGACTTTATGAAGCGTTGAGGAATGGAGACACTATGGCTATTTCGAAGACCATCAGGGAGGGTTCAGTGGATGATGCAATCAGGAGCTCTATACTACAGTTGGCTGTGCAGTGTGCCGAAGTTGAGGTGATAGAGTATATCCTGTCGACCACCACGACCGACGCGGCTACCCCGTCCGGATTGCCATACTTGGATATCAACCATCGGGATCCAACGACAGGTAATACGCCGCTACATACGGCGGCGAAGCTTGGAAGGGCAGAGGTCGTATCGCTATTATTGAAGCAAGCAGAGATTAATGACAGTATTCACAACTATAATAATCGAACGCCATTGGAGATCTCAAGGACCCCGGCGGTATTTCAGATGCTACAGCTGGCGCGAAGTATGTTTCTAGAGGAAACAATCGAGAAGTTGACCCGACTCGTAGCAGAGCAGGACTACGAACGGATCGAAAAACTTCTGGAAATTCCAAGGGTGAAAGGGCTATTAGACCTCAATACCCTCGAACCACCTACTAATGGCGGTGGATCGACACTACTACATGATGCTGCCAGGAGGCGGGATACAAGATTAATCGAGATCCTCCTGCTGCACGGCGCGGATCCGTTTAGGAGAGATAACAAGGGAAAATTGCCGCAGGACGTAACAAAGGATGACAAAACGAAGAACATGCTCAAGAAGAGCCCTGCTGCGCAAGCCGCTGCTCGGGGAATAGAGGAGAGGGCTGTTCTTGGGAGTGCCGCAGAAGTCGCTGCTACTGGTTTGGCTACTGCGGGGGAAACCTTTGCGACTGGCATCGCTGGGAAGGAAGGAAGGGAAATGAAGGGGTACCTGAAGAAATGGACAAATTATACCAGCGGATACAAGCTCCGGTGGTTTGTGCTTGAAGATGGGGTATTGAGTTATTACAAACATCAGGGTAAGTGTCCCCATGTCCTTCCCCCCCAAAAAAATGTTTGCTTAATATTTACATCTACAGACGATATTGGTTCCGCTTGCCGAGGTGCAATTAATATGAGGATTGCCAAACTTCACATGGATGCACAAGACAAACAGAATTTTGAGATCCATGGCAAAGGATCCGTCAAATATCACCTTAAAGCAAATCACGTGGTCGAGGCCAAACGCTGGTACTGGACCCTGAACAATGCCATACAATGGGCCAAAGACGAGGCGAGAGAAGAGGAGCGCCGGAAAGCCGGCGAGGCCGAGCGGATGGGACGGATGCGAGAGCAGCAACGTCATGAGGACAACGACACAGCATCTAGTCGCCGCGGCAGCGTTGGGGGATCTTCGGGAGATAATAGAAAAACAAGCCTCCGTACCGGTAGCAGCTTTGTTGCTCCAACGGAGGGTGAGGAAAGTGACTTTTTTGAGCAGAGCACAGGCGGCCCGTCAAGAAATCGTCAATCCAGCCGCAGCCGCAGCGGTGCCTCTGGGGATGAGCGGGAAGGCGACGTGGATGATGATGACAATAGCTCTAACGGACACCATGAACCGCCAACCAGTGATGCTCTATCTCTATTAGGAAATTCCGCAAGGTTGCAGTTGGATCTTCTTAGCCAAGTTGTACTTGCTGTTCAGTTCGAACATGCGAAGAACCCCGACCTCACGCTCAGTGATCCTCTGGTTACTGGAGCTCTGAGTAGTTATGAAAGTGCTGTCACCAGTCTTAAAACACTTGTTGAGGAACTTCTCTCAATGAGCAAGGAACGCGACTCCTACTGGCGGTATCGCATTGAGAAGGAGATCAGTCTTCGAAAAATATGGGAGGAGAATATGGCTGTCTTGGCACGTGAGCAAGAAACTCTCGAGAGCAAAGCAGCTGGTGAGCGCGAAAAGAAGAAGAAGGCCAAACGTGCGCTAAAGGAGGTTCTCCGAGGAACTAGTGGTAGCGCTCCGTTGAGCCCTAGACTGGATCACAGCACCTCGGAGAACCTTGATGGACAACTGAATAGTGTCGAACTTGCCAGGGTTGGTTCGGTGTTGAAGAGCCCGGTGCTTGTAGCGGACAGTGACAGTGACTCCGACGATGAGGATACTGACCAATTCTTTGACGCAATTGACAGCGGTGAGGTGGAGGTTGTTTCAGAGATGCCAATTAGTGTCATGAGCCTTAAGAGCCCAGGACTTTCAGAGAGGAATATGGCTCTTGGCGAAGGGCCCGAAGGGGACGTTACAGAGACGGAAGGAGCATTGGTGTTGAGACACAAGAAGTTGGTTGCTGTCAAGACAAGTTTTAAGGGTTATGAGGATCCGCCAAGAGCAAAGTTGAGCATGGATGCAGACGATAGGCCGAAAATTTCGCTTTGGGTAAGACCACGAGTGATATCCTATGAGTGAGAAAATACTGACAGTAAGCAGGGTATTCTGAAATCCATGATTGGAAAGGATATGACAAAGATGACACTTCCAGTCTCCTTCAATGAACCTACATCGCTACTTCAGCGTGTAGCGGAGGATATGGAATATACCGATCTTCTTGACCTGGCTGCTGATCGCTCCGACTCTACCGAAAGAATGGTTTATGTTGCCGCCTTTGCTGCTTCCGAGTACTCGTCAACCATTGATCGTGTCGCAAAGCCTTTCAACCCTCTTCTTGGTGAGACTTATGAATACGTCCGCCCTGACAAGAACTACCGCTTCATGATCGAGCAAGTCTCCCACCATCCTCCTATCGGTGCGGCATGGGCTGAGGCCGAGAAATGGGATTATTGGGGTGAATCGGCCGTTCGAAGTAAATTCTACGGAAAGAGCTTTGACATCAACCCGCTCGGTACATGGTTCCTTCGTCTCCGAACTCCTGACGGAGGAGAGGAATTGTACACGTGGAAAAAGGTCACAACGTCCGTTATTGGTATCATCACAGGTTCCCCAACAGTCGACAACTACGGTCTTATGGAGATCAAAAACTGGACCACCGGAGAAAGCTGTCAGCTCGACTTCAAGGCACGAGGTTGGCGTGTATCAACCGCATATGAGGTTAAGGGACGGGTTTTCAACGCCGATGCAATTCAAGTGTGGAGCATTGGTGGCCGATGGAATGATAAAATCTACGCCCGCCTCTCTCCAGGCCAGGATCTTGCGGTGGCCCCACCTCCTGCTAACGGCGGCGGTGGCTCAAACCCTGCTTTCCTGGTCTGGGAGAACCACCCACGCCCACCAGCACCTTTCAATCTCACCCCGTTCAGCATAACCCTTAACGCAATCCCTGATAATCTCAAGCCTGTACTCTGCCCTACTGATACACGTCTCCGACCCGACCAGAGAGCGATGGAAGAAGGAGAATATGACTTTGCGGCTACAGAGAAGAACAGGTTGGAGGAGAAGCAGCGAGCGAAGAGGAGAGACCGGGAGCAGAGTGGCGAGGAGTGGAAGCCAAGATGGTTCGAGAAGGCGGTTTGTGAAGTCACTGGCGAGGAGTACTGGAAGGCGAAGGGCGATTACTGGGGCATGAGGCACAGTGGTGAATGGAAGGACGTAGACGATATTTTCTAAGTGTACTTATTGAGCCAGGTTGGCTTTTTCTTTCTTTTCTTTTTCTCTCTCCTTCTTTGGTGTCTTTTTTTTTCTCTTCCCTTCGTAGAGGATGTTTGGTAGAAATTTGAAGCGCCTCCTTCTCGCTTAGTGCGAATTGTGAGCGTATGAATTAGTTAGTGTTGAGAGTGAGTGATATTCTGAATAGTAGGGTCTTTCTCGGCGGGGTCAGGGGGTTTTTCTAGAAACTGGTTGGTTTTTACCTTGAGAATAGCTCAATGGGTCAGGAAACAATTTAACAAAATGTATGAGTATTTTACAACTTACTTGTACTCACTCAGTATTACATGTATCTCTATACCTAGTGATGGTACCGTGATAGCGAAGCTACAGCCCTGAAACATAAATCCGGAGTATTTCCTTAAAAGCGACGAGTGATATTTCATGACTAGGATCTTGTTTATCCATTTATAAGCGATAATACTCTAATATTGCCACTGAAGTCTAATCACTACATGTATCTATAAAAACTAGCTCAACCACTACGTGAACTCTCCTCATGCTTTCTGACATAGTGGTACTCTAACAATATCAAAGGGTAGATGAGGATTTGGCAAGTTCCCTTGGAAATTTGTAACCAGTAAATCATCCCCATCAAACGCCGCAGTCGCAGGCCCATACAGCAAATCACTCGTGAGAGTCCCCACTGGTGTCGCCTCAAGGTACGGATACACGATCTCTATAACATCGATAAAGAGCCCAATGTCCCAGTCGGAGTTAACGGAGTAGAGAGTCTTGCCCCGGAGGAGTAGACCATCAACTTTACCAACCTACTCATTCAATTTTGTTAGCAGAAATTACCACATATCATGTGTATGGGTCGGGGGATATATACCGTCTTTCCACCCAAGTCAATAGGAGAAATTTCCTTGCTATCATCCAAAGAGATACGGTAGATAGCCCTGCCTTCCCAGCTTCCCAGTATCACAAATTCCTGGTCCTTTGTCACCACGAGCCCATTTCCGATATGGACACCGTCGCCTGCGTTTGTGTAAGGGATCACTGAATCAAGCCTTGTGTAGACTTTCAGTTCCTGCTCTGTCTCTTCCGCAGCGAGTTGATCCGGGGTGATGTAGAGCAAGTAAGGGCGGTATGAATCAGAGATATATACAGTCCCATCGTCCGCGATCGTCAGGTCGTTCAAAAATCCCCCGCTGTAGGTTACAGTGAATGTATACAGAAGATCGCGCGTATTAACATCATAAACAAAGACGGAACCACTAGCGCAGCCGGCGGCATAAAGGCGGTCTTGATCATCGATTTTGATCCCGGCGAGACAGGTGCTAGGGGTGTTTGGAATGAAAACTTCTATTTCCGGAGTGTAGATATCGCCACGATAGAGTGAACCTGTGGTGACGGACCCGGAATAGAAGTAAGGAGAGTTGGGCTGGCGGCCTACACCTTCGGGGCGGGTGTTGTTTCCAGGAAGAGTGTACGAGGTGATTTCAGGAGGAGGATGGGGGGCTGCGAGAGTCGCAATCGGGGAGAGAGCGAGGAGGAAGGATATTAAGTTAGTTGAGAACATTTTGTGTTTGCTTAGTGCGCTGATTGCTGCTGTTCTTCTTGCTGATGATGGTGCTTATTTCTAGTGATCCTTCAAGGCCTATTATATACCACGATATCGGACTTATTCCACCATAAATACGAATATACTGATTTTTGAAGCCGAAATATCATCGCAACTTACCAATCGACATATGCGACAGCTCCTTCAAATATACGGGTGATCTACCAGCTAAGCCTTGTTTGTCGTGGGGGCTTAAAAGCTTAAGTTGGTTAATCGATCATTTACCCCTGTCAGGCTATTACTAATTTGGATTTTTGCTTAAAAATCAACTCAACTTGATACCTCGCCGACTAGTATCCCCGTCATATATATAGCATGAGAAGATTGGATTTGGTCCAAAGTAGATAGATTGGGTATCACGCCATGGATGCTTCTAAGTACGATATTGTACCTAAAAAAATCCAATCCAAAGACTGCAAGATTGCAAGCAGCAGGCAATGGATGTAGTACGGCTAATGACTAGTACTTTGTGTTGAAGATCAAAGTGCTTAATCAGTATAACAGGAGAGGGAAACTTTCGCCCGAGCTAGTAATCAAGCTATGGCATCATTTCTTTGAGTTTCTTTGCCCTTTACAAGCCTTCGTACCTGTTCACAATAACCAGGATCCCAACTACTTCGTACGTATGAGTTTCTGTAGAAACATGACTCTTTTTTTATGGGTACTATAACATCAGTAGTTTACTAAGGCCTAGGGCCTCTTATCATTTATTTGACCTGATCAGTCTCCTATTGCCTGAATCTTCTGTTGCTTGTTGGCCTATAAAAGATTGCTAATATATTGATAGCTTAAGGGATATTAGGATCAAGGAGTCAGGTGATCGAGTGACTTCATGTGAATTTCACATTGTGAAAGACACTTCACCATGCGTCAGGAGCTTATATGGTCCAGCAGGGTACGATTAAATATATATCCTAATTAGCAATCAAAATATCGGTCGCACACTCAACACCGCAGAGTGTATCATGTGTATGGGAACTCTCTGATACTGTGAAGGACACCCTAGAAAACAGTACAAAAGACTTTGTAGAGATTATATGGAACAGTCACATCACTACAACAAGAACCCTTCGGTGGAATCATCCGCCTCTCGATAACCTTATCTTTCCCTCTACGAAGTCGAAGAATTCGAACGCTGAAAGTATATGCCTACAAAATAAACAAAAAACCCCTTTCATTACCCTTTTTACTCGATCTTTGCCACAGGCTTCGAGACAACTTTTGCCTTCAACACCACCACGGGATTATCGTCTCTTCTCACTCCATCTCTATCAAAGTCCATCCTCAGCACCGCTGGGAATAACTGTATCCTAACTTCCGCTTCGGTATCTTCTTCATCTTCTCTTTCCTCTGCATCTGCTGCCGCATCTTCCATCGAATACGTATCATACTCTTCCCCAGGGGCAACCGGCCACAAGTCAAAGGCTGCCTGCTGTTGTGAAACTTCCAGAGCTAGCTTTGCGGTCTTCTCAACAAGCGCATGGAGAGACTTGGTGCGTAGCTCAACCTTAGAGGTTTTAGCGCAGAGGGGAGTGAAAAGTGCGGAGAGATCATTCGTGTGAGCTTCGACCGCTGTGGCGAAAGCAGCAAGAACGTCGGGGTGCTTGCATAACAAGTCAACAGTCTTTGAGCGCCATAAATGTCGTTGAAGTTCTATTTTTTGGTAAAATTATTAGCTGTTATACTGGAAACAGATAATCTCTGGATACTCACCAGTCCCCTCTATGGTATCGTACAAGATTGCAAATGGCTCTTGCAGATCCCCAAAAGCCAGGTATCTAAACGCCTGGAATACATCTCTATTCAACATCCATACTACCATCGCTGAGATTGCGTCTAACTGCGCCCTCGACTTCTTTACCGGTTCGGCTTCATGAACACACTCCTCAAAGGCGGTTTTCAAGTCTCCCTCTAGACCGGCCAATCTATCCTCAGCCCCGCCTCTAAAATGTCTAAACACCCACTGCTGTACTCCGTTTACCAGCTCTGAGAACTCAGTAGCAAAATAGTCGTCATCTCGCGCGGTCCCTTGTCTAGCCTCTTCTTTCGGTCCATTGCGTGAGATCGTCTCGGTCAGCTTATTTACTTGCTGCTCATACTTCCTCACAGCCTGTTCAGCGATGTGCGTGGATCTCTTCATCTCTGCCTGCTCGGCACGTAGATGGACAAGCTCATTCTCTCCATTGAAGATATGGCGATTCAAAGCAATATTTCGGGCATGAAGCTGTTTGTTATCTTGATCGAGCTGTCTGAAGACAGGAAGCCATTCTTTTTCCAGAATTTTATTAACACCGGCCTCGACGGCTTGTTTGCGCTCTTCATTGAGCCGTTGGAGTTGATACTTGAGATCAGCATTTTCGCGTGTTAAGTGGGCGATTTTGTTTGTGGATGTTAGGAGCCGTGTTTGCAGAGTCTTGATCGCTGGATCTGGGGGGCTGCTGGTGACTTGGAGTTTGGAGATCTAAAGCTGGTAAGTTGTCTGTTTGCAATACTTATTTCTTTGAGAACTAAAGTAATGGTATATACCTCTTCGACTAATTTGAGATCTTCGTCAGATAGCTTCTTGTTCTCCTCTGCTGCAAACTTTGATGACCACCCGTACATACCCCGGAAAGCTGAAGTCATATTGTCCAAGGTATTCTGTATCGACGGCAATAAACTATCTGGAACTATCCAAAAGGCCGGTGTTGCAAACAGTGAAAGAGAGTAGATACTCTTTTTTCTCACAGATTCTTAGTTCTTATTCTCTAGCACCTTTTCTTGTGGGGGAGGGTGCAGTTTTCCTTATCAATACTAATCTCCAAGTCAAAACATGGATAAATACCACCTCTAGGCAGCTACAAGAGATAATATTTGTACGTCTGCCTATCATCAAGCGGCTATGCAAGCAAGAATTGGAGGCTATGTTCAAACACCTCAGGTAGCATCGCTAAAAGCAATAGCTGCACAGTGACTTCTAGGCTGCAATATTCTGACTCTACCACACACCCCATCTGCTCCGGCGTACCCCATCTCGTACGCACATTCGTATCCCCGCTGTTGTGAGTCTTACTTACTTAACATGCGGGGGTAGACATATATCTCAACATGGTTTAGGCTGGAGATTAACGAATCCATACAAAACCCGGTAAGGCTGAGGCTCAGAGGTCAGGAAGCTCCCGTCGCGTTGCACCTTGGCATAATGTGCTTTTTGGGACGTGCTGGGGTAAAGCTGTCGCAATCATTAAGCCCTCGATCTCATACGACTGACGGAAAATATCGACTCCCCCCAAAAATGACTGTAGCTGTGCTTCTACTCATCCAATTCCATGTTCCAAGAGCCTCCGTTCTGTAGTCACCCCCAAAGCAGAACAAAGTCTCTCGACAGGAATTAAAACGAGTCATTCCAAAAGGAACTACCCAAACTGCAATTGTCCTGATTGAAGCCAACCTGCATGCATCTCATCCCTCCTCACACGGAATACCTACTCCCCCACATTTTTTCGACATGTCAGAATTCTAAATGCTTGTGTAACCCTAACCCAGCTGAAACCATTGGATAGTGGATAATGCCGGTACAGCCTTGCTCCTCAACAAGGCAGCAACAACCACCATGCGGGTGAAGATCAGTAAGCTCAGCAGCTCTGGGGATTGGACTGTAGGTACATTATATGTTCATGATAAGAAGGTTTTTGTGTGACTCACATCGGAGAGATGTCGTGTTTCACGCTGTGGTGCCGAAAACACAGGCTGCTGCCTATTGGGCGGCCTTTATGGAAAAATGAGGCTGACTATCAGGAGTGGAATACCTACCATGTAGTAAGTAAGTGAGGGAGTTAGTTTACTGTGGTTGTTCAGGTGGGAGCTTGGTTATATTTATAAGAGTCCCCCAAGGTTCTACTTATTTCTCCTTCTTTCTTTCTCAAGGGAATCAGTAGATCAGTCTTTCTGGAAAGTGCTCATAGCAACTTACCTCTTTTCTCCTTCCTCTATATCCACGCCTGAGCGTCTCAGAAATACTGAAACTACTTTGAGAACCAGTGAGATTGATATATCCCACCATGACTAAACTTCACTCCCTCAAAGTCGGTATCGATTTTGGAACAACCTACTCCGGTGTAGCATGGGTAGTTCCCCAAAACTCCTCAACCTTCTGCCAGATAACTAATTAAGCTTTCCAGGCCCACACCGCAACTCCCGATGAAATCAACGTTATCCAGCGCTGGCCAGCAGGCGGTAACCGCAACTCCGAAAAAGTCCCCACAGAAATCGCCTACTCCGCCGACGGCACCAGCTTCAAATGGGGGTTCGAGCTGCCTCTCGAGTCCGAGAAGCTCATCTGGATCAAGCTGCTCCTCGACCCCAGCAAGTACGACAGCGACTCGGCCAACTCGCCCCTCAGCAAGACCAAGCACCTCATCCCCGCCGGAAAAGAGCCCGTGGACGTCGTGGCCGACTATCTCGGCGCGCTGAAGCGCCACACGGTCGATACGCTTGAGCGCAACTTTGGAAAAGAGTTCCTGGAGGCCACGCCGATCGACTGGGTCATGACTGTGCCGGCGGTGTGGAGCGACGCGGCGAAGGCGACGACGCTGCGGGCGGCGGAGGCGGCCGGGTTGGGCGAGGGAACGAAGATTAGAATGATTAGTGAGCCCGATGCGGCGGCGGTGTGTACATTGAGAGACATCCAGCCGAATTCGCTGAGGGTCGATGATACGTTCATTGTGGTTGATTGTGGTGGTGGTACGGTGGTATGTTGCGCATGACTTCTATTCTTTTTGGTCCTTTAATTGGGGGCGACTAACTGGGGGGTCAATGATCAGGATCTTATTTCTTACCAAATCACGGCGCTCAAACCTACACTTGAAGTGAAGGAGTGCGCAGTGGGTACCGGTGGCATGTGTGGATCTACATACATCAATGCCAACTTTGAGAACTTTGTGCGAAAGCGGATCGGCGACGATGTTTTCAACGCCATGAAGCCCAAGGGCCGCATCGTGATGTTGAAGCATTTCGACGAGTTCCTCAAGCGCACGTTCAGCGACGAGGACGAGGATGAGGACGAGGACATCTTCTCCTGCCCCATTCCCGGAGTCGCGGACAATGAAGAGGCGGGTGTAGAGGACGGCTTCTTCATCCTCACGCGAGAGGAGATGAAGGGGATCTTTGACCCCGTGATTTCCCAGATTGTCGGGTTGGTGCAGAAGCAGATGGATGCTGTTGAGAGCGGTGACGACGGCTTCGACGTCTCCGCAATCCTGCTAGTCGGAGGTTTCGGTGCAAGTGAATACCTCCGGCAGCGACTGTTTAAGGATCTCAAGAGTACCCGCAATCCTGATGTTGAAGTCGAGATTCTGCAACCCACAAACGCGTGGAGTGCCGTGGTGCGTGGTGCTGTGTTGCGTGGGCTGGAGGGAGGCATTGTGAGAAGCCGTCACGCAAGAAGAAATTACGGTGTCAACTGTACTCAGGCCTTTGACTCTAATGTTCACGATGAGGCAGAAAAGTATCTCAGCTCATTTGATGGTACACCAAGAGTGCGCGATCGTGCTTTCTGGTATATCAAGAAGGGTGATGAGGTTAGTGAGGATAAACCAATCAGTTTCCCGTTCTACAACAGGTGGAAGACACACTGGGACGAGGAGATGGTGTTTGAGGATGATTTGGTGGCGAGTGAGCTTGATGAGGCGCCAATCAAGACGAATAGTACTGGTGAGTTTCCCGGCGCTCCATAGGTTTATTTCAATGGTGCTAATTATATGCGTTATAGATACATATTTGGTGTGTAAACTGACGTCGAGACTCCCGGCATCAATACCGAAGGACATCTTTCCAAAGAGAACGAGTCCGTACGGGTTTGAGTATTATGATATCAACTATAATCTCATCATGACGGTAGAGAGTGCAACATTGACTTTTGAGTTTGAGTTTGAGGGTAAAACTTATGGCAGTGTCACTGCAAAGTATTATTAACTGTTCATTGTTAGAATAGCCTTGGACAGTTGTAGCATACCTTTCTTTTCTTTTCTTTTCTTTCAAGTTTTCTCTCTTCAATGTAGCATCACCCGGCCCGGTCATTCCGTAAAAGTTCGAAAAATGAAATACTAAATGTATTTACCACATACATAAAAAATATTTTTTTGAGAAAGCCCGGCACCATGATCAAAAACAAGGAGCCGGGGCATTTTCCGTGGCACTTTCAAGCAAAACCTCGACTCGGAATCTGGGGCGGAACTCAAAGATAGATTAAATACCAAATCTATTCCTAAGGAAGGGCAACAACGTTGCATAGGACTATAGGACAACGCCCGCTACGATTCTCTCCAAAGATTGAGCACAGTTATCATCTCTTTAGTCCTAAATATTTTATCTACTCCCAGCGTTGACAAAAATGCAACTTGGGATGACGCCAGATTAGACATCTCAATCGAGTGATATCTGGTGACCACATAGTCATATTTTTTTTTTGTTTAATTCATTAATTGCATGCAACCTTACACATGGCCCTATTAGGAACTGTAGCAATTCGAAAGGGGGGGATGTAGGTACGGTCTTGATGAAGCGTGTGGTAGAGTGACAAAGATAAAGAGAATTTCTTCGCCATGTTCGTGGCCTCAACCCCTGGGCCAAATCGTCCTAGACCCCTAGCTTACTCCACTAGATTAAACACCCTACAGGGAAACGTAGGATGGGGTGTAGTGCATACTTGATAAAGCATAACACTTTGTTAGTAACTCAAAACGGTGTGCTAGGAAGCCTGAGCGGTGTCTGAAGACCCAGTGCATACTGAAAAGAACAAACAGGCCACAGTAAAACCTATGTAGAACAAACATACTGACCCAGCAAGAGGCCACGTGTAAAAAAGTGTTTGAGCATCCTGAAGCCGCGAGCCTTAAGTCTCTGTCATTTCTACCCTCACTTTTTTTCTGGGCCAGCTTTCCACTAATCTAGGGAACGTCTCGAGACTCCCCCAACACCTGTGCTATCCGAGTGATACCTCATGACTGGAACTCGTCTCAGCAAAGTTCGCGCCGAGCTACAGCAACATTCCCCGCGAGATCAGAGTCACCGGGTGGTAGAGATAGTTGATAGAGCCTCTGCTGGTGGGATGTGAATTCTAGGTAAATTTTTGCCTTATAATAGATCCACGAATCGTGGGGCGGGGCGGGTCGGCGGGGTGGAGGTTTCTAAGGTATGTATGCCCTGTATCCATACTATAAGAGTAGATGCAGCTGGTGTAGGAGTCACACGGGATGGCTGCCCCCTCCAAACTAAACTGCTGCATACCCAAAAGCCTGCAAATTTGGTATTATATTAGATCCCCTTTATCTCCCTTATCTGCAATCGAGTGGTACTTATCTCCGCTTCAGAGCCCACTATATCAGCAGTGGTTCCGGTAGCATAGTTGATATAATGTGTTCGATTTGGGTATCAGTAGGACGTTTGCCAGAGGAGATGGGGTCCGATTCCCCCCGAGGGCTGCTATATTTCTACTTAAAAATTTCCTTGTTGATACAGAGATGTAGATATATATTAAAGCAAGAGATAATTATAACCGTGATAAAGTAGCATAATAAATATGGGGAAGAAAGGTACCACGACTGACCTTGACCCCCAATGGTGCAGTGCCGTATAATTCAAGCAGAGGCTACTGTACATGTAGGAAATTAATTGCGAACCCTTACTACCAGCTGCTTGTCCTCCGCCTCTTCCCTCTTCGTATTCGAAGGACAAAGACCGGTATAGACTCCCAGTTTTGATGGGTGGGTGGGCGGGCGGTTTAAGTTTTAAGGTTTATGCGCGGTGCATGCACTTCCTTCCCGGGAGTGCCTGCATGGAACCTTAACTTACTCTCACCCCAACGTCTGAAAACATCATCGATAATCTAGATCTGCGTAGCATATGAGGAGAAGTTATAGATGCTATAGAGACGCAGACACAGCAGCTATAGACATCACCATCCGCGAGAGGCACCTAAGTTCTTGGTTTCCCTGATTCTTTGCAATCGAAATGATAACCTGCATTGAGAGACAAGAGATACGCAATCCGGTGCAAGCAAACCCAGCTAGACCGACATACCGAGAGGCTCAGAGACAGCAGTCGGCACGGAGCTCCGGCCATGCCCGTATGGCATCTCTCCCGGAGGGTTGGATACACTAGTGGGCGATGCCCGGAGCTATCTGCACTACATACACACGATCCGGAAGATATACGGTAAGATACGCGACCTGACAACTACATGTACATGTATATATTCCCATCTACGTCCTTAACTCTTGGTTTACCAAGTACTTAAGTAACGTACACCTACATAGTGCTTTGTGGAATGATACACACAGAATTCCTCCTCCTACCGTACAACAAAGTACTAGTACTGCAGCTGCACCAATGGCCAACAAATCACCCCATCCACCTCCAGTCACCCGAACTAGAGCCCTCCAGTGCAAGCGGTCTCAAACACCCTATCTCTATTGTTACGATAGATTCCTCTCTATAGACTATCATCACGAGTAGATAAGCACAAAACTCGAAATGCTACAGATAGATAATGAAACACGTACACCCGACGTGCCCAGCGCCGCCGGTGCATCGCCAAGATGCTAGCCCACCGAGTGACGTTCCGTGAAGAAGCGCACACACCATTTTACCGGCTTTCCCTTACTTCCTCACTTCTCCTACTCCACTCACTCACCCGACTCACCACCCTGTTTACACTTACTCACACTTCATCCGCCCCACAAGCTACCTCCGACTGCTGCATAATAGACGACTAATACCCACCAGGCAGTCATTTCCAGTCGCAGATCTCTACCCCACTCTGCTCTGGTGTTACTATTCTTATTTTATAGCTATATAGGCCCGCATATGCACTCTAGAGTAAGTTTTTTTGCAGAGCCAACGGTTTCATCCGCGTTTCGTGCGACGTGCAGAATTTGCATGTGGAGGGCGCTCCTCTGGGCGCCGTGAGTAAATCTACTCTAAAGTACATGCATACACTAGGTAGAGTATATGTACATGTAGCTAGGGCTACTCTACAGTGTTGAATTTTTCCGTCTCCCGAATTTTTTTTTTTTTTGTGGAGAGGCCCCCATGAGCTGCTTGGGTACATACCTTGACCTCCCCCCCCGGGCCCTAGGCCTACATATTGTAGGTATGGGTATATACATAGGGAACAAAAAGCTACCTACGTCAATCATCGTCCCCTCAACTGAACCTCAACGTATCTCCACATTCCATCTCCAAAGTAATATATCCACCCCGCCCGCGCAGCTCCGGCTCCCCCCGCAAGCTCCCCCCACGGTTCTCGAACGGTAGAATCTTTACCCAGCACCATTCATTGTCTACCCGGTGCTCGTCCAAAAAAAAAAATGCAGTATGTACGGTAGTTTAATATCTATCATGCAGAGTATTTAATAAACAGCCACACCCACACCCACAAACCTCAACCCACCCACACACACACACTCGGAAGGGACCGAATATGATCTGCAGCTGGTTTTTGAGCGGTTTCTTTTTATTTATTGCGGGATGGGAGAGAAAGGGTGAGAGGAATAGAATAGAGTAGATTGTGTAGTTAACTGGCTTGGCTGGCACTTAGATTAAGTTTATCTTTTGTGTGTGGTGTGGTATGCTGTTTGGAGGGGATGCATGCATGCATACCTTACAGTAGGTACATGTAGCTACTCTACTCGTATTTCTCTGACGTTTGTGGACGCGACTGATATTGCATGCCATACAAAAATACGCCAAGCTCATGATTTTGGGTGTATGCAATAATGGCCCAGTTCAAAAACGTCAGAGAAATACTAGTACTGGGCTGAGTCTGCTCAGTCAGTCGGGTGGACTCGGAGTCTCGGTCTCGGGGTTACCGAATGAGGTTGAGGGTATATGATACTTGAAGTTATGTATTCCAACTGTACCTACTTGCTCCAGAGGATTGGTTGGACGGGGCAGTAGGAATTGGGAGCCAATTGAAAAAGAGGTGAATATAATCCAAGTACATATCATATGCAGGAGAGGAGAGAGGAATCGAGAGCTGTCTAGAAGTACGGTCCCTAGGAGAGTGGGATCGGAGACTGCAGCAGTGCAGTGAGCATGAGTGAGTGAGTGAGTGATTTTGACGCTAGATGAGACTTTCGTTCTGAGTTACAAGCGACTTTGAAAAACGTGCATGGGGAGTTGAGTAATAGTTAGTATCATAGACGCAAGTATGGCATCGATCCTTGTAGAATAAGTATGTAGAGCAGAGGCCGGGAGTAGAGCATTAGTATTAGTTGGAGAATGTCTGTTCCTGCTACGTCGGAGTCTGAGTCTACATATGTGAGGCATTGAGCTTTGGGCAGGTGTTGTTGATCAAAATATCACCGTGTCCGTGTCTCTGGAGCAGACAGAATATTTGAGAAAGACAGACAGGCATGTTGCACATCAAACCTTTATGTGCCGTGGTACAATAACTGTGTGAGGTGATCGTGGCTACAAGGAAAAAGTGATCGTGGATATCGTGCACGCAAAAATAAAAGTAAAAATGTAAAAGCGTCCCTTTCGTCTCAGTGTCTTTCTGATCACGATCCATTTTTTCAGTTAGCTGGGAGTGTCGACAGCACAATTGGCCCGAGCGCAGCGGTTCCGCCAGGCGCTGGGTTGCGTTGTGTTGCGTTGCGGCGGTTCCTGATCATATGCTTTCTTTCTTTCTGTGCTGTTGCTGTTTGCGTTTACGTTGTGGATCGTGAAACTCCCAATGCGGAATCTACACGAGGAGCGACTTTGTCTGTGCGTCGGGGCGCCTCTTCCTTCACTTCATCATCATCCCAGTCTCACTCTTTCTCGCCTTGCCCCTTCCAACGGGTGTGGGGAGAGGAGGAGGAGGAGCGAGTGAGTAGAGTAAGTTGAGGTTGAGACCATTCCCGAGGTTACCGCACGGGACGGTCCGGGATGGGGGATGGGGGCTGGGGGATGGGGCTCGACTTGTTTCTCTGCAAGTTGATCTTCTTTTTCCATGGACTGGGTTTGGTTTCATCTACACAAGCTGTAACTTGGTAGATACTAGAGTGACATCAGGGCTACATGTATTGTTGGATACCAGCACCAACTTGCGGGCAGAAGCTTCCGCGTAGATTGGTTGTGATGCCCTAAATACCAAAATGTACCTAACTTTATACCTACTCATGTACGTCTCTCTTTCCTACAAGTTTTGCGAGAAAGATTTTCCTTGCTGTTGGAGGGATTTAATGGACAGAAAACCGCCTGGGATAAAAATTAAGCTAGGCCGTGAAACCGCTTCAGAGTGGGTAGAGTAAGAAGGAATGGAAGGATCATGGATGAGAATAGGTATGAAAAGAATTGCGATACATCCCATCCACCAATCCAGTCTGCTAGCGAAAAGCAATTCGCAAAAGCAAAACTCTAAATCAACCTCAATCCGGACCTCCTTCGTACATCTAGCTCTCCGTCTCTTTGAAATCTGCAAACTGCAGACAGGGGCAGGAAGATCAAGGGCGCGTTCGTTTGCTGTTTGTTTGCTGTGTCAGCCGAGATCTCATTCATTCGCTTCGGCACCTACTGCTCTTAGCGGAACGTTATTCTACTTGAGCATATTTTTATTTTCCCCGTTGTGTGGAGAAGGAACGAGATGGATGGATCGGGTAACAAGATAGGTTCCGAGAAGGTCCGATTGTGGGAAAGCCTGTCCTCTTGTCCACTCCAGACAATCAGTCCAACAGGGTTCTTTGCTGGATCATGTGCAGCAACAAAAACTTCTTTGCTGGGATGGGATGGATGGGGGATGGATGATATGAAGCTGACGACAAAAAAAAATCTCATCCCTTGTTACTCACTACTCGATTACATTGGAGGCAATATATACTGCTGCTCCTTTCCTCCGTTCTCTCCCCGGATTTTTCTCTCCCTCTTGAAGGACATTCATTATCATCTACTTACTTCCATTACTACCACCTGTTATCAACAGTGCTGCCTACCTGTTCATTAATAAATTCGTCATTATCACTCGCTATATTTCCATCCAGTCCATCCAGTCCATCCAGCTGGTGATTCACACGAGATCTGCTGCCATCAATCCCAATCCAGAGCTGAGCCTCCTATCTCTCGCTCGATTCGTCCAGTACAGTCAACAAGGGTAGCTGCAGCCCCCCAAGACCCTACTCTCCGTCTTATTGTGCATTTATCTCTACGTCCCCCCCAAAAAAAATTCTATATACCGCCGCATTGCAGTAGAAACAATCAATCCAGCTATTGCTCACCGCATTGTTTGCGGGTAACTTTTTTTTTTATCCTCTGGAAATTCTTCCTGTAGAACGGCTTCTTCAACTACGTCAATATGAATTTCCCCACAAGAGATCCAGAACCTGCCGGTATGAACGAGACGAGCCAGCCTTCATTTTATTCCTTCTATTCTTCAGACTTCATGGTTATGAACAAAGCCTCTCTGACATTCCAGCGATCTAGGGAACACATGGTTCAACCAAAACCCGCCAACTTTCGATAATGCGCTCGTAAAACGCTCCGTGCCCGTGTGCGGCGCCGGCCGGTCCCAAGATGAAGAATACAATCTCGGCCTACATGTGATGGCCCTATTTGTAGTATTAGCACAAAGCTCACTCGGTATGTTCCCCCGTCCCCTTTCTCCTGCCCGCAGCCGCGATCATTGACAACTAACAACACCCAATTGATTAGCATGTGCATTCCCAATCATCGCGAAACGAGTCCCTTGGCTCCGCATTCCACCCTCATTCCTTTTCGGCGCCCGCCATTTCGGTACCGGCGTCCTCATCTCAACAGCCTTCGTACATCTCCTCCCGACCGCCTTTATCTCACTCAATGACCCCTGCCTACCCGAGTTCTGGAACAAGCAGTACCCGGCCATGCCTGGCGCGATAGCCATGGCTGCCGTCTTTTTCGTCACAGTCATCGAGATGCTGTTTACGCGCGGTCTGTGTAAGGGCGGCTTCTCTGAGCCGGACCATCGGGAGGCAACGCTCGAGCTGGGGTGTACACAAGAGTGCAAGGATGAGAAAGCAGCCAAAGAGTGGGGGGGTGCGGGTGGTGTGGTGAGGGCGGTGATGGGGCGGGGGCGACACGGGAGCAAGGGAAGCGAGGAGATTGGTGGGGCGGGGGGTGTCGGTGTGGTCGGTTTTGGGATGGCGGGGAGAAGAAGGTCCAGGCGCCATTCGTTCAGCCAGGGACTGAAGATGTACGGTGATATGGGGAAGGATCAGCAGCAGCAGGGGCAGAAAACGAGGCCGCCACTTAGCCCGGGAGCTGCAAGCTACAACCGGAGGAACTCGTCGGACACCATTGCGCAGGCGGATGAGTGTGCCGTTGAGGAGGAGGGTAATGTCGAGGTTGAGGAGGAGGATGATGATGTCGACGTTGAGTATGAGAAGAAGGAGCCCGCGGAGTCCGTCAACGACGCTGAACCACAACATGTCCACGGCATCAACGGAAACTTGACCCCACAGCAGGTCCATAAGAAGGCGCTTCTCCAGGTTGGACTCCTTGAGATGGGGATCTTGTTTCACAGTGTTTTTATCGGTATGGCGCTTAGCGTTACTGGCGGTCCCGGATTCGTTGTCCTCCTTATCGCTATCGTCTTTCACCAGACGTTTGAGGGCCTTGCGCTCGGAAGCAGAATTGCTGTTTTGGACTGGAATCCAAAGGCAATACAACCATGGATGATGGCACTTGCATACGGGCTCACTACACCACTCGGACAAGCAATTGGGCTCGCTACACACACACTGTATAGCCCGAAGAGCCAGACGGGTCTTCTTATGGTCGGGGTCATGAATGCCATCTCGTCGGGTCTTTTGGTTTTTGCGGGTCTGGTAGAGCTGCTCGCGGAGGATTTCTTGAGCGACGAGAGCTGGAATGTGCTCACGGGAAAGAGGAGAGTGGCGGCTTGCTTTTTGGTGTTTGCTGGCGCGTTTGGGATGGCGTTTGTGGGTGCTTTTGCTTAGATAGTAGAAGCGGAACTGGACGGCTTTTTTTTTGTGTGTTTTTTTATTTTTATCTTTCCTTTGTTGGGTGGAATTATTTTTTCTTTCTTTTTTTTTCTGGGTCTGGGGCTTTCATTCCTTGGGTTTTCCTTTCTGTATTGTAGCTTAAATACTCCACTGGGAGATCAATGACATTCTTGATCTTCCAAATTGGGGTATGGTGACGAAGCTTATGTGATGTGATATGATCTGCTTCGTTAGCCGTGTTTGAATATACGATGAGGATGCTATGTTGTATGATAAGGAAATGACTGATTTTTAATATATTGTTCATTTGGAGCTCTACTGAGAGTATATGGTGCCACTCATCTGTGTCAATTTTCTTCGTAAGAGGGCTACAAGACCTCTGTATTGGTTTGAATGCCCAAGATGAAACCTAAGTTATACCCTACCCTCTATAATGTTGTTAGTAATTAGTGCACCTCTAAATTTTTGACATCAATCTAAATTGGGGACTTATCTCTGTACTACACAACCCAGCTTATGCTTTTTTCGGCATTCCGGATATCCGTGCTTTAATTTAATACTCATTGGTTGTTGCATTCAACGAAGCCAGACCTAGAGGAGGCAATGAAGGGCGGGATCGCAACTAAAGCCCGCTATTCATCTTCCATCATTTACCCCCATATGGCTCTGCGATTCCTAAATGTAATTCTTCGGCAGGGGACGGAGGACACCCCCAGCACCAGATTTCACTCCGCCGCTACCGGAAGTATATCCCCCGCCCCTGTCGGTTAATCAGCTCTTAGGCTACCAGACCCATATCACCCTGTTCCATGAATTCAATTGAGTTAACATTTGGTTACTCTCAACCCTACCGCTACCTGGAGTAGGCCCGGGGCCTCCGGGTAGGCAGGGGAGGTTGCCAAGCCCGAGTGATCTTGTGTGAACATGCGGGTTTCTACGCTCAGTGGAGTGGTTACCTCGAGGGTTTTGGGGGCATCTTCGTTGCTTTCTTGTTTTGTTTTGTTTTTGTGAGTTAGAGCCGGTGTACGGTACGAGAGTAGTGTTTTTTCTTACCGTTGCTTTAGGTTTGTGTATTGTGTTTGGGTAGATTTTGTGTGTTTGCCCTGTATATTTTTAGCTTGTTGGATATTTTGGAAGAAATTTTGTAGTTTCCGTATTTGTTTGACTCCGTGGCGATGGCGCCGAGTGGTTAGTATTCTCGAGAGAATATTTTGATTACGGGGCTGGGAGGGACATTACCTCGCTGGGCGTAGAAGTAAGATAGGCACTCAACGCCCCTTCTAGTAAAAAGAGTTAGTGGTGGATGGTTATGTTCCAGGGCTTCCCCTGCAGAAACCTTCATCAGAGAGAGGACTCGGCTTACCAAAGCCATATTATCTCAAGAATAACCATCCTTGGATTCTCTACAAACTATCACTTCAGCTGTAGTTTGATGAGACTCGAGAGATGGCCTCTGTACGAAGCCAGGGCAAAGAAGCAAAAGCCATGGGTTCTAAGGGCGGGAAAGAATTTCGGCGTGTTTCTCGACTGTGCGTATTAGCCGACTGGCGGTGACTTACCTGAATCTGATTTCGCTGGTAAGGTTTTGCATTGGTAGAAAGTGTGAGGAGAGAAGCGGGATGGAAGAGAGCTTTTTAATGGCTGTACTAGAAAAGCACTAAGAAATTCTTATTAGGGTTTAGGGCTAATTACATTGTAGATTTGGCAGAAACAGGATGGAAGTATCGTGCATATTAAAGCAACTGGGATCGAATTAGGCTCTTCTATATTTCTTATAGTCAACTTGTTGCTCTCGTTATATGACTCAGGAAGAGTTCTTTCCCTTCCACTACATAGCAGCCCTTCCATGTTCCTTATCTATCCTGCATCTGGTATAATCATTTAAAACGTTAATACTGGGCCGGGAAGTATTCCTCTCCAGTTACCCTTGACGATGTACGACACCGGTACCAACGAGACTTCCCTACGAAGCTCGCCATTTCCCTCGCTCGCACTACTGAATACACCCAATTTACCGGTCTACTAAAGCTTCATCGCCCCCATATCTCAAATCTGTGGCTTCCCTCAACATGACGTCCTCACTGCAACGAGAATCCCCAGGTCACCCCGCGACGGCTGTCAAACAGAGCATAGGATAACTAGGAGTGTGGCACTCTGCACCTCGATTCCTTTCCTGCTGGATTGATTTGCTTAGGCCCATGTGCTGCATATTTTAGACCATGATAGGGAGTCAGAGCTGAACAATATTCAGGCGCAGACAATATCTTGTGAAAGAGACTCAGATCCATATTGTTGGTGCATCATCAAATATCACTAATGCCAAGCCATGTGACTTGTCGAGTGACCTTTTGTGATTCAAGGCCTTGTACCCATTGACTGGAGTTCTAACTGTCCGTATTAACGCATTACTGAAAACGTTTACAGGTGATTCTTTTTAATTACATGTCTCGTTAACGTAATACCGTTGATGAAGGGATAATTAGATTGGAGTAGATAACGTAAAGCTATAGCACTAAAAGACGAGAATACGAAGAAAAATAAAGTAGAAATGCGAAATGCGTTTTTATCGTTCTAGAGGGGTTCTAAGCCTAGTTGAATTTTGAATACAAACTGTTAGTCTTTCTCGGGGGTAAATAATTAGCTTATTCACCTATTGCGATACTAGAACTTTACAGTTAGCTATCACCGACTCACTCCTATGTAGCCCAGTTCAGTCAATAATTTTTTTTCCTCTTAATAATTCCACCCGGTTCCACAATCTTTATACCCAGTAACTCTGCCAATCCTCTTCCATCTCCGACCTCCCGATCCTCCACTTCCTCAGGAGCTTCCTCCGCACTCCCAAGATATTCTCCAAAACGAACCCTGAGATTTTTAGCCCCTTTGTCAAAAAGTGCGTCCTTCCATCTTTGCACGAGATCCACCATGTCTGCATCAAGCCGAAATTTTCCATCCGCAGACAAGCGGGTCTCTGGGAACACCGAGCCGTATATCCTACAAAGCGGGTTTGGACGGAGATGTTGCCTATTTTCCCGCTTGCGCTTTTTGGCGGGAGAAGTAGGGGTGGCTGGAGGGACCAGAAGCTTCTCAAAACAGTGGAGGCAGAAGAATCCACCACGTCCATGGAGGCGGATATTCCGGGGGCTTGTGAGCAGGGCGTGATAATCTGGTAGTTTTTTGATCTCCTTGCTGTCGTCCGCTGGATCATTGAGACTTTCTTCGTTTTCACCAATAATCATGCTGTCCTCCTCTTCGTCCATCATTTCGTTATTCAGATCAAATGTTACCTTCTTCTTCTTCTTCTTGTCGGCACCTTTGACCTTCTCCTCTGCTGTCCATCCGTGTGGTTCGAAGCTGACTCTTATCTCTCCGTCATCCCATGTCCTCCCGCACCCCGGGTAGCCACAGAGCATCTTAACCTCGTGATCTTTATTTCCTCTTGTGCTCCTTGAAGTACCCTCAGTTCTATATGCCTCTGAGCGTTGGATCCAGATCTGATATCTTCCCCTCAGACATTCCTTCACCCACATTATCTTCTGCAGAAGCTCCGCCTCAGTTTCCGATGCGTTCCTAATTGCGATAACCTCTTTCAACTCCGCTGAGATGTCCTCGCGACCCCAGCTACGGAGGATTACGACAGCTTCTTTGGCTGCTTCAATGCGCATCTCCTCTAGGCTTTGATGTTTCGTCTTCTGTGGTGGTGTTGGAGGAGGATGAGGAAGAAGAGGAAGAAGCGGAGATGACGACTGCGAAGCTGGTGTGCCCGGCTCGGGAGTGGTATTGGGAGAGGACGATCCGTCAGGGTCGTGTTCGATGTTGGAGTAAATTTCTTGAGATTCTGGGGATGACTCTGTGGTTTGGGTGGGCTCAACTATGACAGTTGGAGAAACTCCGAAATGGGTTGAGTTGGCGAGGCCTTGTAGAAAGTCCCTGGATTGGGGTAAGGTGAGGGTGAAGGTGATGATACGAGAGGGTTTTGTTGGTATATCGGCGAGGCGGAGTGTCTTAGGAACCATGATGACGGATCTCAATGTGGGATGTAAACTGTTAGGCGTTGGGGAAAACTCTGTTAGAACCGGGGGGTTTAGTCGGGAACTAGGTAGTGGCTTGTTTGTGTTTGTTTGTCTAGCCAGCTAGTAGCAGCAGGTGCGAGTTAGTGAAGTGATAACCTGAAAATAGAGGAGGGTATACTTTTGTGGTATGAGTCTGCGACTGTCGCGGCCGTTATATAGAGATGGGAGTAGAAGGTGAGGGGGTAGTGGAAACAGGGGGGGTGGGGAAAACTAAATTATTCAATCTGACATTTAGCACCATCTCTACCGGAGTTTTTCCTGTAGGTGAAATTGACTTTATGCAATGACATCAACTCCACCACAACTTTCCGCTCGAATGATAAATTTTTTTTCTTGCGCCTGCAGCTATCTGCTGTGAAATTGCAAAATGATCAAGATACTTCTATCTCGACACATACAGATACCTCCACAATAGTATCAATGTGGCCGCGTTGAATTGATCCTGTGTAGATTACCCCACTCTGATTATATAAATGTATGCACCGTACGAAAAAGTCGAAGTTGGGATTACGTAGCTGTTGCGTTGAGGAGCTAAGCCTTTTCGTATTGAATTTAGTAAATTCTGTAACTATACGTAATATTATAAACATTCTTCAGAGTGCTAACATACAGATATAAGTTCAACGAAACTACAAGCTCTACCGCACATAGATACATCCATGGATCAGTTATAATGGTTATGAATTGTAACTAGAAAGAAAGATCGTTTCCAACCCAGCAAAATCACGTGGATTTACCTTCATATTTCACCTTTCCTAGTGATGCCATGGCAAGTACCATAGAATTTTGACTTTTACTGAACTTTAAAACCTCTTTGCTACAATCTAAATATGTGTGACGTATTCAACTTTGAGCCTCCCTCTAAGTGCAAATACATGAAGAAACCTCTAGTGGAGTACTGTGAAACGACACCTCCGTAATATAATTCTAGGCCGTGATTAAGATTTATGATTAAGATCCAGCAAAATCCAAGTCCTCATATATATATATTTACCTCTTAGCCCTGGCCGGAAAGAAATTGTGGTATTAATTCTATATATATCCATATCAAAATTAATGTGGCAGATAAGGTCTCCGAAACCGACAAAATTTTCTTTCTCTCGTCACCGGTCTAGTAGCTTTAAAATCGAGCAGAGCCGCAATCAATTCATATGTAATATCATCATATGATCATGTCTCATATGAATCTACTAGATGAGCTAATAGAGAAAAGCCACAAAGCTCGTTCTCACTAACTATCACTCGCACTAATATAATAGTAACAAGCAACAACCTTTGTTTCGTTTCACCAACTTCTAGCCAAAACCAACGAACTACATGTATAGCTAGAAAGACTACCACACGTAACGCAATAAACAAAATGCACGAGGCCCTTGAAAATCCGATGCCGCTATATTCGCACGGGCCATGTATAAAATGTCAATTATTCCCGATCCCATTTCAAACACCAAGCCGTTTTCAAGCGAACATTCTCTCAACTATTTTTCAACCTCCCTGGGGGATTTCATCTTGATACACTCTTTTTCAAGAATTTGTACGCAGGTCGTACTGATATAAAAGTTAAGCTTCTTACTGCCAATTAAAAAAGCATCACATTCACATCCCATCCATCAGTACTACCAACTTAAACCAACATTCCCAACCAATACTCAATTAAGAATATCCGAAGCCAATAAAATGTCTGCCGGAACTACCAACCAATTTGATCAGTTACGTCTACCGAATAGCCCGGTTACTCCAGGAACTCGGCACTTTATCGATTCTTGTCTCGCCAATTTCGATCTCGGCGGGCGCTACCAAAGTGGTGAGCAAGATACCCAAGAATTTGATATTGATATGTTTGCGGGCGAAGATTCATTCACTGGAATGCTTGAAAACTTTGAGTTCCCAGGAAACCAAGAAGTGCAACAACCTGCTATGCAGGAAGGAGATTTGCAGTTCCAAGAATTTAACTTTCATAATAATATGCAAGATATTGGCTTTGATATCGGCCAAGAAGCAACGGAGTCTGGAGGAGAGTATTCGCCGATTACTATTGATGATTCGCATATCGATCCTGAACTACGGATGCTTGATGAGTGGAGCGGCCCAATTGCAATCACCCCTTCGAAGCTACAATTGTGCCCTCCTAATGGCATTATGTTCCCAAAGAAGGTATCTGGTGTCTATGAGTCTATCACAATATCTTCAGTCCCTAAAGACGGGTTCAAAGACAATACACAGTGTCAGCCGTCAAGCTTCACCAACTCCCCTGCCGACGTGGAAACATCCATCTATACGAACCTAGTCCCAATTTACCCTCGTACAGATCTTACCAACTACTTTATTTCCACATCCCCTGTCCCCCGTATCCGCATCAATGGCTCCTACACTATTACTCACTCGAAATCCGGAACCGACTTCACATACACCACCTATACATCACTCCCCACCTGGCATGCCCCGGGTCTCCCCTCTTCCGGGATAACTTACAACTCTCTTGGATTCCTTGACAAAACAATCGTTTTCAATGCCAGCACTCTCACCTCATTCATCCGCCATCACCCTCTCGGTCCCAGTCTTGTCCTCAGAATTGAGAAACATCCCTACGAGGCCAAAAATCGTTATATATCCTCTTCGTCCCATACAACCAATGGCAAATCAAACAAAAGCAGGTCAAAACCAAAATACACGACCTGCCGTGCCAAAGATTGCGCTCTTGGGGGAATCCTCAAAGTTGGCGAGTTCCGTGTTGCTATAGACGAAGTCTCAGGCCGATTCAAGGAATCAGACGAAAGCGATAATGACCCTTACTTCTCCAGTTGTTTCCTTCACCTCCAATGCTTCGAATCTCTGACTAACATCGCTCCCATTCTTACTACCGGAACGCTTATCCCAGACTGCCGCAGTAACTTCATCAAAGAGCCCCCGGCTGGGAAAAATATGAAGAATAATAACAAGATGGTGTTCTCTAACAAAGAGCTCACTGCATTTCGGACATGGCGTGCTAACTATAACCCCAACCAGCCAAAAATAGAGGGCAAGGGCTCACTACATGCCACCTTGTGGCTTGCAAATATCAAGAAGGCCCGTGCAAAATGTCTACATCGCGCGCCACCAGGAGTGACACAAGAAGATATAGACAAGCAATTGTCGACTCGTGCATTGTGGGGCGGCCGTAGGGCAATGGGGGTGACCGTGGCTGAAATGAATAGACTTGAGCAAGAGGGCCGTTGCGATTTACTTATCGCCCCCAGGAATGGACTTTCTAAGAAGATGGGAATGGGGCCGACTGGTGCGACTGCGGTGCGTTTTCTAGGGAAGAAAGGGAGTGGACAACTAGACAAAAGGAATAGAAAAAGAGCAAGGGAGCCTGAACCTGAGTCTCCGCTTGAATCGTCGCCTGACCCGAAGAGAAGAAGAACATCTTTACAATCTCCTCCGCAAAAGAAAGGTCGCGGACCACCAATGGACATGAGAATTCAGGTCCTCTCCTTGCCTACTGCAAAAGAGAGACTTCCATTATCCCCCATATTGGGTTATTCTCCCTCGCTGGCTACATTCGATTTATTGGGGAGCACTAATTTCCCGACAACACCTTTGAGGAGAAGCACAAGGGGAAAGGTTGACCCTTTCTCAATGTCCCCACTAACACCGACAAGAAAGAGCGTAAGCTTTGCCATTGCGCCGAAAACACCAACGAGAAGAAGCGCGAGGAAGAACAGCTACGTTTCACCGATGACTCCAACTAGAAGGAGTCCTAGAGGCCATGAGAAGAAAAAGGTAAATTACGCTGAGGTCGATGAGGAGAAAGAGAAGGAGAATGATTATTACGGTGAGAAAAATGAGGAGCTGTTTGGGCTAGACCTAGATATGGAGTTCGACCAGTATGTGGAGTATAGATATTGATTATGGAGCTGGGTATTTTGGATGAGAACCGTAAGTTTATGGTTTCTTTTTTTATCTATCTTGATGGTAGCGGAATTCAGAACTCCATAATTACCAAACGTTCTTGAGAATTGTCAACAGTACACACATCCGCAACCTATTCACCACCGCTAATGATTTTGGGCCGTTCCAAAAATGTAGGATGATGACAGAAGCCCTGTGGCGTTTACTTAGAACTAGCTAGCCTCCGTCTTTCTTTCATTTTTCTCTTATGTTTCTATTGCTTGTACTCATTAGAGCGTGTTTTTGTTTGGGCTTTCTTTGTTAGAATCTTTTGTTTGTGTGAGTTTAGCGCATGACCATCGAGTCTCACATTACCTGTTCTAGTGAGAATTAAATTCATGATCTATTTCCTGATAAAAAATTCCTATCTCGGCTTCCAGAAATACTTTCGCAGTGACCACTATTTGGATCTTACGAAAACACTTAGTAGAGAGACAATCATTCACTTGGCAGGAGAGCATCCACCAAGAACAACTCCCAAGAGATATGTTGAGAAATATAAAATTAAACTTTGTTAGTAAACATGATCCTCCTAATTGTAGTAAGCTTAAAGAGCCATCTCATCAGCGATTATTATTCCGGACAGGAGAACTTCATACCCGTCGAGTCTGGTCTGACAATTTACCAATCGAAAAAAATGACTCTGATGCAAAGAAGTTCCAATAGCTTCCTATTTAAAATCTTTTCGAATAATGTTTACTAGTATTAATCTTAATTACTGATCAGATTAGCCCATATATTATTTGCAACGGATCAGCTCAAGATATCGATAGGCCTAGCTTAAACATGAATAAGAAATCAGGAACCGGTCAGTCTGCGTGTGTTTAGACTACGCTGACTCAAATGGTACAACTTCATACTCCTAAGCTCCCTCTTGGAAACTCGGGTACGTACTGCGAGTGGTTATTATCGTCTGGACAGTATTTCCTCTTCATTTTAAGAAAGAATGGCATTTGTAAAATTATTTTGTGGGGAAAATGAACGGCCAGTTTAGAAATCGCTCTCGGTGACTAAGGCTTTTAATATACGTGTTCATATACGCATACGTAGGATTCTATAGCCTCATGATCAAAGGGTAGGCCGCTGCCTATGCATGTATATAGTAGCGATCAGAGATACAGAATTTCTCTTTTGCAGCCATAAACTATTTTGCGTTGCCACCAAAGTACCAACTAAATCGATACTCAGTTCCAAACTCCACGTTGTAATTTCTGACTACCAATCTCTGTAATCATAGATAGGAGGGTTCATAAGCAATTATATCGATGGAGAGGCTGTAGTACGCGTACTAAACTAGCTAGCAAGGTTAGCGGTTATAGCACCCATTAGCAAAAAAAAAAATTTGTTTAATTAATTAATTGCTTATTAGCAATCTTTACTTATATATAGCATCTCAAAATTTCTTTAATATTAGATCCAGACACGCCTATGCTAGAGCTGATTCTAAAGCTTAGATACCAGTTTGTTAAGACCGTGCCTTGGAGATCATACTCCTCGATAGTCTTGAAATTCTCACTGGAGAAAGAGCTAGACTCGGGAATCAACATGAAAAGGTTTGTATAATCTGGGGAAGAAATATGGTAATAGTGGGACTTGCCGCGTCATTTTGGTAGGGTTCTTGCCGAGGGATTTTGAACGCCACCAGTTAAGGTGTATGTAAAGAGTGGGTGGTGCTGAGACGACTTCCAGTGGCTTTCTTGAGCGGTTAAGTACTCAGTGACGACACAGTAAGCTTTATTCAAACGGATTTATCACTATCAATTTACCTGCATGCAATCATCGTGATGGCTTGCAGGTGCTATCAATAACACCTGTGTTGAAGCCTCCGCACTCCCCCTATTATGCCCTTTACCAATTTGGAGGAGCATTACTGCAATTATGATCAAGGTCATTATTGTATCTAGATGTATCTATCATATGCTGCGCTGACCCGGCGCCTATCGACTCTTGGTCTTATTGTTTTTTTTGCTCTGATCACCGGTATCGCTACGCGGACAAGAAAGTCTCTGTGAATCGATACCAGACATCCACCACTAGACGCTCGTTATGCCCATTGTCGCTGTTACAATTAGAGGTTATACCATCAGTAACCCAGGCATTCCTGAGCGGTAATTATCTATTTTTTTTTCCATTCTCATAGATTTATACAGTAACTAATCGTGATTATGAAGCTATTTGAATATTGTGGTCGAGATAGCCCTCTAGTAACAGCTCGTTGTCGTGAACCACGGCAGCTCTTCCACTCTTCTTTTCCTTTCGTTTGATGTCTTCACAAAAGAGCAAGCATATTACTGCACCTGTTTCTGGCCGATGTGAGCTCCTCCTTGGTCGCCGTGGATGGGGCTTACGAGCTCAGTGAGCTCGTATCACGACCGTTGAACTGGCCTTGGAGACCGACCTCTCAAGATCCTGGGTCACAGGTTCGGCTTGGCCGATATTCGGGGCTTGAATCGACTTGTTTGCACCCTTAGTCATCAAACTCGTTGGCACAAGTTACAAGTCAAACGAAAGCGGAGGTATGTGTTATACAGAGTTGTACTATCCCTGGACACAGTTATATCTGTTCTCGCGAGATCACAAGGTATCACTCGATAATGCTTTCATCGTTAGACGCTTCAACTCAATAGCCTTCTTCTTCTTCATGAATCGTCACTCGCACTCGGTTCAATTTACTAAACCAGCAAGGGCGATGTAAAGCGTGCACAAAACTACACTTTATGCAGTTATTATTTATGCGCGGAAGAACCTCCGAAGCCTTGCATGGAGCACAACACAGGATAACCCAGCCGCTGCGGCTCATGCAACCACTCCTCACTGATTTTAGCAATGAGGATTTATTTATATTTCTCGCTTCTTGACGAACTGTGAGGTGAAGGGAACCACCCTGTTCTCTATCCTTATGGGCAGCAAGGCGGGAAAGAAGAGTGGATGGTGATGATGCATTTTAAAAGGCACCGCCCTGTTGTAGACTCGTAATGCAATTATCGAATACGCATTCAAATGAGCGTTTGGATCGGTGCTAATTAGACGCCTCCAGCGGGTATATCCGTTACAAAGTTTACATGTGTACCGAGGAATCGGGAACTGTGACGGCTTAAACCCCCCTCCCTGGCCATGGAACTGGAACGACAGGTTACGTGTTGTTCCTCAAGGAGGATGTGCTAACGCGATAGGATAGGATTCTATGAGACGGATAGACTTTATATTACAAGGAGTCAAGGACTCCTTACCGTGGCTTCTCCACAAGCACAATTATTCTTCAGGATCCCTGCCGACTGAACGTCAAGAAGAATGAATGGAGAGATGTCTTCTTCGTCTTCTAAAAGCTACCCCTGCAGTCCAATACGGTGGAATATGTTGATATGCCCATAGTGGCCTCTATCAGGATTTTCCCCGGGCCCGCTCCCTGTACGATTACCTGGTAAGTAAGGGGAACATGTTTCATAGGCATCACCATTCCCCCTTGGCTTGTATCAGCAAAGCCAAAGTGCAAATTTTGCGATACCCAACGGTTTTCCGCACTCGTAACTAACAATTATAAATTGTGACCGTGGCTAACCAGTGGGGAAGCGACAAATAGATGACTAAGCATATCGAGCCAGTGATCTCTCAGTCGGTGACACGACGCTACTAATACAGCCGAAATAGTGAAAGAAGGCTAACTCAAAGCCCCAATCAGTACAGTAAACCCACCATATTCGGAAATAAAACGTAGAGGTGTCTTCTGCTATGCTGTGCTGCAGTGTCACTACGCGCGTGGCACACAGCCTCTCTCCCTCCGAGCGAGCGGGGTGGGGAGTGAGTGAGGGTCCGGGTTGGTCAAAACAACCATAAAATAAGCTGCGCAGGTCCGGGGTGGAAAGAAAGCTACTTCCACATACATTTATGTGAGGGGATCAGGGGGAAAAGAAAAAAAACTAAAGCCCCTGGTAAAATGTTTGAGGTTTCTTTCCATATAAGGAGGGGGTACTCGCCCAGATTTTTCTAAGAGAAGCCCAGTAACGTTACCTACATACACACTCGCTCGACGCTTGGTGGATTTATTTGTTCGAAAAGGAATAAAGATGGATTCTAGATACTCTCGCATGGCGGGTTTCTTGGGAGTGTTTCTCGGACTGTTGGCACTAGTGGATGCGTTACCACTACTTTCGTTACTTGCACGAGACCCGGCCAGAGGTGTCGGCGGCGCGGCTGCTGTTAGCAGCACAAGTGGCCAGACTGATAGTGAATCATTGTAAGTTTTTACTATTGTTCTTCCTTCTGCTATATTTCCCTCTCTAACATATATATCCCACCATATAGCACCGACAACACCGGTCGTCTAATCGGTCTTGTAATTGGCATATTCATCGTCGCCGTCCTAATTGTCCTCTGCTTCTTCACGTACCGCAACCGACAGGCAAAGAAACGACGGCTGGCGCAAAGGGCAGCGATGCAGAAAGAGACGAGTGCTAGCAGTGCTAGCTCGGATGGATATGTGGCCGCTGCGCGCCCGGAAAACGCAAAATTGATGGACGGGAAATACGAGCCGGACATGGACGAGGTGTACCATTCCGGTCAGCAAAGTAGAAGAGCGGTGGATACGCAGTATAAGGGCTCGTATATGAAGCCATAGTCTGACAGTGATGGTAGACGGGTTTGACCGAAATTGGGTTTTTTTTGACTTTTTTTTTATGGAGTTTGGGGTACATTAGGCGTTCTTTCTCGTGGGGTTTTTTCTCTCTTCTTCTCTCTGGCTTTCTCTCACTCGTTTTAGATGGCTTTTTCCTTTGTTTCTTCCTGGTACCTCTTAGTTAATATCATTATCATCATCATTATCATCACCACATTAGCAAAAGTATTCTTAGACACGAAGCTAATCCACCTGCTTCTTGTCTTACTCATGAAGGCTATGAGGCAAGTATGTACATACTTGTAGCTATCGGTATTGACAATACTCGGTTGACACCCGTCGGCCAAATCAGTCAGTGATCAAGGTCAGCCAGCCCAACCTGTGCCCCAAACACGCATAAAACCATTACTACAATAAACCAACCATGTAGCTTAGGCGCAAGCCACACATGTCCTTGAATAGCCGCAACACACAGACATAGAATGGGGGCCGCCATTCCATTCCTCGCGCCCGGATAGATATTCTAGGGTTATGGTTGCGGACACCTGTAACCGGAGGACATTTGACCTCAAACTTTGGGGGGTGATGACTTTCCAACCACTACACCTAAAATTATTTTCTCTCTGTTAAATGATGCTTTAGCCTCCGCTCTACATCATGACAGAGTTCAATTAATTTTATCGTTTATGGCTGTGGAGTTATTGAATTTCTAAAAGTTGGGTTTTTGGTAAGAGACCAAATGAATGTCGCCCAAAGTTGCCTATTTCGGAAATTGTTCTGGGCGTTATGCATTTAATTACCCGATTAGGCAATTCTCGGACTACCTCTTAATATCATTGATAGGTCTTGGCACGAAAGAGCCAAGTTATTACTTGATTGGGAAAGTGATAGCCAAAAAACACCAATGTCGCACCTACTCCGGATACAGGTGTCCGCAACCATACCTATGACGAAGCTTAACCGCACCGGTGCAATACTGTCGGGGTACGTGCACCGCACCGGTATAGCACGTACGGTGTGGGGCGGATAACCGAGAGCGGGAGTGTCAAAAATTGAGGCCGGTCAGTCAGTCGGTCGGGAAAGCTTTTCTGCGCCCCATGGATTTTGTTGCTTTCGGTGGCGGGAATGGCATGCTAAGAGGGAAATGTCAAGGGGAGGGAGAGGGTGGTTGTGGAGATGAAGGGCCTAGCTAGCTCAGCTCAAAAATACCCACAGCTAACCTACCCACTGGCAAGGAACGTCGGCGGCGTTGTCGGGTCGGTCTCCTCCATTTGCGAGGCTCGTTTTTAAGTAGAGTGGAGTAGACAGATAATGCATGGATTTTGGGCGCTCCTACGCCAATCGATGTGATATTAACAATTTCGATACAGCTCTAACAGTCTCAACTGCTGTCTGTACCTGCCTACTGCTAGTATCGCCCCATACGGGACCTACATACATCTGCCCCTTCACGTCAAACACACCACGTTAAGCTTGATGATGATGATGGCCTCTTAGGAGCTGCCATATCTCAACTGCAGATATGTACCATACTTAATGTGCGACACAAAGATGCCGTGTTGTCTCGCCATGTCATGGCCGCCGGCGAATTGGGCATTGCCAAGCAAGCTGACACAGAGTGCCAGCATTTGCGACATACAGATCAGATAAGATTAGATGGTGGTGTCAATGATAGGTCACGAATTACCGCACCAACACGCGTAGCGATCATTGACCTTCCTTCTTTACGATAAGGACGTCTTGATTGTTTGGAAGAATTATGATATTATGAATTGATGGAGAGGAAAGAAAAGGGATAAAGGATACAAAGAATAAGGGTATATAAACAAAAGGAGGAGAAAAAAAAATACAATTATCAAAAAGAGCCCAAAAGGAAAACGCCTCCAAAAAATAATAATAAAATAAAATTCTCCATCCCCTAAATAAAATACGCCATTGAAACAATCCCTTTCCTACTCCGCATTCTCCAAACCGTCCTCTAAATCATTCTCCAATCCTCGCCCCGCCCTGCCACTTCGCCTTCGCATGCCTCGGAAGCGGTGGGAGCGTCGGCTCACGCACAGCTGGAGAGGAGGCAGAAGAACCAGAAGAAGAAGAAGACCCAGATTGGCGAAAAAGAGGTATCGACTTCCACGCTTTGTAGGTCTGCTCCTCCTGTCCCTCCTTAATGGGGGCCTCCTTTAGTGGAGGGGAAATAGAACGAACAGAAGGACGTGCTGGCTTATGAGAAGGCGGGTTGGGTTTGGCCCTGAATGGCACTTGAGGCCTGGCAGATTGTTGAGATGGGGCCTGAGCTTGTTGAAAAGACTTGGGAATTGAAGGAGGAACTAGGGGTTGTGTCAGTATCATCTAGTATAGCGATAGATATTGATCGCTTACCCGAAAAGTTATTTGTGCTGCCAACGAAACCATTGTCAGCGTTGGCAGCACCGTTGGCGTCAGCGTTAGTCCTAGTGTTAGTACCGGATGTACATGTAGGGGACATGTTAGGCGAATTTGAGTGATTGGTAATATGTTGATTATATTGATCTTCCGGACTATTGGACAAAGCTTGCTGACGCCTGTGCTCAGCTTCCCAGGCGTCCATCTCCCGGTCCGCCATTCCTTCTCCCCAGTTTTTCTGCTCCCTCTCCACCATTGCCTTCTGCTTTTTCTCCCACCTCTCCTTTATATTTCTCCGCCCTCTGATTTCCCGCGCCCACTTCATCCGCTGCACGAACCCGACCGACCGATCGGATCGTGCCTCTTCCATCATCTTTATTTCCTTATACCAGCGCGCGCGCCTAGCCTCCCGCTGGAGTTGAATTCGATGCCGCCTGAAGTTGTTCTGCCCTCCGCTGCCCAAGTTATCAGAATCGTTGTCCTTATCAATAGTGCTTCCGGGTCCAGGGGCGCCATAATGAGATGAAGATTTACCATTTTCTTTGCTGTTAGTACTAGGGTTGTTCTTGCGCCTCTCGGCATCCTCTTCGCGTTCCTTCCTACAGAATTCTTCTTCCTGGAGACGCAGCTGCTTTAACCGTTCTTGGCGTTCGCATTCCTCATTGTAGGCGATTGCTTCGAGCTCCTCTTTCGACAATGGCTCTTCTTCTTCATCGGGTGCGGCAGTGGAGGCGCTAAAGCTGACGGTTTTCTGTGGCTTCGGTGAGAATCGTGTTGACTCTTCGTATCGCCGCTTGAAAAGTGTGTCGGGATCAGTCAGTTTCTCCTGTACAGGTGGGATAAGCCTGATCTTTTTGATTTCGACGGGGTCAAAGGGAGCTGGTATAGTAAATAATGGCTTCTCGAAGAGGAAGGGGCTTTTGATAGCATTAGTGTTAGTGTTAGCAGGGGGCCTTATGGACGATTTGCGGACACTGGCGATCTTGCGAAATACTGGAGCAGCGGCGTCGCTGCGTGCTTTCTTTGCGTTATTCTCCTCGACATCGGCATCAGCGGCGGTGCGCTTGCGGCCATGGCGGAGAATGCTTTCTTTTTCCTTGACAACGACCTTGACTTGGCGGACGCAGAGCCATTTTTGGTCGACCTGCTGGCGCTTCCGTTCGAGATCCATTTTCTTGAGTTTTTCAGCGAGGATGAGATTACCGGCGGTTTGGATACCATCAATGAACCTTTTGGCAGCTAGATCTTGAGCAGTATACTTCTCCTGCAATCTGGTAAAGATCAACATCCTCATAGCTTCAGTAGGATGCTCCAGATTCTCAGGATCACCAAGGCGGGCAACATGGCGAAGTCTCGGGTCGTCATTAGGAATCTTCCAGGGGGTCTCGTCATCGTTAAGACCGCTAGCTGGTGGGTCGCTAAAAAGCCAGTCCCAGCGTGATTCCTGGCACCACCTTCTAAATACTGGGTCGCTGCTAGTAGGTGTGATTTCTTTAAGTTCTGCTTGAGTATATGGGATAACAGATTTATGGTGGCTCAGACATGGTACATCTTCTCCTTCGGCAATTTCTCTGGTATAAACCTTCCCAGCCCATGACATGCCTCGACAGAGCACGCACTTTCCGTCCTTTTGCTGCAGACGACTCTCGGAAGAAACTTTTGGGCCTCCTCTGGCGCTCATGGCCTCCCAGTCAATAGGTTCAGGGTATACAACAGCCGGAACACAGAGCTTGAGTCTTTCAATAAATCCGTCGTGAGTGTGAGCTTCGATAAGAGTGTCCCACGCCTTTGGGTTCGTATCACGCATATCGTATAGCTGACTAATAATATCTGTAGGGAGTTCATAGTTCGCCAAAGCGGCCCTAAATGCGCCACGTGACCATCCATATTTGTGGAGATAATCAACCCATGGCTGAAATATATCTTTTTTGAAGTTCATCTTAAACTCGTCTTTTTTGGTCATCTGTTTTTTCTTTTCCTTGGGAGTATTGAATACAAATGCTGGGGTATTGGGGGCGTTATTTGCGCGCGTATCGGCGGGGGTGCTCGAGTCGTCCTCAAATCTGACCTTACGCTTTAAGGCTGGTGTATTTGGCATCTTACGGCGGCGAGTTTTAACAGCAGCTGGTGATGAAAATTTGGGTGCTTGTGCTGGATGGCGGATAGTGCGACGCTGATTACGAACAATTCTCCTATAAAACACCATTAGCATCAACAACCACATTCCGAGCCCTTCCAAATAGAATCAGGTCGACATACGGAGTAGCCCCGACCATATGCGGCGGCATAGCCAGCATACTCTGCATCCCAGTTGTCTCCGTATCTGAATCCGAATCATCTTCATTATCGTCTTCGGCAGTCTCGCTATCGGTATCAAACATCCTACTTTTAACCCTCTTTTTAACTACCGGCTTCTTCCTGGATTTCATCCTAATTTTCCTTTCCATCGGTGTCAACCCCGCTTGACTAATCCTCTTACTGATGATGTTCTTTACGCCGTCACCAACAGCCCACAAGACCTTTCCAGCAAACACAAACGTCGTGCCAACGATCCTTGCAACACCACTCGTCGCATGGAACGCTGTAGCCATAGTCGCCAACGCAAAGCTCTCGGTCGCTGTCATGTCCAGCTGCTCCTGATTAAAGAGCTCTCTCTCCTTCTCTTTCTCTTCTGCTTCCTGCCAGATGGGTTTTCGTGTAATTCCTAGCAGCTGGTCGCGGCGGGCGCCGGTGCCTGGCGACGTGTCGAAGGCCGCTTGCACGGGGACGGTTGCCCAGGTTGGCTGGAAGCCGTAGTCGATCTCATCTTGCCCGAAGTTGTGCATTCGTGATGTCCCCGATGGGGTATTGTAAAAGATTGATGACGCCATATTTTGCTGGGACAAGGCAAAATGGGCGTGGATTCACTCGGATGTGGGGAAAGCTTTGTGTGAGAAACACGCGAATTGAGATTTGTGAGTAGGAGGATAAGGATAAGTAGACGGTGAGAGATCCGTGGAACGGTAACGAGAGAGTTAGAGATATAGAAGGAGTGTTGTGGTGGATGGGTGATAGGTAGAGTAGGGTTGGAGGATCGATAGATTATGTAGGGGAGAGGGGAGAAAGTCGCGATCCGCGACTTGACTGTCGTTGAGTAGCGTGATACCCTGTCTTAATAACCGATCCTTGACCCCAATGGGGATGTGAAAGTGGGAGTGGGCGCGCTTCCTTGGCAACCGTACCATGAGTGAGAATCTACATTTCCTACGTATTTTTTAATGTCCCTGCATTGATTCTAATAGACAGTGGCATGTTTTATGCCTCAAGAGGTATTGTTTATTGTTTACTTTAGAGGACTGATGTGCCTATGGTCACTTGCCAGGTGTGGAAAAGGTGCAGCGGGTCGACCCGCCAGAGCCTCTATGAGCCTCAATTGACAGGAAAGCCGCATCATTTTAATTCCGTCTTAAACCCTGTGATGACCCTTCGCCTTGAGGCCTGGGACTTGATAGGAGAAGCCCTGCATGGGTACCTACCAACCGGTCTCCAAACTCCCAGACGTACGGCGAGATGGACCTCGTATGTGAGGCATAGCCAGTAGCCAGTCGACAATCTACATAGCTTAAGTGAATGATGACCGCATTGGGCCTCTATTAGTAGACGATACAGTAGTCAGACTTTGCCTGAGAAACCTAATCCCACACCTTGTTCAGGTCAAACACCACAGTAACAATCTATTAGGTGCCGTCCCTTATCTATGCCTAGTATGCACACACTCTACGCCTTCCCCTGCAACGTTGGGGGCACATTCTCTACAATCTTCATCCACATCCCCACATGCATAATCCCCTCTTCATCCCACTCCCCCAATCCTTCATCCAGCACAAATCCTCTGCCCGCCCACCATCCTTTCACCGCCGTCTGCGCATGCACCAGACACCTCCCATCCCAATCCCCATCTGCTACCCCACCTGCACTTCCAATCGGTCCCATCTCCACCGGATTCGCCCTCGCATACTCGACCGCCGCCTCGACCAGCAGCCGCCCTACACCTCTCCCCCGGTACTCCTTCAACGCTGCCAACCGCCCCAACTTGAAGTAGCCTCGGTGCTCGTGCGGGGGGACAATTCGGATGGTACCGACAGGGGTTGCGCCCTCGTAGGCGACCCAGTGGAGGGAGCGGAGGTCGTCGCTGTCACGCTCGTTCTCGGTGGGGACGTGCTGCTCTTCGACAAACACAGGGATACGAATCTTCATGGCATCTTCAAACAATGGACCTTTGTCGCCCCGTTTGGGGCCGCAGATGGTTATGTCGGACATTATTTCCTGGATGTTTCTGCTAGAGGGACTTGGGGAGACCAGCCCTTTTAAGGTTGCTTGGTGGGTCAGACTGTGAGTAATACATCTATCTACCTTCCTAACGTGTTAGCCTCCCCTCGACACCTCGCTATAAACCTCGCTATTAAAAAAAAACCTTGCTGTAATAAACACCCCATAGGGTACACGCTAACAGCTCTACGCCAAAATCTTACTTGCTATAAGAAATATTTTGCGATAAGAAATGAAAATTGCCATAAGAAATGAAAATTGCCTGCACCTTGGTATTTTTTATAGCGAGGTGTAGCTGTATGCCCGATCTCGATTACAATTCAATGTATGACTCAACCCCAGTGAGGCTTTTCGCCAGTACGGCATTCATAATTTGTCACTCGAGTTTTGGAGCTGGAGTACCTGTCATCAATGCCAGAAAGGATCCGTTTAGGAAGCGAGCTTACCGCCCTTTGTTGTCTCTATCGTTGGATGAACCTCGCTCACGGACCAGGATATCTGGTCTCTCCAACAGTCTGAGGACGAAGAAAAATCATCCTCTTCACCTATCTTGGTACTCTAGTCTGGTACTCTGGTCTGGATTACTATTCTCGACGACCAATGAGCAGTGTCGATTCTAAAGATATGACACAAGCTGCGACTTAAGGAAGAAGCCCGCCTGGAACAGGCCAAGGTTACTCTTATATGAGTAGAAGTTTGGGCATGTCTACCCCCAGATCTGGCCTCAGGTTTTCATACCAGCCTGGCATTCTAAATAATAAACACCAGTAACCAGAGTCCAATTAAGAGTATATACTCTCTGCTGCCAAAAGAAATCTATACCTCATTCTGCGGCGTGTAGCGTGGACGTACCTGCGATTTATAATCATGCCGTATATATCTTCGTTATTGCCTCTCAACCTTCGGGGCGCTCTCACACTCCCATTTAGGGTTCTTTTGGTATCACCTCACAGGGCACTGGAACTATATGATTTTGCTACAGATCTATGATAACCCACCTTGTGGCCTCTCCATACGGAAATGATGGCAGAGTTATCTATGCAGCTTACCATAGGCTTGGTGCTTTTGTGGCCGTTAACAAAATGTTATTAGACATCATGTGCACACCTTTGGTACCCTAAGTTTAAAGATGTCGATAACCCAAGTGGAAAACTCCGGGTGTCTCCCAGTGTTAATATTAAAATCATATAGGCGGTATCGGGCCGTCCATAGGCATTATTAAACACCCTGATAGTGTTGGTCCATACTGCCATACAACACCGGGAAAATAAAGGACTGGCATGAGAATAACAGTGCTCGTTCCTCTCATTTATACACGCAATGGCAGGGCCTAAGGATGCAGACTTGGAGCTATGAAGAAGAATATCAACGTCAGTTACCAAAATTTATAAACTTCTAGAAACACTCTTCCGCTGTTTTCCTGGGACGAGTGATCGTTGATGAACCTTTGCATCTCATGCAGAACTGAGGTCTAGACAACTTACATTAGGGAGCTTAGTCCACAGTTAAAAGCCCCCGAATCCAGATATAGTTCAACTATAGAGTTGTTATTGAATCTGGATAGGTATTTGGCGATGTAGAGTAATATCAGTAAAAGATCAATTACTACACGCAGTGTATTATCGGATGGTAAAGTACATGTAGGGGTTCGGTAAGCTACATGTATTGTAGCTCTGGACCAAAATCAATTTATTATAGACCATGAAGCAAGTTTGATATCCCTCATGTTAGAACCTTCAAGAAAACCACCTCCAGTGGCTAACTCACTCTACGAGCCAATGTCAATACATAATTACTTTGGGGCTTAGCCAGCAGTGGGATATGCAACTCCTCTACACTGCTCCAACTTTCAAGTTTCCTATGCTCGCCCGCCGAAAGAAATATTACTAATAATGGAGGCCAACTGGTATAATAAATTTGTTTGTTCAACGCTAGCTACCCCCACCACAAACTATCCCGATTCTTGATTAATACCATGCTTTTAAACGACGGTCTCCCCAGGAGGTGTAATCCCCAACGACTTTGCCTCAGAGTCGATCAGCGCATCTAGTGTCTCTTCCAATGACGCACCCTTTGGTGTCCATCCCAAAACCTTTCTTGCCCTTGAGGCCCTCCCTCGCGAGTTAGTTCCCCAGATAACACAGCCGAATGGGTGGATCTTTTTGATCTCATCATCGTTCAACGAGGCGACGTCATTGGTTCTCAGGTATCCCTTGACCTTAGCCTTTTCGGCAATCTTCTTCGCCAACTCACCCCAGACCTATCCGAGGTTAGTGTCATGTAAGCTGTAAAATCTGGGGAAGTGGGGGCCACAAACATGCTCTCCGTTCTCGGCGAAGTAGTAACCCTCTGTGCCCCAGGTGGCTTTCTTACCACCTGCAGCAGCGTCTTCAGTGAGGAGGAGGTACAGCTGTGACAAGTCGTCAATGTGCACATTGTTCCAATAACTCTTCCCCGCATTCACCTGGAATGTCTCGCCACGCTGCAGGGTGAATTTGGTAAGCCCTGGGACCTGGTTAGAGCGGGTATTTCCCGCTGTGCCAGCTCCAACGCCATAGATAGTCGGTGGGCACACAATCGCCGTCTTGACGTTATCCGAGTTAGCCCCCAGGATGATGGTATCAACATCCCTGTGTACATGTCCTTCGATTGGGAACGACGTGATTTCCTTGATAGATTCAATGTCGTCATAGATCTTCTCGTCCACCTGCTGTCCGAACTCGCCCTTGCTAATGTCGGGCAGGATCGCAGAGCCGGATGTGTGGATGAGGAAGACAGGGGTGGTCTTCTTCTTGAGGCCGGCGGAGATGGATTTGGCAGCAAGGACGTGGTCGCAGTCCGCGAAGTGGAGGATGATGTCGGCCTTCTCTGTCTCGGATTCAATAACGGACCCTGAGTCGAGATCGCCATTGACAGTCTTGAGGTTGGGGTATTTGGCAACTAGGGATGCGACTTTCTGTGGGCTTCGTACGAGGGCGGTAATTTCGTAGTCGGGGTGGGCATTGATGATTGCATCGAGAGCGGCACCGCCGATGTAGCCAGAGGCTCCAGTGCTAGAAGGTAATATTAGTGATGGGTTGGGAGTAAATTGGTAGAACTAAGAAGCCTTACGCAAAGACCTTGGGGGCCATTATGATCGAAGGAATTGGGGTAAGATGGATAGTTTTATTGATTGATAGCTAGGGCGATGGTAGACTGGAGTAGATGGAGTGTAAGTAGTATGAGGATAGAGATAGAGATATTTCATACCCCGAGTGCGGGGGGCCATATTTATACTCAATTCAACGTCATGTGTGTTTCTTCCATATCACCACTCCAGCTTGCCAATGACGAAATACATCACCCCTCATTCCCGCATAGATACGGATACCCAGGTAGTGATGCACAAGCGGGACCACCATCCCACCCGGTGTGGGTTGGCAGGCATCACTGAATGCAGCTCTTCCGGATGGGCCCGTGCGTATTGACCAGGCAACGATCACGGCTTAAAAAGCTCTGGGGATGAAAGTACCAAGAACTTAGAACTTCTTTGGGGTTAGTAATCAAGCCAAGGATGTTTCGTTAAGCTTTTTTTTTTCTTGTCTTGGGTGTGGTTACAAATCAAGGGCCACCATGCATAAATTCCTATGTCCGAGGTGTAAACGATGCTAATTGAATCGTTGAACAGGTTTTTATGTCCTTCACGGGTATTGTGCAAGGCAGTTCATCTCTTGGTGATTGCGTATCAATCACACATCATCACTCGGCCATTAACATGCACAGCCACGATTTGAAAGCCGTAACCACATGTGCAGTTAATGCCACATCAGAATTCGATTCTACCTATGACAAAAAAGACCATATCATGACAATTAGGAATGAAGGAAGGGGGAGAAAAATGAACTAACTTCAACCACGCAACTAATCCAGCGAATCCCAGCAGATTCATTATTCTATTTGGGCCTACGGTCAGCTAGTATAAAATCGCATATATATGTGAACGATTAGTATCAAAGCCGCGGGATCAAGTTCGCCATTGGCGTGGCATAAGGCCTGATTATAGATAGGGTTGCATGTTTTCTTTTGATTTTCGGTACTTGTAGTTATGATCAATGCTTGCTTCCTTGAAAACGTCGTCTCTCTACTGCCCGAGTACAGAAAGGGAATTGCCCCAAGATGCAGAGGCTTCTCAATGCGTTTGTTTCTGTTTGCTTCGAGCAGCCTCGTGGTCCACTTTAGCCCCACTCAACTGATCCGGTCGCGGCCGCCGACATTTAAATCCCATGACCCGGCCCAGGCCGGCTGTCATGCAGATTTATAACCAAAAACCGGCGCAGCAGCATCGCTAAGAGGTAAGCAGGAATTTTATGCATAACTAAATATGGGATCTATATGTTTTTCGAAGATCGATGGGCAATGTAGGAAAGGGTGTGGCCGGCCGGACGGATGTACACCACAAGCATGAAATTCCGCTAATTTTTGGCATGACAATTGGATTTAAATTGAAAAATTATCCTGTAATTTCCTTCTCGCAGCAAGTAGAAGAACCTTCTATTTAACAGAAATCTTCGTTTATGGTTTACGTGTACCCTTCAGGCTTGGGGGACAAGTAGCCAGTGCTGTTTGCAGCCAGTACATGTATGTATATAAGGCATTTCGGCACTACCTGTGCCTACCTTCATACAATCACCACAATATGCAGATACAAATCCCTTTGCACACCTGAAAATTGGCATACAGTCATCGGGTAGAATAAGTCATAACTCCCCAAAGTCTGAGAGTGTAAGGTGTCTCTCTGCTCTTCTCAAGTAGAGTAGCCTCAAGGTCCACAATCAACTGAAATTCACGAGAGTGGCAGTACAGGATGATTACCAAGCCAGAAATCGTAGTTGATCATATATTATCACTCGATCAAATCCCCGCTAACTTGTTACTCGTTATCACTACCAACTTCTAAGGACACACTAGCCAAACAATACCCGTAAGCCATAGCATTCAAGGAAATAGAATTATTTATCTCACCACTCTAGATTAAATGTATTTAACTAATAACACCAGGCCATCATACAGGGACCCACCCAAGAGACACCGGAGACCGAACGTCACCGCAGAAGAGAAGGAAACAAGGGAAAATTAATACCTAAACAAAGACAGTTAAAAATATATCACCACGAGGCATATCGCAACTTACACTCTCACGCTCGCCTTCACAACAACACCCCATCCTTTTGCGCCCCTTTTCTCTATGCACGGCAACACACAAAAAAGGACACATCTCCTCTCGTTCTCGAGAGTCCCATTATCCCTCTCCTGCTCACCCGAAAAGCCCAGGTTCCTCGTATCACATGGTACCATTGTAGCATTTACGAAGCGTGCTCCACGACTTGGGAAGGAGAACCGCCAATTGTCTCTATCAACACCAATGCGGAAAGCATGCGAGATGAGCGCCTCCAACAGACGGAACGACTCCTCACAGTGTTTCTGGTCTCCAGGGCGGGACATGAGTGGTAGGATAAATGTATGAATCTTCGTTGCGAGGGCGGCGGATTTGGTGCTATATTTTTCCGAGGCTGTTGGAGAAGCTGGGTAACTGTTAATAATTCTCCCATACCAAAATTGAAGTTTGTCAATCTCACCTGTTTGCTCCTCCCTACTTTCCAGAACCCCGCCATCTCTGAATACTTCCAAACAGACAAATCGCATCACGATCCCTGCCACAATCAACAGCTTTGTGTGGGTATCCCGCAGCATCCTCTCGTCACCCACAATATCCTTCACCGTCCCCGCCAGCTCCGATGGTATGTCGACATCCGTTGCGAACTTGTAGAAGCCCTTCCCAAAGTTATGGATTTCACGAAACAGCATTCCAAACTCCTCCTTGAAGAAGCTATCGGGTTTCATGGTCCCATTTGTCGCTACTCGTCCCGGAGAAACAAGGGAAGAAGGAGGGGGCGCGGAAGGAATAGACGCTTGTAGAGAAACCAGAGCAGGAGGTTGGCGTGAATTTAGGACCTCGAGTGTGTGGATGTAGCTACGTAGCCGTTTGTTCTCGGCAGATTTAGCCCGTAAGTCCTCTTGACATTCACGCAGGTTCCCAGTGAGTGAATTGACTTGGAAGGATGTCTCAAGAAGCTCATTCTGTAGTCTTTCTACCGCAATCGGATCTGCGTGAGCAGGGGGTTTAGGTGTAGACGGCCGAGTCTCGATCGGTGTGAAGGGTTCCGAAGTTGCGGAGAAACGAAAGCCGGAACTCATGTTGCTATTGTTTGTAGTATTATCAGTGATGGTCTTGGAAGATTGACTGAAAATAGAATTGCTGTAGGCCAAGGGAGATTCTAGTCCGCATAGAGACGAGGGGAGAAGGAAAGGGAAGCCAGAAATTTCCTAGGGATAGATGATGAGGTTAGTCGGAAGTGGTGAGTGAACCCCCCTTTAGAAATGAGTGAGATCTTATGATTGGGGCAGGGGAGCATGTATAAATGTTGACATCGCTAGATTACCCTATGACGGACTTCTGGCTTGGGGATAACGACTTGTGACAGCCGCTCGGCCCCGATTACACCATTTTCTACAGCATATTAGTATTTCCATATTTAAACTTTGCATGGAGAGTTTTATTGGGCTCACTGCTTGGAATCATGGCTTCTTATCTTATCAAGTAACCCTTGTCTTGAATAACAGCAGCGATGACCGCAAAAAAACGAACAAAAAAAGCAGGCCAACGTCAAGGGAAAGAAAAGCAAAGTAAGGCAAGGCAAGGCAAGGCAACGAAAAAGGCTCTCAAAGACAGCAAGAACAAAAATGGGGCCCACGATGTTTTTTATAAGGACCTCCACAAAACAAACGCAAACATAGAAAGCTTCGCCGTCTAGCTCAGCAGACCAATGTTTATTGTGGTAATTTCTTAAAACAGACCGATTTACCAATAAAACAACAGGATAGATAAATACTATGCTAGGTGGATAATAAATACCACGTCAAACAACATACCAGCAGCAGCCCCAACCACCAATAATAACGAAGGAATGAAAAGTTAAAAGGAAGGAAAGAAGGATAGCAGATAAACCCTGCAGCCCCTTGTTTTTGGTAGTTATGGAGTGCACGGGAATTACGATTGGCTGCAGCTGCCTGGTTGGTTCGCCCGGCACGCGTACGGGATGCAGGAGTTGGGATGGAAACTGCAGTTGTTGACAAACCTGTCTGCCTAGAAAACTCCGAGCGAGATCTCATGACGCAATCGCTATGATTGGGTGCAGTAAATCTCCGCTCCTCAGGTGCGAACAAGGAAAAGGAACCAAGGTCCCGGGGCCGGGGAACAAAGATTTGTTGATCTCAGTAAGGCTGTGACTGATACATTCTTCCCATGGACCCGGTCGGACAGACAACGACAACGTGGGTTGGTAGGATATATACTTCGAACGAGATCTTGTGATGCTGCCTGCAGCAAGGGTCAACAAACTTGACTTACTATATCGTTACTTTTCTTTTCTGGAGTGTTGGGCCCCATGACTGTGCGTAACCAAAGAGATCCCTCTTCGTGACCTAATAGTCTGTTGTACCCACATTTTCATTAAATTACTCTACAGCCTAACTATCTGTATAATCACAGGTAAAAAAAAAAGCAAAAGGCGTGAGTGGTAGAGTATAGCCCCCAAAAAAAATATTCACTCCAGTTTAAGAGTTTCTGCAGAACAGTCATATGCGCCCTACTTTTGGTTTTTACTGCGTTCGTATCCCGACAAAACAAAACAAAAAAACTAGAAATAAAAGAGGAAAATACTATCCACCCACAGTCAAATATACCTAGAGTGATAAGGAAAAAAAACCATCGATCATCAAGTAGGAGATAGTAGCGAAGCAAATAGCAACGTACCGTCTATCTCATCACGTATTGAGTCCCTAGCCTGCCATCTTAATCCTTAATTTTTAATGTTCACTAGCCTCCTGCCCGCCACTGTCTGTCTGCTTAGATTGCTTTGCTGGCGTTCGATCGCCCGAACAAACTCGAGTATACAGCGTCGACAACCGGGCTGGCAGAGATTCTCCTTCCACCGAAAAATCTCCCGTTAAGCCCTTGAATGGCTTTCTCGCCCCCTTGAACCTTTTCGAACTTAATATAAATCTCACCCTGACTATTGGGGTCTAGGGAGATATGAACAACATGGCCGTATTTGCCTTCACACTCGGTCTTTACATCGTCTTCTAGTTCTTTAATCCACGCATCACCAGTTTCTCTGATATGACGTTAACTTCCAGTATTCCGAAGATAAAAATAGGGGAGGTAGAACTTACTCGGTGGGGTCAAACATGTTCTTCAATACAACACACCTACTAGCCATGGGAACGTCAAGGGGGAGAGACTTGTGACCAGCAATCACCTTCTCGGGTAATTTCTGTTTTTGCCTCACAGGCATCTCTTTTCCACTACTTCCGTTCGTATGTGGCTTATCTGACGTGGGGGCCGGTTCGTCCTGTCTCGCAAGTTTGCGCATGAGCAAGTCCCTACTATAATTGTTAAAGTTTACTCCAGCGACATCGGTATCATCGAGAGCGCTAGCACCAGCTCCACCGGCTTTATCGTCAGCGCGACCAACACGGTCATTGCCACCACGGCCACGGTTTTCGAATGCAGAGCCCTGGAAGCCCTGGTAGCCTGAGAAACGCTGAAGCATTTGCGCGGTGGATTCGGGTGTGAACTTATCGTTTCCGAGACCAACACGGATAGGACGGCCGGCAAGGTCGAAGCCGTTCATCTTCTCAAGTGCCTCTCTTGCTTGATTAGGATCACGGTACCTAAGTGCATGGTGTTAGTATATATCTGAGAAGATAGCTTAGAAAGGGAGCTAACTGCACAAAACCATAACCCCTGCTACGACCGCTCTCCTCTTTCTGGAGCTGGACGAACTCTAGTTCTCCAAACGGTTCAAAAACGTGCTGCAAATCGCTCTCCGTAATACTAAAGTGAATATTTCCAACATAAAGTCTATGGAAAGGTACTTGGTTCGCTGTATTCTGTTCTGCCGCACTGACCCGAGCCTGTCGGTTTTTTTCTGCCTCTGTAAGCTGCGCGATGATTGGGATACCGAGAAGCTTCTGCCCGGTCAATTGGATTGCCTTAGGCACAGATGCCTCATCCTTGAATTCTACATAACCAACACTAGAAGGAATATTAGCAAAAGCTCTAGAATTCCTCTCTTTATACAGAAAACTTTTACGTACCCCTTAGATCTACCACTAACTCTGTCTTTGACGATCTGGGCTTCCTTGACTGGGCCAACCTTCTCAAAGAATGTAATCAGCTCCTTGGTCCTAAGTCTCGCAGCCAACTGTTGAACAAAAACAGTTCGACGATCACGCTCGTCTTCGGTCAACTGAGGTGAACGTGATCTGGATCCATCTGTTAGTAAAAGAACAGCTAGTGATATATGTTTGTCGAGTTTACCTAGTTCTCCTATTCCCCGCACGTCTTCTTGGGCTTCTAGATCTGCGGTCAAGGCGATCACGTCTCCCACCATCATAATAATCGCTCTCACGGCGATCGCGATCGCGGCGAGAAGAGTACCTATCATCATCCCGTTCACGGGACCGGTGCCTGTAGCGCGATGAGGAGTAATCATAGTCATCACGTTCGTCGTAATAGGAATCCCTACGGCCAGTGCGACGTCTATTGAAAAGATCGGATGTTTGTAAGTACGTGATTGTCGCGCATAACATTCCTTGATGATGGGGGGAATAAGGCTCAAGCTCAGGCACTCACCTATCACTGTCTCTACTTGCTCTTCGCTCGCGATGGCGCTCGCTTCTTGGGCTCCTGTCGTCGCCCCTATGATCGCGATCCCTATCGTCCCTATCACGTCTGGATGAAGAAGACTTGACGCTTCCACCGCCGTTCCGATCTGGTTTCGGAGAAGAAAAGGCACTGTTTTGATGATCTGGCTGCTTAGGTTTATTGCTCTCTGAGGCTTCGAGGAGGGCTTCTACGTCTAGTCCCGACATGATTGTCTATTTCTCTTGCTCTCTTCGTAGGTCTATTGATGGGGCGATTCTCTTGGGGGGATTATTCACTGGAACACGAGGGCAAAGACAAAGGTGTTAGGTAATTCCCCTGTGAGCGGGCAGAAGGAGAAAGCGGTGAACTCGAACCCTTTTCTTCAAACAATCTTTGTAGCCGATATGCGGATAGAGAATTCACCGGTTAGTCGGTGAGTGGATTCGTTGTATGTTATCGAAGTATGTGATGAGTGTGATGAAGATGATGAATGGAAAAGAAGGCGATCAGGATGCTGGCTGGCAGACAGGGGTTGAGCAAGGGGGAAGTCGAGGCGAAAACTTCAAAAAAAAGTCTGTGATTTGGTGATATCCAAGAAGACAGAGACTATAGAAATATTACTGTGAGAAAAATGTCTTTAGATGATATACGGTACTTCTGAGGCGGTTTCTCATCTTCCCATGCATATTCAATTATATCGATTTGTGTAACCAATGATCCTTAGGAATCAAATCAGATAAGGGTGCAAGAGCGCTTAATCTTTGCTGTTGACTAAAAAGCAGTCCCAGGCCACAATCAGATTACAATCTCTCTGCCAAGACAGCTACCACACACTCTCTCAGATCCACCAAAAAAAGATCTCCACCAAACAACTTGACTACCACCCTTCACGATCACGACAACCCGAGAGACCATTGCGGCTACCAGAGTTTTATGTACGTCAGATAATAACTCCTTCAGGTGTTAGAAATTTCGAAATCGCCCCGCCATTTTTGCTAATTTTCGAAAAAAATTTACAGAACCCAGCTTAATATCCAGCAAAATGTCTGATAACGGTGAAGTTGAGGTCGCCTCGGCCAACTACTCTGTCCTCCCCAAGGAGGTTACCGAGGAGATTGGTAGCATCAAGCTTTTCAACAAGTGGAGCTACGAGGATGTTGAGATCAGGGATATCTCGTTGACGTAGGACCTCCCCCCCGACTGCTTCTCCAGATTCGCGGGAAGGCGATGTTTTATGAGATGGATGGGTGGATGGAGGGTGGTGGAATGCAAGGTTCAATGGGCAGGATGGAAGCATAATGGAAGGAAGCCGCGGGATGGAAAGAAGCATAGGAGGAAAGGCAGACCTTTGAAACGGATGGAAAGCTGACATGAAATTGTCAATACACAGCGACTACATGAACATCCGTAACCCGGTCTACCTCTCTCACTCCGCTGGCCGCTATGCCGTAAAACGTTTCCGCAAGGCTCAGTGCCCCATCATTGAGCGTCTCACCAACTCTTTAATGATGAACGGTCGCAACAACGGAAAGAAGCTCCAGGCTGTCCGTATCGTTGATCACGCTTTCTCAATCATCCACCTCATGACCGACCAAAACCCTGTTCAGGTCGCTGTTGATGCCATTGTCAACTGCGGTCCCCGTGAAGATTCAACCCGTATTGGTTCTGCCGGTACCGTCAGGAGACAGGCTGTCGATGTTTCTCCCCTCAGGAGGGTTAACCAGGCCATCGCTCTGTTGACTATCGGAGCGAGGGAGGCGTCATTCAGGAACGTTAAGAGCATCGCTGAGTGCTTAGCTGAGGAGCTTATCAACGCTGCCAAGGGGTCATCCAACTCTTACGCCATTAAGAAGAAGGACGAGCTCGAGCGGTACGCAAAAGCCTTTTTTTCAAACATCTCCTACCTAGGATTTCAAGCTGATTTGTTTGTCCAAACTATAGTGTCGCCAAGTCCAACCGTTAAGGAATTACTTGGTTTGGTGTTCGGGGATGGGGTCGGTATAAATAAAAAAAAATCGAAATCAAGACGGGCAGGCAGGAATAAAAAAAGTTTTAAAGGCGAAATCATGTCGAAATGTGCTTTTTTTCTTCTTCCTCTATCCCCTGCTTTGTACCAGTACGGTTGGGGCACCTGTACTGATACAGTTGAAACAAAAAATAAAGCCTTTCTCTTTCTTGGGTTGTCAATCTGTGGGTTCTTTTTTGTAGGTCGCGGTTCTGTGTTTATATTTAAGTGACTTTTCTTTCTCTTTCGTTCTGTGCATGCATGTGATTATTACCAGATTATCATCCCGGATCAAATTTGGATGTAGTTTGTGTTTGGCCCTTTCCGTAAATCTTATATTTGGGTGTCATCCATCAGTTGATTGGCCCATCTGATTACAATTAACCTTAGCAACATACATATATGTACATGTAGTGAGGTTATTGCTTAGGAAACCGGAGACTACTCTATTATTAAGTAAACAACGGATGTAGCATCTTCGGGCTGTTTATTAAAGGAGCTCTAGTAGAGTGGGGGGTCACTCATGTGGGGAGTATTCATTGCAAGCCTGGAAAGATGAAACAAAGAGTTAGTGATGGTGAATTTCGCTACCAAATACCCTCAAGGCAATTTTACATTGTAGTCAGTATGCTCGTGGGTAGAATGAATTTAAGTAACAACTTATAATGTATTGGTAAAAAAAAATGCGCATCATGATTTGAGCCTAGATTTAAGCTTACAAAAGTTTTTCATGCTTCTATAAGTCATACCAAAGAGATTACAAGTAAGTTAGCTACTATTGACAACATAACATGAAGCTAGAAGAAGACAGCACACTAAACCCCCAGAGCTAGAGAGGTAGAGGGTTTTAAGCTTCAAGGGCCGTTGCGTCATAGCTTATGACTCGCTCCTTGAGACCCTGCGGACTGCGGTCTTGGCATCATCACTGGCTACATACATATTTACACTTGGAGTTGATGCCCTGGGGTTTACTTCAGAGCTCAGGGGTATAATAATAAAAGAAAGTGTGTAGAGTATATGTAATTACATGTACATGTATAGCGCCGGAAAGGTTGGTGGGATTGCAGGGTGATTCATCAGGCTGCGCGGTGGTGACTCTTTCTGGCAGGTGTGGTGTTAATACGTATGTGTAGCGGAGAAAAATTAAAATAGCGTACATAGGTATCCCAAACTCAAATCACAGAGTGCGCAATTTTTCTTGGGCAAATATGGAGAGTTATTGCAAGATATTGCTTAAATGTGTGCACATGTCATTATTCTGACCGACCGAATTCACTTCCCAAGGCTACGTGTACTCATAATTGACAGGTAATGGTAACAGTATCATCCCTAACCCTATTCTCGAGTCAGACTTTATACCCGCAGAGCAACATCTTACATGTATGTAGCCCTAGAGTTCAATGATTAGACCGCATGTAGAGTACTCTGCCTACTCTAGATGCTAAACTACAGGTTAGAGTAATTGTACTTCAGGGCTACATGTACTCAGGGTTTTGCTAAATGTACATGTAGTGCATTAGGTACATGTAGCTATATCTCCTTGCAGCAAGTAGAGTTTGTGATATGGTGGCATACGGAAGTGGAACAATTGTGGCTGCAATAGGGCCTCATGGGCCAATAAGAGGACCCATTTCTAGCCATTCTGCTGCATTACTGCCACGGATCATTCAGGTTTGCTTTTCTGGGGTATAAATGGGTATAATACTGTTCCACCCTGTTCAGTCTTGGCGCATTTTACATACAAAAATCTACAATATCAACTTGCTAAGGCTTTTCAACCCAGATAGATATCGAAAATTTGCAAAGATATAACTAAACATCATCTCTTGAACTAGAGTTCTATCTTTCCGCTTTTTTTTTTACCATTTTTCGTGGCAAAGACTTAAGCGATTGACATTTCGTTGCGATCCGCTACCTTTAAGCGTGGGCGCACCATATGTACTATGACTAAGCCACAATGTTGATCTGTTGGCTTATCGCGGTGAATGCAGTGCTTTAGATATCCGTTTGTTCTATTCTTCACTACATTGAGTATTGTTATTATATTAGCCAGTGATAGAAAAAAACATCACATCACAGTTCATCACACGAGCACCTTATATGTTGCACATTTTATTTTGAGCCTCAATAGCCATTGTCTACAACATCACCATACATAATGGAAACCACCAACACCTCGGAAATGGATCCCCAGCCTACTGTTAAGACCCATATCACGCCTGAGATACATGTCCATTCTAACATCATATTCAGGAATCCGCCCGCCGTATTGTCCCCAAGTTTTCGAGCTTCAAACCATTAAAAGAAGATTCACCTCCGGCTTCTCTAGCACCAAAGGACGAAACGAAAGGCAATCGACAAGAACACCACGAGAACCGGAGCCACAGAGAACACCGGAAGCACCGCTCAGGGAGTGGGGATAGAAGAGGAGATAGGAAGAAAGATAAAGATAGGAAGAGAGACCCCGACGAAAGGCGTCGTGACCGTGACAAAGAGAGGGACAGGGGCCGAGATCATGGCAGTGGACGAGAACATCAGCACCGAGATAAAGATCGAGAACATCGCCGTCACCATCATCGTAGATCAACCTCCCCTTCTAGAAATACCACTACTATAGCGGTTCAAAGGACGCGCTCGCCTTCTCCGGACTCATGGGACGCGCCGAAAAAACAATACTACATTGATACACGCGGCGACCCTTCAAACATCACTTATGGCACTATATATCGCTATGAAATCCCAGACTACCGTCGCCACGGGTCCGGGTGTGTGGTAGGTTTAAGCCCGGATATCCGGATTGATAGGGAAAAGGGGGATGGGAAGGGGCTTGTCCTGACATCCAAAAAAGATATAAAATTTTCTGGGGGTGGCAAAAGCTCAAGATATACCTATGCAAGAAATGATAATGACGGTGTGAAAATGTTGCGAATTAAGCAGGACGGGGGGAGTGATGATAAAGCATTTGAGGCGGGCTTGGATTTTGTGCCAATATCGTCAAAATTGAAGGGGAAGAAGAGAAAAAATCACCCAGGTGCAGAAAGTGAAAGCTCAGAGGAAGACGACAACCATTACCGGTCACTTGAAGGGCTAAAAAAGGTTGGCACAAAGCCGGAGGATCGGGATCTAGAGTATGCGTCTTCCACAGACTCGGATAAAGATTTTGTCACCTCCAGTGAATGGATTGATCGCAGACGGAACAGCGAGCTCATCAAGAAGGTCGATGCGAATCCTCGGGATGTCGATATTTGGATGGAATATGTAAACCACCAAGACACACTTCTAAGTAGCAGCGGGCGGAAACCGAAACTTGCTGAGAGAAGAAGTATCGGGGAAGTTAAACTTGATATTCTAACCAAGGCTTTAGAAAAGTGCCCAGGGGATGAAAGGTTACTGGTAAAATATATGGGTGTTGCCGAAACCCTTTGGGACCCCAAAAGACTTCTTTTAAAGTGGCAGCAAATACTCAAAGAAAATTCTGCAATTATTGGGCTGTGGACAAAATATATCAATTTTCGTCAAACAGACTTTCAGAGCTTTACTTATCCAGAAGGCATCAAATCCTTCACCGAATGTCTGGTTGTACTTCGTTCAGCGGTGTTTCGTTTAGGGAAAAACGATACGGGATCAGCAGAAAAAGAGAAGCTCGAAGACATAATTCTCTACGTATTCCTACGAGCAACCTTATTCATGCGTGAAGCTGGATATGTGGAACTTGCCATAGCGTCTTTCCAGTGCATGCTAGAGCTAAATGTTTTTAACCCGCTAATCACACCGCCACCAAACACCGAAGTAGCCCACGAACAGCTCCTGGGAAAGCTCGAAGAGTTCTGGGACAGTGAAGTTATACGCATTGGAGAGCCAGGTGCTAAAGGTTGGGCAGCATATGTAATTTCAGGCGGTAACGGTGATATCCCGGAACCCCGAGAAGAAAAGCTTTTTTCGGGGCCATTGGATCATCGAGATATATTTGGTTCATGGATGGACGACGAGGAGGAAAGGCTGGCATTATCTATGATGCCCGCAAGGACTACCGACGAGGTAGAAGAGGATGATCCCTATCGTGTTATACTATTTTCAGATTTCAAAGCTCTCATGTTTTGCTTTTCGGTCGGTGCAGTGCGGCGAAAGATTGTTGATGCATTTTTGACTTTTTCAGACCTGACACCGGCGAGGCCTGTTTCCTCAAACTCGCCAGGCGTAACGGACACGTTTTTGAGGAATGATATGAGTTCCATGGAGGAATGGTATCTGGATGAGTGGTTTTGGCCAAAGAGTTCGGATGAGGCCATAGACTCAAAAATAATCACTTATTTAGGGGGACTGTCGATGGAGCCGGAACGAAAGACTGGCCTGTCCAAAGGCAATCCATTCGGGTTTGGGTTAAAAAATTATCCGATTGGGCAAGCCTCCCTCTTTACTTGGGAATCTATCAATTGGAGCCAAAACGTCAAAGGAGTGGATGCAGCATTTGTAGGTAGAACCTTAAAGATGCTTGTTGACGGTTTCGAGGATGAAAAACTGGCAACCTACTACCTAGCCTGGATATCACGAAACCAGCCTGAAAGGTATGTATCACTTAGATGTACCTATTAGCAGGAAGCTGACACAAAATAGTGTCACAAAGGTCGCAAAGGCCCTATTAAAGAAATTTAGGACTAGTTTACTTCTTTGGAATGGTTTTGCGCAGGTTGAATGGCAGGATGGCAAAGTTGACGCCGCACGGAATATCTTTACGACCACACTGGGAATGAGCCAAGGTTTTCCGGAAGCAAGTAGGCGGGATGCAATTCTGCTGTGGAGAACCTGGGCGTGGAAAGAGCTCGAGGATCCGCCACAAACACTTCGTATTCTTCTCTCCATAGAATCTGGGAAGCTGCTTCCAGAAGATAAGAATAGTTTTAGCCCGAAAAATATACAGCCAGCATTGTTGTTGAAGGCTAGAAGAGTGAGTGTGTCAGGCCTGTTGACTGAAAATTACTAACGATCTTTCTGGCACCATAGTATCTGGATGATCAGCAGAACCTTATGATGTCAATGGGACACAATCACCATGCAGTTATATACGTCGAAGTCCGGGCTCTTCTTGAATATCTTTCTCATGATCAGGATATATCCATCGCATTGTCGATTTTTGATACATTCATGGAAGAGCTTGAGCGGCGGGATCTTACTGGGCCAGAATCAGTTGTGCATGAACTCTGTCTTATGGCGAAAGCGCAGATGTTGTATTACCACGCAAGGACGGCGAAGATGTTTAAAATGAAAATTATGAGAGAAGTTTTAGAGCAGGCTGTTAGGCTGTTTCCGAATAACACTGTTTTCATGGGATTGTATGCCTGGAATGAAGGAAAGACAAAGATCGAGAATAAGGTCAGGACTTTGGTGAGGGACGTAGTACTGAAGGAAGGAAGGGAAACAGTTTTGGGGTGGGTTTTTGCTATCTGGGCGGAGTTGAGAATGACGGGAATTGGCGGAGGATATAGCCCACATGCAGTAAGATCGTTATTCGAGCAGGCAGTAGAGTGCAATCGGTATGCTTTTCGGTAGACCCGCATATATTTGTGTAGCAAACTAACCAGCATTTGGGCAGAACTAAATCTAATATCGGGCTATGGATAACCTATGTAAACTTCGAACTGAGAGAGAAAGAGCCAAGGAGAGCCAAGGAAACGCTGTTCAGGGGGATACAATGCTGCCCATGGTCAAAAAGTTAGTGATAAGAATCTTACCTTGAAGCATCATGCTAACAAAATCGTAGATTTGGTGCTCTTAGCGTTCAAAAAGTTACGCCCGGTATTAGGGTTTGAAGAAATGCGGAAGATTTTGTCCATCATTTCGTCAGAAAAGGAGTTGAGGGTGCATGATGTAACAGAATTAGAGGATATAATCGGGGAGATGAGCGAAGCTCAACGGGAGCGACTTGGGGGAATGGGGGGACCGCACTTTCTCAGTATACCTGATGATATTTCTGAGGATGAGCATATGCAGGAGGATTGAGAAATGAGTTGTTGGTCAAATACATTTGATATAACATGTAGCTCTGAGCTTGATTCTACCAATTTTGTTCACGCATGTGAAGCCACATAATGTATGCAATAAAGACTCGCCAGTTTACAACCATACTCTACTACTACAGCCTCTAACTGATGGAATGAAAATGTCTCCCCCCCCCAAAAAAAAAAAAAAAAAAAAAAAAAAAAAACCTGTGATCTAACCAAACTGTTCCTCCGATATCTAGGAAAATATGGAATTGAGTTTTTCGTGTTTGGTTTATTCAAGATGCGGTTTATTCCAGATTATTTTCCCGAACTCCCCAAAAACTTTGGGCTTTTTTTGGTATTGGCGCTTATTCAATAAAATCTCAGCATTGTCAGATTATGGTTGCCTAAAAAAATACATGTATGTAGTACAGGACCTTTTCAAAACCACCAATGTGCCCAAAGTAGCTGTGGGCCAGGACATCCGAACAGGCCTTACTACGGTACGATACTGAAATGCAGTGCATGTATACCATGTACGAAAAAACTCGTTCAGATAGCGTTTTTCATTTTCTAACTCTATGGCGGCAATCTTCTGCATACAAAGTACAACTCAAGCAACCCAAACTCTCAACCACAGCTCTCAACCTCACAACCTCACAACCTCATAACGTCACAACATCACAACCCCGCTTCCCCTTCTCATATAACACCCATCGTCTCTCCCTTAAAAAAAATAGGGTGAGAGTTCACGAACACCTAAACCGCTACACTCTCCTGTTTTAATCAGCAAACCTTTAACCAAGGCCGAAATGACTACAGAATTGGACCATATGGCCGTGGTCACAACTGAGATTTGTGTTTCTCTGGAAAGATATCCAGAAGAAGCAGCAGATAGAATTGGTCTTTGTGATGAATACTTGACGAGGTAAGGGGTGTAATCTATTTTATCAAAGCCGCTGATGGAATAAGTACTAACTCTTCTATTTATTTTAGAATCGGGACCGAAACAAATACCCATATCGAGTGTGACAAGAAGGGAAATGCCCTCTTCATCCATGGCGGGCCTAAGGACGTCAAAAAGGCGTATGCTGAGCTCCATGAGCTGCTGAAACGTCTCAGTATTTCCAAAACGGATGCTCCCATCGTTGATGAACTCGCCGAAGAAGAAGTAAAGCTTCTGGGGAAAGAATTCCTTGATGGCGTCGTTTTTCGCAAATTCAACGACGGAAGTATCTTGCAGGAGAACACTTCCAACACCTATGTCCTAGATCCAATTCATACGGATAAGTTTGAGAATGGAAATGACAGGATCTGTGCTAGCGGCATGTGGGATATGAAGAAATTTGTTGAATGGAAGTTTGTTCCTGAAGTAACCCGCGAAGCTAGTAAAGTTTTGATGGCGCAGTTAAGGCGACTACCACTAGAAACAGAGGATTATTTCAAGCTGGAGGTACCAAATACTCATATATCCATAAGGGGTGTTTATATACTTACAAACTTGTATAGATGAGTATCGGGAAAGTGATTTTTTACGAAAATTCCAACAATTATCCACTTGATGGTGCAAAATTCGCCGTCAACGATTTCTGTCACCTCAGAGAAACTGTGTCTTCTTTTCGCAAATGTCTGGATGCATGCCTGATCGAACACTTGGGAGACATTCTACCAAAACTCAGATATAATAGAGAAGGAAACACTTTTAAAACCGTCAAGATCCGACACATTGTGGGACATAAAGATGGGAATTCTTACGCGAATGTCTGGTCGCTTGATATACTTGAGGGAGGGAAATATGCCGGTAGTAAGTCTCCTTCACCAACCTCGAGGTGGAAGTTGCTGATAATATTAGAAAAATCGAGGCCGCTTGAACTCAACAAAGTACGCGTGTTTAAAAGGAGTCCATTCTCGGCCACTATTCACAACCCAGCCAAGGCATTTGATTTCAAACTTTCAATCATTGCTAACGCCCGCGAATGTACCGCGAGTACACAGGAAATTGAAGAACGCATTAGTCGGACCTACAGGTATTCAACCAAAAGAGGACTTTTAGTCAATTCTGAGGTTGAACGTAACCACGGATATAAGCCCTTGGTCCTTGCAGAGTCTAGAACTTTCAAGGAAACCACCTGGATCCGTGGGAACATCAAGGTTTCTATCCTTGAAGTGGAAGATGGACCTGAAAGCGTGTTTGAGGTCAAAGTACAAAATAACCAATTGAAAGAGTACTTACGCGAAAGTCCTAGGGAGGTTCCACTGGACTATGTCATCGCAACGGTGAAGGAACTTTTTGAGGCTATAGAAGAAATTAGGGACGAACTCAATATTTTCTCTAGCTCAAAATATCCAGAGGATTTCTTGCTTAAACCGGGTCAAAAATCAGAGGATAGACCCAGATATTCTGCAAGGGGAGCAGGAAATATATTTTCTGATGTCGATGCCGAGAATGAATTGCGAAATTCATCTCTAGTTCATCGAACCAAGTACACAACAACTGAGCAAATTCCTGATATAATTCCGCCCAAAAGGCTCAACCACAGCTCCCAGAGGACCTCTCCTCGGAGCTCATCATTTTGCGACTCTCCAAGCTTGGGAACTGTAAAGCCATATGCTACTTGGGAGGAGGGCCTTATCAAGGACGGGTTTGATTTGAAAACCCCAATTCTTATGCCCACCAAGATTCACTCTCGGATACACCCATCAACTCACGACAAATCATCTCCAACAGTGCCCGAATTCCTCGGTGAATATGACCATACGACTAGTCCCAGCCCAGTGCCGGTGAAATCCGTCAGGAGAAACGAAATTTCCAAAGCACAAACACGTGATTTGTCTCCATATGATATAGGCCGTGCCATGGAAACATCAGAGAAACCACCTTCATATCGCGGTAATTCATACCCTACCAGACCAGCCAATCTATCAGAAAGGCTTCCTGATGATGTCTTATTTGACATGCCTGATGCTGGGATTAGTGGGGACTCCCCTCAAGATGTCAAGTATTCGTCAACGCATGATATGATGGACCTATCCAGCACGAAGAAAATTGACTTTTTCGGGAGCATCGACCCCTCAGCCGATGATGGCGAACAATCGGTTTCATGCAGCCCAATCAGCAGGTATCACTATCACGACGAGGACCTACTTCTCTTTAGTTAGATGTATGACTGTTTCATTGGTCGTCAAGAATAGAGTGATAGTATCCTGTTCTCTTAAAAGAAAGAAAAACCCATTTTATTGTGGGTAGAATTTAAATCAGCTCTGCACAAAGGTTTTCAATAGAAGTGACTTATAAATCTTTTATCGGGACTTTTTATTTATTCATCAAAGATATATCATTAACTACATCACTTCGCCTGCCCCCGCTGTGTATTAAAAGAAATACTAAAACTGTCAACTCAATGCACGTTTACAGTCCTTCTATGAATGCAATTACTTAGAATAGATTCGGGGAAATATGAATAAATCATATAGTACCACCGATAAGCCAAAATATAGACCTCGCCCAAATATTAATTAAATAAAACATGCGTCCGCAAGATTATATTGCATGGACCCCTTTCCCAGACCAGGCTCTCATTCTAGATAGAAGCTTATATATAAGGTCCTTGTAAATACAATACATGTATTTACTTTTGAATAAGGGTTTAAGTACATAATTGTATTTAACGTACATATAAGTACATGTATCTACATGTATGTAAGTATGTAATGTTAATTATACATAGAGTACATGTAGTCAATTAATGAATTAAACAAAAACATTCTTGATTCGTTGATGACGAGTGATACTATATGATGCATTGCGATAAGATAAGGATGTGATAGCGGGGAACTTATTTAGCTTAAGCTTTATCCTTTGATTTACTCTTGGCACTCTTGTAAATCAAGCCAATCATCACCAGTAGATTTAGTCACGTGACCAGAGAATTTCCACATCGCGACCCGTAAAGCATGGCACTTCAGCCCATTCCTAAGCATCTAGCTGGAGTATCACTACACAACTTTATAACCAGGCTTATAAATTCATGAGAAGGTTGCATATCTCTGACTCACATCCTCCAAAGAGTCTCTTGATCCCATAGTTAAAACCTCAAACCACATCCCTAACGACTACTCGCGCCGAATAAATGCACGAAATCATCACCCTACAACTAGGGCACCAAGCTAACTACTTAGGAACTCACTTCTGGAACACTCAAGTAAGCAAAGCTCCTGGGGCAATTGAACAACCTGGTAGCTAACTCAAACATCCTCTAGGAGTCATATTTCACATACACTGAAGATGCAACTCCCAGTCCCATTGATCATGACGTACACTTTCGCCCGGGTATCGGAGTCGGTGGGGTGGAAACATATACACCAAGGACCCTGATTTACGACCTAAAGGGTATATAGTCTCAAGAAGGATATTGGAATTATCTATCATGATTTAATTCTCGCTGACTTTTTCTGGTGAAACAGGTGGATTTGGGTCCATGCGAAAGATAAATGCGCTTTATGATCAAATGGAGGAAACTGTAGGGGGGATCCCTCAGGGACTATGGTGGGAATACGTATCAATCTGCTTTTACGAAATGGGTCTCGTGCTGAGATTTGCTTGCGTGGATTAGGGATCGTGGGACCACTATACAAAGAGAGACCCCCATCGAACCAATTGAGTACCAGAAAAACCTCGAAGCTGTGAGCATCTAAATCTTGCTCTCCGAAACCCCCACATGTATTCACAATTGCGAGATGTTACGTTTAGGGACTTCCGGCTCCCGAGCTAGACACGCCATCAGTCCGCTACTGGAGTGACTTTAATAGAGTATATTATCACCCACGATCATCTATTCAAATCAGTGAGTATGAGCTCGATTCGAAGGTTATGCCTCTCAAGGGATTCGGCCTAGGAAAGGCTCTTTTCCATGACTTGCACATGGAGCATGACTTGATCGATAGGGACTTCAGGTTATTTGCAGAGGAGTGCGACCAAATGCAGGGCATCCAAATCATGACTTCTACCGATGATGCTTGGGGTGGATTTGCCTCAGAATATGTTGCTGCTCTAAGAGACGAGTACTCCAAAGCCTCCATAGTGACTTGGGGGTTGGAAGGTAGAGATAAGGTTCCCAGGGTGAGTTTGCTAATGTTATTGTCGATTTTACTATCCCCCACCATCAAATTAATTGCCTTTTATCCTTGATTCGCAGTCACTCGTTTTCTTTTTTTTTTTATCTAAGATTCGGATGGAAGTTTATACTAGAACGAGCACCTCGTATTCCAAGATTAAGCCAGTCAAGACTGACCGTAAATAGGAACAGGAGATCAAGCGAACAGTTGATCTCGCGTACTCTCTATCAGGGATAGTCCCACTGACATCTCTTTACATCCCTCTTCGAAGCCCTCCCCCCAAATTGCACATTATCTCACAATGGACAATTCCTCAAAATGGCATGTGAGCGGGTTATTATCAGTAGCACTTGAGACCTGCATTTTACCTACTCGTATTCGGGATAGTGATAGCTCTGGTAGATTGGGAAGTTTGGGTGATATGGCTGCTCTACTCAATGTCAGCGGGAGTCAGAAGATTACCAACCTTACCATGTCTATCCACGATATGGAAGAAAAAAAATCGGACGGCACGCCGCTGCCACCAGCATCCAGCTCGCCGCGGGACTCGGCATCAAAGATTGAACTCTCTTGGGACTCGAGTAACACCAGGGTTAGAGGGAAAAAAACCGATGGTGATGGACACGTCTTTGCAGAAGCGGAAGTTATGAGAGGATTCGATGAGAAGCAGGTTATGGAAGAGACGGCAGCTGCTTCTCGGACAGTTGGATTGGCACATGATCGGCGTGACGCTATTCTCGGAAGGTAAGGCCCTTTTTCTTTTGATTTCGCTGCCTCCATAGCTTCCCCCGGGTGTTTCTTGCCCTTTTCTGTTCACAGCGCCGAAAAAGCCACAAGTTCTTTCTTCCCCCAGCCACTGAGAGGCTTGGTTTTCCAGCATTCAATTTTTATTTTTGATGTTTCTTTGTTTTATATCTTGTTGCCCCATAATGCCATAGAATGGAGTGGTGGGCGTTGTGTTCAGGCTACATCAGCTCAGCAACGTGCATGTCAGTACACAAGCACTATCTATCTAGCCCTACAGCAGCGTTGCTTTCTTTTTCCTGTTCCTTCCAGGATCATCTTCACCCCGCACTGTATAATGCAACCTCTCTTCATCAATCACTGACGGTTATATAGTTATCTCACGCAGTTTACATACCCAATAATCGACAGTTTCCCCGCCATCTTTTCTTCGCGTGTTCTTGACAGATCAGTCCTTGACAGGCCTTGCGTTGGCAGGATTACCACCAAACTCACAACATCATCCAAAACAATCTCGCGATTGAAGAATGTCAAAGATCTCGTGTCACGAATAGTTGGTGTTGATGAAAGAGAGGCTCTTTTAAACGACTTAGGGGAGTTTGCGGAAGCTTATGAGGAGGGATACAACAGTGGGTCTGACGATGACGACGATTAGTTAGAGTCCTTGCATAACAATTTAAATTTCTTAGGGAAGCTCGGCTATGTGATAAAAGCTTGTGTAGAGCTGCTAAAACCTATATATAGCACCCACCCTCGCAATGCACGCCTTCTAAACTCCTCTGTACTCAGTAGGAAGCATACTAATCATCATTGCTGCCCTCATGACATGTATTTCAGCCTAGAATGAGAATCTAATAAAGTAAAAAAAAATCGCCTTTTGTGTTGTCTCAGGAATCAGCCAGAACTTAAGCCGTGAAATAACAATACATAGGTACCAGTCAGATACCTTGGGTAATGGGGTGAAATTTTCTTTCGTTACACCGCAAGGTTCAGAGACAATTAAGCGGATGAGAACGACTTTTCAGAATGATAAGAAGAAACCTGTTCATAGAGTAGAGCGAAGAATGTTGATTCCTTCCCATGTTGCTGTTAAGCTTGTACATAAGATCTTTACCCATTTTGGGAATTCTACCCAACCAAGGGCAAACCAAAAGAGGAGTCGGGTTATGTAGGTACAGCATCTATGCACTCTACATACCTGCCAAACGTGCAGTTATCCGTTTCCTCAAACCAGTGAGGAGAGATAGAAACATCGCCAATCGGGCGTTGACTGCAGGTCTCAACTGTAACTATGTTCCGCCCTGTGCCTCCCTCGCTTGATCCATTTCTTTTTTTAGAATAGTATATTTCTTTTCCAGAATCATAGAACCCTGCAACCAATGACGCTGATTACCACGCCCACCAAAAATACAAAGATGCAAGTAAGTAAACCGTTCCCATATCCATGTCATGCACGTTGATCGGGAAGGGAAGAACAATCGGGCTACTATCACATCCGGCCCGGCACTGAGACACCTGGAGGACGCCGCCGCCCATGCCACAAACAAAAACCCTCATCGATCAATGGACTTTGAATTATTTACAGATCGCCTATTCAGTAGGGGATTTGGAAAATTTGACGAGCGGATGAGAAAGTGCAATGTGTACTGTAGTAAGTAGTTTCACTTTTGGAGCTCTTTTAGGGCCGTAGGGCTGATCGATATATATACATACGGTATTGTATGTACCATTCCGGCACTTTTTCGAACCTGCAAAATAGGGTTTTCTCCTTTAAGCCTGTCAGCACAGATGAGCTGGCACTACTCTAAGTACTCGACCTGGGCCACCCCAGCCACTTTGGGGTTTATTTCACTGGGTAAGCCCTTAGTTATCATGATCAAGACGAATGAGCGTTCAACGCCATCATACCACTCATTTTCGTGAATTCAGTCAAGCCCATGCATGTGTTTTGTTATTGCATTCTTATCAGGATCGTAAGTCGATCATTCCTCCCTGCCTAACTCGGATGGGACACTGCTCCTTTGCTTTTCTTCATCTGACGTTCGGTCTACTTAGTTCTAGTATGGTCGCCTGTCAATTGGTAGTTCCGGGCCTACATGTGGTTAAAAACGCCGAGTAGATAGAGTATAGTACATACATACTTTACTCTACTCGTATCCATCTATTATATTTACATGTCAGCCGCCAAAAAAGGCTTAGGCTTTCTGTGCAACATTACTACATCATATCACGGCTGTGAAGATATGGAATCGCATAGCAAATCTGAGTGGGTGCAAGTCGCCATGTAGTGATTGTCACACCGGAGCCCACCTGTGCGCAGCTACTTGGTGCTTATCCGATTTGTCTACATGCTTAGACTCCTAGTCACTCGATATCTGTCTATGCATCATGTTTCCACTCATGATTGTATAAAGAACCTGTGACCCCACAGTCATATTTCTCCTTTACCATCTCTTCCCTATCGTTTGTCGTCAGGTCATTCGCTTTCGAAAAGTATCTTTCTACACAAACACTCGCTTTTGTGTTGATTGATATCTCTCTCGCTATTTACTTAGTCCGACTTGCATCGTTAGTCGAGTCGAGGAATAAAACGCATTTATTCCAATTTCAATTGAGAACGGAAGGATATATTGAACCAAACAAAAATGGTTAACTCAGTTCGTATTATCAGTCTTCTCGCCCTCGCAGCAGTTGGGGCGATTGCAGGAGATCATGGCGGAAATGGAGGTGGTGGAGGAGGTGGTGGTGAGGGTTGGGACCATGAACATTATTCAACCCCAGATTATGAAATTAGCACTTCAACTCCCTGCACAACTACTACCAGCTCTACTTATTATCCACCATCTTCGACCTCAACTTCGTGTACCACTTCAACGAGCTCGACCTATTATCCTCCACCTCCATCCTCCTGGTCCTCCTCCACGTCGATTTACACGCCTCCACCTCCACCTCCGTCGTCGTCTTCCACTTCGATTTACACGCCCCCTTCTCCTCCATCCTCGTCGACTTCAACCTCTTGCACTACGTCAACTACAATCTATACACCACCCCCACCACCCTCGAGTTTGTCGTCGAGCTCTTCACTGAGTTCCTCGTCTTCGTACTCCCACCCCCCTCCTCCTCCTCCCCCGTCTTCGTCGACTTCAACCTCCTGCACTACGTCAACTTCTTCTACCTATACACCACCCCCACCACCCCCAAGTTCGTCGTCGAGCTCTTCACTGAGTTCTTCGTCTTCGCACTCTCATCCTCCTCCTCCTCCTCCCACAACCTCAACCTCATGCACTACCAGTACTACTAGTACTACACCTCCGCCATCCTCGACTTCGACGTCGTGCACAACGTCGACTACGTCTTCTTCCTCTTCTTCGTCGTCCACGACCTCAATCTATACGCCGCCTCCGCCGCCCCCGACTTCAACTTCATGTACGACGAGTTCCACAACTACTCCGCCGCCGCCGCCGTCGTCCACCTATTCTCACCCGCCTCCTCCGGCGTGGAACACCACATCTCACTCGTACCCTCCACCACCTCCTCCATCGTCAACTCCGTGTACCACTAGCTCGACTACAACACTTCCTCCGCCTCCCCCTCCACCATCGTCGACTCCGTACACCACTAGCTCGACTACAACGCTTCCTCCGCCTCCTCCACCACCGCCATCGTCAACTTCATGTACGACGAGCTCTACAACTACTCCGCCGCCGCCGCCGCCATCCACCTATTCTCACCCACCTCCTCCGGCATGGAACACAACTTCTCACTCGCACCCTCCCACACCTCCGACGTCAACCCCTTGCACTACCAGCTCGACAACTGTCCCACCCCCATCAACTTCTACTCCATGTACCACCTCAACTCCCGTCACTTCAAAGACGACTATCACCTACACTACAATTTCGACACTCACGACATGCATCCCGGTCACTAAGACCTATACCACCGGAACCAGCACCTACACTACTGTCACATCAATCACCAAGACGCTTACCAACACCATCACCTCAGTCTCATGCCCACCCACAGCTACTCCTCCGGCACTCACCACTACAATCTGGGTTCCTCCTCCGTACACGCATACCACTGACATCAGCACTTTCACGACAACAACTTACATCGTAACTAAACCATGTGCTGCTTGTGCTCCGGAGACGAGTTACTATACCACCACAACTTGTGTCACAAACATCCCGGTGCCGCCAACTTACACTTTGCCCACTGTTGTGACTAGCAGTGTTACGGTGATTGTTCCTCCAGCAGTGTCTACCAGCGTCACAGTTGTTGTCCCCCCGGTGTCAAGTACTGTAGTAACAGTCTCTACCCCTTCAACCAATGTGACTGTTCCTACTGCTCCAGCTACTACTCCTTCTACGTAAGTTCACTACCTTTTTGTCAAATTTTGATTAACACCAATAAAGCTAACAACTATATCTAGTACTGCACCACCGCTTTCTACTGGCGCTGCGGGAATTAATAGGCCCAGCATGATCGGCTTCGTTGCTGTCGTGGCTGGTCTGATCGTTCTTGCTTAATCGCTTTAATGTAGTTTTTATCGTTTCTTTTTTCATATTATGTTGTCGTGTCATTCCTTTATTTTTATAATTATGACTACTATGGAGCTTTTGGGATATGGGATCATTCATTTAGGTTTGGGGGTACGGACTGGGTTATTTAGATATATATGGCTTATGCAGTTATACGATACATTCTTTTAGTGATAGTTAATAAATACTTGTCAGCAGAAAACTCTCTATGCCTATTGTCAATGATCGTGTGAAAAATTCCTAGTTAACCCCTGAGACTATCAAGCTTAAAATGAATGGAGCTCTGAGGTTTTGCGTTCTAAACAAGTGAAAATTCGTATCAAAATTAGGCTATATACGTTATCTAAACCCGGCAGTGATCGTTTTAAACCTTCCGTCAGGTGGTGATTTTCGAAGTAATGATCGCATACATACTTCAACACATGTATCAATTTACAACTTACGTCATCTGTAAGCGGTTGATCTTGTCTTAAGAACAGTACTGCGTATAGTAAGCTTTTTATTCGTATGTATATTTTCTTTCTTTAATAATGGCGTCTGGTTGGGGTGGTGATATATGCTAAAGTTGTAGTACGACATGTCGTGGTATATATGGCTTAAGGATAATATCTATAATCTTGTTCATGTCTTGCTTATAGAGATCAGCGGTTTGATCAAGCAACGGGAGGAGAAATTTATGGTTTGATTACAGGATCTCAGCACGTACTCTAAGTGTTTTGTTGCGGAATATACATACTCCTGGAGATCCGTACTCTAATGGGTCACCCACCATATCACTTAACAGCTTTGCTGGCTTCTGTAATCCGGCCTGGAAGCTTAAGGGACGTGACCTTATTCTAAAGGGTTTTATTGTACTACGAATGTCGGGGTAAGTCTGATGACAGTGGCCGTGGTTGCAACAGTTCTCACTGTCAACAGACTTGCCCCTACACGCGTAGTACATATGGATAGCCAAAAATTAAAACAGGGTAGTTAGTAGGTGTGCGCTATGACCTAGTTGACTAAGATACCGCAAGGCAGTAAGACAACTCACGAATCTCAAGGGATAGTGGGACTTCATAGTGGAACTTCACCGAATATCTCCTGAAAGGTTAGGCTGCATCAATAAGTTCCAGTGACGTCCAACAGAGCTAGTGATAGTTCTGACAAAAACTCTTGGCATCGGTAACTCTCAGTTGATCCACTCTATCAGGAACAAAAACCAAAGTGAAAATCGAAAAAAAGCAACTTGAGACGAAAGGCTCTTCATCCTGTACAGCGAAAACATAATATTCCGGGTTGGCTGCCTCACGCGGGAGATGGGGGTATGGATACCCGCATTGATTGCGAAAATAATAGCTGTTGCAGAAAGTTTGGACTACCTGACTGCTATAGCTACATCTAATAAGTATATAATTATAACCTGCATATGCAATGTGCTTTTATAGTCTTCTGATTGGTTCATTGAGGGATGTTTTTGTTTCACTTGAAACATGTTGTGTTGGATATTAACATAGGGTATTGTGCTGTGTTGTTAGAGTGTTAATAAGGTTTCTACTGGTTCTGGGAATCGATTAGTAGTTCGATTTTAGCGGCTTGGTGGGTGTTAAAGGGATATACCTGTAGTTTTAACTGGAGAAATTGTCTGACCTATCCGTTGATATATCGGGGATATCAGAAAAGGCACATATTGACCAGAGCAGATCTAGATATAGTGATGGACTTTGCCTGCCAGGTAAATAGAGAAATAAGCCGAAAAGCGGTTTGTCTGTATATTGGACTGATTGATATACATATAGTACCGGCCGAAGGCCGGAAACTACTTGTACTAATGTATGTATACTCCTGAAGGTTGAAATGAAGATCAATAAGAAAAGAAACTCACGATAACTTGATGTAGTTAATGTGCTTGTCTATCAATAAGCCAGACCATATATCGAATAACAACCTATGAGCTCCAACCTCAACTCCTCGGACGAAACCATCACCCACCAAACTCCCAAACCCGGCACCTCGGATCAAGCACCCATCCACTCACCAAGTCGCCAGGAACAAGAATTGTGAGACTGCCTCTAGAGTACCTCGGAGAAGGTTTATGCGTTGTTAGATAATAGTGCGGGCGCGCTAGTTCTCTAACATGCGAGTACCCTTCAGATACATACATGTAGTTAGGGTTAGTAATGATATTCTTTGCTATACTTTCTCTATGACTTGAGTTGTAGATGGGGTGGGGTTTCGATGCGGTATTTCCGAGCATTCCCGATCTAAGTTTACTGTGCCATATTTTTATTCATCCGAGTTCGGAGTGACCATTCTGGGATTGATATTCACAGCCTATTTGATAGTCAGCAGTCCTCATTGCACTCATGTGCCTCCCCACACATGAGTGAGATGATCATGAAGCATCAACACTTCAATTGATTTTTCACAAATACCAATCCCAGCTCTATGGATATCAATTGGAATTTCAGGTACCGATATATGTACCTATATTCTTAACACGGTTTTATAGTGCGACTTCAATTCGCAATTTCCCTCGAAGCACTTTTGTCATATCTGTGATTTAGGCTTCGCGGAATCCCATTGAGCATGCAGCCCCCCCCGCACCCTATACTATAGCACTCGTACAATTGCATGTACATATTAACCGGAGGATTTAGGGCATCGTGCAGTCAATCTCTTCGAGGAACATGCCGCCTACCCACCTTATTACCTCTGTGCGCAGAGTACCCCCCAGATCATCGTTAGCAAATAAGTACGTATGAACATACTTCATCGATATCCGGGACCCCGGGCACCTTAATAATATCCACAGCACATCATGCGGGGAAATGCGAATGCAATTGCAATAGAGAGTTTGCGATGCAGACCTAGGTCGCCGCCAAGAGGCAGTTTTTGGAAATGAGACCTAGGTGGGTGTAATGAGTTTGCGGGTTTGAGGTCGCGCTAGTGATCAAATGCAACAGAAACCTGTAATCGGCTTGGAAAACTCACTTTTATTCACCCCCCTGCTTTACGCTCGAATTTACCTTTTTTTGAGCCTAGGAAGAGACGAATTGTTGACTATCATCATGATAATTTTTATAACTTTATCCCCCATAGTCTTGTTCTGTTTTTGTGGGTGGAGATTTCTGGTCTCCAAATCGACATTTTAGACCTCCAGTAGGTGAGCACTCTGCATGCACTTCCAGGAAGGCGTTTTCTCGGCATGACCGTGATTAAGTGTGACAGCGCAGCGACCTAGGTCTACATTCGCAAACTCTCTAATATACTCTACACCCCGGTTGATGGTCAATCAATATCAACGACCTACCTGATCAGGTCAGTGCCGCCGATAGGCGGAAGGAGGATAATAAGCTTTGGTTTTACTTGGGTGTCCTTGGATTTCGAATTGCTCCGCGGGAAACCTCCCGACATGGACGAGACCTGCCCTCCAACGTGGTGTAACCTGCTGCGATCAAGCTTTAGAAAGCAGAGTCGACTGATACTCGTCATTGCTAAAGATTACTCACGCGCGCGAGAAAGGCGTAGGGAGAGGTGGTGGGAGATCGAGCGAGTGATGCCTTATGGATAAACCCTCACTCGATAAAGTATTCCGTACCAATGATCCTCAGGCAATAGTGGAATTAACTAAACATGCGCTGGTGAGCCGTAGAGCAGTCAGTATGCCAGCGAGGTTTAAAATCTTGTGTTGGGCAATAGGATCGTTCTCTTTCCCCAAAAAGTAACACTGGGTGACCTTGGTGGTAAAAATTCAAAAGAAACATGCTCCAGTAGAGATTTGAACTCCAGATCTTCGCATTACAAGTGCGACGCCTTACCCCTTGGCCACAAGAGCTTGACGTGACAACGGATGGTTAACAGCATAATAAACTATTTATTATTGGTGTCTCATATCCTGGTTCCTGCCAAGGCTTCACTTTGCCGAGGCACGAAGCTGAGGCCTGAGCATTACACATGTATCCAATGGAATTGTAGGCATTTGGGTGCTCAGAGAATTTCAGAGGGGTGGTGCCCGTAATTTTTCAAAATTTACAGGCCCGGGTCTCCCTTAACCCGCTAGCTAGGTCTCGATATTTTATGTCGGCATGTAAAGTAGGGTTCCTTGTCCAATTACCGAACTAGCAGTTTATCTAAAAGGCATTGAGCAGTAAGTAATGGTGGTCGTTGGTTGTAGAGTTTTAAAAAGGCTTGTGATTTTTTTTTTTTTTTTTTTTTTTTTTTTTTCCCATTCACCCACAATCACTCGCCCCAAATTTGGCTCCGCAGGGTCATTTTTACGGGATGGTCTCCAACTTATGAAGTCTTACTACTGTCTAATAGATGACTATTTAGCTGTTTCTAAGCCTTAGTTTTAGATCTGATCAACTGATCAAATAGCGGTGTATCAGCGCTTCGTTGCGTTTTTTAGTCAAGTATATTATACATATCCCGCGGCCGCATTTATATGCAGCCTTGGTCTATTATAGTTATGCTCATTATTTGTGGGCCTTGATATAGATATAGGTTCGAGACTGATGAGTTTTGCGAACTGTGTTCAATATTGTTGGCATATCTATCCATTAGTGGTTCAAACAAGTCTCCCAAACTCCAGGATAGTCTTTACTATATCCGTTCTCGTCCCCAATTCGGGTGAATGAACAAGGTCCAATCTGCAGCATTATATTTAGCGGTGTCTTCGGCGATGGTAAAAAGAGGCGAATAGAATCTCTTTTCATTGGCAACTACCAAATGCAGTTGCAGTGACTCCAGCCCAAAAGGTATTAGGATGCTTAAAATCTTTTCAGGAGACATAGCCAGCGGTTTTTCCGTGGGTTGGATAAATGCACAGCACTAGCCCGATCCCGAAAAAGAGATCGAAAAAAAGAAAAGAAAAAAAAAGAAACTGGTTGCTTTGCCGGGCCCTATGTTCTCTGATGATTCTGCCCTGCGGTTAGTGATGTCTAGTGCACCTTATTGAACCCTTACCGCGGGTTAGCCGCGACATGATATCTCACTCGCTCCCACCATCCGTCAATGGGCACCGGAGCGCATATTGACACACCCCTGACCTGAGGTTTGCCAAATGTTGGGGCTACATGTAGTCCTTGCCCACCCGTAGCAAGCGGGTCTGCGCTGTATCTTGGTAGTTTGGTAATGAGGGGTGATGGAAACTCCCACTTAAGAGAGTATACTAGTACAGGCGCTGTTCATTGTTGGATGGAGCTAGATGAAGGGGGAAGTGGGTCATCCGAAGGATGACATACTGTGCGCAAAAGAGGGAAAAAGATGAAGTAGATAGAAATCATCTCAGTTGCCTCTGGTTGGAGGATGAGACGCTTGAGATGCGTCGTTGGAGATGGTGGTGGATGTAGGTCGTTGGTGGGTGAGAAAGAAGGTGTGTTAGCTGGGTAACTGCTTGACCCAAAGCCTACAACCCACAACCAACCTCTACTCTATGAACCTCCAAGACACAAATCCACTTTCTAGCAATAGAGAGTCAAATTTCCCGCTCTTTTAAAACCTTCCCGCATCCAATCCTACCCTGTGGCTATCATATCTGGCGCTGCAGTTATTCTATCTACTACAATACAGCCAGTCGAGGCCGCTTTAAAGCTCTCAAGCCCCTAACTCTGCCAGCGATCGTCCTCTTAGACACGAAATCTCACTCGAATAACGCACCCCGCAGAAAATGACGGGGGACCAGAAAAGGGAAGCAACTAGACACAGCCGGAATTATCCTCCACCACACGCGCACGTCAAGGAGATAGTCTAGCTCTACATTGCATTTTTTTTCTGTGGACTGTGATAGGAAGTATTTCATATATCTGCCCAATATGGCCCCGAGATATATTATAAACCTGTGAAGAGATCTAGAAACGGATAAAGAAAAAAGACTCGGAGGGGAACAGTGCGTGACCTGTGGGGAAGGGGGTAGGAAGGCAAGGCAAAAGGTCTGGCGTTCCATCATTCTAGTTAATATCCAGCGGCGGCGACAACCCCCCCCCCCCCCCAAAGGATATCCAAAAGTCTTTTGATACTGTAATCTCCGGAGGAGACCAGTAAGTAAAGGGGAAGAAAGAAAAGGGATTTGGAGAGGGGGCAACGTGCTAACAGTAGAGGATGGAAGGGGGAAGAAACATAAGTATACGTACCCACAGACGCCAATTGCAAGAAGAAAGGGGTCTGGGGAAATTCCCATAACCTGCATGTAGACATACATGTACCCTTGTCTTCTGCTTTTTACACATTTTCTGTTTGGGTCGTGGCACAGAACTGCCCACCAGGCAGAAAACCACGTGGTATACAGCATATAAACATTCGAATCGAATTAAAAGTATCTACCTGTCTTAGTCGCCATAGCCAGAGAATATCTTAGAAGACGAGAGAGTGTGTGTGTGCGTGAAAATCAATTTCCACCACCTTCTCCTCCCTTTCCCCATACAGCTTCAAACCAACCCGACCTCGTAAAAGATGCGCCGTTTTATCCTGTATATAACAGCTCATCATGGGAAGTACTTACCCCATCTCTTCGTGTATCAAGAGGTATCAAAGACTCCCTACAACCTCCGCCGCCAGAGATTACCAGGCGGGGCCGGACGGAAGCTCTTTCTAGACGTACTTGAGTGAACCCACCTGAGCTTGGGGCATTTAGCTATGCTCCCCTCGTGCGTCAAAAGGTGCTAAAGACGTCTTCGGCGTATATACACCAGCAAAGATTACAGGGCGGTGGTAGGTGGACTTTCCAGATTTAATTGCACTCACCTGGGCCCGCCCGAATTAACTCGATCATTGCCGCTTCGTACCAGACGCAGACGCTCTTATAGTATAGCTGTGGGGAGAAACGGCGAGAAGAAGGCCTCGATATACTAAGGCTCGGACTTAGAGGGGTAGAAGCAGAGCACTTAGCCTTTGAGAATTTGATCATGTGCATATGCTTTTTTCTGCCCCAACGAGTATTAAAGCATGCCCTCAACTGTCAAGGCCTACCAGACCACATATGTAAGCTGTGGAGGGTATGCGTCGGCGGGGCTATCATTTTCTTTGTGTGTGGCTAGTGAGAGGGAGGGGTGGATTCAGGAGCTTGGACTTTCGGATCTGATTGATGGGAGGTCGTTACATGCACATGCGGTTAATGATAGTGGGGCTTGGTTTGTAGTACTGGGATGGTGTGGTAGTGTGATGGAATGGAATGGAATGGAAGGGTCCATGTCAGCCAGGTAATTGCCCGCTCCCAATCATCAATCTCCAACTCTCAACCCCCAGTCCGCGATCCACACCTTCCCACCAAGCAAAAAAGAATTTGAGTTTCAGCTCCCAGCGCCATGCGTCACTCCTCATCGATCGTCATCGTCATCATAGCTACATGTATCAAACCCCTTCTCCACGAGTGTCGATCACCATCCGCCGTTCGCGTAGGTCTTGTTTTATAAAGCCCCCATCCATCCCCAGAGATCTAGAGCCAACGAGCACATGCCTCGACTCCGGCTGGGGAGGGTGTAGATACCTGTCAAGTGAGCAATAAAGCTAGGCTTCGACAAGAGGAAGATTTTTTATCAAAGGTATGTCACCCACCCCTCACACTACCCTTACATTTACATCATCATCAAGAGGTAATCGTCACTAGAAGGAAGTTCATTCGTGGCTGCTGATGAGAGATACTATTAGAATATCGCGGCCGCCGCTCACCACCCACGTCGGCCCCGCAACCACCTTCTAGAACCGTAAAGCACACCGAGTGATACACCATGAATACATCCCTACGTAATGGGCTGGGTCTTGGGATGTTGGTTGTCCGCGTGGTACGGAGAGCCCTGACTAAGTCTGCTGACACTGATGTGAAGAATTGATCGGAATGGACCTTTCGGATACGGATGGAGGGCAGCCCAGCCTATCGCCGCTTGGCCACCACCACCGTAGATCTTGAGATAGCTCTCTCTCCATAGCGCCACAGCAGGGTAGATCAGAATGTATCACGTAGAGCATAGAGTAGTAGTACATGTAGCCACTTCCTACCCCTCTCTCCACCAAAAGCCCCATCAGCAACAACCCTTACTTGTAGCTAGCTGCCGCTCTCGAGTGACATTCCATGATGCACCCAATCCAGCCAATCTCCTTCCTCGGCACTGCCACACCAGACTGCCGCGCGGCACAACAACCCTCCCTCCCTGCCCACTCCCTTACCTCCCCCACAGCACACTCCCGACCAGAAACAAAGGAAGTGGAAGGGAAGACCCGCGAGGCGTTGCAACGCACCGCATCCACGCAATCCCCCCCCTCTTAACTCCGACCGCCGCTGCTGACGACGTTCGACGGAACCAAGAACACAGCCACTGCAGGAATAGCATTAAGAATAGCAAGAGACTCTCGCTACTTTAAGGTACGGGTAGGTACATACATGTATCGCTGTGGGTGTGTGGGTGTGTGGGTGTGCATACGGCTTAACGTCCGAGCGTGCGTGGATGGATGCGGCGCCTAAGTAAAGATGTGGTTGTGGTGGAGAGGGAACAGTAGGTAGGGATAGATAGGGCTTCCCTCCCTCTGCTGTGACTACATGTAGCTATCCCCGCCGCGCATCACATCACATCAGCAGCCACAGAGGCGGGTGCAGAGGAGAGCCCAAGAGATAGCACCCGGCCCCTGCTCCCCTCAATCTGTTACGCGTCACCCCGGTCCCCCAACGACACTTTAATTCTGTTGTTGAATAGAGAGCTGTAGCCAACGTCGATACATAACCAAACCTCTCCTTCACTCCTCTCCTCTCCACTCCACTCCTCTCCTCTCCACTCCACTCCTCTCCACTCCACTCCTCTCCACTCCACTCCACTCCACTCCACTCCTCTCCACCACCTACCCCTTCTCTTCCCCCAAGGGCCCATCCATCCATCTGTCTGTCCATCCATAGATGAACGAGAGAGCTTCACCGCCACACAGCAGCAGAAGAGCATCACCAATAGCAGCCATGAAGCGATTAATGACCTCCTTCAAACGCAGCAACAGCAGCAGTAAGTACCCCCCCCTCCCCGCCCCACAGCTCCACTAACCCCCCCCAACAGGCCGCCGCTCCCCGACCCCCGACCACCCCGCCCCCAACCCCAACGACCCCCCCGAAACCGCCATCCTCAAATCCCTCGCCCTCTTCATCACCTCCGGCGGCCCCTCCTCCCCCGCAGGCTCCGAAGTCCTGCACCTCCCCGCCATCGTCGACATCGCCGAGTCCTCGCCCACCGCCTGCGCCGCCGCCGCTGCCGCCCTCCGCAAGCACCTCGACCCCAAACACAATGCCACGCACCCACACAAGCAGTACAACGCCATCATGATCATGCGCATCCTCAGCGACAACCCCGGCCCCACCTTTACGCGCAACCTTGCCGACCCAAAGTTCACCGCCGCCGTCAAGGACCTCCTCCGCCGCGGCATGGACCCCAGCGTGCGCCAGATCCTCGGCGAGACGCTCGAGTACTGGGAGGGCGCCAAGAGCGCGGACGAGGGCCTGGCGCCACTGCGCGAGATCTGGCGCAAGGAGAAGCGCTCATTGAACTATGCGGCGTCGCTGGCCCACGGCGGCGACGCCGCTGTCCCGAATGCCCCGGAGACGCATCGCTCATCGCGTCCCCGCCACCAGAGCGGCCACGACAGCTACCAGGGCCACCAGGGCCTGCCAAGCATGCTGGAGCTTACAGCGCGCATCTCGGAGGCGCGCACGTCCGCGTCGCTGCTCGAGCAGGTCCTGCAATCTACGCCGCCCGCAGAGGTATCCACCAACGAGCTCGTCAAGGAGTTTGCGGACCGCTGCCGCACGGCGACGAGGTCGATCGTGAATTATATTCAGGCGACGGAGGACGAAGACACTATGACGACGCTGATCGAGACGAATGATCTGTTGGGATTGGCGCTGGAGCGGTATACTGCGCTGGCCACGGCAGCGCCGACGCCGACGCCAGCGCCGGTGCCGGAGCAGGCGAGGATCGTGGATGTGGGTGGGGATGATCCATGGAGTGCGTATGCGGCGGAACATGCGGACCGGGCGGAGGACGTGCCGGCGAGGACGGGGAGTGCGGCGGCGGGCGCGGGTGGGAATCAGGTGAGGAGGAGGACGCCGCCGCCGCCGCCGAGGGCGGAGAGTCCGGTGTCGCCGATTGTAAGTTGATTCTCTGTGTTGCTCTTGTGGGATTGCGGGGGATTATGGCTAATTGAATGTGCAGAGTCCGGACCCGCCGGTAAATTACCGCTATTAAAGCTTGTTTCGGGTTCGGTGATGGGTCGGTCTGAGTAGGTCTGGGTCTGGGTCTGGGTCTGAGTACCAGCTAGGTTTTCCATATTTTGTTTATTTCTTTTTATATTCTTTATGTACAGAAATGGGGTGTTTTTTTCTTTCTTCTATTTTTTATTACTATTAAAGTGGTATGGGTTGCGCTCGCTATACTTATTTATATCCTACCTTTTTTTTGCGGTTTTTTCTTTTGGGATATCGAGATGTCAGAGTCGAAATGAGATGAGATGAGATGAGGTGGACAGAGATGGAGATGGAGATGGAGTGGATATGAGTAGTAGTTTTTTTCTTTTTTCTTCTTTTTTCTTTTCTTTTCTTTCCTTCTTCTCCTCACTACTTTTGGTTGGATTTTGTTTGGATACCAAAGACCGGGTTTTTAAACTTCGAGACAGGACGCTCTTTCAATGGGGGATGTGAATGACGGGATCGAGTAGGGAGGATGCAAATGGGAGGATGCAAAGGGTTAAATGGGCACGACAAGAAAAGGAAAAGACAAGAAAAGGAAAAGAAAAGACGGACAAAACGGGAGGGGAATGGAGATATATGTAATGCGAATTTCAAAAAGGAAAACGATATCTAAAGCCAGCCTCCTTCTTCTCCAGCTAGCTACAAACCCACGTGATCATTACAAACCCGAGTGAATATTCTCCGGTGACCCCTGAATGAACATCGAGTGAACCGCCATGGTTGCAATTGACCAATTGGGGAAAATACCGATTATTACTATATATATATAGTGCTGGGGCGTGTGTTAAGGATCCAAGTATATCCGACAATGGAGCTTCTCTCCGGCTCTGGCTATATAACATTGCATTGAGAATTAAGATTGAATAAGTATACGGTGGTGGTGATGTGCTGGTTAACCAATGAGGGTTACAAAAGTCGGGTTTTGTGTAGGGAAGCTTCGCCCACAATCCCAATTGCATGCCAAACCTCAACCCCCCAAACCCAAATATATGGCCATCGTGGAAATGAGGTTTAGATGGGCATGTAATTAAAACCCCAGGGTTAGGTATGGGTACAATAAGAGCGCCAGGATGGTTAAGTCAAATACCTGGTGATTTGAGTCCCTGCTCTTTTCTAATACAGAAACCTACTATTTGGCCCTATTTTCTGCGCCATAAATATTTTTTTTTTTTTCCTTACACTTTTTCCAACCCGTAGAGGGATTCTAGAGCATCCTAATTACCCCATAGAGAGAGAGAGAGAGAGAGAAAAACCAAGTCTGAACCCAATGGCTAGGTTTACTGGCCATTGATTCCCGGCAACGCTGCACATGTAGTAGGAAATCTATAACCTCTAAATTCATTTCCGCATCCCCGCAGTCTAGCTAATATCTAGCAGCTAATACAAAGCTAACCTAACTCGCATGCGCAACGCAACCAAGGTATAAATAAAATCCGTCTACTGTAAATACTACAACCACAACCCCACCCACCCACCACCAGCCTACCCGCAATCTAGACTCCTGATGATGCACGAAACAACACCTTCCGCCAGAGGAGAAAAAATATAATCAATATTCCTTTTTCGTCGGCCAACGCCAAAAGAAGTAAAAATGAACGCCCACAATGCTCCATAGAAAGAAATTAAAGAAAAAGAAAGTAAAGAAAGGAATGAATGTGCACTTATATATACTTACTGTAAACCCCAGAAAGAAAGGGAAAAAAACGAATCCTCTACCTCTACCATACGCCGGGAAAAAACATCAAACCATGAAACCCATTTAAACAAGGTCCCCCTTCAACGCCTAAACACCTAAGAGTATGCACAATCAACCAGTCCCACAATGGCCCAAAGCTCACAATTTAAACGCCGCACAATTCAAACGCCGCAATTCAAAACTGCGTGCTCGGCCAACCCTTGCTTGGTACGTCCGCGTCATATTCAGTGCAGCTGCTGTAGCCACTCGATATCGTAGACGAAGACATTGAGGACGACGCCGACGAGGCTGCTGAAGCAGTGCTGTCTTGGCGCTCTCGCGCGCGGAATGGCATATGCATCTTATCGGCGGCAGAAGGCCTAGGGGACAGCGGCGTGCGCGGGGTCATTGTTAGGCGGCCAAGCGAGGAGAGAGCGTATGCGGCGGGTGTTTTTGTGGCACGGAGGTATGAGGAGGACGCAGTGGTGGTGGTCATGGTTTAGGTTGTGAGGTAGGTATAGGTATATAAGATCTTCTAAGACAGTGTTAATTGTTTGGAAGAAAAAATTTTTTATGCGGGAATTGAGAAGGGTTATATACCTTAGGGCAAAAGCTTTTCCCTTTTTTTTTTTTTTGCGGTGGGGGGGGGGGGGGGAAAGAATTTGCAGGATGTGGAGGAGGGGGTTAAGAAGCAATTATATATTCCGAATTGGGCCAATGACAAGTTCTAGAATACTGGTTAGAACAGAAAACTACCTGCTCAGTGGGGGAGGGGGGTTATAAATACCTCTATCTTGGATCTTAAGCTATGCAAGGGGACGGTACCCTGAAGAAATGTTAGAAGGGGGAGGCAGGTCAGAAGCCAAAAAAATAATTACTCACCTCGGGGAAGTCGTGACCAGCTGAAAGTTCGTTTTGGGAATGCGAATGCAAATGGGAGGGCACGTGAGGCTATGTGTGAGTTGTAGGTTGTATGCCGTTTGGTCGTGTGAGTAGGAAGAAGGCAGATAGCTAAGTAGCTATATAATGTCAGAGCAGATTTACGACTTATATGAAGGGCAGAACGGAACAATAAAATGTGGTTGATGTTAAAATCTCCGTGGAGAAGGCTCAGCGCAGTTATATAATCGACAATTGGACTGGCTTCAACTGAATACTTATTCAACTGTATGTACCTGACATGTGAAAGTATACAAAAACGCATACAACAGCGCTGGTACGTACAGTGTCCTATGATGTATGCACGATTGCGATCCGAGTGCTACCAAGTGCAGTGCAAATCCAACCAAATCTAACCATCGCCCCACATACAGGGAGTGAACATACCCCATTGGTTGGTTACGCGGTGTTTCTCGATTATCGCAAGGTGATCGAAAGCTTAGTTTTACCGAGACGAGAGGGAAAAAAACGTTATATCGCTGTCAGTCGATCTGTTCTAGGTTATGAATTTTTGTTTCCAGTTGGTGGGAGTAGAGTACTTTAGCTACCTGGTGCAGTAGCTAGGGTGAACTCTACTCTGGATTAGCTACAGGATGCTCTGACATGGTGCCAAGACTTACTTGATAGGTGTATGCAGGAATCCCTGCTCCTCAGTCTTTGAGGAAGACAGAGTAATTGGTAGAGAACGATGCTGGTATTGTGGGGCTCAAGTCTTTGAAAATCATAACCGTAATAATCAAGAAAAAGGAAAATTTTCAAAGATGTGATGGCACTCTGGCCCCGCGATATAGCGAGTATCCCTTAGCTCCACGGTGTCCTTTGTAGCACCCCCCACGACGTTTGAAAGGTTAATTAGTGATTTTTTAGTGCCACGTACTCGAGGAAGTAGGTAAATTGGTTTAAGAGAGGACAAACAGGTCCAAAGGCTCTATACCACAAGTTCTTGGCGCTGTATGTGTTACTTAAATGTAGTTTATGATTGATTCAAAGTATTTAAAGTTCTTACTCGGGAGTGACACAAGGCACTCGACGAAAACAGCATGGTAAGACGTAACTAGTAAGGATCTTATGCCTCACTGTTTATTTCAAAGTGGAAGAACTCGAGTTGTCTAATATTTGAGCAAGGCTCGACGTAGAGTATGTGTAAAGAGCGTGCTAAGACTAAAATAAACTCTATCCCTGCTTCTACTATGGTGGTGGAGAATGTCGAGTGATACGACATGATTAACTATGACATCGATCGACTCCCCTGAACCGAATTCTAAACCATCTATTACTCTATTCCGAGTCCACACACCGACACAAAATCTAAAAAGAGTTAAAGTACCTACAAGTAATAGTAACGATACAAAAGAAATGATAGTAAACAGGGGCGGATCCTGAAGTTGGTAGTTACATGTAGTTAATAGCATCTGAAGCAAAAGCACAGGTGGCAGATGGAAATGAAGGTTGACAAGATAATTCTAATGTCGAATCCCATATTACTCCTTCATGACCTGACTCTACAAAATATAAACAAGCATGTTTACAAAAGAGATACCACCTCGATCTCTGCGACGCGCAGAGAGGGCGTATTCTGATTCTTTCGTCATATGTCTAGCAACCGACCATCCAATGGTTTTGCCAGCCAACCCGACACGGTACACAATGAAATAGAAACTTATACAATAATCTGCTAGGATAAGGGCGGGTAAGTGGGAGGAGAAAAAGAAAGAAGAGGAACCATACGGGGGTTACTAGAAGAAAATTAACAATAAAATGCAATAACAATAACCCCCACCCGCCAAGCCAGCCCGCCTTGTTCCGGTCCTGAGCACAAAATGAATATTTCCCCATGTTCCATCCAAACCCATCCGATTTCTACAACAGGTTCAACGTACTCCTTCATATTGTCTGTACGCCTAAGCTAACCTTTATTCCGTTTCCATTCGCCGCGGCTCTGCACCTTGAGCTCCAGAAAAAAAATATATAGGAAAATATAATGACAAAAGAAAATTCGTTCCCAAAACAACAAAACCCCAGTTCTTTTATGTCAAAAGGAAAAAAAATATATAGTCCGGCAGGCAAAGCCCTGGATTAAGATGAAGAAAAAAATGAGATGGGATAGTAAAAAAAAGCAGCACCCGATCCCAATCATCGTCTCGTGCTCTCTAATCTCCCCATCCCATCATCATCTTCACTATAGCTGTCCGAATCCTCTGCCAAATCCGTTAATCCCACCGCGCTTTCTTCGTCATCTCTTCCCAGCAGTCTTGCGCCAATGCTGCTCCTGGTCCCTCCAACATCGGACCTCCGCAGCTGCATGCTTCGTCGTACCTGGAGTCCAGTGATGCCATCTGTCGGCACACCCTCATCATAGCTTGTCGAAACTCGGCCGTTCGCCAGAATTCGTTTTCCATTGGGGTCTGTTCGAGAGATGTTGAGAAGATATACGCCGCTGAAAATGATTAGGAAGCCACAAAGAAGCGAGATAGTGTTGACGGGATCAGTAGTGTTAAAACCCTGGAAAAGAATGAACGAGGCAACTAGGGTGGCAGTCGTGAAGGTGACGTAGTAAAGAGGTGTAACTCTAGTCAGCGGGATATATATTAGTCTTGATCAATGCTATGGTATGTGGAAGCCCAGAGGATGATGGTGGTTATACAAAGAACTCGAGAACTGGGTCAAAGCCTTATTAAAGTAGTTCATCTGGGTAAGAATGCAGACTCCAACAACAATAACGAATACATATGTACTAGGATGCGTAAATTGATTTTCCGACTTGTCGCCAGCAAAGGTCAATTTGACAGCGATTCCGAATGCTTTGGAGCTCATGACGGTCAATGAACCAACAGTCCCACAGATTGAAATGTAGATAAGTGGATTCTTCTTTCCGTATTTCGGGGATACAACGTAAATCATTACCGATGAAAAGATAATGACCAATACGCAGTAAAGCAGAAAGCCTATTCACAAGGGAAAACCCGATTAGATACATGTATAGAACTGGGGGAAGCTACTATAGAAAAGTACGTACCTGGCTGAATTGCGTAGTTCAAGATTTCATCGATGGTAGTAATCTCTTTGTCTGGAGGTGCGTGAAGCACGATGATTACGCTGCCGATCAGACAAATCGCACATCCTAGCTTCCCTAAGACTCCCAATTCCTCTTTGAGGAAATATGTGCCCAATACTGCACTATTGCGCCATGGAAACCCTCGTTAGCCAAACTCAACTTCCTTAGGTGTTGTTCGATATTAGATTATAGCGCAACGCACCCAACCAATACACTCAATGCGCCTAGAGGCGTTACCAAGATTGCCGGTGCAAACGCGTATGCAGCAAAATTCGCAATCTCACCGAGAATCACTATTCGATGGGAAAAGCAGTAGGTCAGTAAAAAAAAAAGGATCAAGGAGTCGCATCGCCCGACATGACTCGGGGCTTCTCTTCAAGTTGAATCAGTGGGTCCCTTACTAGTCACCATCCCAATCCACCATATGGGGTTCTTTAGATATGTAAACCCCTCCCCCTCGAACCCCGTTCGATCTGCCGTATCTATTAGTCCCTATAGCCGCCGAGGCTGAGGTTAGCGATGCCTGAGAAGACCCCCACATCAGGGAGTGGGAGACGGATATCCGCCGTGAGAATGTACTTTTTTTGTTAATATAAAGCTTGTTCCTACCACAACGAAGAAACACAATCAGCCACAATATTTCCCCAAAAACTCAGCCTGGACGAAAAGAGAAACAAACCTATAGCCATGCTAGAGGTTATAGCCAAAAGTAACCCAATGTATCTGCAAGGCGCCATGACAAGAAATAATCAGCTTCCCCGCCTTGCAATGACGAAATGGCAAATGGTGATGGAATGCGCACTTCTCCTCCATTTTGAAGATCGAACTCTAGAACCTTCTAAATCTTCTTTTTATGCGCAGTAGATCTAAGGATATCCGAGAAAATGCAATAATATGATGAATCTAATGTTTGGCCCCTCCTCCCTCAGCTAGCCTTGAGTGAGGCTCTGCAGTTGTATCTTGAGGATGAAAAGAAAGTGAGTAAACGAGCGAATTGAATCCAGCGTCGCGTGAATGAACGAGAAACGATGAAGCAATAAAGAGCGTGTGTAGGAGAGCGCGCTGATGTGGTTGAAAATCGTATGGGGGTGGTCTGTTATCGCGATTGAATCTGAAGGCCACGCGGCAGGAGTCTAAGACCAGTAAGAGGTGGAAGTTTGTTCGAGGAGAATAAGCCTAGTGCCGGGGGTGTTCAAACGGGTAAGTCCTAGTTTGGGTAGGAGCACAGCGTGCGTAGGGCAGAGAAACAGACGCAACTTCTTGAAGATGCACTCTGAGGGGTTCGTTCGGTAGAAAGGCACAGACAATGCCTTTGAAAACTCTAGGATAGAAAGTTGCACAGGTCGCTCGCTCAGTGCCAGTGGACGTAGAGTAGGCAAGGCAGTCCGCTGTATGTAATACCTACGTGCGCGAGATCTCCCAGGGGGTGTGTGTAAGGGTAAGTATGTATGGGGAGGGGGAGGGGGGTCTAGAGTAGGTACGTATGTATGAAGGGGAGAATTCCAGCGGAGAGGCGTCTGTCTGACTGTGCAGTAGCAGCCCGTAGCTGTCCTTGCGTAGCGGGGATAGGTAGCTATCTCGGTATCTCGAGGCACATAGGAGAGATGGCAGATGCCTTGAGGTATGTAGTTTACAGAACGATGCCCAGCATTATTGAAGCCTCGGAAATCTGTCTTTTTTTTCTTTACTTGGCCCTGATACAACAACACATGAGAGGTCGGTTCGGCTGGCGATCACCTAGCAGCATGCAGCAAGAGCAATAGAGCACTTCTACCCGCGCAACTGATCCTATTTTTAACGCCCAGCCTGAGAAAACAAGGGCCTCGGTGCACACGCCGAATTCAAGGTTGCCTTAACACTTTCCCAACGAAAGAAATCCATATCGAAATAAGTCAGGTTTCCAGCCTCAGCTGAGTGGATCTCCTCTTTCCCCCAAAACCTTATTATTTATAGTCTTCTTCCATCGAATTTCTGTCACTATTATTCTAACACTTTTTGAAACACCATCTCTCCATTTCTGCAGTTGGTTTTGATTCTGATGGTGTGGAAACAGTATGGAAACAATCTGGTATTCTGGGACAAGTCGGAAAATGTTATGGAAAACGCAGGGACCACCAGACCGTTTCCACCCCCCCCCCCCCCCTGGCCCAGTTCACACCAGCGTTTCACATCCGCCCTCCTGAAATCCTCCCCGCGCGTAATCTTCTGTCCTGAGCACTCAGAGCGTTCACCAGACGACCTGTCGGACCCGTGGCCTCGATTAGCGAACTTGGCGAGTCTTCATCCCACGTGAGCTCTGCAAGGTGATAAATGATACCCCGTGTGTGCCCGAGGTTCGGTACTATCTACACATTATCAGATCTAATACTGAGCCTCCTCGTCGTGCAAAATTACAATCAAATCCGGCGAGGGTGTTGTTCTATTATGGATCAACTTTAATTGTTTTATCCTTATCCAGGAGAGTGCTTGTAAGATCCACGGAATTCTGGCAGATTAGTAACGGATAAAGGGGTGTTGTTTCGGCTGTTACGTTTTCTTGGGAAAACAAAATGCTACCGGTACCGTAGATACATGCACACACTTGCCAGGATATCTAATAGTTAATCTCGCCAAAAGTCAATACCAAGAAAGGGGCGTATATGTATGTTTGTCGTGGCAGTTGTTGAACCCTGATAGGAGGTTCATAAGTAATAGTTATATATATATCTTAAGCTATGATCCCTTCAACCTCCTAGGTGAAATCAAATATCGATTGATACTGCAGTACTATGCTCTAGATTTCTGGGTATGAAAATGATCCGTTTATCTTCGGCCACGGCGCCGAAATTTCAACCCTCAGCCTTTTTAGCCTAATAAATCGATTGTCAAGATATTCAACCTCTTGACCGGTGCTAGATGTGTATATTTGGACAACTTGGACACATATATCACCCCTTTGACGGAGTACAAGTACATGTACCGATTATAGCCGAATCAGATTCCTTCAATAGTTTCGTAACTAGCATTCATAAATCTCACTGGAGAGTGTGCAGGTATGATGTTGTTCCTTTATCCGAGCAAGTGTTTACGAGGAATTAAATGGCTGCTAGAATTAGCGATCAACACTGTTATCATCTCCCTATATAATGCATACTGCGTCGATATCCCAGCCTGGTAATAAGTGACTTTAGTGCTATAGCGTCAGAATCACAATATATTTATATATCTAGCGAAGGTACTACATAGCCCGAAGTAGCTAGAGGATTTGCTGCCAAAAGCTCACCCCTGATAGGAGACTGGATATGGTGAGCTTTGACAGATGTATGCAGATAATGATCTCCCTGGCCCAAGAAACTGGGGCATGGGTCGGATGGCCGAATCATCAGTTGTCACTCGGTCTTGGCGATATTATTGCGGAGATATTCCGTGAACTCTATTGGAAATTTTATCCTATCCCGGAATTTTTCACTTACCTCCGTGTATGAGACTTTTCGTTGATCTTAAGTGATGGCCACCTTTCCAGGTTGTAGCCGTGGGGACCAGGAGGTGTGTGTAGTTAAAGGAGATAAGTGGCAACCCGAAGTCAAAAAGAGCGCTATAATTGACCGAAGGTAGAAACCGGGCTAGAGTTAAACCTGGGCATGTAAATTTAACTCAAAGTATTGGAACTATTATCCGACTGATATATCTATGAGAGGTTCGATCTGAACTACTTGTATTCATGGTTTCCATGGACTCCTATTATAAGAAATAGGTTAACGTCCTTTTCGAGACATTGTCCTTTCTCGAAATTTGGCTCGCTATAAATCGCAACAACGTCACTGACTTATGTGCAATGCAACTGAATTAACTACATGAACATCCAACTATATTAATCCCATACTTTCAATACTCTATATATAGCTACATATATCTTTGTGGATGACAAAGGCGTTAAGATTGCCAGAAGTCAATACGGGATCGTTCGACAAATAAGCTTAAGCATATGTTATTTTCTATTTAACGTTTGATCAGGTTACTCTGGATCATCGAATGTAGATTATTAGATATTCTTAACGATACAAAACAGCAGTTCTGAACCATAATGTTACTCGTCAGCTAGATACATAATCCATCTTCCTCTGCGATATCTGCGTAAGCGCCCCCTCTATATTCTGTCTCAACCAGATCCGAAATAAACTATATGCTATAGCTATATATAGTAAAATAAGTAATCAGTAACTGCCATGCTACTAGTTAACTCTTGAGATACTAAGAAAATAGGACTGGATTACCAAAACCGGGTCGACGAAAAAGTCACAGACCACCCATTGCTCGAGTTCCCTGCCTAAGCTGCCGGTAAACTCGTCTACAATCCAGGACCAGCACTGGAACTGTCAAAATATCAACATATCCCTTCAGCGAGCGGCATTAACCCCAATGTTTTAGTTAATACCGTCCCGCTCAAGGATATGTTGGGCATTTCAAGAGTTCCAGTGTTGCTGCTGGACTTTAGAAAAGTTCACCGGATGGGTAGGAATTTCGCCTCTTGCGTGGTCGTGTGCAGTGAAAGCCCCGGACATCTCGGGTCTGCCGAACTTAAGACTCACAGTCCATAGTTCAAGTTCCCTGGATACGTTCTCTGGTTGTGATGGAGAAAACCTGGTGGCTCCACTTGCCTTAGAAGGCTTAGTGAACCCACCAGTAAAGGGTCTCCAATATAATTTTTATGGACACCGCGCACATCTATGAGCTAGGTTGATAGCCTCTCCAATATTTTTCGGGATGTTTTTCTTTTCAGGCCCGTTTATTTGAACTTCTAACGCGGTATCAGCTATGTGCATAATTTCCCAATTGTCCAGATGCTTTGAGCACTTACTATTTGTTCCATTCGTATTCCCTGTACAAGATGCCGAAGGGGAGGTGCGCCGAAGAAAATCCCCTTGGCCAAGAGAAAAATTTCACGCTTTCCCAAACGAACTCTAATCTCGGAGATCTATTTGTTTTTTTATTTATCGACCCTTTACTCTCGTTAGGGTCAAGCTCTAGTTCTCCCATTGTGACCCAGGGAAAAAAAAAAAGGGGGGGGGGGGGTATACGTACCGCCAGGATGTTGTTTGTAGAGTCTACTATCAGTGGCATGGGATATATACGTATACCCAGGAGTTGTCTCTAGATGCTCGAATATACTGTGTGTACTCCAAGGCATATAAACAAAACATATGGAGTGCCTCATGGGATCAAATTCCGCAAAATAGCCAAGATAGATACATGTAGTTGTCGTAGCGATGGGTTGCTCAGCTGAAAGGGGGAAAATCATATTGTCCAACATGCACCTCATACTCTTTAATAAATGAAGGGTTATATTTGTGCGAGAAACTCTAACACAATACAGGTGTTATCCGCCGCAGCCGTCGACACCTTCAATTGGCAATTGCCAGTTCCGATAACCAGCAGAATGCCCGCTATCGTATATCCAGGAAACCGAGATCAAGATTCAATATTTGTCAAGATTTTTTCGCAAAAAGGAGGAAAGTTCGCGTGAACTGGCTAGTTGGCGAAAGCAAGAGGGCTTTGTGCGGTGATAGCCTGTGGGAGGTTGAGACAGCCAGGGAGTTGGTGAAAAGTGCCAGACAGCACCTGACTGCCCCAACCGTGCGGAGTCAAAATATGGGGAACCAAGGAAAGGCTCTGAATAGGACAGAGGTGCGGGGTTTTATAGCATTGGTGTCTATGTGCAGCTACATGTATCTACTACCTTTATCGTGCTTAGGTGTTAGGGTAAATTCGGTAGCGGGATGACAGCTATGCGTGCAGACATGTGCGGAATGCAGGGGGACGTTGCTTAACCATAAATGAACAACCAGACCAGGGTGCCCAATTGAATGTATTCGACGGCGATCATCTTAGTACATGTAGTATCTACATGTATATGTCCTTTATTCAACTGCTGTATACTATAAAAACTAAGTAGTTTATAGATATTGGATCGACTATGTATTGGAGTCAAGACCGGCTTGTACCCGCTACTCCCCGAACGTGAATCATATGTAATCACTCGCACCACGAGATACATGTAACTTTACTTTTATGATCTACTGAGATATATTTTACCACTAAATACAGTAAATCCTTTTAAATCCAAGTAGCACCCTCGTGCTCTTGGAGTTTCAAAGGAATCTTCTCCCGGGGCTTGTGTTGAGATAAGAAAGAAGAAAAAAACTTTTGATACGGAAGCAAATGAAATATTTATAGAAAAAGAAAAAGCCCATCCAAATAATCGTACATTACATAGGTATGCTGAAGGATATTGTGGTATAAATTAAGGAAACTGCATCTACCTATTGAATTACGAAGCTGCCAATAACATCCCTAACATCCCTTTAGTTTGACAGGCCATTTTTGAGTTTTCTACCTCACTGCTGACACGATCATGCAGCTTCTTTATCAATCCGTCAAACTCGGGAGATTGGCCAAGGGCATGAGAATACATGTCTACAGTCATTAGTCGCGTTCAAGGCTTTCCTTTGGGGAGACACTTACCAAGAATCAACAACGCAACGTCGACAATGACCTCCACATATCGTGGATCAGTGATATATTTGACCAGCCATTTTAGGATTGGTTGCAAGGTTATCTCATCCCTGTTTGCCAGTGCAGTCCTTGTTGCATTCCGATAACGTAGTTCATTGAGCAGTGTAAAGGTTGTTAACGGAAGTGTATCTGGTACCAAAACTGCGTCTAGCGCGTCTGCATATCTCCCCTTCCTTAAAGTCTTCTCCCAAGATCTCTCTTTCTTGCCCCTATAGCCTAACTCGGCAACGATGTCTGTCCCTTCTCCCTTGTAGTCTATTCCTTTGAGTCTTCGCTTGAGAGCACTGCTCTTCTCCTTCTTCCCTCCTCTTCCGGTAATGGGGTCTATTCCGGCGGCGATCATGTCAAATATTTTGTCCTGGTCCGTGACCTTTGCCTTGTCCTTGCCGCTGCTACGAGTTCTGATAGAGAGCAATCCACCGACCATACCAACAGCAAGATGTTTCTCATCGGGTGATACGCCCACTGAGAGAACAGGTGCGGGGTACTTGATTCCATGGACAACCTTCCAGGATGTAGGGTCATAGATCTTTACGTGTCCATCGAGACCAGCGGTAAGGACCCGGCGTCCAGCAGACGATGACGAGACAGCCATGGAGGTTACTGTCTTCTGGTGATTCTGGAGGACTGTGAGTGGCTTTGCGGCGACGATATCCCAGACCTGGACAACAGGACCCGAGCCAACAAGAACTGTAGTCGCACCCGGCATTGGGAGAAGCGCATCGATCGCCGAAGGGTGAGAGAGCGTCATGACGCTTCCAGATGCCTGTCGCGGATCCCACAAGCGTGCGGTGCCATCATAAGACCCGGATACGATGAGTGGGGTACTGTTAGTGGGAAGAAAGGCAGCGCTGCGCACATAATCACTGTGGCCGAGGAACGTGCTGGTTGACTTCCCAGACGGAAGATCCCAAAGCCGCACAGTGGTGTCATCGGACGCAGACAAAAGAGTGGTCAGATTGCTAGGCGAAAACTTTGTTACCTGAACGGGTTGCTTGTGCTCACTCCATGTTTTGAGAATAGCCCTCGAAGAAAGATTGAAAACTTGGATCAGTCCAGTCGCGTCTCCGGCGACAAGAATCTTCCCGTCGAATCGAACATTCCCAGAGTATGCGATGTCCTTAAACCGCGAGATCGTTTTTGACACAGATCTGGTCTTGGAAGAGAATAACTTGACTAATGTTGAGGAAGTAATGGCGAAATCATGCGGCGCAAGTGGTGAGAAGTGAATTGATGAAACGGAGGCATGTTCATGAATTAGTAATGGAGACCTGAAGGAAAGCCAGTACCGCTGTTCGGGGGTGGTGGAGGCGGGGAGTGCTGGGAGTTTTGTAGGTTGGATTCGGACGACAGGAGTGGCCATTGCAAGCTCTATAAGGGACAGCCAAAGCTGTATTAGGGTGGATGTAAGGCCGAAGTATTAAGTATTTGTGTGGGATTATCTATGGGTCGATTGGTGCTATGGGAGAATGTGGTTGGGGATGAAGAATCTGTGTGTTACACTCAGACGATAAATTTTATGGTTGAGGCTCCGATCTTATCGATCTTATCGATCTTACCAGTCAGTCAGGGTTAATGATAGTTGTTACAGGATCCGAGAGAACACCTGAAAATCCTAAGTGGGTTATGGCTGCGCGCCTGCGCACACTACGCACAAAGGCGCCTTCCCCCTCCGCCGGAACACCCCCTCATTATAACTGGCCTCTTTCATCTTGAACCGGTTTTCCTCACCAAATATCAACCAATAAACATCTGTTCCAGTGAGGGGGGTGTTACAGTGGAGGGGGAACGTCAACGTCATATATTAGCCGACTAGGATAGTGTGCCCTTTCCTCGAGGACATGTCCTCGATGGCATCCAAGGACAATGGTCTAAAAGGACAAGGAGTCTCGAGGACCACCGAGCTAGGCCAATTCTTAGTATCATATACTTCTATAATCTGCCCGATTTGGATGGGGTCGATTGCTCAACGGTCGAACATGCTTTCTAGCTGAAATGTATACCGCATGAGTGTGGCATTGTGAGAATATGCCCCTTTATTTCCTTATTTTAACGAAGCATGCAGTACATGTAGTGTTACCGCATTGCGAAAGACAGAGGTATATGTACATGTAGTAATTACATGTGTATCCACATTTCTGCTACATTTTTTTTTTATTTTATCTTTTTTATATCACATTTCTGCTACATGTTACTACATGTTGTATATCTTGGCAGATTTCCAGCCGGTCCCTAGACTAAAAACATTTGGTATCGAGCTGTTCGAGATGAGACTCCAAGACGTCTCGTCTCATCTATAACACGGGTTCACCCATCTCCTCTATTTCATATAGTGCAGAAAAACAGCTAATATTACCCTGAAGAAATACGTCCAGAATAAGCATTTACACCTAATCTTTGTTAGAAAAGCCAGAGACTAGGGAGTGTCAGTATCAAGAATTTTCACCAACCGAAGCATGCATGTCACTCTCTGAGTGAGTACTAGCTTTAAACTAGAACATATCAATGGGAAGTTGTTGGGTGATAGTATTTGCTAACATATTTCCTATTTACAAGAAATTTGCTGGAGAGATTTTAAAAACCAGCATTATCCAGATCTCTAGTACGCGTTCTACCTATCGGCGTGCAGCATCTTTTCATACATGTAGTGGCGATACTACATGTATGGCTGCCATGGGCTGGACTGGACGCCTTCCCATAAGCGATAGAACTCACTCTATTGCCGGATAGACGATTTTTGAGGCCTACTCGCCAAAAAATAAAGTCTGGCGGTGAAATAAGTACCGTTGCAACGCAGCCATTCGGCCAGATACTTAATTCACCCAGACTTTATTTTTTGGCGAGTAGGTTCTATCAAACAGAATCGAAGATCTATCCGTTTGTTATAGGGGCCTATTCGATAGATACCTATACTTCTATCCGTTGCAATACTAGAGAAGACACCACACTAGCGCCAAATTTTTATTAGGCCGGGACCGAATATTAGATCTTTAATTGGTATCTTCGGAATATACTAATTACCTGCTACTGGTTGAGCAGCTTGCTGCTAAGTAGGGGTTGGCTACGAGACTACCAATTATCATATGCTTACGGGAACCTGGCCTATTCAAAAACCATCTTCTATTGTAGCAGAATACGTTCTATCACTTCAAAACCTTACCTTGACGGAGCGCAGGATACGAAACCAGGTCGAGGCAACCATCTCTCTTGAGTTGTTCACATTTTGGGTGACAATAGCAGTCAATGCTTTTTTTTTCTTGCAGCTTTACTTGGGTAACAATCTATGTACAGAATCTCTTGCATAGCGCCGCCGGTAGTTCCAAGGGAAAAGTCAATTCATGCATTTAAGCAAGGCATAATCCCTATCGCAAAACGACACACCTCGAGTTGTTTACTTCTACAGATCCAGCAACTTCATGGAAAACGCTTCAAACCGAATCAGAACCCTTACGTCCCTTCACCTATAACATACTCGCTACCCCCTCTCTGATTCACCTTCATCCAAGTATCAATCACACTCATATCGCACATCCATAATCAGTAATGTACATATGTGGAAGACTTCAATACATATCTCGACTATTCACCTGGACCGATATTGTTAACTCAAGTATATATGGATCTTTTCGTCCTTGGATCTACGAATACATGTGTGCCTTGTATTACCGCACAAAGCGTCCTACCGAGCTCTTCTTTCAGTCTCTAAAGATCAAATGACCAACTCGTACTTTCGAGCCCTACAATCCCATAACGCCCGCTGACAGGGAGGTCAAAAACGCCCGAAATCTCATGTGTTGATTGGTTTTACTCCAATTGGAACTAGAGGGAAACCGCTTCGTAACGGGGTTTCCCGAGGGCATTTGCTTCGTATGTTTTTTTTGTTTAATTCATTGATTGCATTTGCTTCGTATGTTGCCTATCACCTAGTTGAAAGAGTCGGACCCAATAAAAAATCCGGTAAGTACTGGAGGAACGCTCAGTACAGCAGTGATATATCTGCGGGTCTGCTACAAGGCTTAGTGAGTTTAAACACCCTACTGGTGGGATAAGGGACTGGGTTTTGGCTGTGCAGGCGGTCTTAATTACCAGATCAACTCAGTTGAACCGAGTTCCAGAACTTTCACGCGATCCCAGAAGCCAGTTACTCATAACGTAACATAAGCGTTCTAAGTGGTAGACGCTCAGGTCGAACGCTCACAATCTCGTGTTTACATGAGCGTCCCCTAAATAAGGACTACCCGATACTATAAAATAAGGAAGAGTGCGCCAAAAGGATTTGATAGTCAAGCATAGATTTATCACTTGGTCTTCAAAAAACAATTCAAAATACACCGTATATACACATATGTCGTTTGGGTTTTCGGTCGGCGATATAATTTCGGTAGGGCAGCTTGCGTTACAACTTTACAACTGTCTCGCCGGAAACATCGATGAAGAGTGTAGAACACTTGGCGCCTCACTTATGTCCCTTCAAAGATCAATCAAGATAGCGTCGGAAGTTTTCTCGCGCAAATCGGATGAAGATGGCACTTTATTTGACACTACCATAAGGGACGGGGTTCTCGATGAGCTCCACATCCTTAAGAAAATTCTAAATACCTACCTATCGGCTTACAACAAATACTTTGAAAGTGCAAACGTCGAAAAAAATGTTCGCAAAACCAAGGATAAGTGGAGGATCATCAAATGGGGCTTGAGTCATGAGGGTGTTGCAAGAGAAATTGTTGGGTCAACTCTGCTTTTCCACATCACTACCTTCCAGTCATACATTATGGAAGTAATATTGTGAGTGAACCTTTTTCGTAGGCTCACACCTTTTAATATCATGAGGCGGCTCTGAATATCTTATATTAATTTCTCGCAGTCAGGCTGTCTTTCAAACGGATAAGCACGTACAAGAAGGCGTTGAGAAAGTTAAGGATGTTAAAGATTCGGTCGTGAGAGGCTTTGAGGGGGTCGGTTCAGAGTTTAAGACGATGAAGGAGAGATTGGACAAGGCGGATAGTCGTTTTTCAGAACTTTCTAAGGAAGTTGCAACCGCTGGTAAGTAAAACATCAATTTGTACTTCTACACTAATCTTTGCACTCACAATCTCAATTTTCTGTAGTTTCTGAGCGAACACCAACCTTATTGAATCTACCTGTCGTAAACGTAAGCACAAACCGATACATTACATATATACAAATATATGTAGGCGCGCTTGGGTATCGCTGCTATTACTATTACTATGTACATGTAGATAGAACTCGAACGCTTATATTTGAGTCTCTTTGAGGCTTAGCGTACGTGCAATGGATTTCCGTCTACATTCTCTTATATTCAACCTCTCCAATTTCTTTTTCCTGTGATTTTGGCGATATCTTTTGGGCAAAGTTTTGTATTTTTCATGGTATTTGATACAGGATATATCAATATATTTATACAGTCGACGCTCTTGCAGAGAGTCAATCTCAATGAGTAATTGTTTCGCATGGTCAGGAAGTCTTAATTCAAAGAAACGGTTTGTGCTTCAGGTATTCCATGTTTTTTTTTAGTTCAGATATTCACAGCTCTTATATAATCAATAAAAATATAATGTCACTTAAGGTATCCAAAGCAAGAGTACAAAGTAGAGAACGTAAATTCGGAACCTGACCGGTGGGGCAAGAAATCATCCCTCGAGAATGAAAGTTGAAGGTGAAGTAGTGTGTGTAAAACTTACCACATAATCATGATCAGAAGACAGTCCCTCCTAGAAAGCTGGCCCTACTTATCAAAAATATTTGTCAATTTATACTACGACGCCATGGCTCTGATCTTAAATCTATATCTTGGATGGAACTAGCCCTAATGATAAAGAGACTTAATTTATATCTACCGACTGCCTACCAGATAAAAACTAAAGAATTCAAACCTGCTACACCTTCGGCCACCCTCTAACCACTTGAAAACCAAGACCGAAACAGATCGTGAAACACAGAAGACCTCCTATTTCAACACAAAGAAAAACAAGGAAAGCAATCAAGACATGAACAAACATTAAGGTACCGGATATTTGGCTTGCCAAATGCGAGCTCCCCACACATCCTGTGTGTATCGTCCCGAGCAAATGAAGATCAGGATGACCCACTCAAACTCGGCGAACGGAAGTAAGATATCTCCCTCCAGCGCTAGCCAAATACGTAAAGTAAATCTTTTAACTAGATAAAAGCGACAGAAGCAAAAAAACGAAGAGAAAGAAAGTGTTTATAATGAGTGACGTTGAAGGGGATTAGTAGCGTGCACGAAGCCAAAAAGGCAAATTTTTCCTTCCTGTAGACTGCAAGAAATCCTCATTCCTATCGAGGAGGGGGTGGGGGGACACGAAAATGACAAAGAAAAAGGGTGTAAGATTAGAGATATAGGAAGGGGGAGGGGAGGAGTGGGGATTAAGTACTTTGTGAAGACTTACTCTATATTCGATCCAGCGTTTCTCGACAAAAGCCCTTAGATCCCAGTGACATACCTTTTTTTTTTTTTTTTTTTTAACTTCCCAACAGATTACCTTCGAAATATTTGCGTACCACAAACTCTTGAGACATGAATCCAACCAGCCCATAGATCAGATCAGTCTTCTCCTAGGATAGGTATAGCACGCCTCAACCCCAAGATTTACAGTGAAATACTTGCACAACGTGCAACTATATCACCACAATCCTGGCGTTGAGCCATGAGATAAATAATCCCAAAAGACCAACTATAGCAGGCGACAAACACTCCTCACAGAAAAACAACAAACAAAAAGAACGCCCTATTCCCAAAATACAGGAACATCCCACAACACCCCCAGAACTTTTAGACACCCCAATGATGCCCCCAAGAAACCCGCCGAGTCAGATTTTATGGTGGGTTTACGAGCATTATTCCCGTCCTAGTTGTGTTGCCGGCTAGACGGAATGCGGGGCGTATATAGAGAAAACAGGGGGAAACACAATGACGTACACGAAAATAGCGAAAAATGGTGAAGGCGGAATAGTATACGAGCCGGATAAGAACGGAAAGTGTCTCTTACAAAGCGCGAACGCGTTTAGCTGCTGCGAAAATTGTTAGCACCTGATATAGAATCTAACTTATTGCATAAAGTGCCACAAACCTTGATTTTCATCATCACTCCCGTAACCAGGGGATGCTGATTCGTCCTCGCGCATTCTCTTTTGGTCACCAGGTGATTTCACGTGCTGAGAAGATTTGTCTTCGAATTTTTCTTGCACAAGCTCTGTTTCATCCTCATAATCGATTAGTTGTTCCTCTTCGACCTCTTTGATAGTTGTTGAGGTCTTGTCCAAAAGTTTAACGACATAATTTGGCGATTGCGAGCCCTCCTTTACGGGGACACCAAATTCATTATCTGCAGCCGTCTCGATGTCGTTGACGTTTCCAAACTCGGCTTGCTCATAAGCAGCCAAATCTTCACCGTAGCTTTCTTCAGGGTATTCGATGGAATATCCGTCCGCATCCTGGGCTGAGTATTCTGCTTCACCCTCATAGCTATCGTATGTACCATCGCCCACGTACGTTTCGTGTGGCTCAGCGTTATCCGGAATTTCGTTTCCTTCTTCGCCTAGATAGCCGTTCTGTTCATCTGTGGGGTAATTGGCAGCATACTCAAAACCTTCTTGGTACTCTGCATCATTTTCATTTCCAATTCCACCGTTTTCTTCGTCAAATTCTCCCTCTTCCAATTCGAACAATTCTTGATTATCATACTCGTATCCGTCGTATTCAGTTTGGTGTTGATCCTCAGCATACTCGTACTGAACTTCGGCGCCATCATCTCCCTGGAATACAGGAATTGAAGATGGAACCTTAGTAGCGTTTGGGATGTCCTGAATCTCTTGAGAATTGTCTTCCTTGACTTCAGATAAATTTTTGACGTGATCTGTCTGATGCTCCGATTCATTGCTAACTGAATGAGCAGGGGATTCTACTTTCGAGTCTTCTGTAGTTGGATTATCGTAAGTAAGGCGACCAAACTGATTGAGGCCGGGGCTGCATTGTTGAAAACGCCCGCCGATGGAAATGAAAGGTGTCAAAGAATAAAAGGAATTGTACATACCATGAACGTGCGGAGAGCCAGGTTCGAGAGGGGATTTATGTTCTGCTGAAGAATAGTGAGGAGAGCCATGGGAGGTTGTTTGCCCTGGAGGAGAATAATGAGATGATGTTTGAGGGGATCCTTGGCCCGAGGAAGTGTGATGGGACAGTTCTTTGGACTCAGCAGCTTGATGCTCAAGATCAACTGTAGCCTTTTCATCAGTTTCATTGTCTTCCTCGTATTCGATCAACTCCTCGTCATCTTTCTCGGGACTATTCTGATCAGAAGGAGCATCTTGGATCTCCTCGGGTTGTTGAGCCTCTTGTGAAGGCTCGCTAGAAATTTCCTCTATAATCACCTCAGTCCCACTTTCGATTTGTACCAAGACTGGGGTATCTTTGAAATCCTTATCAGTCGGCATACCGACAGGCTTTGGAGGCTCGGAAGTTAAAGAAGACCCGGATGGGGATCTAGTATCAACTTTTGGACCCATTTCATCTGCCCCATTGTGGTCTTTTTCAGCCTGCTCTTTTTCGGCCTGTTCCTTTTCAGGCTGCGCTTTTTCAGGCTGCTCTCTTTCAGGCTGCTCGTTTTCAGCCTCCTCTTTCTCTTCATTGCCGTATTCGAGGTCAAAATCATCATCATCAATTTCTTCTTCCACTTTCTTCATATCTGTGGAGGGATCGGCCTTTGATTCATTTACCTTCATAAGCTCTTCCTCAGTATCTTTTTGAACAACCGGCGCGACTAAATTTGAGTAAACCTCTTGTGGAGCCTTCGGCTCGGGCGCCAAACTCTCTTCGTCTTCCTCAAGAAGTCGGTCATCGTCACTATTATGGTACTCTACCTCTTGGTTCTCTTCCTGTTCGGGCTGAGCGTTTTCTTCTGCGACATTCTCATTATGGTCGTCTCCGGTTTTCATGTAGCTATCCTCAATGTCCTCAATAGTGGACTCGATGACACCGACAGCCTGAGAAAACCCAATGCCCTGATTCACGGCTGCTGTAAGGGACGCGATACGGTTTACAAGAGTTGGACGAGTAGTCAGATTTATCTGTAGAGGTTCAGGGGTTTCGAGGCCATCCTGTTGGTGGAGTTGCACGTGGAAACTGAGGATGTCTTGGAGCGAAAAGGCACTGCAAGATTTGTTATCCTGTAAAAAAGGATTAGCCTAGGTGCTTGTACAAAGAAGAGTGTGTACTTACTTCGCCAATTATAACTCCATAACCCTCAATCTCCATGACAAACTCTACATCTTTTCCAACTACACCTTCCAGAACATTCCGAAGCTCTTGAAATAACCGATCGACCCCCTTCTCGCAAACATCGTGGTCCTGAATCAAGAATTCAAGATCATTTATCGGACTACCAATGGACCCATCCTCGGCAATTGGAGGAGGCGGGGGGAACAGACTCAGGCGATTTTCACCAAACTGTACAATTATGGGATGAAGGCTATATTGAGCGAACCCTGTAATAGTGGCAGGATCCTCGATGGTGTCATTAACTTCGGCCGCAACATCTTCAGCATGACTGCCGACAATAGCATCTTGTTCATCCTCGAACTCTCGTTGATCCTCTAATAAGTTCGGCTCATGAGCTAGGGTAGTGGATGTATTTTCACTCCAGTTACCATGATGATGGAAATCATTATCTAATTCAGTCGAATCGTGCCCTTGTACATCTCCCGACTGATAATCTGGCTCTCTGTGCGCCTCTTCTGCGGCTTTAGCGGGAGACTGAGCGCGTGGTGTCTCTTCATCCTTATTAAGTTCTGTTGACGCCTCTGCATCAGGCTTTGAGGACTGAGTCTCAGTATTTGTTACTTGTTCTGGAATGTCTACATTATCTGTTGGCACGTCTTCGTAGAGCGAGTGATCCGGAACTGAAGGAAGCTCCTGGGTAGCAAATTGTGTCTCGTGGGGCAAAGAGGACTCCTGATGACTGAAAGAAAAAAGCGGAACATCTGCGCTGTTCTGAACACTGGGGAGTCTAAGGGTGTCCTGAGATGCTTCCGGTAGATCACTACTGCCATGACTGCTAAGGAGGGCTGGTTGTGGAACTGGATATGTGATGTCTTCCTCTTCGTCAATCATAAGATCATCATTATCAAATGATATACTTGGAGGTTCTGCATTGTCGACATAGTCGTCTTCCATGGCATTATTCACATCATCGACCTCGATTCCCTCGGGACTAGAATACGAGTCAAGGTCGATATCGAAATCGGTATCTTTCCGATCAGTTTCCGAATCTACCATCTCGTCATCTGTGTTGAAGTGAGGCGCCCTGTCCGGCACGGGCTCGGCGAGGTAATGTTCATCTGTCTGCATGGTTGTTCGATGCTGTCTGGGCTCTTGAAAAGAATATGTTGTTTCCGGAGTTTCCGGATTGTCTGAAAGATCAAGAAGATCTGAGAATGGTGTGGAGGGGGCTAACAGAGAAGCGGAAATACTTGGAACTGACAGGCTCATGAATGGTGACCCACTGTTTTGTTGTGAGAGCTGCTACGCAGCTTTTCCTTCGTTAAGGGACGCCTTTGTAACAAACGCCGGGGCGTTGTTACGTGTGCTGCAAGGTTGGGTGTGAATCACGACCGGGTCTCGGGCGCTGGTGGTCAGGGTTGTAAGCTAAATAGTTAGTAGATCAGGGTCGAAAACGTGTTACGATGCTAGATGTTGATGAGATTTGTCGCGCGGTGGATGAAGCAGGCGGGCTAGTTATTTTCGAAGTTGAGGGGTTGAGAGAAGTGGTGGTGGTTGTGGTTGTGGTGATTGTGGTGGTGATTGTGGTGGTGATTGTGGTGGTGATGAGCAAGTCGGGGGAGAAGAGGCGGCAGTAGCGTGGCGATTTTGCTGAACAAAGGGTGTGCGTGTGCGTTTCGCGTATTGTCCGAATGATTGACCAACCCACAGCAAATGGTCGAGGGGGATGGACACAGTGTAATTTTAACGTGCCTGATGAAAGATTCTATCGGGCAAACTGGTCATAGGAAGAGAAAAAAAAAAAAGGGAGTGGGTGATGATGGTTTATGACTGAGAGGGGGGCATCTCTACAATACTTACCCTGATTTAGGCCAACCACTATTGCCAATATGTAATGTGCATAATTCTACGCGGCAGTCACGACGGAAAATCATCCTTGTAAGAAAATTTAATCACACGAATGAAGGGCGAAATTTAATTTCCCCTAATAGTAATTTAAGCTTGAATGCAAGTTATTCCTCGGGTTATCACTTTTCCTGCAGATCTTATGGTCACAGTTTGTCACTCGCAACTGCATGAATTGCCCTATCTTCTGTTATGAGTACGCGGCAGTGTGTTTGTATTATTACATATAATTAAGGGCCAAGTTAGGCTAATGACCGAAAGCTTATTAGCAGAAACGTAACCGGAAGGGCATAAAAGCTCCCTGCAGCTCCAATCCTACCAACCCTGTTTTAGGTCACAAGTTATCACTCGTCATTTACATCTCGGCTGGTCATGGTGTGAGAATCACACTCTTATGTCCGTTGACATGACTTATGGATTAAACGCCGCTGTGTGTGATGAATTGTGTTTTACCCCACTTTTAAAGCTCATCCAGTGAGGAGGCTCCACGGGTTGACCAGTTTAAATTTGGAAGGATTGGTTAGTAGAAGAAACCTATCAACATCAGCTAATGGAGGTTAGAGGTCTTTTTTTAGATGAGAGTTTCTTGCTTTTGATAGGGTAGAATGAGTCTAACACTGACGTAGCTATATACTACATGTAATATGGTTTATCGATACTTCATTAGTCCCTTCTATAATGTAACGGGTCCATCCATCACGGTAGCATCGTCCAGGATCCTAATGTCAAAAAGCATACATGTATCTTTAGCCATTCATTATTTCTTATTTCCTAGCTACTTGTACGAACCATCTCTAAACACAGCCAGAAAGTGACCTCAAGATTCCTCGGCCTTAATCTAGTATGATGGCCCTACCTGGCCTCGAACTCCTGGCCCTAACATCAAACTACAACGCAGCTCGTTTGATTTCTGGCTGCGATTGACTCCTAGACGGCCATCGGTAGAGAAGTACATCCTGCCACCAAAAAATATTTCATAATTACTGATGCCGAAAGGCTTCCTCTATGCATGGTTTTTCTAGGAGTTGTTTTTAGTGTATTAACTATTATGTCTAAAAAAATATATTCACAGACGGGACCACGTCACAATCTCGAATGCCATCGTTTTTTTCTTTAGGCAAGGACTAGGAACGGTAAACGAACACGATACTACGGCCACAAGAGACGATGTTTTCCTCAGGCGTGATTTACAGCAAAACACAAAGCAGGCAACACCCCCCCCCCCAAATGATTGGCACACGCAGGCGCAAATGTACAGCCATTGTCCCTGCACCTCAACATCCCTACCTTAGAATACAAGGTCTTAGCGCTACTACCCTGGGTACGAGCTCTATCTATCTAGCTAGCCTTCCCTCTGTAACTACAATAACGCCCGACTGGTGATCGATCTACCCTCGTCACCCTTCAAAACGCCTTATGTACAAGGAACCACCCACAATGATATCACCCGATACCCGCATAACGTGCAGCTGAAGCGCCGGCTTGTTCGGGACACGCACCTCTGTCAAAGGTGGGATATTGCAGACCTTTTGGTTTGTATTGGTAAACGACTAGATACCTACATCACAGGACATCACTCGCACGCCAAGGAATAAGCGTAGAGTCTTTGACGGTCTGTTCCTGCGCGCAAAGTCTATAAACAAGTTTTCCTAGCGGTTTTACCACTCCAATCATTTCCCCAATCCTTCACTCAAGGCACTATCAAACTAACTTCTAGCTCAGCAATATATCATTTCAACCAACTATATAGCTATCAACACAACAACCGCCGCACGTCTAGCTGATATCCCATTAACCACCACCCTAGAGTATATCATAACTTCGTAACTCAAGTACTTACTTCATCTAAACCATAAAAAAACAAAAGCACACAAGCAAAAAAAAAAAACCCCACTCCCCAAACCACCAATCTAACCAAAACCACCCACCCCCCATCTACGCCCACACCGACTTCCTCAACGAATACCCCCACTGCTCCAGCAACCCCGTACTCCTCTTCGCCTCCGCCAGTCCAATCACATCCTTCCTCACCACAAACTGCCCCTCCTCCTCCTTCCCCTGCTCCACACCCTCCTTCTTCACCCTCTCGTTCTGCGCAGCCTCAATCTCTCTGCACACGCCCTCGACGAGCTCGATCTCGCTGTTGCTGTTGGCCGCGCCAGGGAGCACCTTGAAGGCCATGAACTTTGGGTGCGAGGTGCCCTTGGAGAACATGCTCTTCATGGAGCGGGTGTTGACCCGTACGACGCTGCCGCCCGCCGACGAGGGCTGGTAGCGTACGATGAAGCCGACATTGCGTTTCTCGTCTGTGGATGGGTGGGCGAGGGTTGAGATGATGTATGTTCCTATAATAATAATAATAATATCACTGTTAGCAAAAAAAAAAAAAAAACCATTCCCCACAACATCCGTGACTTGAAGAGGAAGTAGCATACCCCACTGGACCCCCACAACATCCGCCAGCTCCACCCTCTCAAACTCGCTAACCTTCTCCAGCGCAAAGTCAAACCCGCACCGATAGAGCGCCTTATCCGTCACCAAGACCACAACCTCCCTAAACGGGAAAGTCCTCAGCGTCCCCGCCTCCGCCGGCGCCAGCATCGTCCACCCCCCGCGCAGCACCTCCCCCTCATCCTCCACCACAATCCTACTCGACACCTCGACCGCATTCTGCCTCAGCCGCTCCATCGACACCGCCGGATCACCACTCATCAGCTCCTCCTCAAACTCGTCAAACACCCGCGCCGTCACGCTGCCCAGCAGAAAGTCGATCGCGGCCTGCGTGAAGAAGTCGCTGACAATGTTCGTAAAGTACCGCGTCAGCGTCAGTCCAAAGTCCGTCAAGGCGCCGCGGTAGTTGCGCTTCCGGGTGCGTGTGAAGTCGCCCTTGAGCGCGGCCGTCGACGCGTACTGCTTCGAGATGGCGTCGCCGTTGTCGGCCCACAGACGGTTGAACCACGCCTCGTCCGAGCCGTCGGATACGCGGACGCCGAGGTCCGCGAGGTTCTTTTCGAGCGCGGCGCGGGCGGCGGCGCTCTGGACGACGTTGGTGCGGTCGAGGCAGTCCATGCAGTTTGTGCGCAGCACGCCCTGCTGGCGGCGCGTAACATGGCCTCCTCCTCCTCCGCCGGCGGACGGCGACGAGGACTCGTCGTGGTAGCCGAAGCCGTCGAGCACCGGGCCGAGCTCGTCAAAGAGGTGCTTGACGTTCTCGAAGCGCATCCCACGACACTCGTGGTGGAAGTCGAACCAGCTGAAGCCAACACTGCGCTTCACGTTCTCCGGGAGGCCCTGCATCGCAGCCTGGTACTTCTCGCCGATGATAGCCTCATTGCCATGTTTCTCAACAAGGCTAACAGCATGAACACTGCCGTAGCGGTCAGTAGCGGCCCTGAAGTGCTCGGCGAATGCGGCCGCATTGGCCGCCTCTGTGCGCAGCAGGATGGGCTTCGGCTTGAGCGCGTACGGGCTCTGCTGGAAGTATAGCGGGATTGAGCCGCGGATCTGGAGGTACGAGAAGACGCGGGCCCACTCGGTGTCGCTGACGAGTTGTTCGGTCTCGACGCTGTTTGCGACGTTGCCGTTGTCGTCGACGCCGCGGCGGAGGTAGCGCAGGCCTGCGCGGCGGATGGAGCGGCGCGAGATGAGTGTGAGGAGGAGGTTCTGCTGCGTGGGGACGATGGACTCGAAGGTTGGGGCTTGGTCGCCGTCGGAGGGCGGGGGCGTCGCGGCGGTGGTTGTGGTTGTGAAGGGGAGCTGCCCGACGAAGCCTTGCATGAGCGGCAGGACGAAGGCGTTCTGGTTTGCGTCGATGAATGGCTTTTGGAGATGGTGGTTCCAGAAGAACTGCGGAGGGTTAGAGATGGTTATATCGACCGAATGAATGGGGGGAAACTCACCAATGGGTCCACAAGCTTCCACAATGGCAGACTCTCGCTCTTCGAGTGACGCTGTGTGCTCCAGCTCCTCGTGATGTCCCAGTCATAGCTGAAATAGAAGCTCCTTGACCCCCCCAACAGCAGCCTCGTCGTATTCAGCAGCTTCGGCGTCAAATTGTGCGCCACATCCTCCTTGACCGCCTCCACGGCCTCCTCTACCACCTGCTCCTCCTTCTTCTTCTCCACCTCCCCCTTACTATCTGCCGCGCCATCCACCACCCTCTCCTCCTCACCACTCGGCGCCGGCCGGTTCTCTGGCTTCGTAATATCCACTCCCTCCCTCTCCTCCACCGCATGCCCCACATCCACCTTCTGCGGCTGCACCGCCGCCGCCGCCGTCCTCTCCCCCGGCGACAGCCCCTCCGACTTCCTCCGCTCCTCCGCCCACCCGCGCTTACTGAACCACTTCTCCGCGAAGCGGCCGTACAGGCCCCTGCGCCCAATGACATCCTCGCCGACCGTGCTACCACCAGTAGCAGTGTCGGTGCTCGACCGCCGCGACGACGCCGCAATGTCGTCCTGCAGCTCCTCCTCCTCCGAGGAGCTGGTGGCGCCATCGGTGTCGCCACTTGCGACGCGCGGGCGCGCGCGCGCAATGTAGGCGTCGGCGTCGCGCTGCGAGGAGAGCGGGATCAGGGCGACGTCGGTGACGACGTAGATGGGGTGGCGGCCGCGGATGGTGGCGACTTGTTCGCGTGAGGTGATGGCGATTAGGAACGAGGAGGTGGGGGAGATGGTGAGGAGGCCTGTTGGTGGTTAGAATTGGGGGGTTGAGTGAATTGGGGGGGGGGGGGTGGAAGTGGGGGGTTACCTGCGATTCCGTGGGCTTCTAGGCCGTTGGGAGCTACTGCCGCTGCTGCATCGTCTTTTGGTTTATTGTTGTCTTTGCTGGCGGCGGCGGCGGCGTGGGGGAGGATCTGTTTGCTCTTCCAGTCGATCTTGACGGGTTTGGGGGTGTTGTTGTTGTTGTTGTTGTTGTTGCTGTTGTTGCGCGAGTTCTGGATGGGCGAGAGGATGAGGCCGTCGATGGCGGCCACGATCAGGATCTTGCGGGCGAGGGCGGGCATTGCGGGGGCTGCAGCAGCGGTGGTGAGGGCCGCTGCGAAGAGCACTCTTGACGGATACACTGTTTATTTTTGGAGGGGGAGAAGGGAGGGAGAAGGGGATTTGGGGGGGGGGGGGTTGTTTATGTAGATGTATATTAGAGTTTATCGTGGGAGCGTAGATGTTTAATTTGTGTCAGGTACACTCAGCTCAGGGTCGGGTCAGCTGGGACGTATGGGATGGATTGGAGAGGCATGATGAATAGGCGCCCGGGGGGGCGTGGGTCTACTGGGTATTTATTTGTGTAGTAGCAGCTAGAGAAGTAAAATTAAAGCCATCTCTGTGCCTGCTTGTGCCTGTTGTGCCTGCTTCCTTGGTGGATATCTCAGTGTTCATCATAAAAAAGCTGGTTTGGTTGAGGGATCGGCGGTGGGGGGGGCTATTGTTGGTTGCGGTGGTTGTGTCGATGTGACGTGAGAGGCTGAGACATGCTGGTTGGCTGGGGTGGGAGCACAGGGAGAGGAGGAGTGATGTGGAGAGTAGAGTCGAGGTGAGGCAGGCAGCGACAGGCAGGCAGCTAGGGACAGGGTAATCGAGTGACTTTCCGTGGGCACAGAGTGTAGGTAGACGTGGATGTAGATGTTTATTGTGTAGGCAAGTGGATATCTCGAGATTCAGATATTCAGGCATTCAACTCTACCTAGCCAGATGTACCAGAGACAGAGCTTAATGACGCTCTTATAGGCACTCTATCTTGGTCTGTATCTCTATCGACGTGCTGCATGCCTGAATCCCTCCCTTGTCCTGTGCTGTGCATGCGCGTGCTGCAGCCCTGTCGAGTATGTAAAGTAGAGCAACACACCTCAATGTAGAGGACACGAGGCCGAACACCGAGACAGCCGAACACTCTCACATCCATTCCATCCATCCCTACGTTCCCTACATTCATTCACACTCACGCTCAGTCACTCACCCACAACCACGGCCACCTCGTTACCTATCTACATACCCATCCCCATCTATCATCTAGCTATCGGCTCTATCTAATACATCTCCATCTCTCGGACATCCACCACACAGGCAATCTCCCAGCAGGCCTGTCTGCATCACACGAGTCACACACCCACACTCACGCCCACAGACTGATCTACGTACAGAGCCTCCCCCCACGCCAGTAATAGTAACAGCAGAGTACTAGAAGAGTAGCAGCCCCCCGTCACCATGTCAGACTCATCAGGCACCACCGACCCCACCCAGCAGCTGTCCGCCTCCCAGCGTGAAGCTCTGGAGCAGTTCACAGCAGTCACTGCCCAAGCTCCCCCAGAGGCCATTCCCCTTCTACAGCGGTCACAATGGAACGTCCAGGTACAAGCCCACCCTACCAGGCCCCTCCCTGCCCCCCCCCCCCACTGACAGCTCCCAGATCGCAATCGCAAAGTTCTTTGACGGCGAGACCGCCGACCCCGTCGCCGAAGCTCTCGCCGCTCAGGCAGCAGCCCCGCCTCCCGCCGCCGCACGAACAACCTCCAGAACTCTCGCCACTCCCCCCAATGCCTTGACCCGCAACAGATCGGGCATCACTCCCGCGCCCCGAATAGTGCCGCAGCCGACGTCGGTGTCACGGCGGCCGCCGTTCCTCCTGGCACTCTTAATATTCCCGTTCTCGATGCTCTGGCGCGTCGGTAACTCGTTCCTCACCCTCTTCTACACGCTCTTCCCCTTCCTGGCGCGCTTCCGACCCGCCACCCGCACCGCCCGGGCCCGCCGCTCTCAAACACCGCGGGACACCGCCGCTCGCTTCATCCGCCTCTTTGAGGAGGAGTACGGCGCCGATACCGGTCTCCCATTCTTTGAGGGCGGATACGCCCAGGCCCTCGAGCTCGCAAAGAAGGAGCTCCGCTTCCTCCTCGTCGTCCTCCAGTCCGACGAGCACGACGACACAACCTCGTTCAACCGCGACACACTCACCAACCCGGAGGTCGTCCGCTTCATCAACGATCACAGAATCATCCTGTGGGCGGGCAGTGTCCAGGACTCGGAAGCCTACCAGGTCTCGACAGCGCTGGCATGCACAAAATTCCCCTTCGCAGCGCTGATCGCAATGACACCAGCGTCGGGCTCCAACTCCCAGGGAATGTCAGTCGTGACTCGCTGTGCAGGACCTACGCTGTCGGCGGCGCTCATAACAAAGATGACAACGGCCATCAACACCCACGCCGAGTCCCTCGACCGCCTCCGTGCCCAGCGCGCAGTCCACGAAGCCGACCGCGCAATCCGCGAGCAGCAAAACAGCGCCTACGAAGCCTCCCTCGCCGCCGACCGCGAGCGCGCCCGCGCCCGTAAGGAAGCCGCCGAAGCCGCCGCGCGGGAAGCCGAGGCCGCGCGCAAAGCCGCCGAGGAAGCCGAGGCGCTGGAGCGCAACAGAGAGGCGTGGAGGAAGTGGCGCGCGTCGCTGCTCCCGGAGGAGCCGGAGGCTGGGCCCGAGACGGCGAGGGTGTCGATCCGCATGGGTGATGGCGAGAGGCTGGTGAGGCGGTTTGGGGCCGGCGCGGACGTGGAGGAGGTGTATGCGTTTGTGGACTGTCTGGGCGTGGAGCTGGACGAGAAGGTTGTGGCACCGCCGGAGGGGTATGCGCATGAGTGGGGGTTTAGGCTGGTTAGTCTTATGCCGCGGCAGGTGCTGGAGGCGCAGGGGAAGGTGAGGGATGGGATGTTGTGGCCGAGTGCGAATTTGGTGGTGGAGAGCTTGGCGGATGATAGTGATGATGATGATGAGTAGTAGGTCGTGGGTGGGTGGGGTTATATAGGAGTGTAATTGTAGTATAGTCAGTATTTGCTGGAATGTGAAACTTCTTTCTTTTGTGCAGCTCTTCCTTTTGTTGGTGATGCTTATGGTTTAGATTTATTGTGAGGATTTTTTTATCTTGTGGAGGAAAAAAAAAAGGGGTTGGGGGTGCGGTGTATAGTAGAATCAAATATTTGGCTTTTAGCTTTTTGGTTCTGGGGGTCACGTAGTGTAGTCGACAGCGGTCCCGCGGTGCTGTAGTTTGTAATTACACATGCGGGCTGGATCAATTGCGGTAGGGGGTTTGGCTCCAGGTTCAATGATTTCAGATGGTCTACTCTACTCTACTCTGGTGAGTATGTGCTGCGTGTTTTTGGGGTTGGGTTCGAGGTTGTGGGTGCGGGAGGATGGAATAGTGTGGGTGGAATTCAATGGTGTAAGTAGAGTGGCATGGCGAATGTACGTTTTGTGGTGGGTTAAGCATTGGCTTTCGGCAGTGGAGTTATGTAGCTTGGTCTGGGGTTATGTAGTGTGGGATGCATGGGGTGGATGAAGGCGCGGGAAATGGTGCGGGTGGTTAAGGGGGCTCTCTGATCTAGGGAGAGCTACATGTAGCTTTAAAGCTGGTTTAAAGTCTCTCAGAGAATTCTGTAACCGCAGTTGGCTGGTGGGTTTTGTTTGTTTTGTTTGTTTCTTTTACTAGCTGTAGAGTTTATTTGTGGGTTTTGGGGGAGGGGGGATTGAAGCTGGTAGTGAGTGGGTAGATGCTCAGATGCTCAGATCGCAGGGCTCTGTAGGGAAGAGGGCTAGTAGATAGACCGCAGAAATGTGAGAGTATAATGTAATATACTTTTACCTCTGGCTCTCAAGGCATAAGTACAGCGCTGCCAGACAAGCTCCGGTGGTGAGTGCACTAGCAAGTACAAGTCCGCATGACCGAAACGCAGCACATAGGCCCCGTGTTGAGGACAGTGCCTGTTTTAATGCCAGGTCCAATGCTGTTGGCCAGACAGACTCTGCACCCCGACACATTCCGGGCCACACACAGAGCTTGAGCACCGAGTGATATTCCATGACGCGCGCACACACGCACACACTCGAGACTCCGTTGCCGTGGCAACGGACACCCCACTACGCACCGACGATCAGGCACGAGCTCTCTCGTATCGTATCGTATCTTATCGAGGTGTTCGGACTGCCGTGGGGTAGAAGCTCTCGAACCTCTTTAACTCTTCCCCCCTCTACGATTCGATTCACAATTCCGATAACACTCACTCACTGACAGTCAGTGCCCACGCCTAATCTCACCCAATCCCGTACTTCAACCCTCAACGCGTCTCCCCCCACCAATCCCCCACCGCAAGCTCCCCTCCCTCCCTTCTTCATCATGGGCGACGCCTCCGCCGCCTCCTCACCCCACACCGAGCCCGGCACCACCCCCACCACCACCGCCGCCGCCGCCGCCGCCGCCGCCAAGCAGCCCACGGGCTTCCTCGCCCTCTACCAGAAGGCGCTCCCCTTCCCCGCGCGCCCCGGGCTCGCCGCATGGAGCCCCACCCTCGACCTCATCGCGCTCGTCACAACAAACGAGAACGTGCTCCTCTACCGCATGAACGGCCAGCGCGTCTGGGGCTTTGCGCACCGCCGCGACCGCAACGTCGGCCCCGGCGGCGGTGAGACGCGCATCGAGCGGTTGCGGTGGCGGCCTGACGGTTTGTCCCCCCCCCCCCTGTGTGTGTCGGAGGTGAGGTGGTGGTGGCTAATTGGGTTGGATTGGTGGGGTGTAGGCAAAATGCTCGCCCTAGGCTACAGCGACGGGTCCACGCGCATCTACGACGTCAACAACGGCAAGCAGATCCACCGGCTGACGTCCGAGGCGGCCAGCTTCGGCACGGTGTCGTGCGTGGGCTGGGTCGACAATTACTCGCTGCGCACGCGGCCGGGGATGGCGGCGGAGGTCAAGTCGGCGGATTGTACGCCGCAGGCGCTGTTTGATATGGATGTGGGGCAGATGCTGCCGCGGTTGAGTGTGTTGCCGTCGTCGGCTGGAGCGTAGGGCTTTTCCTTTCTTTGGTTTTGGTTTTGGTTTTGGTTTTGGTTTTGGCTTTTGGGGTGTTTGAGGTTGGGGGGTGTTTGAGGTTGGATTGGGATGGGGTTGGGTGGGGGTTTGGGGCAGAATGGAGAGCTGATGAGGGGGTTGTTACAGAGATAGCACGTTTACGTCGAAGGTTACGCTGGATGCGTTGATCAATTCGGTTACAAAGGGCGGGGAGGGGGATAATCTGGATGTGCTGCTGATTGGGGAGGAGGGCGGGAAGATTCTCTTGAAGTTGGTTACTCTTCTTGTGGAGCTTGATTCTTCTTGTGAAGCTTGATATTGGAGGGCTAACTATCTAATAGTGTATTTGATTCGTTCTTAATAGGAACTATGGAGCTCTCATCCCTATCCCACCAGCTCAAACCCCACTCAAAGGTATACCACAATTCCCTCCTTTGCAATGCTAATCCGGATTCTGACAATCAGCAATATAGCTCCTGCGTCACACAGCTTCCTCAGACCTGTCCACCCACTCGCTGTTAATACACGAACCCCAGACCAACAACATCCTCTTCGCAACCATGGACATCCTCTTCATCCAACAATTCGGCCAGTACCTGTTCCAGCTCGCATCAACATCAACCAGGGTGCAAGCGCTCCTCCGCTACATCCAGGAGGCCGTCGTCGCGCTCGAGACCGAGTTCAAAACCATGAACGACCTCGCCCAGCGCTACGTCAGCATCATCGACGAGGACGTGCGCAAGCAAGGGAGCGAGGTCTCCCTCGAATTCTTCGAGCTCCTCGTGACCGGCGTGCCCAGTGAGGTGCTGCGCGAATGGCTGGTCGACGTCCTGACAGAAAGGGTAAGGCGGCACGTGCACCCCCCGGAAATGATCGGAAAATCCGCTAATCTGCCAGCAGGGCCAGAAGCGCTGGGAAAAGAGCTCGATGAATGGCTATGAGACGCTGCGGAGGCTGGTCCACGAGAACCTGCTTCCGACGTGTGAGCGGTTGACGGTGCTCTTCTGCCGCCTGCGGGGATTGGCTAGATGGTGTGTTACTGTTGTTGTTTCGGGCTCCAGGCTCAATCCTTGACCAGCTAGCTAACCACGAGGGGGGGCCGTCTAGGAAGGAAAGAGGGAGTCCCCTGGGACTTGATCCCGACGACTTTACTCGCTGCCTGGACGTTGTCTCAGGGCTTACAGTGTTCGCGCACGAGTTCCTGCTGAAGCTCAACAAGGAGCTCGAGCACTTTGCGGCCTTCGGCTCCTGGCTGCGGCACACGCTCGACGAGCTGTCGACCGTCATCAACATTGACGACAAGCCGGCCGAGGACCCGCAGATCGACACACTGCGCGTGTCCGAGTACATCAGATGCTACCTCAAGCAGTCGTCGCTGGCGGCCTTCTTCCGGCGCGAGGGCTTCCTGCGCCTGAGCGAGTACCAGAAGAAGAAGGGCGAGAGCGTGTTTGAGCTGTATGCGCGCAACGCTGACAGGGAGCCGGTGCCACCCGGGTTTATGGAGCTGGCGGCGTACCTGGAGGAGCTGTGTAGGTCGGTATTTGCGAAGCCGCAGATGGCGATGAGGCAGCAGTTGAGGGTGGGGAAGCCGGTGACGGTGGCGGAGAGGGAGGTGGGCAAGATGGATGTGAGGATGGTGGTGGAGGGGGGGGTCCAGGTGGCTTATGTGGCGTTGTGTGATGTTGAGAAGAAGGCGAATAATCGTGAGTGCAGCCATCCTCCTTGAGATTTGATAATGATTGCCCTTCTTGAGGTTTGATAATGTTTTTTTTTTGTTTAGTTCATTAATTGCATGCAAACCTACTGATAATAATGGTTGATAATAACGATTTTCCTTTTTAGTTATCCTTATCCGGTGCCAGATCTCTGTCGACGGATCCCTGAGTACGGTTTCAAAGATTGGTTGCGCCAAAGTCCTCTTCCCAGACCCAGAGTCCGTGTTGGTGGATCTTCATTTCGTTGATTCGAGCGCAATTATCTTGATTCTTGCTGATAAAAGTAATCATATATCCCCGTTTGTTTTCCAAGGTTCCGCTAGTTCTATTTGTTGACCGACAATTTTTTTTAATATTAGCTGGTCGTAATTCCGAGATGGTGTCGATCGCATATGATATCATAACCTATGATGAGAACTACGATCACGAAGATCTGTCCGAAAGCGTATTTTCGTATGCAGAGGCGCTGCAAGGGGAAGAGATGGCCGTTGTCACTAGACGCCAGTTCGATTCCTCGTTCATACCGGTGCAGCTCACCATTAATGGGAATAAGGGCAGGCGAGTTGGGTGTGTGATTGCGGAAGACAGGATGAGATACATTGTGTTTGATCTGGACGGTCAAGAGGAAGACGAAGAAGAGGAGGGGGAGGAAGAGGAGGGGGGAATGACAGTTGAGGGGGAGGAGGGGGAGGGGCAGGGGGAAAACTAAAGATGAATGACGACATTGATATTGAAACGAAACGTAGCTGTGGGTTAGATCTGGGGGCTTATGGGTGTTACAAAAATACACACTGGGAAAGTCTTTGGGCGGCGTTCTTATTTGGAGCAAAAAGTAAACAACCGGGAAAAGTGGGACGTTAAAGATAATGCATGCATAGTAGACTCTTTAGTCAGGGACCCCTGCCTGCAGCATACTGTGCCTTTGTTTTGTTGGATTTTCTGAGCAGTCCATGTACCTCTGGAATACTGCCCCCTCACCAATACCTACATAGACATTGTAGTTCATACAGACTGTCGGATAACCACATTTATTTACTCATTGCCGACAATTTTAATCTTTAATTTGCAATGTATGCAGAGATTCATAAGGTTGCCTGTGGGTAGCTCTGTGGCTCCACCGGAGTTGCTGGTCATATATCTCGTTGAATGACTCTCTGTATGTATGCCAGGACAAGCATAAAATATATAGACTGCAATAATACGAGTCATGTTGAATGCAGCCCCAAATAATACTCATAAAATGCAAAAATCACGGGTAGGAAGGATTGTTTGGGCGTGTAGAAGGTGTGCCTCAGTTATTTATTTACCTGTAGCTGGATTGGAAAGGAGTTCGGTGACGAGACGGGAGAGAAGCGAGCAGATAACTACGTGTGTCGCCACGAAGCAATAAGTATCGTTGCATACAGCAGCCCAGGTACGTTGACGATGCAGGAAAGTCCATGCCCTCACGATCTGTCCTTTCCATAGTTCACATGATACAGTGGCTTTTCCTTCTCCATGGATGTAGAGGTGAGGAGATACCGACATCCTTAAACCCTCTCTGTATGCAAGTGATCTGTACCTTTTGCTTTAGTGAGGTATCTGTAAATAGGTGACAGCGGTCAGTAGAGCGGTCTGTCTAGGTACCATCTGCTTTGTCTCTTTTCTTCTTCCTCTTCACGAACAGAAGAGGTCGTTGAATAGTTCTCTCAGCTTCTCCAGTTTTCGCGGATGACTCATCTAAGAGCGGGGTTATCATTGGCTGGCTGGTTGCTTTGTGCCCCCCTCTAGCCCCATGGAGAGCTTCAGAGGGGTTGAACCATCCCTGTGGGGCATAGATAATGCCTCTTGGAATTCCGTCAAAAAGAGCCCCTCCTTCCTCACAGTTCGAACACCCAAAACAAAAATTCAATCCCTCCCCCCATTTTCCCTGCCTTATTCCCACGCCAACCAGTGAGGAGAAACAAACATCCACACACAAACTCTGCTTGTTTAGTTAGAGGATCAAAACAATAGAAACTAGCAGAGAGAAGGGGGAGAGAAAAAAAAAAGACGACCCCCAAAACAAAACAGAGAGGAGAGGTTCGTTGCTGCCTTCCAAGCACGTTCCCCACCTTGATATTGCGGTAGCCTCCCCCCACCACCTCTCCCCCTCTTTTTTCACCTGAAAGGAAAGAAAAAGAGTCCCCTGATTACAACTCTCTATTTTGCTCCCTTTTTTCTCCGGTAAATCAGGAATCACAATCTCTTGTTGTATTCAACGCTGTGTAACGTCGCAATTACTCCCCCTAAGGCAGAGTTGTTGTGGCCCGCGTCAAACCTTTGACACTGAACTTTTCCACACAGGAGACAGCCTCGTGCTTCTTTCAGTAGACTCCACGACCGCCTCTACCTCTTTCCTCTCCCACTTGTTTCTACCCACAACCATCATCATCCACAAATTCCATCATCACAACCGATTCCCCGACGCCTTGAGTCTTTAATTTTCAACGTCGTCGATTTAAACTACATATCTCATCGCCATCTCATTCTCATCGCAAAACCACCACAACCGCAACCATGAACGTCTCTGAGGTGTTGGCAAATACCTTATCTGCCGGTGAGTTTTGTTTATCCTCCAACCCCAATTTCTGCTCCGGAAATTGATGTTCATTTTTTCTCTCTCTAGATAATGCTATCCGTGGTGCTGCTGAGGAGCAGCTTTCGACCGCTGCCGTCCAACACTTTGTACGTTGCCCCCCCCCCCCCACACCTCGTTGGGTATCCGATTTCCCTGGCTTGAAGAGGCGGGAAACTGACTTCTTTTGTGGTTTTTATGTAGCCCGAGTATCTGCAAATGCTCTCGGCGGAACTCGCAAATGAAGAGACATCTCCCTTTATCCGTAGTGCTGCTGGTATCGCTCTGAAGAACGCCCTCACTGCCAAAGAGCGAACACGTCTGCTAGAGGTACAGCAGAAATGGCTCACCCAGGTCGACCCAACCATCAAGACCCAAGTCCGGGAAAACTCTCTTCGAACACTAGCCTCGACAGACAACCGTGCGGGGCAATCGGCCGCGCAGTTCATTGCGGCCATCGCCGCCATCGAACTCCCCCGAAATCAGTGGCCGGACCTGATGCCTGCACTGGTACGAAACGTCGGCGAAGGCTCCGACAGCCTTAAACAGTCGTCCTTGACCACCATTGGTTATATCTGTGAATCAGAGGAGCAGGAACTCCGGGATAGTCTGAACCAGCACTCTAATGCAATCCTCACGGCCGTCGTGCAGGGTGCCCGGAAGGAGGAGCCTAACGCCGACGTAAGATATGCGGCCATGGTTGCGTTGGGTGATTCACTGGAATTTGTTCGAACCAACTTTGAGAATGATGGTGAGAGGAACTATATCATGCAGGTCATCTGCGAGGCCACACAGAGCACAGACTACAGGATTACTCAGGCAGCATTTGGTTGCCTGAACAGGATAATGAATCTTTACTACGACAAGATGAAGTTCTACATGGAGAAGGCCCTATTTGGATTGACAATTGTGGGGATGAAGCACGAGGAGGAGGAGGTCTCCAAATTGGCCATTGAATTTTGGTGCACAGTTTGTGAGGAAGAGTCCGCTGTTGAAGATGACAATGAACAGGTAAATCCGACCCCAGCTGTTCAATCGGACTTTAGACGCTGACAGTATGCAGTTCCAAGCAGAGGGAATGACTGAGCTTCGGCCATTCTTCAATTTTGCGCGTATTGCCACTCCAGAGGTCGTCCCAGTATTATTGGAGCTCCTCACAAAGCAGGACGAAGATGCCGCGGACGATGAGTACAATGTCTCCCGTGCAGCATACCAGTGCCTGCAGCTTTACTCCGCGCGTGTCCAGGGTCTGGTGATCGGCCATGTTTTGCAATTTGTAGAGGCCAACTTGCGCCACGAAAACTGGAGGTTAAGAGATGCTGCTGTTTCGGCATTTGGTGCAATCATGGAAGGACCAGAGTTCAAGCAACTTGATCCCCTGGTCAAGCAGGCTCTGCCTGTACTTGTGGGAATGATGGATGATAAAAACTTAATGGTAAAAGACTCTGCAGCCTATGCTCTTGGGAGGATTTGCGAATGTTGTGGGCAATCTATCGACCCTCAACTCCATCTGCCAAGCTTGATTCAGGCATTATTCTCCGGCCTGAAGGATAGTCCAAAAATGGCTAGCTCTTGCTGCTGGGCTTTGATGAACTTGGCGGACAGATTTGGCATTGAAAGCGAGTCTGAGGAAAACTCGTTGTCGAAATACTTTAAGGATAGTGTTAGTGCCCTGTTGGCCGCAACTGAAAGGTATAAATAAACTCCCACACCAAATTTTTGGGGACTAAGGCTAAACAAACATTTATTTATAGATCCGACGCTGATAACCAGCTCAGAACGGCTTGCTACGAAGTCCTCAACTCTTTTGTTGCCAACGTTGGACAGGATGAGCTGCCGTCTATTGCTCAATTGTGCACTGTAATCATGGAGAGGCTAGAGAAGACTGTTGCCTTGAGAGGACAAATTGTTAGCACGGATGACCGTATCACTTTGGAGGAGATGCAGACTAGTTTGGCTGTAGTATTGATGGTACGGATTCCAGCGTTTTCGACAGCTTTTAGTATTCCCCATATTAACTTGTAGAACAGACTATCATTCAACGTTTGGACAAGGAGATCAAGCCCCAGGCCGATAGCATCATGCAGATCCTTTTGGGGATCCTCTCCACGCTGCCACCAAACTCATCTGTTCCTGACGCGATATTTGGAGCCGTTGGAGCTATGGCTAATGCTTTGGAGGAGGACTTCACCAATTACATGGATGCATTCACGCCTTTCCTTTACAATGCCCTTGGCAACCAGGAAGAGCAGCAGCTCTGCTCAATGGCTATTGGTCTCGTGGGTGACATTGCTCGTTCAATAAACGACAAGGCAGCGCCTTACTGCGACCACTTCATGAACTATTTGCTCAACAATCTCCAGGTATGTTTTCCTACTTGCAATGGTTTGTTTTGAGTGATAATAACAAGAAAACAGAGCAACACTCTTAGCCAGCAATTCAAGCCAGCAATTCTTCAGTGCTTTGGTGACATTGCTCAAGCAATTGGGGGCCACTTCGAGACATACCTGCAAGTGGTCATGGGTGTTCTTCAACAGGCGTCTGGGATTACTGCCAGTACCGATAGCAATTATGAGATGGTAGAATACGTTATCTCGCTACGAGAAGGAATCATGGATGCGTACGACGGCATCATCATTGCTCTGAAATCAGGCGATAAGAGTGAGACCTTGTGTTGCATAGCGTGTTTAGACACTGGAATTATGCTAACGTAAATTTAGCCTCTCTCCTTGCCCCTTACGTTCAGCACATATTCGGCTTCCTGTCATCGGTAAATGCCGACATAAACAAGACTGAAGGACTGATGAGATCTGGCATGGGTGTTCTTGGGTAAGTTGCAATATCCCGAGGCATTTTTCTTTCTTTTTTTTTTTTTTACACAAACTTACTTTGAGGTAGGGACTTGGCGGATGCTTTCCCCGGTGGCGAGATTGCCCAGTACTTCCGCGCCGATTGGATCGGTGCCATGATCAAGGAAGTACGACAAAGCCGGGAGTTTAGCTCTAGAACACTTGAAACTGCTCGATGGACAAGGGAACAAGTGAAGCGTCAGCAGGCACAAGCTTCTTAAATGTTAAAAATCTCACGGAAATGAATTTTTTTTTCTGCTGCCAAGGTTAGAACGAAAGATGGAAGGGTGGAGGGAGGGGAAAGAAGAAAATATTTTTCCGAGTTTCCTAGATGAAGAGGTTCATTATTCAATCAGTCGGTTCAAATCTGGGCATTACCTTTGGTTTTTTACTTCTCTTTTTGTTTTCCAACTCGGGGTCCTTGGGGGAGTTTGCTGTTTCTCTTATCCTCTCCGTATCTCTTGGTTTTTGTTTTCTTTTCATAGTTGCTCTTTCCCGGCGGTTACGGTTGATAATGAAAAAAAAGCATGTGCGAATGTCTGACTATAGGATCTGAAGGATATATTTATGCTTGATGAATCCTGGTTAGAGATACACCATGTTTTTATTCTTCTTTTGTTTTCATTTCTTCCTCTTGTTTTCGTTTAGATGGATCGGTTGAAGACGGGCCTGTCTTGTGGTTTCTTTTTTGTCTTGCATTGGTTCTCCCCTGTCCTCTCCGCTCCCACCCCATCCCTTCCTGCACCACTACCCATAAACTACCCATAAACTACCCTGGAAGAACTCTTATACACGATCGTATTTCCCACTTTGTCTTTACGTCATATGATATATGATCTTATGTTAAAACATCGTCCCCTATCCCATGCCTGATGTCTCCCCATATCATCCTCACATGAATCCACCTTTCCTATTTGTGCCTGTACCCATTTGTAACTGTTAATTAGCGCTTTTATTCCTTTCCCTGCACTCGCTTTTCGGGCCTGGCTTCCGGAAAGAACCGTTGAACCGTGATCACATTGGATAGCCGCAATGTATCAACACTTTTGTAAAATCTTTTTTCCAAAGATCTTGCACTTACTTGATGGGGGCATGTATTTCTTAAAAAGTCATGCGCCCCGGCATTCCTTTGTTTTTCACTCTCGCTATCACTATCGATATCTGCAAAAAATCATGTATTTCTAGGTGTGCTCATGTATTCTTTTACTGGATGGATGGATGTAGCCTGGATATGTAGCCTTCATGGGTCATGGATTATCACTCGAACCATATCATCCCTTGCTAGCCAACAACTATAAATTTGATGAAGGTTGGCTTGTCATTTTAAACTTATAGTAATTGTGTATCCCGATTTATGTTTGGCATCCTGTTTAAATATGACAGGCTAACTTGAATGGGGCGGTTGCGCTTTCTATGTGTTCCACGAGCCAGCTTTTCCATCGAGGGTTGGGATAAGAGTACTCAGAGGTAACGTGCGGTATACTAGTCCCGTTCACAGCCTGTGGTGCGATTTGTAGTCTGCAGGACGAGGAACGAGTTCACAACCAAAATCTGGGCACGAGACTAGCGATATACTAATGTGTGGTTTTTTCCCCCGTCAAGAACATGATCTTTCTCCTGTCTTGATCGTTATACGCAATCGTTGAATTATAACACCAATAACAATTAGTTGTTCAATAAAGGCTGGATAATCGAAACAGTCGGGTCTCCCTGCATGTCACCTTAACTCCTTGTAGGTGCTAATAGATACATGTAAGTTTTCGCCACCAATCTTGTATGATTTATATTGTATGTCCTGGGGCTATCAGAATCATACGCGTATATATCCAACTAAATACAGTCCTCCCCGTAAAAGCGAAGAAACTTCCCTCATTGAAACCGACATGCGTACCAATAGTCCAGTTTGGTATTAGATATTAGTGTACCTAGTTGATTTGAGTAGTGTCACTAGAAATCTGGAATTCTTGACCCAAGCTTCCCGCAATCCTTGATCATGATCATTCCTTTCTGAAATCCAAGTGGATTTTCTAAATGAAAGTTGCAGTATCTGTAAAGTTAGTGGTTGTAATAAAAAAAATATTAAATATTTAAAATGTATTTGGATTATAATTTAAGTTGCAGTTGATCCTGGTTCTGCGCTTGAGTGCTACGGTGGATTAATATATTAACTTTGTTTCTGTTCCTATGTCTCGGGACACCAATTTTTCACCGCGTGCAAGGAACGTGTCTAAATAGAAATCGATTTCGCCAGATTTCTTCTATATACATGTAATTGCAGGCATATATCATATGCAATATAGAAAGCCCGTGTGGTGGCGTTATGAAGGTCCTCGATGCTCAGGCAAGTCATGGAAGGCAGATCGACCCATACGAGCTCCAAAATATATTCCAGCACCTCTACGATTTAAAAAAGAATTTAGGAAACCCAAATTCTCATTTGTAGATCTTGAGAAGTCTCCGCATTGGAAGATCAGGTACAGACAGCATGGGCTGTGTAACGTGGGGTACAAGCCACTAAACTTGATAGGTTATTCCCAGATCGAGGCTAGATGCACCCCTCCTTCCGAGTAAGCCCTTCGCCGTTCCTTAACCTGCGGACAGCCGCGCCGCCTCTACATACTTCTTCTTCTCCTCCTCGAGCGCTCCCCTCCTATTCTGTCCGAGAACAGCCTCCTGCTGCACCTTTCAGCATCCCACCCATCGCTACACAAGTCTGCCCCCCAAAACGATTTGCGATACCTGGTCCTTGAGATACCTACATAGGTAGAGAGAGATACATCCCTTCTCCTCCATAACCACATACACACAGCTTTCCCGATAAACAAGGAGAGCTTTCCATATTACAAATATCCCTCAACTGTACCTGAATCTCATTCAACAGCTGTATTCTTCGATCCTCAGATTATTCCATCAAAAGAAACACTTAAGGCGTGGGGAAACCTGTACTCTCGTGCTGTGGAGGCTCTAATCTGTGAGAGAGGTATATAGACTCATCGCAGACATAGAGAGGGAAAGAGAGAGAAAAGCAAGGATCAACCGAAGCGAACCTCCGGAATCTGTTCAATTTCCCTTCCATGGTATTCGCTCAGAATTATTAATCCTCGGGCAACGGAAAAAGATAATAAATAATAGTAAACTTGTTGCTATAATCTGCCTTTGATACATTCCTGCATGGGATACTGTTCTCTCCCGGATATCCATAGCCCACAACAACTTCCACGATGACCGAACGACCGTCAACGGCGACGGGCAGCAACCGCAATTTCAACCAGGCATTGACCTCTCCACTGAGGCCAAATACGAGCGGTGGCCCTGGAATATCTGTGACTGGTGCTTCGCCGACAGGATCAAGAACTCCACCTCCGAATGAGAACCGCCGGTCTATCAGTGGTGCTTCGTCCTCACCTCGACCAAAAGCGAAAGGTCCGCTATACTCCAATCCACGAAATCTGATTGTACGGATATCCGCTGGTCCTGACACAAAGCAGAATCTACCAACACATTTTGTCGAAACATCACAATCTACGGGTATTGTCGTTACCAAGATAAGGGTGAGAGGTCAGAGGTTGTGGATGTCCTGGAATAGGTCACTAAGATCACCCCAGGCTGCGCATTCAATCACGATCCCCATTCGCAAAAACAGCAATCTGGGAGCGGACGAGGGAAATTCAATGTAGACTCACCCTCTTTCACTCCGGCGACTCCCCCCAAGAAGACAATATCCCCGAACGTTGCGGACGCTGCACCTTTCACCCCGAAACACACCACTGGTAATACATTGAGCAGGGCAAACTCTGCGGCATCTCGAGCTGACGTGCTAGGAGTTGCGACACCCCCGGTTGCGCCTCAATTTCATGATCCTAATAATGGGTGGGTAGCTTACAATCTCAAAGGCTTTCCCCACTCGTTTTCTTGTCAGCTGATTGTGGATAGTTACTCAATATCCCACGCAGTTGATCATCAGCAGAATTATCAGTTACAGCAGCATGGCTTTGATCCAATAGGATTGGCGGAAAATGTATATTCGCCTACGAAATCACGGCGCAGGGCTAACAAAATAAAGAACGCGGCAACAAACGCAATGAATGCATACGAGTTTCCGGTTTCACAGCCGGTGAATCCGTATGCGCAGACGGGCGATATGTTTTTCCCACAAACACAGTCATATACACCTCTGGTTGTGCCCCCCTTTGCAATTTTTACCATGTTTGATTTTCACAATGGAGAGTTTTGTTAACTCCATTATCTCACTTTGAAGCTCCCTTACCACCGTTATGCTCCTCTGGCTCCCTTTCCGCAAAAGCTTTTACCGTTTCAAAGGAACATCCATGGATTCTTCATGTCCGATAATCTCAGGGAAGAGCTCCAAAGGAAAGCAGAAATTACGTTGCAGTCTTTACCAAGTAATTTAGTCTCTTTCAGCCCCTTATTAGCCAGGGTGGACGGTGATTGACATGAATATCTCTTTCGTCCCGATAAAGGTGTTACTTCGATTCTTCCCCCGGCAGTGGAGGAATTCCACTCTTTAGTGCCACTAGATACATCAAACCAAAAGAACATAAATGTATTTGGATATCCAAGCTGGGCTTATAAGGCGTTCTCAAATGAAGATGCCAATCCATATGCGCTTCGGAGAGTTGAGGGTAAGTTCTTTTGCCGCGGTTCATTTGAATATAAAAGCCCTAACAGGTGAGATATCAATGTATAGGGTTCCGTTTGTCCAACGAAGCCGACATTAGAATAATACAAAGATGGAAAAAAGTTTTGAGCGCAAACATAGTGACCATCCATAACGCTTGGACTACTACAAAATTTGGAGACAGCTGTAAGTCAATCTAGATCTTCTTTCGGCTCATTGCATCCGACGAGCTTGTGAGCGTTCATGCCTAAGTTTTGTCTTGTAGCTATCATCTTCGTCTATGATTATCATCCTTTGTCCAAGACGCTGGCTGAGACTCACTTTGGGCCAAGTCCAAGATACACTACCCCTCGACACTCTGTTGGGCCTATAGTTCCAGAACCAGTACTATGGAGTTACATTGTACAGATTGCTTCAGCGCTGAAAGTCATTCATAGTGCAGGTCTGGCAGCGAGGGTAATCGAAGGATCAAAAATATTGGTTACAAGCAAGATGCGGTACTTAAACCAGTTTAGAAATGTCTGGAATGATATTGACTGATCGTGCTAGAATACGCTTGAATTGTTGCGGTATCCTGGACGTGATTCATCCAGACACCATAAAAACTCAGGACATGGTGCGTGAGGCTCAGCTTGAGGACCTGACCCAGCTAGGTCGGCTCATGCTTTCCGTTGCTTGCAACACTCCAACAGCGCTTCAAAACTTCCAGAAAAGTATGGATTATATCAGGAGACATTACTCTATGCAATTGCATGACAGCATCTACCTTCTTGCCACAGGTGCAACGAAGTCTGTGGAAGAGTTCATCAAGACAATTGCCAATCAGGCGTTCCAGAATTTTGACAGCGCTCTTCATTATGAAGACTCGCTTGAATCGGAGCTTTCAAGAGAACTTGAGAATGGTCGGCTGGTCCGGCTTTTGTGCAAGTTTGGCTTCATCAATGAGAGACCTGAGTTTGATCATGATCCAAGATGGAGTGAAACTGGTGATCGTTATTTCTTGAAGCTCTTCAGAGATTATGTCTTTCATTCGGTTGATGAAAACGGTCAACCGGTGGTGGATATTGCACATGTGTTGAGCTGCCTGAACAAGTTGGATGCCGGCGTAGACGAGAGAATTATGTTGGTCTCTCGGGACAGCATGAATTGTTTTGTTGTGACCTACAAGGAGGTATGTTTAGTAATTTACTTGCTTTGTCTGGTCGAACTGACACAATACAGCTGAAGCGACAAGTCGAAACATGTTTCCAGGATCTCAACAAAAACAACAGACGGTAAAATACCGTTTCCTATGTACTGGGTGTATGGGTCTATTGCGTAGAGAAAGAGCGATATACCCAGGTTTGGAGGTTCTGAATTTTTCTCGGGGTAAGACGTGTAAAGATCAACATGGTTATTAGTTGCGTGAGTATAGGACTTTGATTCCTTTACTTGCATTTATATGCATCGGTCTAGAGAACGGAGGTTGTTTGGAGGATGATTAGTGGGAGGAACGTTCCATATTTGTTGCCTTACACCTCGTCTGTAATATTGGGAACAAATATCTGCAATGTATCTTAGTGACTCTTTTTCCTTTGGCAGTTACAATGCTGAGTATAATTTCATTCCTTCTGCGTTGTTCCGCAATAGGAACACACGATCGAGCAAGGCAAGAACTAGAGGGCGGTTGCCGGGGCTTTTGCAAGAAGACTGTTATCCGTTGTAATTAGAAAAGTTGGAAATACTCAACTATTTATATCGTCACTTTTGTAAATCGCCTTTTATTCATCCTAGATCACTCGTGGCATTTATGATTTTGTAAGCCTTAATGTGCTATCACACCGGCATTGAATTTGGACTATGGAACAGTCGAGTTGTCAGTCTACCCCAAACAGTGACATTGTGCAGCTTCTCTACCCTAGGACACACCATCATTGGTAGTTAGACACAACCCCGGTCAAATTCCTAACGTATGCAAAACTCTCCCACGACTTCGGATAATGAATCAACAACTCACAAAGTCGAGCACGTTAAGAGCGACAAATCATATGAAGGCCCAGGTACATACAATAGACTTGACCCATCAGGATGCACGTGCATATGCAGGAACCGGGTTTTGAATTATAGGACACCCAATCAAGTATGACACGTTAACGTATGTGCCTGCAGCTAGTACCGAGCTTGTATCATATCCTTTGAGCACTACATGAACTAAAAGGCATTCAACCAGTGTAGAGACTTGAGATGGGATGTTTAGTGCAGCCAAACATTTGTGTGCACGACTTTTTGCCTTTGTTCTCTTCTTCGAGGTGGGGCTCATGAGTATTATATTACAGTGCTTCCCACGCACCGTTTATGAGTAAATAAGATGCTGGTATTCATATTGTAAATAGTATTAACGGCACTCTTTCTGTTCATTTGCTAGGCTTCTGTTTTTGAAGGTAAGTGAAGCTAAGCTTCAATCATGAGTTTAAATTGACTTCTATTGATCTTTACTGACCCGCTGTATTTAAATACAGGGCGTCGAGTCTTAGCTACATACTCTAATTCTTCATTTATAACATAACGAACAGCTCCTCATATTCACGACAATAAAGATTTCACCATGCTTTTCCAACGCACTTTTACCCAACTTTCACCTCTCGCTCTAATAATCTTGGGAGTGCAACTGGTTGCCTCACACTCATGGGTAAAATAATCTGATCTAAGATCATTTCCGGTTTTTGATAATACGCTAACGCCCTTCACACACAGCTCCAATACATCGAAGTCGAGCGTACCGGCGCTATTGGGTATCCTAGAAACTTCTGTACGTCCCATATATGATAATCGCTTAAAGATACCTATAGCTCTTATATAAATAATCTAACAAACTCTCCAACAGTCGAACCCGACCCACAAGCCGACTTGCACCATGTCAACTTGATGGAGTCTAATAAATCCCTTATCTGTAATCAATTTCAAAGGGATGCCGTAAATCTACCGGGAACACCCCGACTTAAAGCGTCCCCCGGAGACAGAGTAATCGGATGGCATCGCGAGAATGGGCATACGACAGACCCAGTGTATTCTGGGAAAGCTGGTAAAACGTATTGGTACGGTACTTCGCAGCCGAGTAAGCAAACGACTCTGGGAGATGTCAGGACATGGACGCGCGATGGCGGCCCCAAAGGTGCACTCGTTGGTATTTCGAAGTTCGATGACGGAGAATGTGCGGAACCCAACCACACCAAAATCTCCAAAGACAGGGGGGTCGGTGTATATGGTAAAAATAAAAACTGCAGAGATAGTGGTTTCGTGATTCCTACATATGTAAAGGCTGGGACTACATACTCGGTGTACTGGGTCTGGGACTACAGTGAAAAGTATGGACCGGCCGTGGATTCGGGTCACTTTGAGGTGAGCCTAGCCCTTGACTATTTGTGTTTCGAGTAAATGATACTAACGGCAGTTATCTCATAGTTTTATTCCCACTGCGTTGATATCGATGTCATTCCAGGAATGGGCGAACCAAAGGTTCGTACTGTGCGTCGATTCAATGGCCCCTCGCGCGCTCGCGACCTTGATTCTGAGGCTTAAACAACACCACTATGCTTTTCATTTTTAATATTTCGAAGGGGGACAGGTTCCTTCCTTATCATTCTATAGCTACCTTTCTGGGCCTATTCAGGACAATTACATTTTCCTTTGTTTGTATCTTAGTATTAGATGGAGTTTTTCTCTTTCTTATTGAAGTCCCGCTGTAAAGTAACCAAATAATGGATTTTTCATGCATGAAAAGCTGCGGGGTGGTTTCTATGGGGCGGGTGTATGCGAGTGACGGTCTATGAATCTTGGCTACTAGGGTAAATATCACTCGACCATACCACATGTATTCAACCTGCGCCTATCCTAGATTTTCTGGGAATCTAGCCGAGTCACATGTTTTTCAGCTGGCTTTGCCTAAGCTTTCTCCAGTTCACACAGAACCATACAACAACTTCCCAACAGCTTGGGGACACCAAACACAACCGAGAGGTAGCAAACGCAAAAGTCCGGCTGCGCTTTATTGGTGCGATCTCTAACGCAGACCCTTTTTTCGATGCGGGTACTGTGATAGCATACAAATCCTATGAGGCAAGAAAATATCAAAAGGAAAAAACGCCAACCCTGTAATTATCATAAATTTTTCTTCCTGCAATTTAATGATACCTGTTCTTCTAGCTCTAGCTCTCTTGTAGGAAGGGGTTTTCAATTTGCTCACTGCCGTCGATTGGAGAGATGAGCGTCAACATGGGACCTCTTGCAACAATGAGGCCAAGTTCGCGTGTGTGCTCGTTTCCGTCCTCGTCTGTAGTGCTCGGGTCATAATTATTAGCACCAATACGCTAAACGCAAAGTTCTCGAGCCACAAAACATACCTCGCAGGTTCTCCTTCACGTCGTCCAATACCAAGTTCATGAGCTGGTCGTAGCCCTTCAGAATTCCAACAACTACACCAGCAGTCAGCTAACCATGTCTCTCAAGCAACACCACACAACAAAAACCCTCACCCTCCCTTCCACCATTGAATTTAACGGTAATAGCCTTATCCATAAACTTTGCCAGGTCTAGAATAGCCTCGCGGGGCTTTCGTTCTTGCTGCTGGTCCCTGTTGTATGAACCCTGGTTTCCACCCCCACGGCCGCCGCCTCGGCCACCACCGCCGCCGCCGGGGCCACCACGTCCTCCTCGAAAGCCGCCACGTTGTCTGTTGTCCATTCTGAGAAGTTGAGAGTGGGATTGGTTATTTGGATTGGCGGGGTATGGTATGCTGTAATTGGGACGGAGGGGTGTTGAAGGAGGGCCTTAGGTTACCCTGCTTTGGTGGTTGGGTGTCAAGGATCGGCTCTCCAATTTACGTATGTAGGCACATGTACCCATATGGAATGATATGAGTTCACAATTACTAAATACTCAATATTTTAGTAGCAGGGTTATGTCAAAGCCAATGGCTGCAGTAATAATACCACACCTTGGAATTAGTTAGCACTTGCCAAAATCGGATCCAATTATGATCACGCGCAAAGAGGCATTTCAATCATTGATCCTCTCTGACTTCTAACAAACTATTGTGTAAACAGCTTACCAGAAATGTAGTCGTGAACAGTGATGGACATCATGTTTCGCATGATGAATATGAATGATTAGCTGTAAGTGTACCGAGATTAATCATTACTAATTGATCAATCAAGACTGATTTCGTATAATAGACCTTATTTCATGGTTATCGTACCCCGCGCGCGCTCTACACATACTTTACTGTTTCACCATCTTCTCAGTACCTAGGCTTTCTCCGCCTGTATCAACATTACTAAAGCCGAAAAAGTCGCCCTCTCAACCTATTCAACAAGTATTTTTCTATTGGTCAATTTCTTACAATTGAGTGAGTACTCAATGGGCTGTGCACGGGAGTACCGAATCACAAACTGTACTTTTGACTCAGAGCATCTAACATTGAAACATGTAAAATGCGTCCAAGGAAGGGGGCGGGAAGAGGTTTGACGGAAGGCATGTTTTACCTTACTATGATAACGTGGACAGGAAAATCGAGGCCATGGTAACTGACTTCACAAATTACAATGCTGTTCCTGCGGGGCATACAGTGTTGAAACACTGAGTTCATCTGTACACATATGCACATGCACAGTACAGTCGATCTGAAACCTGCTCACCCAGGTGCATTCTTAATGTTTATTCCTACATACATACATACATGTACCCCGGGTACATGTACAACACTCTTTAGCCGCGGGCCGGGACATCATATTCACATTCATTCAATTACAGAGCTATAGGAATTTTGAGATCAAGATCAAAATAATATTCTATCATAAAACCGCATGTAGAATTATAATTTAAAAAGAAAAAAAATAAAAAGCATTAAAGGTCCTCTCTTTTTTTAATCTCTATCGGACTTGACCACCGCGTTTATCGAGACCAGTCCAAATCCTCGCATTGAGGTTCTTCCTCCTGAAAAGAGGACTCAAAAGAATCAAATAAATCACCCCAAAACTTCTCCGACCAAGACCAAACCAAATTTTAAGTTATAATGGACCCTCCCCCCCCCAAAAAAAAAAAAACCATAACCTCCTAAAACCAGAGGGGGAAGGGGGACAAAAAAATAAACCCAAATAACACCGTAAATAAAGTACATTAAATCAAAAGACAAACTCCACGTTAACCCATGCTAAATGCCTGGAAAAAAAAAGGAAAACAGCCCATCGAGGCTAAACTAAGCCACCGACCGCTCTTCCCAATCGTCCGCATCCGCATTATCATCCTCCACCGTTACAATGGACACAACATCCCACTCGCCCTCCCCATCCGTCGGTGCCAAAGACACCATATCCCAGTCTCGGTCCACTTCGATCCCTGGGAACGGATCCACCACCGCCTCCGTTGGTGTATCATAAAGAATACCCATCTTGTAAAGCGTCTATCCGCGAGCTTGTCAGTTCTGATTCTTTTTTCCCTTCTGCTTAGTGGTGGTAATCAAACATACATCATCTGCGGCCGCTAGATCTTGGTTGATAGTAGCAGCGCTGCCATGGTAATCATCGTAGAACCACGTCAGGCCCAACTCGCGTGCGACGTCACTATCTACCTCAGCGTCGAGACTCTCGGCCTCGTACATCTCGGAGAGGATGTGCTTGGCGTTGTATCTTGTAATACGACGACGACCAAACTTGCTAACTTTTGCGCGGTTGACTCCCATTGTTTGGTGCTTTTAGGTTTTTGTTGTTGAGGGGGTATTAGATGTATTTATAAGGAGGAGATAAATTATAAGATGGGGTTTTTTTCTTTCAGGATCCTGATCCTTCTAGAAATTGCTTGTCTGTATTTTCTGATGATTTCTAACTTTTCGGGCGGCCAGGGCCATGTTTTATATTCCATAAGGTCCCACAAGCCACGAGCATGACTCACACACCACTCTCACCATCCATTCCTTTAATTACGATAAAAGTCAAATTGAAGGTACGTACCGGAGTGCTAGGGGCGCCTGAGAATGCGATGCCGTTATTGCGCGCTTTGGTAGTCATCGCGCGCCATAGCCCGGAATCTTGTGTGACTGCGGTCCGACTCCCTCGGGATAAGCGAATCGATAGCTGATAAGTCAACGAAATGACTCACTCTAAAGAACTCAGTCACCGTGAGACTTTTCCGACTCATTCCAAAGAGAGGGAAGGTCTTTATGTAATGCGAATGGCTGAATTGTAAGGATTTCTCCTAAGACATTCCTGTGCTTGCTGCGCTTAGCTCGGACGAGTGATTTTCTATGATTGGGCTCCCGTGGGAATTTTTTTTTTTTTGTTTAATTCATTAATTGCATGCAAGGGCTCCCGTGGGAGAGGTACTCTGATCTTATGAGTACCTTTTGTTTTGCGGGATTTGATTTCGAAGGTGGTGTGGCCGATCAATGCACACTAATGTTAGCTAGACGTCAAGTCTCCCAAAGGGCCGTCTTGACTCTTGATTTTGGGGTATGAAACAATATCGAAATGGTCGAGCCCACCCCACACTATAGGCCCGTTGAGGTCATAAATACAAACAGTCATCTATAAATAATTTACTCATAACGAGATAGTCATATATGATCATGGCGCATCCCGATCTAGGCCTTTATCTTCCTCGGTTTTCGTTACTCCGGGCCGTAGAAATACTGGATTATCTACGGCTCTAAATTATATAGATAAGGGTTACTTATGCCTCCAGGTCATAACCGAGCCCAGCCGCGGACAGCGGCTATACTTCACGATAAGAGCCGTGTTTGCAAGTTCAAAGGTATATATGTATATATATAGAACACCGCGATTATCGATATACCGTTAATTCTCGAGAAATGCACTATCCCCGCTTCGCTAAATCTTAATTCCGGGTGAGAAAAAGTATGTACCTGCACGAGTCCGTGAAGTTTGATACCCCAATTCGCCTTGGTTCGGACCTACCACATACAAATACGGGGATAGTGGATTATTCGAGAATTAACGGTATGCACGGAGCAGAATAAACAGGTCAGAAAAAAAAAGCAAGAGCAGAAAAAAAAAATCTCTCTACAATTTCCTATGTATTTTCAAGCACCTATTACATCCCGGATCATAAAAATTGAGACAAAAAGACAAAAAGGTTCCCCGGTAATCTTCCGGCCTCCCCTGGCCTCCATCGTGGTTCATGCACAACGGTTTTGGTAAAGTAAACAAGAAGTTTACCGCTTGACCTTAGGAGCCACGACGTGTCCTGGAGTGTTTTGACTGGCTTTGGCTGTCTCTGCAGATCTGGCTGAGTTTCAACCTTGCAAAATGTAGAATTTTGGGCGGGTGTACTGGGTTTATGTTATTCTGGGCTATCTTGGCAAGTCAAACAATCAGTACTTGTTCGAAATCTTAGAGCTCTGCAGGGGAATTCACCCACTTGATGTACGGGCCCCTCCACGCCAACCCCGCCCCACCTCCAAGAACAAGAAGCCCTGAGTTCAGATTGAATAATCCGCGGACTAATTTCGCTCCTGATATCGCAACCTACAAGTCAAGGCATTTCATGCGAGAGAAACCGATCCCCGAGGGTTGGGGTTTTACAAGAATTCCAATCATTGGCCTCTAGCTAGCCTAGTGCTACTAATTCTTGGCAGGCCCAACCGTCTCGAGCTAGCCTGGCCGTCTCAAGCTTAAAGGGAGCCTAGAATCATGATATATCACTCTGCGCACATCATATTATAGGCAGGTCTTTGAAACTGGTCACGATAATCGGTATCGATTCACTACTCCTAAACCGCTATATAAGCTCACCAAATCCCATCTACCCACACATCTTTAATTCCACTCTTTAAACTCCCATCTCTCGCCTGCCGTCCAAAACCCCACCTCCGACCAATCCCACCCTTCCACGCCTCTAAAATTAAAGCTCACCACCAGCCTCGCAGCTCTCGTGTTTATAAAGTCCCACACCACGACGCCTAATGTCTCACCCCTCAACTCGACAAACTCTTCTCTCCAGGCCGGGAATGCCGCATCCCACGCTGTCTCCCACGCCGTCCTAAGGAAGAACTGCACGCGGTTGTTGATGCCCCAGGCTTCATTCGTCGCCACGTTGCGTGGCACACAGAACAGCGATGCGCCAGAGAGATAGTTTACTAGCAACGGGAGATCCTGTGGATTAGTAGTGGGAACGGAGGCGTCGAGAATAGAGTTGAAGAAGGAGACCCACTCCCGCCAGAAGTTGATGATGAGGTCCCACTTCTTCTTGATCACATCTAGGTACGTGTACAACTGATAGTGGTCCTGAATCTTTATTCTTTTCTCGTCCGTATACGGCAGGCCGAGCTCATACGTTGCGCCCTCCGCATCATAATCCCTCAACACGACGACCCTACCGCGGGCCTCACCCAGCAGTGGGAGCCGCCTGCTCGTATCCCCAGGGAACCACAGCAGGTCCGTCAACATCTCCACGGTGTCCTCGTGCACATCGATGTACCACTCAAGCGTCTGCACAAACGTGCGTGTGTTCCTCTGGGCGTGTTGCTCGTCCTTTAGGCGCATGAGCACGACCTCGGAGCTGCCGGGACCCGTTAGGAAGGCGTGGAGCGTACGGACGACGAACGTAAAGTTTGTGCCAAGGTACACGACACCGTGATGCATCTCGAAGGTATTTCGGTAGTGGCGGGCGCGGATGTCGATGAAGCGGACGCCGGCGTGGAGCTGCTGGTGCAGTGTGCCGGTTTGTGTAGTGGTGAACTTCGGGAGGCGGTTGGCGCGGTAGGCCATGGTGTCATGGGTCCCGGGGATAGAAAGCGTGTTGAGGGGGTGTGGAGGGGGAGGTGTGACATCCAGGTACTCATATTCATGGGCTTCGTGGGGAGTGGGAGGTGTGGGGGGGAGAACTTGTGGTGCATCTCGTAGAGGTAGGGGAAGGGTGTGAGGGCGCTGGAAGGTAAGTGGAGGATGAGGAGGAGGAAGGAGCTGTGTAGATACTTCATTGTTCATGGCTAACTTACTGATGGGTTTGATGGGATGTGGTGTGGTTCCGGAGATATGGTGATATCCTGTGAACAGATATGCTATTTTGAAGCCCTAAGAGAGTATCACCAAGCATGCAGTAAGTATGGTCAGGCATGAGTGAATATACTCCTGGAAATCCCTGGGATGTCTTCACGAGAGATTTGCTGCACAGAGAACTTCCTCGACTCAATTGATAAATGGAATAATTAACTATTTAATTAATACAAGCCTATCAACAGGCCACGAGAACAGGGACAAAATAATGCCGCTCATACAACACTATAAATATTAGTAGATATTGCTTCAAGGTATTCGAAACTACTTACATAACAAAAACAGTCCAAATCAATCATTACCACTCATACCCATTACATGTACCTTGACCCTGACTGATTAATGCCAGCATCTCGGAACCCGTGGGCGCCGCAGTCAAGTTCTCATTGCCGTTTTCTAGGATCAGGATATCATCCTCAATCCTGACACCCCCCACGTCCCAATACCTATCTAAAACCTTTTTGTTGATATATTTCCCGTGTGTTGGATGTGCCAAGTACGGCAGGATGATGAATTCACAAAAGTATCTGCCACATAATTAATACCAAGTCAACCAAATCTATGGGCGAGTTCACTTACATTCCCGGTTCCACGGTAATGACCATTCGTGGCTGCAAAGTCCTTCTCACTGCCGTCTTATAAAGCCCTCTGCCCACTCTCGGCGTTGGGAGCGTCGGCGCCATCGAGACACTAGCTCCCTCAGCCTTCCAGTTGACATCTGGTGTCCCCTCGACATCATGTGTATCGAGCCCCAAAAAGTGGCCCAGCCCATGAGGGAAAAAGGCCTTACTAGTACCGGCCCTAAAGATCTCCTCCTCAGTGCCATTATACAGGATCCCCAGCTGCATCAACCCCTTCACCGCAATCCGATGTGCAAGCATATGTGTATCCCGCCAGTCCACGCCCTTCACAGTGCGCTTAATGCACTCACGCTGCATCGTCTCTACAATGGTATATATATCTTTCGCCTCCTTTGTCCATCTTCCCGAGATCGGGAAAGTCCTCGTCACATCACTCGCATACCCCTCCCACTCCGCACCTGCATCCAGTAGCACCAACTGCCGCCCCTTCAGCGGCTCATCGTTGCGTACATAATGCAGCGTCGCCGCGTTCCGTCCAGAGCCAACAATCGGATCATAGGCCTGCGTTTTCGCCTGCCGCGAGACACACTGCTGCAGGAAGATTCCCTCAAGTTCAGCCTCGTTCTTTGCGGTGCGGACGGCGGCCATGACGGCGCGGTGGGCGGCGGCCGAGATGGCGTTAGCTTTGCGGAGGAGCGCGATCTCGTGGCCATCTTTGTATACGCGTGCATTGTCCATTGCGGGTTGCAGGTGGCGGTTATTGATGCTAGTTGTGGGTACGGCAGTGGGGATGAGGGATTGCTGTGTGTGTAAGATGTAGAGGGGGGAGTGCGGGGAGCTGAGGTGGTAGCTAAGGACGTCATCAGCGACGGCGGTGGAGTGCAGGACTTCATCGACGTCGTATCTATAAGCGGTCAGTATCGTCAGTCGAGCGAGCTAATAAGCCAGGGGGTGCAGACTTGTAGATACAGTCTTCAATCGACGGCGGCAGGCCTGACCAGAGCACCTGACTAGGGTTGAATGGCGGTATGTAGCTATCATAAACGCCACATTAGTTTCTCTGCGGACCGACCACTTTTAGTGCACGCTAAACTGGAGCTTACAGTGTCAACTTGTCATCCTGAATGGAGTAGGTGAGGTAGCAGTCTGGGATATCCGAGACACCGGAAAGGTACAGAAAGTAGCGTCTCTGACGGAACTTTACTGCCTCGTCTGAGTCCTCGAAGAGGACTGTTGGTGTGCCCTCGAGGTAGATCAGGCCGTCTTTTACCAGGAGCTCTTTGGCGACGTTGCGCGCGTGCTGCTTGGCTGAAGAGTGGGTTTGTTAGCTATGTAATAGGCTAATTCGGAGGTGGGCTTGCAATTACCTGGGTATTTCTCCATTGGGGACGAGGCTGATATGGAGATACTCAGACTCGTGGGGGAGAACTCGGACGTGGTGTGGGCGGTGGAGGCAGACATCTCACAGCAGTACTCTCTTCCTCTCTATTTAAGCTGAAGTTCAGATGGAAGCAGCTCAGGAGAGATGAGGGGGGAAATTGATGAGTTGTATCTGTCGTGTGTTGTGTGTGGGCGGGGGGGTAGAGAGAGAGGAGTGTGTGGGTGAGCGAGCGAGTGATTTACTGATTGACTGACTTCCTTCCCCATGCCGGGTCCCGACGCGACCCAGACTGGAGAGAGCACGTGCACATGCGATACATATGGAGTGCAGTGCCAAGAAAAGGTCCACTTCAGGGTACGATTATCATTGTCACTTGCATCTCATTGGCTGATGTAGAGCGGCTATATGTACGGATCCTATTCTGGACGTGTATCAATTGATGGCTCTCTGTGCCGGTCTGTGGTTCAAGGGTAGAATTGCATCATAAGATATCACTCGCAACTTGCAACGGCTCTCGAAAAATATCCGTGGCTCAAAACCTAGCGTTTTTATTTGTTTTGATATCGAAACTTCCTCAAGTTATTTTTGCGTGAAAGTAGGAATTACAATTCTGTCTTCGGTGTTTATGTAGAATACCCTCCAAATTCGAGTCGACCATCGATCATCATTCAAGTAGACTAGCTCCACCACTCATACGGACACTCCCCTCAGTTAAATAATTTATAGTAATTGTTACAAGCCGGTTAGAACGTAGATCTGATTGTTTTCATGTCAACTGTCTGGGTGAAGGAGGCTTCCGGGTGAGTGGTGAAGCCATCTATAACCAAAGAGTACCAAATGCGTAGGATACCCCTTACACATAATAGTATATTGTGAGAATTTCCAGCTCCAGCTCAATTCCCGCCCTTCAGTTACCCAAAACGTACATTGCGGGGCTAGCATAAATCCAACCAATATTCTGCAACAAGTGCCAAGGTTAAAATTCAGCCAAACTTAGCCAATTGGCCAAAACACTCGTGATTCTTACGGTCAAGCGGTAAACATCTTGTTTACTTTACCAAAACCGCTGTGCCTTAGCCTGAATCACGATGGGAGGCCGCAAGATTGTTCTTTTTTGATTAACGCTATTAATTACAAGAATCGAAAGCATGCTAATGGCAAATAGGAAAAGAGAAACGAGGGAGTGTTTTATCCTTTTATTCCATACTATCTTACTTGACCAATCACTACATACTCTACATACATACATAGTTTGGGTATCCAGGGCAGGTCTAGAACAGCTTCGTACGTGTTTTCATAATACTTCTTGTTTTTCTCATATCATTTGAAATAATGCTTCTTGATTCAAGTTTATCTACATAGTCCTTTCTTTTTCAAAACACGTTACACTTTAAGTAATCATAAAACGGTAAGGAAATACATGTATTCATGTAATAACTTCGTCCACCACCCGCGCTAGCCTTCATAGGATATCACTCGATGCCGAGACATTGTGTAGGGTTTCTCTTCCCACCACATGGCAGCAGCAGTCGGCTAGTACATATGCATGTAAGCCTTATAGTACCACATTTACCTGTGTATACGTTCATAACCTACCATGCCCAAAGTCGATGCTAGCCTGAATCAGTCGTCCTATTTCTAACTGCGTAGACGTCTTATTTCTAGCTCTCGTTAGAGGTCGAATTCCTCTGTCAAGCTGAGTTACTTTTTGATCTGTGGGCTGGGATCTCTAATGTATATGTAGGATGATGACATTCAGTGCTGGTGGGATAGCGATCTCGATTCACCATATATGCTGAGGAAGCGAGTCTTTCTCTCCCATATGGTTTTGAAGTCGGCTTACTCCTCAATCTCGTCTGCTAATTTCCCTTCGGTTAACCATTCGAGCTCTCTCCTAGTGTCATCCAAGACTTTATTACTTCTACGGCTTGGGGGGCTTGGGTTGGGACTGTCGTCGCGCCTCAGTATTGTATATGCGTTGATTTTAGTGCGTTTCAGGAACAAACGTGATATCACAGGTAGCTATATGGTGGGCTCAGTGGCATTCCGATATTTTGACACACTATTTTTCAATAAATCAATTTCTGTCGCTTCCCTACATGCACTTATCTCACAGTAGATGGCGAGTCACGAGATGCCGGAAGGAGAGGAAATTTTTGGTGTCAATGCGAAAGATATCATTTGCAGTAGGTTATCTATACTCACCCTCTTGTTTAAATTACTCTATCATGTGTAGCAGGTTATAAGCAGACCTAAGAGACGTACAGGCATGAGAGCAGGTCAAGAAATCCTTAAATTCGGGCTTTGGGAACGCTTGAGTATTGTTAAATATAGAAAAGCGAACTTCCCACGAAGCGTCAAGCTTAAAGAGGTGGAGTAACGAAGTGCTTAATCTGAATATATTAGAGCTTGTCTTGTGGGTGCACGTGAGTGGCATGTCACAAGTCACATACCCCGCCCTAAGTCCGATATTCTTTCGTAAAATTGAATGTTTCATCTTTGTTCCTACAATACTTCTAAAACGTATAGGACTAGTAGCACGCATAGCAAGCAAAGGACCACTTGGGAACAAGTATTTAGTTATTTGGTGTGGGCGGGGTTATGGGCTTCTTGTGCTGGCACCGGGTGCTTACCTCAATACGAACCTCAGACTCGAGCTGTAAACTACCCAACCGCAGGTATGGATTCATCGATGTTACGGGGGAAAACAACTTCAGTAAACTTCTACCTCCAGGGCTGTGTTAAGCAGTCTGACAAGTCCTAAACTACCCAAATCTTAGAGCAAAGATTGACGGCCCCCAACATCCCACAATAACCCAAACTACCCACTATCACAATAAATCTCCAAAAGCACTGGTTGATCCTACTAATAGAAATACCAACTCGTGACGGCGAAGATAATTAATTATCGAGTCATAAAGCGGCGTTGTCGGCCGTACCGATCATTTCTCATGCGATTAGTTTCCGGTAGGCTATATTCAGGTAAAGCACCGAGGTCGATTTTATGATTCTGAGATGGGTTAGAGAAATCCTTTTGACGCCTGACCCCCATCACCTTGCCTGTTTTCTGGTTCTATTTTCAATCAATGGGTGTCAATGATTTCCGTCCGGATAAAGCAATTACTAGAACAAAAAACGGCAATATAAAAATTATAAAAAAGGGACAAACCGAATTCTCTATATACACCCCCATTAGCGCCCTCAAGCACGGGCGAAGAGAATCGGACAATGTACTAAATCCAGTCTAACGCAGTACACGTACATCTTACTGTACCTCAAGGGAGAGAATATGTGTATGAGGGCGCGAAAAAAGACAGCCGCGTGAATAATCCTATTGTCTGGCGTCAATTTAGTGAGAATCCCCCGCATGACTGTACCACATCCCCTTAGCCTCTGTGATCCTTGAGATCTGATCGTTTATCCGCTTTCCCGGGCGCGCGCGGCTCGTTTAGTTGACCATGTGGTGTGTGCTATCTTCGGATCTCATCTGGCATGCATGCAAGATAGATCTGACAGGGAGTCGATATGTTGGCAAACGCCTCACCAGGCCAGGTTGTGGCGCGGTTCAAAAGGTCTGGTGAAAGAAGTCACAGTAAAGGAGGCAGGGCCAGCGCATGGAGGACTCAAATCGATCCAGACGGTTAAAACTAGGCTGTGCGGTGCCTAAGTGACTGGGGGTTTATTTGGGAATATGTTGTGATCATGCAAGTAAACCTGGGTTTCAAAACGTTGGAATGGTTTTCTTTGTTATGCAGTCCCTGGATTTTGGGGAGTATGGGGATGTTTCATCTGATCCTTATTCTGACAAATCTGTCCTGGGCAGTTGGGTGTGCCTCAGTAATCATATCATGTGCAGCGGATCAATGATCGAGTTTACCCGGTTGACATATATTAGGTATTTTTTTGATATTCTTCGGCCTCTATCAAATACTAAAGCAAATTACCTAGTAAAGGAAAAGTCTTTCCTGGGCGTCCTCCACAACCCAATCTAGTCCCTCCTGGAGATTCTTACCTGTCATCGCGCTGCAAGGCAATATCGTCCATTTATGCGTCTTAATTTCGTCGAGTTTAAGACCCTTTCCGCTCAAAACGGTTAGTGCATAGTACTAGGGTAGCAACAGTCTAGAGAAGCGGTTTCTCGCCTCTTTTGACTTCTCTTATTCCCACCCCTAGATTCCTTAACGAGTTTCATGAAAGGCTTCGCTTACCTCCCGGATTTCATCATGAGTCATACATCCAGCGACGTCGGTCTTATTTACAAAGACTAGTAAACTCGCTCCAAGTAACCGCTACAAATAATTGGAAAGCGCTTGTCGTTAGCTTTATTCTCTATATTCATTTTTCGCAGTTGATGCCTTCAAGACCATATGTAAGGCATAGACAAGGCAATCGAAGGGGAAATAAGATCTATACCTCTTCTTGAAGAAGTCCATGAAGTTCTGTGGCACAGTCCTCAAGTCGGAATCTATCGGTGGCATCTACGACCCAGATCAAGGAGTCGGTCTTTTCAAAATAGTTTCGCCAATAACTGCGGAGAGTCTTCTGACCTCCGACATCCCCTAATGAGGTGCTCCATGATGTGTTAGTGATATCATAAAAGAGTATCCGGCCATTATTTGGGGTCCGGATATCAAAGCCTCAATGATTGCTTTTTATGACATATTTTCTTGTACTACTCACAAATGTTTAACTTGTAACTATAAGTATCATTAGCTTCGGACTTGATATGGGGCGCAATATTATCATTCTCTGAGAGGGCTGAGGGTACCAAAAAAAGATAGTTATATAGATCAGGTGAAACAGTAGAGAGCTTTATTTTTACCCTTTGTAATCAATAGTTTTGATAATGAAGCCTAACGTCGGGCTCACAGTGTTGACGTCTTCCTTCATGATATGCTTCACGATGGTTGTCTTCCCCGCGTTATCCAAACCCAGCATCAATACCCGCATCTCCTTGTCCTTTAACTGCGCCTTCCGGAGAATTGACAACATCTTGATCGCTTGTAACTTTTGGTTCTGAGGTATTTCTATTTGTTGCAGTGGTGCGGAGGGACTTCCTGAGCGAATCCAGGCGTCGTCTGATGTTGGGAGATTGAGGTAGTTGGTTTCATTCTCAGCCTCAAGTGTCAATGCGTGCACGGACCAGGGCCATGGACCCTAGCTTTCGCAACTTTCCTACTTCCAACTTCTCACCACCACGCCACACAGTTACCGACGGTGAAAAGAAGCAAGCTTGATATCCCAGCATCCAGATTCCATTGCATCCACGCCAACGGATCCCGACCTTTTACCATCGCCGTAAGGTCACAGCCACACGATTAGCGTCAGCCTTATAGTCAGAGACAGAAAAGGTCTTCAACTCGAGGAAACTGATTATATATGTATAGTTATAGTAAATCTTCTGCATCAGTATCAGCAGAAGACTAGTCCTTGTCTTGCTTAATATTTGTAGACTATTCTCAAGATGACCGCCAGGGTCCAAGCCACTCTAAAGAATTATACCACCTATCAACACTAAGAGGAGACAAATTCAACATCTGGCTAAAACAAATACCAAACATTCTATTTCAATTGCTAAAAAGGATGTATTAAGGGGAAAACTACATGTAGCGAACAAAAAAGAAATTTCTCATGCTATGCTATATTTGATGTCACTTGCCAGATCAACTACATGTAGCTGTGACCCCCCTAAAAACCCAAGAATATGAAAAATGACCCCAAACCTAAAAATGTGTTCCCCATATGCATCCGTCTATCCTGTCTATCCCGTCTATCCTGTCTATCCCATCTATCCCATCTATCCCATCTATCCCATCTATCCCATCTATCCCATCTATCCCGTCTAAACCGTCTAAACCGTCTATCCAACCCAAACCATTTAAATCGCCTAAAACGTCCAAAACATCTAAAATATCAAAACCATCTATCCCAAACTCCTAAAGAAATCTATAATCGTCTACCCCAATGTTGAATTGTCCGTTTGCTCGTTGCTTGTGTGCGCTATCGTCTTCGTTACCCATTACCCGTCCCGTTCCCTTCTTCTGGTGGTGGCCCCGCTGGTTCCTATGCTTTTAGTACTCCTGTACTGCCCTTATCATTTCGACAGCCTCTCTAAAGTGCCCCCCTCCCTTCCGTGCCTCTTTGCCTACCCCCCCCCCCCCCTCCTTCCGTGCCTCTTTGCCTACCCCCCCCCCCTCTTCCTCCCCCGCGAAACCGACCTTTCTTGCGACCCCCCCCCCCCTCCGATCTCCTTAATCTTGCACCTTCCCGCTGCCCTGGTCTCAGGCATTGATCTTTCGGTAAGACTTTGCAAAGACTGTGTTGCTGACACGCACTGTTTAGTTACAAGACTTGAATACTCAATGGCAGAAAAAGAAGAAGAAGAGACAAAACGTGAGAACTCAAAAAGGAAAAACCAAAAGTAAGAAAAAAGAAAGGAAAGAGAAAGGAAAACTAAAGACTAGAAGCTAGATCTAATTACCGGCTATTTGCTGCTGTATACTCTTCCACTGCCATTGCACACCTGTGCTCAACCAGGAATTCGCATTCGATGACCCGTAATTCAGCAAACCTTCTCCCGCGGCCAACCTATAATAAAGCGCAAGATTCGACGATCCTCTCTCAAGCACTCCCTGCCTGAAGCTTGCCAAATCTGTCGTCGCAACGTGTACCCTTGACCTCGTAATCGTCTGCCAGTGCTCTCCCAGCTGCCTCAGGGTGCAGGTGTCACCGGCTATATGGATCACATCAGGCAGGGTACTAGGTCTGCGTCTAGCCACGGACGCTATGGCCATAGCAACATCGCCAATTGATGTGAACGAGATCTTTGGTTCCGCACGGCCGCCGCCGGGAACAACGGCGTCTATGTGCCTGTTTGGCAGGTCGACGCCAAACCAAGACCCGGACGGGATCACGTAGTCCATGAGCATTCCGCAGAAGATTTGGACAGTTTTAATGCCGTCCTCACGGGAGCGCTGGGATTGCTCTTGTTTGACTGATAGCGGCGATGGGAATGTGAACATTCGGTGATCTGGGCCACTGTAGAGAAGGGTAATATAAGTATTACCGATCTAATCTTTTTTTTTACGTTTACACGGGAACGGGAATGAATTGATGGTGTCCGGGGTGGATGTGCTTCGGGGATATTTTCTGGGAAGTAACTTACAATTCGGATGGAATGTACAGTTTCGCACCACATCGATAGGCAGCGTCGCCAAGGCTAATCCACGACCTTGGGTACACTTTATGCGCACCTATGTCAGCCTCACTCATATGGCGCATTGAGGGAAAAATCGCTTGAGAAACGAGGTTTCAGAAATTTTGAAACAGGAGGAATGAAGACATACTTCCAAGGAGGTTAATGACTACATCGACATTTTCTAGGGCGTCATCGAGGACCTCAGGGTCTTCGTAGTCAACACCGAGATATGCGGCCTGAGAAATCCTCAAGAGTCAGTAATCAAGGAAAACAAAAATAGAAGAATAAAGTTCTGTGCAGGTGTAAGTGCAAATGTAAGTGCATACCATTCCAGCTGGATGAACAGGGCCACCAAAACGGGAAGGGTCTCTCATGAGAACTCTTATTGGTAACTGAAAACTTGATGCAAATTGTGGTGATAGTAGGGCATCAAGAGTGGCCTGGCCCAAAACACCACCCAAGCCGGCGATGGCAACCACTGGTCTGTAAGATGAGGACATATTGAATATATGAAATTTCTGAGCTACCGGAGCTTAGAGTTAAAGAAGGAAGATAGATGAGGATTGATGTAATGTGAGTAACGAAAGAGATATTGTAGTACTGATTATGGATGGTAGTAGTAGTGCACGGTTCAACTGTATTGTTTCTAACTCTTCTCTAGGTATTGTCTGTAGTTGGTAAAACAGGATGGGGTCCAAGTCGAGGGGGAAAGGGTTATATACAACTCCTGGGCATTTAGAATGTTACATGTTTCCTTGAACAAGTAGCTGTAAAGAAGTTTCATGGAAGCCTCCTCGCATTGAGTATGTGGAGTTTCCGCCGTAGGGTTACCTTCTAGGTGGTTTTGGATTTGAACCCTTTCCCTCCTCAAGGCTTGCTTTGCTGCCTCCCCCTTGGGCTGGGTCGTGTGAGGTTTGATGATGACATATTAGTCACTACTAGCTATGCCTAGCTCCTCCTCCTCCGTGCAAAGAAATAAGGTGTCGATATTGGTTGGTTGGTTATGCCATTAAAAACGGCCGGAGTAAGCCTCGGCACTACGAAACGACACTAGCTATTGAGAAGCGAGACGAACTGAGAATATGGGGCATACACTTTACTCTCCGGAGGTTGTGGGTAGCGAAGCTGGCTTGGAGTCTTTGTTTTTGGGCAAAACTGAGCCCCTGCGGAGCATTGTTCTTCTTGCTTTGCTTGGATATTGAAGGAACAAATAGATTCGCTGCAAGGATTTGGACTGGCGAAATAGAAGACTTGTGCGACTATATAGACCTAACCGTCTAGTGCTCTACTATATGTAGCTTCAAGCGTACATATGGGTTATACTGATCATGACAATATGATGGGCCTAAGTTTTCTCTCTCTCTCTCTCTCTCTCTCTCTCTCTCTCTATGAGTGCAAATTGGGAGAAATAATTCAGTGCTTGAAGTGCGTATTGTAGAATATGTGTAGTGCTACTAGCTAACTAGTAAAGTGGGTAATGAGTCACCCGGATAGATAATAAATCTCAGTTGATGTTGTTTAAGATCGGTTCCAGTAGAGTACAACATGCGGAAGTACCCGGAATCCTCTAAGTATTGATTACAGTCCCGAGACTAGGAAGTGTACCGAACTCGGTCATTGAAAACGAGTACATAGTACATTCATGTCAAAGGCCGGCTTTGTTTCTTATGGCGCCTATATCCATCATGCGTTTACCTGACTCTTTCAATGAGGCTGTTCGCCCGGTCTCTGAAGGATAGGGCTTTACAGCACATCCGAAAGTGCTCAGGAAGCCTTGACAGGCACAATTTTCATCATCATCGTCATGAAGTAGCAGGTATAACTGTCTTGGTCAGTAGCTAGCTCCCCTCCGGTACCTATTTGTAGTACGGGCGTGATTTCTAGAAAATATTTCCCACGTGGTTGGTGGAAAGGCGGCTTAGAAGTTAGGGGGAGGAGGTCGGGTGTTTCCATGCGTTAGGTGGGACGTGCCGCACCGTTGGACTGGAAGAATAATGGGCGAGTGCGAAGCTATGATACAAAGAGTACCGGGACAGGATGTCTCCGCTTAACAGATCTTTGGTACTCCATCTCTCCTGCCCCTCATCTGATCTGAGGTTGCTTGCCCTCCCCCTGAGGCTCCTCATCCTCCCCTCTCCTCATCATGCCCCTCTTCATACACATGTCTTCCTCATCATCCAACCTTCCCCTCTCTAGAACAAGCATCCAGTGAATCTTACATGTGCATGTAGGTCATAAGGATAGAGTGCATCACAAAAGCCCCCCTCCATCTCCCTTCCTACCGTGCTTGATGGGATGAAATGGCAAGGCATGGCATGGCAGATGTAATTTTAACCATCCTCGTTTGTTGCTGCGCTTGTTTACTTCCCTTCGCTTAGGGTTAACTACGAAGATCCATCCGAACCGACTCGGATCCCACTAAATCCTGGCCGCCCGACGACGACCCAGCAAATGCAGACACACAGACATGATCACGTTTTTCGAACGGGGCGCAAGGCACCGGTAGTTATGCAAGGATTGCCGATGGCGTTTTTGATGCCAGCGATTTACCCTCACCTCTCTGCCGAAGAGGGGAACGGTTCGGCAAGCCCGCTTTATGTAAAAGCCCTTTTTCTTTTGGTCATTGACAGGATGGAGCCTCGTATTTTTCTTTTTTTCTGTCATTGACATGGAAAAGGGACTAGTTGGGTAGTTGCCAGAACCACCATCTCGGGAGATAGAGCAAGACGCCCCTCCTTCAGGATGCGATCACCTCCTCGGGTTTTAAAAGGGTTTTTGTTTTTGTTTTTGTTTTTTGCTTGCTCGTGGTATTGGTTTGTGATCGAAATGCAGTAGAGTTCACACACTCGGTACTTACATCTACCGATGTTGTTTCTCCCGCTAGCTAGTAAGGCTAGTGTTCTAACTGTCTTGAGTATTCAGGCTTCTTGTACTTGCTTGAAAGATTGTTAATAAGTTGATATAAAAAAATATGGTCTTATTTATCCCTTCTCCCCTTAACTTCATTGACGGTCTTTTGTAGGACTCGACATGCCGACTTTCCCTATTTGATTTTCAGGCTGTCTGTCAGTCTGTCACAAACAGCTGAATGTCGTCATTATGTTGTACCAAAGTGAACGACTTGTCCGCCCCCTCATAAACATTGAAATATTGACGAGTTAGACGCGCAATACTGGGATTCGGCGAAGGTACAACATGTAGAGTGACATGACATGTCACCGTGATACCTATCTGCCAGTGATGGTGGTGATACCCACAATTTTCAAGATGACAAGTTCATTGGGGGTATAGATTTGTTATACACCATATAATGTGGTCAGCGGTGCAATTCAAATCGATACCCTGGCGAATTTCTCACCCTACTTCTGTCTTGAGATCACTCATCAATTCTACTACATTTCCAACTTGGTTCCGATTGCCGCAGTGTTTATTACTTACTGGCTGTATGACCTCTAGGACAGTCTACAAGTTCTAATCCTTGTGCCTGCCAGCCAAACAACCTCAATAACTACATGTACGCACGCGCAGTCACATCTCGTTCGGACTCCCTATCATGCCTGTCAATGTATCACCCATGGCCCACCGCACTCCCCCGACTGCATAGTATCCTACTCTACATAGCTGTACTTTACCATACCTATTCAATTGATTGGCATGAGGGAGTGTGATGATCACAACACTACATCAAGATCGCCGACAATCTGAGAATTAGATACACTTCTCTACTCCCACTGTGAGATACCCCACCATTACCACCACCACCACCACCAACACCACCACCAAAAATCCCTCCGCGAACAATATGGATGCGGTGCGATGCCCGGTACACGGGATGTACGACACGATGCGATACACAAGGTGGCGGGATGTTCTACAATTCGAAGGTCACTAGACCACGTTGTTATCCTGTCAGATTCAGCCTGGCTTGTGAATATAAAAGGTGGGTGAAACAGCGAAACAATCCCTCCTCTGATACTGCATAGGTACGCGTACGTACATATATCTTTACAGTTTGCATACATATACATCTTCATACATACCTCCCTTCCGTTCTTCCTTCCTTCTTCGCCTCCATACTCCTACTCTTCGCTGCTGCACCTTGTTTCGCCCCTTCCCAGGTTCCGTTACTCTCCGAGAGAGATCGATAGTCCCTTGCAGCATCGATCCTCACTAGTAACATAGACAAGCCAAAAAGAAAAAAAAGGAAAAAAAGAAGAAAAACTTTATACATACCTGACAACCTCCAATTACCTTTCCTTCCATTTATTTGCCCGAGAGAAGTTGAAATATCGTTATAAACTATCGCCTTATTCAGAATGCCCGAGATGGACCCCCAGGCGTACTCGGAGTTTTACAAATACACCTCCGACCAGATCTCGGCGCTTTCCTGGAACCCCATTACCCAAACTCATACTCCCTTCCGCGCCTCCCTAAATCACAGGCACCACACGTGGGCCAAAACACACTTCTCTCACCCCGAGCTCTACCTGCGTCCCCAATCGCTGCCCGAAATCAAACTCATCGTGACCCTCGCTCGTCAAAATGGTAAAAAAATTATTGTTGTTGGGTCCGGGCACTCGCCATCGGACCTGACATGCACATCGTCATGGATGGTGAATTTGGATGATTTCTCGTCGGTGGTGGCGGAACGAAAGGATGAGATGCAGTTGGAACTTGAGGCGGGCATACGGCTGCATCAGCTAGCAGACGAGCTGGAGAAGCGTGGATGGGCTATGCCGAATTTGGGGAGCATCACGGCACAGAGTGTTGCAGGCGCCATTGCGACAAATACGCATGGTTCATCACTGAGGCATGGGACGTTGGCGCAGGCAATCATTGGCATTACTCTCATGTTGGCGAGTGGGGAGAGCGTCAAGTGTAGCACAATGGAGAATAAGGATCTCTATCATGCTGCGCTTGTGTCGCTGGGAGGTTTAGGTATCATCACTCATGTCACATTTCAGGCTGTTCCGGCTTACAACCTGAAATGGCATCAGGATATCATAAAGACCCCCAATATGCTTGAAGCATGGAATAAGGACCTGTGGACTCGGGAAGAGTTTGTTCGGGTATGGTGGTTCCCGTATTCTGGGCGGTCTATAATCTGGCAAGCAGATAAGACTGAGGATCCCTTGCGAGAGAGACCACCAAGTTGGTACGCAGCGACTCTGGGACGGTTCTCCTACGAGTTTTTGCTGTACTTGGCAACTTGGGTACCGCCGTTTATGCCGATTGTCGAGAGGTATGTGTTTTATATGCAGTATGGGTGGGGTGAGGGCGAGACCGGGAATGCGGTCCAAAAAAGCTATGAGGCGTTGACTATGGATTGCCTGTTTTCACAATTCGTTAATGAGGTAAATATCACTCGTTTTTCTCTCTATATATATTTTACTTCTTTCTTATTGCAAACATATCCGATCGTTTTGGGGAACACCCTGTTCAAGAATGAATAAGGAAGCGAAAGAACTGGCACATCAAGGGAGAGAAGCGGAATCCTTCAAGTCGATGTGTTTGTGAGAGCTGAGAAACATATGTTTCACATGACATTTATCACGCTAGATAGAACACGCAATTTCTTTTATTCCCATCCGTTGCGCAACGAGCACCTGCGTCATGTATTTCTTTCTTATTTCATGCATGCAGTCATATCATTTCTTCTCTTCCAAGATAAGCTCCTCTGACCCCTCACAGTGGGCCATCCCTCTAGAAAAGGGCCCAGAAGCAATAACTCGCCTGCAAGCCTGGCTAACCGGCGATGCGGAAAATATTTCCGGCATCCCTTTCTCCTCCCGTGGCATCTTCGTCCATGCCCCCATCGAAGTCCGCGTCTCCGACACAACATTGCAGCCCGAAAAGCCCTGGCTCGACCAATCCTATCATTCGGGACCCACCCTCTACCTAAATGCAACACTATACAGGCCATTCCACCGGAATCCGCCCGAGTGGGAGAGGTACTATGAGGCGTTTGAATACCTCATGAAAGAGCTCGGCGGTAAGCCGCATTGGGCAAAGAACTTCACGACAGCCACAAAAGAGGAGTTTGGGCAGATGTATCCGAAGTTGGGCGATTGGTGTAAGCTTAGGGAGGAGTTGGACCCACAGGGAGTGTTTCGAAGTGGGTGGTTGGAAAGGAATTTGCTTCCGGAATAGAATGCCGGCGTTAGGGAGGGTGGAAGTTTACATTGGACTTGATTTGCTTCATAGGACCGTTACGGTGTGTATATAAATTGTTTGGTATTGCTATTATTGCATAAACTGAGCGTGGTAAGTGGGATGGTAGTAGTACTAGCGGTGCCGGAAACATTATTGATCATGTGATCGGTTGCCTTCACAAATCCAAAGCTTCACACCAATACGAGGGTCACATGATCAATAATGTTTCTGGCATCGCTAGTACCTAGACTGTTTCTAGATATTTTCTTTTTTCTTTTGTTGAATAGTATTATTGGTTGGCTACACGTAGCTTAGGTGGGTGGTTGGTTCACTGGCTCTTTTTTTCGAAGGGATGTGGAACTCAAATGGCAAGCATATGACAGCCAGACAAATGGGAACTGATATGCATACTGCAACCACTACTCGTAGCTTCATAGCGTTTCCGAACACGACCAATATTGCATGACAAACGAAAAGGTGGATTTGGCGCTTTTTTGTATGGTATGCAATAGCAGTCGTGTTCGGAAACGTCATCATCCTCTCTGGAGGCCACCCTCTCATGACTTATCAGGTTGGTCCATATGATATCCCTTTTTTTCCTCTCTCATGATCTCCCACTTTTCCCCTGGACCAGAAGATTCAGCCCGCCAACGATACCGCAAGGGGAGTTTCGTGTCCAAAGTGGTCTTATTGGAGAATGAATAAGTAATTATGTACAGTCGCAACTCGATACGCCGGATCTCAATATGCCGGATCCCTTGCTATCCCGTACGAAATCCTCTGGGGTTTTGGTTTTTTTTTTACTGCAAAATCAATTTGCTATCCCGGATTTTTTGCTATCCCGTATGAAATCCTTCGAATCTTGGCAATCCGGCATATCGAGTTGCGACTGTACTTAGTAGCACTGCAAGGGTGGAAAGGTTTCCTTTTTTTTCTTCATTTCTTCAAGGCTTGTTCCGGCCGGTGCTTAATGCGAAGTTACACAAGCCACCTGCAGAGAAGGATTCAACCGTCGTCAGCGGCATGTTCCTCTCACTCGCAGGCCAAAAGGTCATGTGATCCGGCCTGATCTATAAAAGGGAAGGAAAAGGTACGATGATAAAAGATGGTATTGAACTGCTGTTATGAACACCCATTCCCACCCCGCAATGCAATGCAATATGTTTCAGGCGCCGGGTTTGGACTTTTAGATAATGCAAAAACCGAGTATGAAGAACGCCCTGCGCTAGGTATGATAGGAGGAAAATGAAAAATGTCCCGAAGCAAAAAAAAAAGGGGGGGGGGGTGGGGGAGGTGACATAGGAAAACACTATGCGTGCATGCACAAAGGTATGACGAGTATATAGAATAAAAGAAATATAAAAAACAAGCCTCCCAATGAAAATGCCCAAGGAAGTGAAAGGTCCGACCCGCTCCCGCTATCCCGTTCCCAACCCACTACTAACCCAAGACCGTTTAATTCGTTCAATCGTTACCGCTTTTATTTTTTGTTACGAGTAACTCTCTATTCAATAACCTTCATCGCTTCCATTGCTGCCGTCAAACCAACAAGTCGTAAACTAGGTTTCCGTGATGGTTGCCAACTCGTGGGAATTTTTGCATCTTCCCAATTTCTGAAAAGCACTTTAAACTCTCTGGGTGCACCTCCCACAATCACACTGCTAACCGGGATGAATGGTCGATCGTCTACTGTTGCTGCAAGAATGGCATAATCTTGTGCAAACTGCAATGCGGACTGGAATTCGGGCCTCTTAGATTGAGAGTTGGCGCCAAGAACACTGTACCCAAGTATTAGCCCTAGACTTAATTTTGCAAGACAATTTTGTTTTACAATAAACACGATATAAAACATACATATAAAGCTCAAAAAAGGCGTCCACAACGTAGATCTCCGACTGGTTCAGATCTGATTGGCAATATGGTGAAACCTCGATCACCTTAACATAAAATATTAGCCCCACATTTACTCGCACAAATCGGATCTTATTTACCTTAGCATGGGACTCCAGATCAATCCTGAAGAGTCGGGTGTTGTAAGAAGTGTGGGCAGGCTTCAGGTGCCAATAGTCAGCAGATGCCCGGTCCTCGCTGCTACCATCCAGAATGTCAAAGAACATGTCAGGTTCGCTATTTTCATCGATTTCCTGGACTTCGCCCTTGGACATTTCAGAGGCTACAAGTCGAGCAACGCCAATCTCCTCAGCTGTAGAGCCTTTCCCTTTCCAGAGAAAAACCCGGCCCTTGGCAGAAACAATAAAAGGGAAGCCAGAGCAAAGACTCGATGCTCTGCAGTCAACCTCATCTACGGCAATACTACCCATAAAGTGGCGCGCACAAAGTACAAAAGGATTCTCGGTTATCATTTTCGTGCGAGATCCACGTCTTGTGGTAACAATGCCACCAAGAGCTTGGAAGAAAGCGGAGGTTTCACGTCCTTGCCTCAAACGAATCTATCATAATTCAGTATAATTCATAGCTTTTGATTTTAGTAAAAGTCTTACCAGTTTCCCATCGTTTTCTCTTGCTAATTTTCGTGCGAAGAGAAGCGCATCTTCAACAGCAGGCTCTGAGACCTTGTCCCCACTCCAAAGATACACCTCTGTTCCCTTTGCTCCCAATTGAGTCTTGAACGTATGGATGCAAACATACATGCTCTCATCAAATAACACATTTTCGTACTCTTGAGGAACAGGTTGCAACTTGCCGTACCCAGTAATCTCCGAAAGTTCAGTCTTTAGTGACTGAACTTCCTCAGTAGTATCTTTGCGGTTGCCCATCAAAATACCAGAGATATCCAAATCTAGTCTTGGTGTCTTAGTAACTGGTCCTTTGAAAAATCCGCCAAAAATCCGAGATGGCTCATCACGACTTCTTGTATTTTCGAGGGGTGCCAGTGAATCCTCATCATCATCATCATCATCATCATCATCATCACCCCTTGAAACAAATGATGACGTTCTTGAGATTGCTGGAGCCTCCCAGCTCTTAGTTTTGATCGAAGCTGGTTCTTCATCTTCATTCAGCTCATTAATATTAGGGTTTGTCGAGGTCCGACGCAATAGCGAAATCCTCGAGGTGGCAGATGATGAAAGCGAAGGTTCTGGTAGAACCAGAGACTTTTCGCTCAAAGGAGACTTTGTGCCCGACGACTGTTGTGTAAACATTTCCCTCAGACTTGAGGCTGATGTTGCTTTAAGTAAAGGGGATTTAGCGGGCGTAGGTGGCTTCACTTTCTCGATCTTTGGTGCATCTTTAGGCGCCGATGCAAATTGCGGATGTCCGGTAGCCGTCTCAATTTTAGGGCTAAGCTTTGGAACATCAAATGGCTTATTGAATGTGATAGGTTTAGGTGTGATAGGTTTTGGAGAGGTTTGTGGGGCTTGCTGCTTTACTACCGGTGAAGAAAACATCTCTTTTGCTGATGGTGTGCTTCGAGAAGTTCCTTTAGCTGGCAGTGCATCTGACGCTTCAAACTTTGTCGGTGCCCTCCTCTTCGGGCCTCGTGCTCTTGCTTTTGTCATCTGCCACAAAGGTCAGTTGATGAGAAAAAAGGGTAACGCTATCCACTGAAGTCGACTATTTTATAATTACTTACATGCGTTAGTTGCCTGCCTTCACTGGGCTCAGAATCATCCTGTTGACTCCCAGCGGCATTACTCGATTCGCTTCGGCCCGAGGTTGGAGGGGGTCCCCTTTGAAGCAGGTTCGCTAAACCGGGGTTAAATCTACTCGCCAACGATGGGCCCTTTTCCTTCAGCTCTAGTCTTCCGGGTGCCGAGTTTTGCTTGGCAGCAGAGAAGCTTGATGGCCGAGGTCTTGTTACTATTGCTGCCATTGGAGATTCCACGGGACGCGGTACTATCGGGCGCTCTGATTGCGTAAGAGAAGCTTTCGCAGAGAGAACCATTTCTTTCAGTGGATCCGGTGCTTTATTTTTCTGTGGACCCGCAGTCGCCTGTAAGTTGGCTTTACCTGCCAAAATCCTGTCCTTCAACTCGTTGTTTGGTACATAGTTGTTCGTTTTTGTGGACCTCAAACGTGTCATAGCATTGAGAAATGGCAGGTGTTCCCCCTTGCCCGCAGCATCAGTCATTGAGCGAGGCTTGAGCCCAGCACGGAAATTGATGGTTTCTTTAGGCGGCGGGGGGGGTTTCTCAAAAACTGAAGTTCTGTTTGACATAGGAGAGTTAAAAACTGGCTTAGAGGAAGGAACCACAGGCTTTTCTCCAATTTCTGGGTTCAGCTTTACGGTATCTAGGCTACCGCTGGGTCGCAACACTGGGATGTCTGGAATACTAGAAGGCCGTAATGGTGGGATATTTGGAATGCTGAGAGGCTTTTTCAATCCAATACTCGTGGGTTTGGGGCCTGTAGGGGGGCGAGTGGCCATGGGATCCGGAAATTTCGTCTCAATGACTTTAGCCTGTGTTTTCTCCTTAGGTGGAGTGTATGCTTTCATCGGAGCGTTACTGTCTGTTCCTTTCTTCAAGGCACTTTCTAGCCATGAGGATTTCGTTGGACTCCATCTCTTCTGGTCAAAGGTCTTGGTGGGCGATGCTGGTGGTGACATACTCCGGGGTGGGGGAGATAATTGAATATCACCAGATGTGCCGGGCGATGCCAGTCTTGGCTCACTTAGAGAACTACCTCGACTATGCTCGACTTGGCTAACTTGACTAAGTTGACTAAGTTGGCTTTCATCTTCTGTGGTCTCCCCATCTTGTAAATCATCGCCCTCAATTTCCTCTTCATCTGCAGCCGCAGCTGCAGCAGCCTCTCTTAGATTCCCATAGGTATGTCTATTTGAAGCCGTAGAGCTGTTTCGCGAGAGTGAACCAAGCTGCTGAGAGTTGCTCCATCTTTTGTTTATAGACCCTTCTCTTTTAAGAAGGGCACTTTGTACAAACCCCCCCAAGCCTTTCGTCGGACTTGGTGTGCGTTCCTTCCGTTCGGGCGAAATTCGGCCTTGACTAGGACTCATTGCTGGAGGTCGAGTGAACCCATCCTCTGAAACAAAGCCCCCACCCACCAGCGATGGATCAAAACGCGCAGAGATACTACTCGTAAAAGAGTTCCCCCTTGTGTGACGAGAGATTCCGGAACTAGATGTGGAGGAAGTCAATTGACTTGCTGAGTGTAGAGAATCACTACGGCCACGAAACGTCGATGTTGAAGATAAAGTTTCGTTCGAATCCCGCTTAGAAAGAGCTGGTCTATCCGCCTCAGAGGTCGAATCCTCTTCAAAGCCGAGCTTTCCTAGCATTCCTCCGAAAGAAGAAGACATTCCTGGCAAAGCCATTTTTGCAGTGAGGTCCATGCTTTCGTCTTGAGTTTTCCGCAGTGCACCGGATGTAGCACCCCGGTCAGGTGTTTGTCGAAACCATGACGGGTCCTTCGAGCCAAGGTTCTGTGCAATCTGCGAACGCCGTTTCTCTGGCTCTTCTTCTGATTGAGGCTCTTCCGGTTTGTATAGTAAAGAAGTGGGCCTGGAGACAGAAGAGTGGAACGATTTGGGTCTTCGTTGCCAGGAAAGCGTCCTTGGTGCCTTTTCTTGTTCGTTCCCTGATGTTTCTGCATCAGTCAATGTGCTGGCGGAAAACCTTCCTGTCAGTTTGTCCATGGCAGATTCCACGGAATCTTCCCGTCTATTGCCCCCATTTGTATCCTCTGCAGTTCCTGGCCGGGATAAAGACATCTCCAACACGCTCGACCTGAGACTTAGTGGTGCTGAAAGCGGCGAATCCTTCTGAGGTGACAAAGATCTTGCGCGTTCTATCGTGGGAAATCAGCAAACTCCTTCAAAATTCCGGGAAAGGGGTATTCGGCTTTAGGCCATCATGTAGAGACACCAACCATCTCTCCGGGCTCGCCTTGCTTCCCGTCCCGCTATGATTTCCTCCTCAAGCTTCCTCGCACGTTCCTCATCTTCGCGGTCCCGTTTGTCCCCTAACTCCCGGATCCTCTGCAAAAACTCATTTACTCCATCACCATCTGATTCCATTGTTTACACTGTTGTGCTGTAGAAAGATGGCAAAAAGAAAAAAGAAAAAGGGTTCGCCGGTAAGACCAAGCTGCTGCTGTTGATTGAGGGGTTGTGTGACGCGTGACGGGAGTTTCGGGGTTAAGAAAGTAGACAAGAGACGGGATGGAGCGAATGATCGAAACAGAAGTAAAACAACAGCTAACAGACGTCGGAGCGGGAGACGGTTTATTCGGGATCGGAATCAAGAGCAGGAGGGGCTTTACGGTGGTCGTGGACCTGAAGGTTCTTGGCAGGCCCGCTGCCTATCATAATCTCACTTCACGTGACGTGTAACGGTCGAGCTTGTTTGGGCTGACCTATCCTCCGGGGTTTCAACAACAATCGATTGCGCCAGGCTCATACCCAGATTTTCTGAAACATGAACAGAATGCGGAGACGAGGATCTACTAGCGAACGAAGAACGTAAAGCTTGAATCATTTGATAGAGATATAACAAATATAGGTGTGGATGGCAGCGTTGTTGTATGTACTCGTTTTAATCCAAAAACATCAGATCAGCGGGCCTCAATACATACTTATAAGCTTAGAATCCATTAGTGTGTCCTTGTGAGACTCTCTTAGCTAGAAAACCTGATGGGTTTTGCTATTTTGCCGTGGAAAACAGGCATAACTTGGGATGTTTGATGTTAAAATGCATATGTACTGGATCACGTGATGGGTTGCTCAACCCCTTTCTCATGATATGGAAGCTACATGTATGCATACATGTAGCTGTCAGAGAGTCCAAGGTGTCCATTGAATACAAGAAGGTTGGCCCACGTACCCCAAGCTAGCTTGGATCACTAATCTCCTCCAAAAAGAAAGAAGTTCCTGCATACGCACGGAATACATACTGACAACATATGATACTCCACAGTTAACCCTTATACTGGGTTTCCACAGGAAATCTCTTATCTGTCAAACTCCTATTTGTTAACTGTTCTATTTCACGCATCTCGTGATCCATCTCTAGGATCTTTTACTTTTGTGTTGCAAGGTATCCTTGTATTTCAATCATGATATATCACTCGTTAAATGTCTCACAAAGTATCCGTGAATGGGCAAGCATATTCCTTGCCCAATCCTATGAGGGCGTGAGGTTTAGCATGTGTGCAAAATACGCGTGTGACGTGATGCAGAGAACTGGAAAGGAGCATGGAAGCCCGATATCGATAACAAACTCAATCATTAATGACAAATATGTATGGCCGCGCCAATCAAACAAAGTACGATAACAATCTTAGCCATAACAGACAGTATATACGTGCTAAATACACTGAAAAAGAAGTTTCGCTCAATGCGCAGATCATGTTCTCCACATCTGCGTTGAGTGCTAGACTCGTCTAATTTAAGCACTCTAATTAATCAGAACCTTCCTACTCTCAAATGATTCTCTCTCCTTCTTCGGGACGAGGACTTCAAGTATACCTATAACATCATCCTAGTAAGTTTAGGCTGCCTTCCGCGGAAAGCAGATACTCACCATCTTTTAATTTTGCTGTAATGTCAACCGAGTTCACATAAGCCGGTTTTTTTTAAACTCCCCAACGTGATCTTCTTCTCAAAAACCCTGAGCCCCTCTCTCCAACAGTAAGTGTCTTTAGTAACTCTTCATCACCATTCCGGTAAACAACACCTGAGATCTGGATTTCGGATTTTTGCTACACGTCCAAGATTATTAGCATTCGCTTCAATATTTTTCTTTTTTCCCCCTTGCTTTCATAATTTAATAAAATAGCATTTGTTACCTCATCGAAGCCAATCCAAATATCTTCCTTCTTCGCACCAGGTAGAGATATATGTATCACATAGCTGGTAGCCGTATCGAATACATCAGCAGCAGGCGAGAGTTCGCTGCTCGCACCAAGGGGTCCGTATACACTGTCTTGACTATCATGGAAACCAAAAAACTCAGATAGAGATTTTCCGGTAGCGTTCGAGGCAATTTCTTCGAGGGCGATCAATTCCCAAAATGGGACGGCAGGATTGCATGAGGACATGTCTTTTTTTAAAATAAAAAAATTTAAATAAACGCTTTGAACGGGCTTTTTTGTTAACATTCTTATCAGAGGGCCGAATAGTTTGGCATTTATATACCTCGAAGATCAGGTTGATGATTGCGAATACCAAATACAAGAGCCACAAATCGGCCACGGTGGAACTCATAATGATAAGCATCTTTGGAATGATCTTTAAGATTCTGGATGTTTCTCACTCACTATTGTGTGTATACGTAAGCTGGGAAGGCTTCAGAACTAAGACATAAAACGAAGAATAGAGAAGCACGGAGAGTATTATTATCACGAGCAATTAATATGTTAAGTGATGTTTGGTATTTGTAGTGCAGCTGCACTTGTCAAGAATATCGATCCTTGCAACTGACTCATGCCCATCCAGAGACTACTCAGCAAGTCTCGCCAATAGTAATCATACGGAACAGCGAGGTTGAAATAAAGTTGACGGAGAAACGGAAAAATTCGATATCACGGACGCCTTTCTGCAGAAAAGACTGAGTATCACAATCAAGGTACTCTACCTAGATAGAGTATTTACCTACCCCAAAGTCGGCGTGGCAGCTGGTAGGAGATACATACATGTATGGGGCCATGGCCAGTGCCGTGGACGGCACATTTGAACCTGATCACCCAAACTCCATACATGTAATATCAACGGGGCCCAGCCAATCATGGTCTAGATTGTATAAGCAGTACCTCAGAAAAGTGCACGTCTGAGTCGGAGAACATTTATTCCAACTATTGCGTCGAATCGGCACTCATTCATGCTTTCGTCGGGAGTTGGAATCACGGTAACGGGAATCTGATGAAGCTGTTAAGAGACCATTTTTGATTGATTTCCTCGAGCACTACTGATTAACCTCACATGCTGATTTGCTCGTCGGATCCTTCGGCTGCAACCGACCACCACCTCATAATGGGGAAAAGTGTCCACCTCGCCGAAAATAAAACTCACTGGCAATAGGGCAATCTGGGAATAATGCCCGACGGCGGCTCAGAGCGTACCTATCCCACTCTTTCGGTCTAGACTTGGGGTAACTAGCATGTATGTATGTTGACATAGAGTAGAGTACTCTCCACTCTAGGGCACCCGGTACAAACCACGCTGTGACCAGTTACAGGCTCTGGAGAAGCCCGATTGGCCGTTTGATAGGTTCATCTGGCAATATCGTACGACACATGTAGTCAAGTGGTGCAGAGACTGGATGGTAAATAGGAAGGAGCACAATAGACTCGGCCAAGACTACGCCGTGGGGTTAGATATGAGGGGCCCAGGGCTCTTGAAGCAGAAGTGAGAAATGATGAGAAGAAGAATCGGGTGCTCTCTCTGGAGCAACAGTAGAGATATCTTATCTACCATTGTTGTTGGAGTCCTTTCAAACTCTTCTACTCTTCATGACCGTACCCTCAGGCTCACGTAAAGGTGCAAATATAAAAGCAAATAATGCTATACATACGGACTACAGGTGCAACTAGAGGAACTTTCCGAGGAAATAACAAAGAAAACCCAGTTAGCAACCGGCGATGCAAAGTTCGTATCGATTACTACTTCTTAGTTGGGTAGAGTGCATGTCGATACCGACTGTCCGTTGAGAAAGTATCTGGCCGACCAGAAGGAAAATTCCCGGAACTCAACGCACTCCTTTCCCAAACAACCAATGGGAATCATTCCCCACCTCTATCGACTCGGATATTTGCCAGCCAAATCCAACATGCAGCAGCAGCAGGGGCCAGAGGCAGTGCGACCACACCCAACATCTTGGCTTGAACCTTGTTCCATACTGTGCTTCAAGTTGACCGAGGAGGATGACGGCGGAAAGCGGAAGATGTTCAGGATGCAAACGAGCCGTGTAGGATCTTGCACCTTATCCTCGGAGATTTTTCTGCTGGGTTCCCTCTCATCCATCTTCGTTGTTTCCCTGGGGTCTAGACAAACATACCTGCATCGCACCTAAGATATCCAGTATCGATATTTCTTGTATACAGAATAGATGTTATAGATAGCACTTATGTATCTCATACTCTTCTGTTCATGGGAGGTCGTATTTTCCTTCTTCCCTGGCGGACAAGAAGATTATGGTTCATGGAAGGTCCTTTTTTCTCGGAGCACGGCAGAGCGGACGTGCGGGAACGCACCCACAGGCGGAATATACCGAGAATGCCGTTTTTCTGTGGCGGTACATGTATGTATCTTAAAGTTTGCAGGTGCATACCCCGGCGTGTTTGTGATTCTCTACCCCCATGGGCCACGAGCACGAACGAAAACCAGCTCCTGTTTGGACTCTATTTTGTTTAATTTATACGATAGAGCACACATAATGACTTCTTCTTTTCGGGTGTGTGAAGCGAAGACGAGTAGATTCAATATATTTCTCGACCGAGGTGCCCTTGCTGTTCCCTCAAGGGTCATCATGTACTCTACCTATTAGAGTGCTGTTCACGATCTGGTGCATGATCCAATAAGTCGGTTAAGTAAGATGGAGCACACCCGTCACAGGGAAGGCCTTGTCCCCAGATAGAGTGTATTGGGGATAAAATGACGCCAAATGCCTACATACATGTGGACATGCCTGCGAGTGGCCGGTTGGCTCTAGTAATGATATGACAACCCAGGTGAAGGGATACCGACCACGGAGCAAATGTTAGACGAAAACCCCCCCCCCCCAAAATAGCATCGATGTCGTTTAAGATCTAGGTAGGGCTGTAATTGACGGATAAATGGGCTTGAATGGTATGGCTCAAATAGATGGACGTGTAAACTTATCATGAGGGTTAGGGTCAGGGGGGTGTCAATGCCAAATACCACCTCGAACATAGGAAATCAGATTACAGCTATTGAGGTGTGCCGAGATTTCCGTAGCCTGAGAGACGGTGCGCTGCTAAGGGCCAGGTTACTCTCAATACTCAGACTGTTTGATATCCATAACAGCCCCGGTTGGGGGTAGGTCAACATTTTTGTAATCCTAGTAGTTGGTTATAGGTTGTGGTTTAAAAGACTTTTTCGGGTCAAGCGCCGACGCTTACCGGTATCGTACTCTCTAATGCTCGAAATCCCCGGATAATCAGGGCGATCAGCTAGTAATGGTTTTGGTGCCTGGGCATGGGGATGCTCCGGCTAACTTCCGAGATCAAATTATTCAGCGGCCTCTACACTCATTTCCTCGAAGATTTCGCTTCACCCACTTTGTGGGGAACGAAAAAGGTCACAATACAGGCTCATCCAAGACAGGAAGAATAATCAGGAATGAAGACACCTACCTAGAGTACCAGTGTATCAGCCTTCTTTTCTTGCATTTGTTGCCGGAGCCGGAGAGATGCCCTCACACAACACAACGGAAGCGCATCCGCATTTAACGTAACTCCCTGAGTTACCTTAAATTGTGGCTTCTTCTGAGACAGAAACGGTTCTCGTTGTCTTACCTGTGCCTGGGGCGTGTCACTCTCCAGGATGTAGGAGGGCGAAGAGGGCAAAAAAGAAGAATCCCCTCGAGTCACTCACTCCCTCCCTCCTCCTTTCCTCTCTCTCTTTTACGTACATGCTGGTGTTGCTGAGGTGTTTGCTGGTCCTGATACCTACACTCTACATGCTGTTCGGCCTTGCTATGATTGTTAACCAGACTTGTTGTTTGGCTCGTTTAACGCCCATCCCGCCGTTGGGGGTCACGGTATGGGGCCAGACATGTAAATTACCATAATAAACAAACCAGTTTTGATTATAGGGCCGGCGAACCAAAAGGAAAGAAAAGAGGAAACCCCGCCGCAAGGTGAGGAAGTAGCCGGGCCTGTCACTCGGTACTCGGTAGCGATTATTAGAGGGTTGTTGTCTCTCTTTCGCCTCTCCACTTTATCTGCATTTGGCCCACCGATTCACCCATCCATCCACATCTAAAGTATCGTACTCTACCCATACTTACCGCATCCCAGCCCGCAATGCACCACCCCCCTCTTCTAGATTTAACTTAACTGAGTAGAGTGATGTTAGTGGGGTGAGGCGGAGTGTAGGTAGCCATTGTAATTGGGACAGCCGCTTGGATGAACCACCTAGGAGGGAGGGAGGGAGGCTTATATTTGGGGGGTGTTTGGGAGTGGAAACCGTGAAGACGATCCGAGCGAAGCATCTGCTCCACGGTACAGCAAGAGCGGAGCACCGGAGGACGTTGCTGGGACAAGCCACAACGTGAGCCGACGGGCTGCCTCAACCGGGGGACACACTCTTTTTTCGGCTCTTGGTTGTATTGCCCTACTGTGATGTATCCATCCTGCCCACGAAGCTTCTTCTGGCTGCAAGGCATTGGTGTTGTGTAAGTCTCGATTCGATCAACGCTGCCTGTTTTTGGCTGTTCTATCACCTCACTTATTCTTTACTACCTAAACCCATCCTTCGATACTAAACCTGTCTGTCTTTGAACCGCTACCATTCGTCTCCCCCGCTCCAGCGATTCTCCTTGTCTGAATCCACAGCGCAAAAAGAAAATAAAAAGACAGAAAAGTACTGAGAAAAAAGTAAAAAGTGAGAGTGAGACAATAGCAAAAGTAGAAAAAAGAAAAGAAAAATACAGAGAGTGGAATATTCATAAGGAGGGTGAGGACGGAGACTGCAGAGGAGAGCTCCGGAAAACCGAGAAAATAAGTCATCTTGTGCTCCCACTCCAAGAAATAAGGGATCTTCGCCATCTTTCCCTTCAAAGCCCCATCGCTTTTTCTCTTCCTCCTCCGGACGTTCCCAGTTGTGAAGTTGCCCCGTCTAATTACGTATCCACACAGCAGAAGCCTACCCCCCCTGAGTCGGAACAGCTACCGAGTCGCTGCTGCTGCTCTCCGCCTGCCAACTGTGACCCCAAGACAGTTGGATCTGACTGCTGTTCGACACGAAGTCAGCTGAATGCACGCGGTGGTCCTCTACTACTTTCTTCTACTATTGAAAGAGTCCTCATTCCCTTCTTACCCAGTATCTCGACTGCATCGTCCCCTTTCATAACAGACGTACCGGTAATCACGTCGACGACAACAAAAAAAGAAGACCGCAATCAACGGCTAGTGGCATTGGTCCGAGCATTTCTCTTACTGTAGGATTGTGAGCGTACTATGGAAGACAGGATGTCAATGCGACATCAATCATTTCAAGGGCAGCCATCTCTTCCTCACCCTCACTCCCAGGCAAATGGAATGCGTTTATATGACCCCGGCATGAATCCTTCGTCAATTCCAGTCCATAATAGTGGACAAACACAGCATATGAGCCTCAGCACCAATCATGGAGCGTACCCACAGTATAATCATTCGGCTTCAGTTTCTCCTGGCCCTTCTCGTGATGCTCAGATGCCATCACCATCCTCAGGTCCACCGCACCATTCTTCAGGACAAAGCTTGAATGCGGCTCAAAAAAGAGCGTATCGACAGCGCAGAAAGGACCCTTCGTGCGATGCTTGCAGGGAGCGCAAGGTCAAGGTTGGTTTAAATCCCGTAAAATTCGTTCTTTGGTGGCCCATAAAGCTGATAATTTCATGCCCAATAGTGTGATGCTACAGATGTCAATAGCTGCTCTGAATGCGCCTCCCGAAACGTCAAATGTCAATTTACAAAGGAAACAAATCGTCGCATGTCATCGATTAAGTATTTAGTCCAGTTTGCAGGTCATTTAACAAGGCGATACTAACAACCGAGGAAGACAAGTTCAGGACCTCGAGAAGCAACTCGCAGCAGCACGAGAGCAGATCCGAAAGCTCCAAGCCACCAACGGGCACCCCAAAGAAAATGCGGATTCAAATAATAATGATATTGTTTCCGACATATCCATCAATGTACCAGATGTCAATTCGAGTCCACAAAGGCGTCCTCGACCGCCTGTTATTCAAGATATGTCAGTTAGGTCGCATGTGCGCAACTACAGCCGCGGCATTTTCAAGCCTCCTCCACCATATAGACAAGTCGGCACTCAGTCAAACTTTTCGCCGCCTCTCCCCGAGCTTCCTCCTCAACCAATTGTGGATCATATCTTGGCGCAATATTATCAGACGATTCATTCAATCATCCCAATTCTTCATTGGCCACAGTTTGTACAACGTTACGACGACGTGCGGAAACGGGGCGACCTGTCAAATGTTCCACCTTCCTGGGCATCAACATTGTTTGCTGTCTTTGCTTGTGGTTTACTCTACACAGCAGACCCAGCAATTAAAGCGAAATATCCTGATAATGGAAGACAATTTATTGCATATTCCCGTCAATTAACCGACTTATTTAATGACGAGTTCACCATCGACCACGCCCGATCAGCACTGCTCACCAGTATATATCTTACCGAGTTGAATTGTAAATCTGCTGCTTGGACCTGGTTGGGCTCTACCGTGAGAATTGCTCAGGATATCGGATTGCATCGAGAGAGCGGCCCCTGGCCAGTCGTGGAGGGGGAGATGAGAAGGAGAGTTTGGTGGGGGATTTATGTCTGGGATCGGTAATCTCCCTGCAAGGCAGTGAACTTAAAGATATAAAAAAAAAGCTGACATAAATGAACAGATTGCTATCAGTTGAACTTGGGAGAGTTCTGCTTATAGAAGACACAGATTGTGATATCTCACTACCTTGCGCACTTGATGACCATTTCATCTACGATTCTGGATTGCTAGTCCCTCCTGGTTCACAGCAGCAGCCAGCAAACTTTCTTCTTACAACAATTCACGTGGTTCGCCTTATTAGCCCATTATTGCGTTCCCTACAATCGCCAGTCGTATCAACACCAAATCTTGGATGTTTCGATGCGCATTTCAAGACATGCTTATCGGCATTCCCGGTCAACTGCCATCTCAATCAACCCCAGCCTCTTGAGCCACGACATCTCTCTCCGATTTTCCACCTTCAGAACTGCCGACTTGTACTTCATCGTCACAATCTATCAACACTTTGCTCACCGGAAGTTCGATCGGCGGCAATTGATTCATGTGTAACAGCAGCAAAAGATACCGTGAATTTCCTTTCACGCGCGATGCAGTTTCAACCTAGCGATAGGTTTGACTCAAGCACAGGTGCCCAGAACTTGATAGCATCATGTGCCACAACAATGCTGTGTACCCACGTATGGCGTTGTGCACTATTCCTATGTTTCAGGGGGCTCTTTACAGATGCTTTAGTATGTGTTCAAGTCAGTAAAATAATTGGAGATGTACGCGATGTAAATATCGCTTGCGGAAGAAATCTGTACGGGTTTCTACGAATGTTGAGCGAGAAACTTGCGAATGGGGTGAACCTTGAGCAGGATGAGGGCATGATGGCACTAGTTTCTGGTGATGTCCAAGGAAGTACCGAATCTTCGTGGGTTTGGAACGGTAGCGAGACCGGTCAAGCTCTCAATGGCACCTCCCCACGTCACGACCACCCACACAATAGCGGAAATGAGTATCCTATAACAAGTGGGAACGCAGAAATTACTACTGCTTTATCTCCGGAAGAATCAAATGATTGGGGTGGATGGGAGTATATCGAGAGAATGCTCCATCGTCTGAACAGCGAAAGAATGGCAAGGGAACATGCCCAACAACAGCAACCTGCCCCAGGCCCGTGGAACGGAGTATCAGGACGATCAACACCAGTACCGAACGCCTCGTCATCACGTATCGCCATCGCGAATATCATCTAATTATCGCCAAGTCGCAATATAGAACGAACTCGAAAATCGGAAAATTCACATAAAAATGGGCATTTGTTTTGGATTCGGGCATTGGGAATTGGGAAGCTTGTGTCTGACGGCGCGTGGTGTAGTTGGAAGTGGTGTGCTTGGGGCTGGTTGGTTATATTGTCGTTTTTTTTCCTTTACTTATATATTTTGTTAAATTTCAACCGTGGCAGACGGGAAAGTGGGAGGATTCTGACAATTGTATTTTTCGATTTTCTATCGTCCCTTCCCTGATTTGATACCTTTCACGCTTTTCTTATAAATGCATATTGTATCCTATCTCTTTGTGTGTGTCCATGCCGATACTAGTTTATTTCCTTAGTTTTCATTCTTGATACATTTTTTTACCTCATTGTCCTGGACAAGGGCAAAATCCTTGGTGTTCGTTTTTTTTTCCTCTCCCGAAGGGTATATGGTGGCTTTTGGCGAGGTTAGTCGGCCGCCATATGCTGTACATAACGGGGCCTATACTTCCTCCTGATTGTTCTCTGGCTATGGTGTTTTTTCCATCTATTCTCTGGGATCTGATCATTGGTTGTATTTAACTGATGTGCATGGACATGCGTTAATGCTCTGCTTTTGTTTTTGTCGCCTCAGCTTTTAGTACTGTATTTTTAGATAGCACTTATTTCTCTCTTTCTTTATCTCTATCTCTATCTCTATATTTGATTGTTTATTAGGGTTGGTGAGTATTTATCTATCGTCTAGGTGGCGGGCCCGTCTTGTTTCTTTTTTTTTTTTTTTTTTTTTTCGCTTCACGTTTCCGGGTGGCACTTTAGCTCTGATTTACTTTTATTCCTCACATTGGATTAAGTCATGAGAAATGACAACAGTTTAGTTTGTAACTTGAAATTACATATACGAGCTTGCTTTTTGGGAGAGTGCAGAGTGCGGGGTTTTTCACTGTTGTTGGGGGAAGGGTGTGGGTTTTTTTTTTTTTTGATGGTGTTAGTGGGAGTTTAAGCATTAGTTCCAAAATTTCTGTGGTCTAGATTGAGAGCCGCACACCTTCTGAGTGACATTCCATGATCTCGGTCAACATTGTCAGCCTTGATTATACGTGTCATTGTGAGAGCGACGACAAGATTCTATTGTTCAAGTTCAGGCATTTTCAAGCCTTGCCATACATGCATAGTGAGTCGTCCTGTGGTCGTCCGAGCAAAGTCTCACCCGGGGTAGAGGCAACTTCAATCTCGCCTTTTGTCTCTAGAGCCCGAGATTCCCGGCCCGTCTCTTCTAAAACGCCCATCGTACATACATGGTACTTACCCGATTTGCTGCTTGACATGGGGGCACATCCTGCCTAAGTTTTCACCACTTTCATTCGTTGCTCAGTCTCCACCTTCCCTTCCTCTTCTCCGCGGTTGCCTGCTGGTTCACGCATCATCACTCGTGGCTTCCACGATAAAGAACATAGTGTTTTTACAAATAAATTGCACATTTATGTAGCTGTCCCTGCAGGAATTGACCCAATAGTACTGACCGAGACCTCAGGTGCTGGAGATAGATGTTGAAAGCCAAGCCCTGGCTTGACCATAGCAATATACGCGATAGAACGAGGAATCAAACTTGGAATCATGGATTAGAACCGTACCATCCCACGCCTTAGGTACCCCAAATTTACTCCGACAACATGAATGCTACTATACACAGGGTGAGAATGTTGATCCGGCACTATCCAGTGTTTATGAGGCTGGAGATGCACAAGACCCAGGTCGCGGTTAGAAGTCCTTTTTCATCTCACTCCGTTTTCATTTCTAAGTGCATACTCATTTCCAGCATTTATATTGATTACTGGTTTCATCGGCTGCAGATTGATATGTCATGGAGACAAGCCGGAGCGAGATGGGGGATCTTGGTGCTCACATGCACATCAGGCCCAATCCGACCATGCGGTAGGTAAGCATTTGGGGGTACTATGTTGCAAGTATTACTGTGGGTTTCAAAGGGTCGTGGGGGGTTGTTAATGGCAGACATGCCCAGACGTGTCCCCGGATTTATGTGTGGGCACGGTCCTCTTCATTAAAAACGTTGTTCAATATTGGACATCTCCCGGGCGGCCGAATGATCGAATTCATATATAAGTTCCATACACCGAAACTTTGCCTTAATGTTGTGCGACGAAAAGCCTTTTTGGATGGACCACCACTTCAGAGGTGGCCGGAATAACTCAAGAAGACATGTCTCATTGCCTTTTCGGGTGGCGACGCTGGATTGAGTCAGCAGTAACAAACTAAGTCGAGGAAATCTTTTTCCAGATGTTGAACTTACCGGTTATCTGAAACAAAGTAAAACGAAACCTTAAAAGAAGCAAGAACGCATGATGTATTCTGAGTCGTTTTTTTTAAATCATTGTTTATGGATAGCCAGTATAATCTCGGTTGAAAAAAGGTTTGAAGGAAAAAAACCTTTAGCTTGGAAACATAGTATTATGTCCACTAGCTAATTAATTGGTCAATGTGCATTTAGGAGTAAGTAAGAGCTATTATGTATCAGGAACGGGTTCTTTAGGTTTACCTGCTCCGAATGTAGGCAATACGCTGCCGGTTGATCTGGAAAGGGTCAGAGAAAACTTCCGGTTGCTGGTATGATGATCTCGGCTGAACTCGCGGCTGCAGCCAAAAAAAATCCAGAACTTACAAAGTGAGGAAGGAAAAAGCAAATTCTAGCAGGCAAACAAGGGGGCTAACGCCACAAAAAAAAACATTTGAGAAATAAGATTCAGGTGGCACGGGACAGATATGTATTTCTCCCGGAGGGCGTTGAAGACAATTTTGGCTGCAAAATGGTGATGGCTGGTAGTAACCGGAAAATGGTATTGCCTTGCGAATGACCACACATCTCGGAGCTGGATGAATCTGAATTGTCTCTGGAAGGAATACCTATGCTTCACTGTGCTCAAAAATTAGCTGTGAAGCAACATCTCGGAGGCTGACTAGTACCAATAGGTTACACGTAAGTGCAGTATTCGAAGATAATTCAAATCGGCTTTTAATCACTCCTGATCACTCGCCAGATACTAAAAGATCACCGCATTAATGCCCCTTGGGCTTTTGTGAACTACGAACAATCATCTGGCAACAAAACTTGTTGTATTATCCTTGATATCAATATATTATAACACTTACCCTGCACTGTGATCACTCCACGAACTTGGGGAATCCCAGTAAGTTTATTCGACTATTTCTCTATATATGCAATTAGTTATTTGTGACTGGTGTCACATAACAATTTAGTCTCTGGACGCCCTAATAACTTAACATGGTACGATAGGAATCAAAATTGCTGTTGATCGCATTGTTTTTTGGTCCTTACTAAGGTTCTGTTTATATATCAAACGATTGTTGCTAGGTTGGAACTTTGAGGTGGTTTTTGGGCTTAATGGGATCCGGTTTAATTAATTCAATTATAGCTGGCTAACACCCTTAATGTGGGAGAATGTGATCGGGTGATGCATTCTTCCCCCCGCGGTAACTGACATCTAAAGAATAAAGAACCCTAAGTTTACACTTGAGGGGCAATCAATTGGAAATGAAGGCTGATTCTCCGAGGAAACTGTGGAGTGACAAGAAGGGGGGGGTCGGCCCGACATGTTCTTGGCATATTTATATTTTCTCTCAGAGTACAGGGTTCTGTTTTGGGTGTTTGGATTTTCAGGGCCTTAATCTTCCCCGCATATTCATAATTTAAAGTTTGCTTGCTTTGCTGTCTGTCTGGGAAACGCCGGCCTTCAGAAATACATGTATCTAAAGGGTTACCTGTATCCAAGATCCAGATAGTCTCTATCTGCGGTACTCCCAGTTGCACTTCTTGGACCTGGGGTCTCAAAAGGGCCTAAGCTTGGTGAAATCCATGTACAGAGAAACCGGCATTACTAAAGACTCAGAGTACTAGATGTGAGGCCTGCGACAGGTAACGGCCCTATTCCATACAAGCACACCTCTAGTCGCACCCCTCTGTCTTCGGATTTTCTTTGTGCCTGTATCGCTTTATTAGTGCGATTCTAAACATGTTCAACGGCATAAGTGGAATCGTGAACCGGGAGGATAATCATATATATTCGGAGTGACAGGGACTCTTGCTAGGATCTTACCGTTTGGTTTGTATGGCAGCTGGGTGTGTTGCGGAAACTTCGGCAGCGGAGGCAGTTGGTAGGGCTGCCAAGACCCGCGTGTGTTTCCTTTTTGGGTCAACGCAAAATGGCGAGTGAGATTTGATGATTGTGGCTCACTTGTGTGGAGGATGTGCAAAAAATGATAGAGCTCATGAATTAAATATTCGTAATTAGCAATTTAAAATAAATCTATACGCATTAGACGGAGCGTCACGGGGCTGACGGTGGTTATACCAGTACTTCTGGGTGCTCGTGCACGTGACTAGAGACTTTTTCGAAGGGTACTTGTATGCAGAGATACTCTGTTTTATTCCATTGATTATAGCTAATTAGCTAAGTGATCTTTAATCGAGCCTAGATATAGCTCATCTACAAATTTAAACTGTATGGGTCACTTGTAAGTAGATTTGTTCGACACGTACTAACCCTAACGAAGGGTGTCGAAAAATTGGTAATCAGTCTGACCCACCACATAAAAAAACTTGTATTATGGGCCTCATATGTCGAGAGCATCTCGAAATTGGATCCACCAATGATCCTATGCTAGATTGAGTATTGAGTCAACCGTATTAGCACCAGTACCACGCCGAGTTTAAACCTGGAGCGTTCCGGCAATAATTGGTAGCCCAGCTGGTTAGATACTCTTTGTTCTTCTACAATGTCTACGGGTGCTTCTTCAATATGTTAGCGCTGAACTAGAAAGAGACATAGCTACTAAGGTCAAATACTCGCGCACATAATATCAATTAAGATGAACATTAACATTGATGGTCTAGCATGTACACCTCACGTAAGAGGAGTAATGAATTATGAAAAATCTTCATAGTAACTTTACAATTTGTAGTAGTAGTGTACTAATACTTATTAACCTAATCAATCAATCAATAGTACATGTAGTAGTGATAGCATGCTCTACGAGTGATAGTTCATGAACTAGCTACCTGGATTATTGATTCATTGATTACTTCATTAATTGAGCTATCCGAATTATAATATGAGATAAGATCGTTACCGCAGGGGTCTCTCTTGGGTGTGGGAGAGTGTAGTTCCATGTACTAGCGCCATAGTTTTAGCTGGATTTGCGCGAAACATATTAAACAGTGGATAGCTCGAATCGAGGAGATCCATATTTGGGATCTACAAGCTGGTTATATGTGTGGTATTGGTGTTAACCTATTAGATCTTTACGGAGTCAATAGATTAAAAATAGTCCCAAAAGTTAGAAGTACGCCTTGAAAGATCCTCTGGTCTGAGAACAGCACTCTTACCTTAAATCGGACTAGCTCTCAAGGAAGCTAGCGAGTGAGCTCCTATGAAGAAATACCTAAACACATACAACCATTATCAGAAAATTTAAAACTAAGCTGGTATACTCACTGATGTTTCAAGCCCAGGAGGATAGTAACTGGATCCATGGTATAATTGAGGTTCGAGTAGTTAGCTTGGATAATCTTCAAGATTGAAAAATTGCTACCATTATATGTTCTTGAGCCCTAGAGTACTAGTCAAGACTGAATGTATCTTTGAATTTATCACTGACCGGAACTGTAGGGAAATCAAGACCAGAAGGGAAATTTAATCTTTTTTAAATCAATTGAATGGCCTTCCCCATTGGCGAAAAACAAAAGAAATTACATTCTCCTCATAAACGATCGTGAATTGTATATCCTAATACGGTGACCCCAAAGTAACTACTACATAACTCATGGGAACCAAAAAGATAAGAAGCTTCAAACGTACGAAAGCAACTACAAATAAAAACTATGACCAGATTTAAAGCGCCAATAATGCAACCCCCAAAGCTCAACTCTAAAATAAATATCGCCTCTAAACAATCTCAATGAAGTAAAAATTTCACCACCCTATGAAGACCTTGGCGCCGAGTTCTTCGCGGCGGTCTGGAAATCACTCAGTTTATTGCCCGCATTCACCGCAAATACCATCCCCTTCTGACAATGCGTGCCCACACCGCAATACACCCAGATTGGCTTATCATCCTTCACATCGATCTGGAATGTCGAGAGCCCAGTGATATCGGTTGGGTTCATCCTAACACCACTCTTGAAGCCTCCGTCCAGAGCCTGGCATGGCTGCTCGAAAGAGCTCTGGGTCACTGTATGGTTTGCCGCCTTGAAATCAAAGAGAATCTTATCACCGGGCTTAGCGATGACATTGTCGGGCATGTATCGTAGCATTGGTGTCTTTCCGTCGTTGCTGAGTCCTCCAACGATTACGATATGTGTTACTGGTTCTGTTATGGTTGCATTGCTTCCACCATTACCGCCGCTACCGCCTGTGGCATTCTTGGGAGGAGATGCCTTTGCCTTCGATTTGAACTCATCAAACTTGTTGCCAGGGTTGATTGAGAAAACCATGCCAGCCTGACAATGGGCCCCAAAACCGCAGTAGAACCAGACTGGCTTGTCATCAACCACAATAAACTCCTTGATAAACAACCCGTCAACATTTCCAGGGTTACTCTGAATACCCGTCTTGAAACCTCCGTCTATGCCGGTACATGGAGTGTCAAAGCTTGACTGAGTAACAGTGTGGTTTGCGAGTAGGAAATTGAATTTGACAATGTCACCGGCCTTGGCATTGACTGTTTCGGGGTCGTATTTGAGGATTGGCTTCCCATCGTCTCCACGTCCTCCAACCTTGACCATGTATGTTGCTCTAGCAACAGATGGGGTAGTTGTAGTGGCCGTGGCAGGGGTGGAGGATGGTACAGGAACAAGCGCGGCGGCAGAGCGGAAGGCGTCGAGTGTTTTGTCGCCAGATTTGGGAGGATTTATGGCGAATACCATCCCAGCTTGACAATGGGGCTTACCATTTCCAGGCTGTGCGCAGTAGAACCAGGCCGGGTTGGTATCTTTAACTGTGAAGAAACTTGTTACCGCACCAAGTGTGTTTGCCTATCATATACCAGGAGAAATTATTAGTATGATGTCGAACGAGTCTAAAGGTTTATATATTAAATGATAACATACCGTATTGGGCATGAAACCAGTATCAAAAGCCCCAGCCTTTGGTACACAAGGCGCCGCAAAATCAGCCTGGGTGACCGTGTGGTTGTTTGCCAAAAACTGGAAGGCCACGACATCTCCAACTTTGGCGCCGTCGATAAATTCGGGGTCGTACTTTAGGATGGGTGTCCCCCCAATCACATTCCCTTGCAAGCCGCCGACTTTAACGGTGAATTTTGCAGCTGGCGCAGATGACGTAGAAGTTGGGTTACGTTTGTCGTTGTAAACGGTTTTGGTGATTGTGGTGGTTGGAATCGAACAGTCTGATGTAGCAGTACGCTTATCATTATAGACTGTTTTAGTCGTAGTAGTAGTGGGAATTGGGCCCGTAGCGCAGTCGGATGACTCTGGGAGGGCGACTGCAGAGGCTAGAAGCGGGAGGAGCGCTGCGAGGAGGATGGTTGGGATACGCATTTTGGAGGTAATTATTGATAGATGAGCCTAGTATATATTCTTGACTGCTATTGGAGTTGAGCAGTAAAACTGTCTGGATATTCGAAGGGGAAGTATGAGTATAGACGATAGATATATATATCCTATCCAAATAGAAGCTTTACTTGGTACAGAGACAGGTATATATAGGATGGGAGCAAACCAAACCCGGAGAACTGATGAGGTTGTGTGTGTGGGTGAGGAATGTAGTAGAAAAGGATTTTCGCTTTGGCGCTACTCGTTCTTATTTATCATAATCCTCCATTCTCTTGTACAAGATTACCGATCAGAGCTGAGGGCTAGCTGCTATAGTTCTGATTCCCACCTCGTGCCATGTGCTTACAGACAGCAGGCGGTAAGCATGCGCTAAGGCCGGTCCTTACTATGCGATTGGGTAGACGCCAAAAAGATCAAAATCCACCGTGGCTGTGTAGATAGTAGACCAGGGGTAGGCACATGTATCATAAACTTACATGTATTTACATGTACCTATCTTCTAGAACTATTTCCGAAACGGGGGGCTTTTAACTGCCCCAGTGGCTGGCGTATTCACCCTAAGTAGCTGGATTAGGGGTCTTGCAAATATAGACCTGGCCCGGAAACCTTATTTTATCCCTGTTACATAAATGGGGGAATGGAGACTAAGATTATGATTCTAGGGTTGGCGATTTGGTGGTGTTGAGAAATTGCGCTGGTGTGTTACACCATAGCTATAGGGCTGGGATTGATTGGCAGAATCTGTCCGGGTGAGGTTGCTTGATAACCTAAAATGACACTTATAGAAGCTTAATAACACTCGGACGTCGACAAGGTACGGTGTCAGACAGCCAAAACCAGCCGGCCAGAGCAACCACCGACTCCCCTTCACCCCATTGACTTTCAACAACGCAACGCTTGTCCAGAAATAATATTCTTTTGTAAAATGGGTCTAATCATGGTTGTAAATATCCCCATAAAAGGGGATTTAAAATAATTAAGAACTGGCTGCACTATGACCTCTCAAACATTTGGTGCGATCTGCCCAAAAAAAACATAGGTGTGAAATAATAACTTTAATAGCTTTATGCCAAGGCGGCCACATTAATTTGGGATAATTCTTACCATATTGGGATAATTAGATGATCATTATTACCCGATTAGGACTAGTTTCTTGCTTGAAAAGAACATGAGGGTTGATTTTGACTGTCCGGCGCTGTACACAGTAAGAAAACCAACTATGCTGCAGCGTTGTGCTATTTCCCCGCTCGAGCGCTCTGTGTTCGACGAATATACATACACTGCTGGTAACACTGTGCAGCTTTACCCTATGTAGCCATCTATCGAATCAAAATTTGCATAAGCGAACCTTCAGACTGCGTAAACTGAAGTTGCGACCTTCATATTTAGTAATTATGGACAAGATGTATGTAGATTTCCGTCAAGTCCAAAATTCTTTGTAGCTGCATTTGAGGTGCATTTTCACCGCAAATAGAATAGCCAGGAGAGTTGTAAACCGTTTTTTTGCCCATTGCCACGAAGGTAGTAGTTTCCAAGCCCGATATCGATAACTTCCATCACTAGATCTGAGGAGCCAAGTCCTCCAACTCCGATTATGGCGCTCGTAGTCGATGTAAACGAAAGCCCTATTCTCACTTTGACGCACCCCGGATTCGCCAGCTGCGCCATGGATTAACCATCCACGGGAACCGAAAAATGTCATGTCTGTAATCAGTCTTCCTGAAAAACTAAGTATGTATATTATGTGTGTCCGTCCTCGTTAAGTATTTGAGTATGTTACGTAGACCCTTGTGCTTGATCTAGGACATCGTGACAAACCGCATCCTGACTGTGATTTTGATTTTATCCCCATTATCGCACTCCGCCTGTGTTCTGTGTTCGTGATTTGGAATAGACCACGCACGGACAAACGCCGGTGAGTTGAGTCACCAAGTGGCTCAGTTGGCCTAAGCTTTTTGCCAAGCGCGGGCCAGGGTTTCAGCCCCACGTGTGACTTTATTATTGTGGCTTCTATTTTTAAAGATTGTTGATAACCCAGTGTCGTGTTCGGTGATGCGAGTGAATTTAATGGGGTTGATGGCTTCGATCCTCCAGATTGGGGAGCGGCGAAATACAAAAGCTTTAGAGCCTAACACGTATTTTCCATTTTCGAGCTAGACGAACTAGATTCTAGCACCGAAAACACATTTTTCGGAATTATTAACGTACAAGCCCAGTTCTTGGAATACGGCGAGGGTAAATACATACATATATATACATGTAATTAAAGAACGACATCTTTCAACTGTGCTTTACATGATGCAGCTCTAGACTACATTATATAAAAAAATCTACAATTAATCCTCTCAGTACTTATTGTGCAAAAATCATAAACCGGTACCACAGAAGAGCGCTAAAAACCAAAAACCAATAATAATGAATTTTTCTTGGATGGTTAGATTCGGAGCGGAGAAATCTGCAATTCCATCAGAATTAAATCTTTAATTGTTGCTATTGTGGTATTTCGCCTATACAAATTATCGTTGATATATGCTGGTGTGGATCTATGGTTCGTTATTTGCACAGCTGCTTGCTAGCTCGAGGCTGAGATGGTGAGTGATCTCTCATGATGGATTAACGAATTAGAGCTAGAACGGCTAATGATCATACATGTAGTCTGAAGGATTAAAAGGGAAGCTCGAGCCAAGTGCCCCGAATGTCGGAGACAGAGAGATCGCCTGTGAAATTGTACAAGTTGCCTATATAAGTTTAGCTCGCAATTGTTTAGCGAGCCAAATCCATTTTGCGAGCCTAGGAGCCTTTTCCGGTATATATGTCATAGTCGCTGGTACTCAGTCCTTGGCGTATATCTGGGTATGAGAGCGATCTATTGCACTCAGCCTGTAGGATATTCTCTCTATGTATCCCTTCGTGTGTTTTCACGACCAGGCGCTAATAGAGCGTATTTGACAACTGTCGATTTCGACAATTGACAGTTCGGCTTTGACAGTTGCGGGTCGCAAAATTAACATTATACTTCACGAACTCTCAAATTATTTACTATATCTCGACCATTATCAGTGGCGAGATCGAGACATAAGGCCTTTTGCGAATTGATAGAGTCCAGCTCCAAGTTCCGGTACCCTGTGCCGATACCCTCATCGATCAAAATTGACGGTTCGGCAAACCGCTATTGCAGCCAGCGAACTGTCAATTGTCGGAATCGACAGTTGTCAAATACACTCTATTATGGATCGCGAATTAAATACCCTGGATCATGGAGACTGAATAGATCGAGCGAGTTTCTCCTAAATAATAACTTACATAAGTTCTCTGTTCGGATGTATCCAAAGAAGAGCAGGATCATTCGGGACCGAGCCAGCCTGCTGACACCCAGTTAAATTGGCTTGTCAAGACATATATGTAGCTACATGTAGGCACCTTCGAGCTTAGGTCATCTCGGCTCCATGGAATATTCTATAGACGTACAAATTCCAGGGAGTATTCGAGGGTTGTGAAACCTGCCAAACAATTTTAAGGTTACTACATGTAGCCTTACCCGCGCCGGTTTCATGCAGAGCAGATACTCTTGGTCTCAAGAGCTACATACGTGTTTACAAGCATATGAACTCGAAAATGCAAATGTCTATTTTGTATGGCAGATCGGCGCCGCCCCATACAAATAATCCTTGACTTTCGAACTCGCATTTTCGGGTTCATATGCTGGCAAGCAAGTACATCCTAGACGCGGGTAAACGTTTGAAATCTTATTGCACGATAATGCATCGTGACGTTTTATCCATGTCATCGTAGTGAAGCACTCATTACTAATCATTGCTATCCGAATATGGTTAGAGCAATACTAAACCAGGGCTACTTTCTAGCATTCTGGAGAATCTGCAGGAAGCTTCGAGTGCCTTGGCGACTATGCTTGTAGAATGTGCTCGAGGCCTCCCCACTTCACGAGCCGTGAATTCAAAGTTAACCACACCGAACATTCCTAGCTACCAAACATTTATAAATCTACCCTCCCCGTCTCTGTCCCCTTCATACTTCACTGTTTGTCTCATCACACCCTGCTCGTAACAATTTTCAAATCCGCGGGTTTCAGCTCAAAGCTACGATCTATAAAACTCTATACAAAACTCAAAATAATCAGAGAACATAATGGCTGGAAGTGTCCAGTTAACTGACAAGGCCCAAAAGGCTCTTTCCGACGCCCATGAATGCGCAACAACATATGGTCACCCACAGGTAATACAGTTTTCCCCCATCATCCAAGTTACGGTGGAAGCTTTTCTAACCTTTTGTAGATTACACCAATACATCTTGCATTCGCCCTCCTTGCGGGGCCAACTGTAGATGAAAATGCTGCCCCTTCAGGCCCCGAACCATCAGCAAGTCCTTCATTATTCAAACAAGTTATCGAGAAAGCAAATGGCGACCTTCAGACACTCGAGCGAGGCATCAAAAAGGCGCTCGTTCGTATGCCATCACAAGACCCCCCGCCAGACCATATCAGCCCCTCGCCATCCTTCAGTAAAGTGCTGAGAGATGCACAGAAGCTCCAAAAGATCCAACGAGACTCTTACGTAGCGCAAGATCACCTCATCATGGCCCTTGGCCAGGACAGTACGATCCTTAAGCTGCTGAACGAGGCGGGGATCCCCAAGGTCGATTTGCTTGACAACGCTGTAAACGGGCTGAGGGGCACGAGGAGGGTGGATAGTCAGAACGAGGAGGCTGTCGAGAGCGAGAGTTTGAATAAGTACTGTATCGACCTGACACAGAAGGCGCGGGATGGAAAACTTGACCCGGTTATTGGAAGAGAGCAAGAAATCCTTAGAGTTGTGAGGATTCTGTCAAGGAGGACTAAGAACAATCCGGTGTTAATTGGAGAGCCGGGTGTGGGTAAAACTAGTGTAGTGGAGGGTTTGGCAACGAGGATAGTTAACGCTGATGTCCCGGCTAACTTGGCAAAGTAAGTTGCATGCACCCCTACATACAACCATCACTTATACTAACTATGGTTATAGCTGTAAACTTTTGTCCCTCGACGTGGGAGCTCTCGTGGCAGGTACAAAGTACCGCGGTGAATTTGAAGACCGAATGAAGTCTGTCTTGAAAGAGATTGAGGACTCACACCAGATGATTGTTCTTTTCATTGACGAGATCCATCTCCTCATGGGCGCAGGTTCTTCAGGAGAGGGGGGAATGGACGCTGCAAATCTCTTGAAGCCAGCACTTGCTCGAGGACAGCTCCACTGTATCGGTGCTACAACCCTCGCCGAGTACCGCAAATATATCGAAAAAGATGCCGCCTTTGAACGGCGATTCCAACAAGTTCTTACACCGGAGCCGAGCGTACCAGAGACCATTTCAATTCTCCGTGGTCTCAAGGAGCGATACGAAGTTCACCACGGTGTCACTATCTCTGACGGTGCCATCGTTGCTGCTGCAAACCTTGCTAGCCGATACCTTACTGCCCGACGCCTTCCTGACAGTGCAATTGACCTGATCGATGAAGCTGCGTCTGCAGTCCGAGTCACCAGGGAGAGCGCACCGGAGATTGTTGACACTTTAGAGCGCAAGCATCGCCAGCTCTTGATTGAGATTCACGCCCTAGAGCGCGAGAAAGACGAGGCTTCCAAAGCTCGTCTTGCAGCCGCTAAGCAAGAAGCCGCAAATGTTATGGAGGAACTTCAGCCCCTTCGCGAGAAATACGAAGCCGAGAAACGCCGTAGCAATGAGCTCCAGGAAGCCAAGAAGAAGCTCGATGCTCTTCAGGCCAAACTTGAGCAGGCCGAACGTATCAATGATTACGCCACAGCATCCGATCTCACATACTATGCTATTCCAGAGCTCCAGAAATATATCGCCAAGTTAGAGTCAGCAAAAGCTAAATCAGAATTGGACGCACAGATCAACGCGGCCAACGGTGGTGAGAGTAACCCTCTCATGACTGATCTCGTTGGACCAGAACAAATCAATGAGATCGTGGCTCGCATGACGGGCATCCCAGTGACGAGGTTAAAAACAACAGAGAAGGAGAAATTGTTGAACATGGAGAAATATTTGACGAAGCAGGTTATTGGGCAGAAGGAGGCAGTCAAGGCAGTTGCCAACGCTATTCGGCTCAGTAGGTCAGGCCTCAGCAATCCTAACCAACCGATCGCCTCTTTCCTGTTTTGCGGGCCATCCGGTACTGGTAAGACGCTGCTTACGAAGACTCTTGCCGAGTTCCTGTTCGATGATCCTAAGTCAATGATCAGATTCGACATGTCCGAGTACATGGAGAAACACTCCGTATCCCGTCTTATTGGTGCACCACCAGGATATGTCGGCCACGATGCCGGTGGCCAACTGACCGAGGCTCTTCGTCGTCGTCCGTTCTCAATCCTTCTATTTGATGAGGTAGAGAAGGCCGCCAAGGAAGTCCTTACAGTTCTGCTTCAACTTCTTGATGATGGACGTATCACCGACTCCACCGGCAGAGTTGTGGATGGTAAGAACACAGTAATCATCCTGACCAGTAACTTGGGGAGTCAGTACATCACCTCCAAGTCAAGTTCCACAGACGGTAGAATCGATCCAACTACCAAGGAGCTTGTAATGGAGTCAATACGACACCACTTCCTTCCTGAGTTCCTGAATCGTATCTCTAGCGTAGTCATCTTCAACCGACTTGCGAAGAAAGAGATTCGGCGCATTGTGGATCTCAGGATTGTTGACATCCAAAAGCGGCTCGCAGCCAACAACCGTAATGTCACGCTCCAGGTGGACGAAGCTGCCAAAGACTTCCTGGGAGAAGCAGGCTATAGTCCGGCATATGGTGCAAGACCACTTAATCGGGTCATCGAGAAAGAGGTGTTGAATAAGCTAGCAGTGTTGTTATTGAGAGGTGCGATTAGAGATGGAGAGACAGCAAGGATATGTTTGGATCGTAACGGAAAGATACAGGTGTTGCCGAACCATGATAGTGACGTGGAAGAAGATGAGGATATGGAGTACGAAGAAGTAGAACCAGGATACGATGGTGGGGATATGGAGGTTGAAGAGTTGTATGACTAAACATGTTTTTAAAAGCAGCTTATTAGGGATGAGTGATGCCTTATGACGTAAATGGTTTCTTTTTTTTTTTTTTTTTTTTAGCGACGTTCTTTGCTTTTGTAAAATTTCTTTTTTTCTCTTTGGGGAGGGATGTGTTGCGATAATACTATTTTTATACCCTTTTGGTTACTCTGTAGTTCTTTGTTGCCATAGGGCATACTAGTATAGCCTCTATCAACCTAAATACTTAGGAATGAATTTACGATTTTCAACGAAGTTTAAAAGTTTATTATACTATCAAAACCGCCCCCAAGTATGTACATACGTGAAGATTACATTTAAACCCTAGGGCCTGGGTCGATTGATATAAGTCGATGATGCGATTAGTAGAAAAAACAGCCGGAGTGAAAAATGGGCAACTTCTCTAGATCGATAAATATCATCCCTCATTCAAATATGCACAGCACACATCGCCTTATTCGATGAGAATCATGAGACAAATGCAAAAGACAGAATTCCCGCCAGCAAATAAGAAATTAAATACGTAAGCTTTAAAACCGAATAAAAAAATATTTCCAGGCTCGATAACCTGGAAATAAAAGGACGAAAACCCCAGTTCCCCAAATATTTTATAAATAAACACCACCCAAACTTCTCAAACCACAATTCCATAATTATATAACTCCTAACTATCTTGCCTGTCCATAATTTGATGTGTCAGGGTCATTCAGCTGCATGTGCATGATTGCCTCTGTTGGATACTGATCGTAGTCGCTATGCGGCCTGTCTGTTCCATCAGCCCCAACAACCATTAATGGCCTTGAACCTCCCTCATTTGTAGACCCATATGAGATCGACGGGCGTTTTCTACTTTTTGGTGGTGGGGTCGGCTCAGCTGTGCTTGTTGCTATCCCGTATCCGCTATTGTCCTCTGTCCACTGTTGATGATGCTCACTTCGACCTTCATCTGGAGTGGGAGAGTGATTACCATAATGGGTGGGCAACTCAACGGGCGAGTTTAACTCATTGTCTGCTAACTCAACAGGGAGATTGATATTTAATTGCGGTGCCTTTTCGTTCATCATTATTGTTGATGTTCGGTCTAGTACGGTTGATGGCCGACCGCCCATATTATCTGAATGGTCATGGTGATCCACAGAGCGATCCGTATCTCGAATACCGAACTGTGCAATTGTACGCCTTTGAAGAAAAATAAAATTAGTACATCGTCTGGACAAGAAGGTGGATATGGCAAAAGACATTTTACGCTGGACCCATGAAGCCAATATCTTCCCCCGCTGCTTTTCTCCAAGCCTTGACCTTGGGAAGTCACCTTTACCCACAAAGGCCACAATATCAACAACTAACTGGTGTTGGTCAAGTATCGCATTGACGATGACTGGTACCATGGATGCTAGATACGATTTGACCTTCACTTCAACCAACACTACTACGAGACCGCCTGCTTGGAATACTGCACTTCCGGTGTTGACGATGTTTCTATGACATCCCTCAACTGAATGCTCGATATCCACCGGGAAATGACTTAGCCCGTTAACCTCGAAAGTTTCTCCAATTGCACCAAGCACAAAAAGGATTTGCATTTCGACCTGTGCGCCGCCCGGCCCGATGGGCCGTGAAACAGTGTGTAAGAACCCGAGATCTCCGGTACGCACATAAGTTATTCTCGGGTCACCGTCTGCGGTTTTTCCGTTGAATCGCTCAACGTCGAACGGATCATTAGATCCGTAGAAGGTCTTAACACATGCTTCAGACTCGACCCAGATTTCACCATATTCGCCAGTATGGCAAAGTAGAGATGTCTCTGGGTTGACAATAGCAACCTGTGTCGATACCGGAACCATACCGGAGTCCTGCACGAGGAGAGCATTTGGGCATGTATCAACATCGACAGGGTATACCAAGCCCCTTCTAAGTGCTTTAGGATCAAGCCAAAGCTCAATAGGTTCAATACACATGTATGATCGTGAAGCAATCATAGGGTTGAGAACATGACTGTATATGGTGTTGATAGCCGTTCTATCCAGCCCAGCACCAGCGAAGTGCAACCGAACTCTCTGGACTGTGTCTACGGTCAGGCGGTGTCCACGTAGATTAGAATAAGATAATGACCAACTCACATATATCGGATCTAGGTCTCCCTTCACAAGCGATCATCATATTTTTCAATTCATGCATTGTAAAACCTTTTGCCGGCATGTTCATGATCGCATGGTCCAACATTTGCGGCGTCGCATAAGTATCCTTGATCTTGTATCTCGATAAGGTTAAGAAAAGGCTATGTGGGTTCTGGGCAAAATCAATTGGTGAGACTAAGTACGTCGGTGCACCTGTACGACAAGGGCAAGATTAGTAAGTCAATGATATATATCCGAGTGCCACCCCATGATTGAGATGCGTAGGCCCCCGATGTATCTGGGGAGTGAACGTACCAACAAAAACACCCATCAGCAAACTATACACAAAGCCCACTCCGCTGATACTTCTCACACACCCCACAACTGGCCTGCTACTTGTCATTTGACATGTCTCCTTCATAACTTTACATATCCCCATTATAGTATCATGTCCTAACCCAACTGCTATTCTTCTTTGATCCGGTGTCCAGTATGTCCACACCAATGCTAAGAATCCCGGTTGGACCCACGCCGGTTTCATCGTGAATCCAAGGTCTCGGCATCCAGAATTTGACTTTGGCGGCTTGGCAGTATTGTGAATTGGAGGAATTGCAGCCTTCAAGACCGCGGCAGTCTGTTTCATGTGCGTACTCACTGGTTTTGATTTGAGAAGATGGTCGACCTCTGCGTTGACGAGGATTGCCTTAACATCAAAATCCTTAATCATGTGCAGGAGCGCTGGGACGTCCTCAGGCAGCCGATTCTGATCTAGAGGCGCGAGTGGGACTGCAACGACACCAAGACAGAAACAAGCATGGATCGCATACACGAAGTCTTCGCTGTGGGTGTAGATGAGGATTACATGGTCACCGCTCTTGATCTTCCATTTATTCTTCATCATGCTCGCCACAGCGGCGATCTTCGTATCTAGTTTTTTCCAAGTAACGCCTTTACCTTCCTTACCGCGAGTATCAATTGTGCAATAAGAGAGCTCTTCAGATTGACGAGCTACACGCCATTGAAGTAGGTCGACAATGGATGAAAAGTTTGTGAGTGGGGTTGATGTTCGGTCGTCGATCACGACCTCACGGTAATCAACCCCGGAATACTGCTTTTCTTGCAGCATGAGAATCTCTTGACGGGCCTGAGTTGCAAGTGGGGACCAGATACCACCACTAGGATCGATTCCGATGGGAAGATTGAGGACCGCTCTGTGGACACCGAATTTTACGTGCACACAAGGAAGAGTGCCAGCGCCGAATTCTTTGTTGCATAGTATATTCCCAATCTCTCTTCGGCCGTTCTTTAGAACTCTGGGTAGAGTATTGGGCGCAGTGATCATAACACAGTATACCCGGAGATGATGCTCCTCAAGGAGTACATCCATGCACCGCTCACTTAGCTGATCCAGCAACGCGATATCCAACTGTTTTGCCACCCCACCCGCTGCCGTTGGTGCCGTCGACGCGGCCTGACTTTCTAATAAAATAATTGGAAGATGTTCGTCGTTCACAAACACATCAAACGCAGAACTATTCCACCACAATCAGTCTGTTGAACCCTACCTAGCCCACTCGTCGGAGAAGAGGAGAAGCAGAAACAAACCAATCAAAAATCTTTGGGATATTCTTCATTATGGAAGCAACCAAATGCTGGACAAAAAAGCATCTAAACTCTTCCCTTCCCTCTGCACCTTCCTCCACCCATTCTACCTTTTGTCTTAACCTATCCTCGTATAATCCTAGAACAAATATTTTGCCCTCGATCACACACCCCAACAAACCCGTTCGTAGGAATTCTAGGTCAAGTGATACAGGGTTTGGATTGCCCTCCTCAAATTTGTAAGGACGCGCATGAAAGATGGATTCTGTCTGTTTCGGTAGTGCCCAAAAACCTCCTGATAAACTGGGCGAGTCAACCCAGATTTCACCGACTACATTCGGAGAGCAGAGGAGAAATGTTTCTGGATCTACAACAGCGAGGGTAGCATCGGGAATAGGATACCCAAATGTTCCCACTCGAACTGTTCCTGGATCGCCTGCCCTCTTTTGTGCTTCTTCGCCAATTGCAAGGACTATGACATCATTCGTCTTCAGCGCCTCCTTGTCCAGCAGAACCTCCGTGAGTTCAGTAACCTTCTTTCCCGTTTCTCTTGCAATACCGCCAGATAACAAAGAGGAGTATCCATTAATCCCTACCCCAGGGCGTTCCACCTCCTCACCTCCAGAAGAATCTTCGTCTTCATGCTCTTCAGGCCGTGAAAGAGCGCATCCCATGCGTTCCTCACCACCTAGCCAATCACGCATGGAGATAACCATACCGCCATGCTCAGGTAGACAGAGCATTGGCGCAACAACATCCCTTGCACGAGTGTTCTTCAGCGGCCGCAACCAACGGTCCGCAAGGATCTCATGGAACTCAGCGTCGACAGTAAGGGCGTCGATGAGCATAAATCTAATTGTTGAAAAATCTACTGTAAGCTTCTTTTGATAATTACGAGTGACCATGGGCTCGTTTTGATAGTTGTAGGCCACGATTTTCAACGCCGGATAGTCTGCTAGGCAAAGGGTAGCCTTATATCGGGTTATAACATTTGCATAGAGACCTGATGTAGTAGCAGTTGCCTGTGACAGCCAGACTGTTGTTTGCCCACCGTACACAGCGAGAAGAACACCAAAGATCATACCAATTCCTTGACGGGGATCAAGGTAAGATACTAGGGTTTCACCCATAGCTCTTCCGGACATAGGAAGCCCGGTTTTGTCGCGAAGAGAGGGGTGGAACGTATCTTTACTGTTATCGGCAGGAACAGTAGATATAATCGCTGAAAGACACCCCATTTGATGCATTATGGTTCGATGAGACATTACAACACCACGGAGG